AGCGACTGGTGCAATTTCCTACAGTTTTTCTTTCATAACATTTATTATGATGAAATTTCTAGTCACTTATGTCGTTGCCGTTTTGAGCAGAAAGAGGGAACGTACAAGGGTAAAAAATTCAATGCTATTTGCCACTTCTTTGGTTATCAGGCTCGGGGATCCTTGCCATCAAAGTTTGACTGTGACTATGCTTATGTAGGTTATCATTATATGTTGCTGTGGCTTCTCATTAAAATCTCTCTTTCTCTCTCTCTCTCTCTCTTGGAGCTATGGCTGTCTAGAATCATTTGTTAATAAATTCTGATACAACATGAATTCAGGTTCTTGGACACATTGCCTACCATATTCTTGCGGCTGGTTTGAATGGTTACATGGCAACTGTGACGAATCTGAAGAATCCTCTGAACAAGTGGCGTTGTGGTGCTGCCCCAATTACAGTTGGGTTTCTTTCTCTTTCCTTTTGTAGTCTCCCCAGGATGGACTGAAAAATATTAATTTTGTTCTTTCTTACTGTTTTGGCTCTCTACCTTTAACTAGAGTGTTGATTTTCTTTGTACTATGTTTGATAAACCTTAGTCCATGATGACCGTCAAACGTTGGTCTCAACATCCGGGTGCCACTTCTCTAGGAAGACCTGCTATTCATCCAGCAACAGTGGATCTGAAAGGCAAAGCATATGAGTAAGTTCTTTCTTCACAATGTGACATTGATCTCAAAATATTTCTCTTTCTCACTACTTCTGATGGTTGCTCGCATCTTTGCTGTAGTGTACTAGTTGATTGTCACTGTGATTCTTATCTGCTGTATGATGTTTTACTTGCAGGCTGCTGAGACAAAATGCAACAAAATTCTTGCTGGATGATCTCTACAGAAATCCTGGACCTGTACAGTTTGAAGGTCCTGGTGCCGATGCCAAAGCTGTAACTCTCTGTGTTGAAGACCAGGATTACATGGGCCGTATAAAGAAATTGCAAGTATATCTTGACAAGGTGCTTAATATTACATTGTTTGTAAAATCTTTATGTTCTTTTAAAATAATATATTTATTTTACAGATCTTTGGAGACACAAACTGATTAATCTCACTTTTTGACAAACTAATCTTGGCATATAAACCAACAAGTATTGGCAGAACATGAGGGGTGGAAAACTCCAAGAATTTGTTACAGTAGCATCTAGGACAGGACTGTGAATACTTATTTTTTGCATCATGACCACTTTTCTTGTTTTGCACAGTTACCATTTAGTGGGTTGTTATTTGGGGTGAATGTCAATGATCTCTTGGTATGTGTGCAAGATTTCTCTCTCGTTTGATACCTTTTTTTCTCTTTTCTTGCCCAGGTTCGAACGATTGTGAAACCAGGTTGTTCACAAGATGTACTGAAAGCAGCCTTGAGTGTAATGGCTTCGGTGACAGAAGTTCTCTCTGTAATGTCATCTCCATCTGGAGGCCACACATCTTAATCATCTCTTGCTGCTGTCAATGGTATTGGTTGTCCAGAATTCTTCGGCACCGGGTCGTCATCTTTCTTAATTTACATCATGAATTGCAGGTGTAGAACTTTTAGTAACGAACTGAGTTCTTTTCTTTTTGTACCAACGTTTTTGTGTGAGATAATAACAAGAGGCATGTCTTGCGAGTTTTGGTAAGGTGAAATTTGGTTCATCTAATCAATTTGGCTTTGAACTTGAGTGCATATGCAAAAGCAACACGTTGAGTAGCATCAAGCATTTTTCGTATTTTGATATCAAGAAATGTTATAGTGGTCGAGGAAATAAGACATGGTCTTTTATGTATACTAGCATAGAACTTAATACGACCGTGTGTGATAACTATGGGGAAAATAATTCATGGGTACTAATGGAAGAGAAATGATTCATTTTCAGATTCTTTTTAACTTATTGATGTTTGTGATGACTTTGTAAAAGCTGAAGATAATTGATATTACAACCATTCCAAATTTCAATTTTTAAGTGGGGTGTCATCAGAATTTTTCTTCTAAGAATAATGCATTCCGTAACAATATTCCGGAGCTAAAACTTATTTTAGTGTTGGGCTCTAATCCATTAAAAGGCAAATCCTATGAAAATTAAACTAGAATAAAGAGAGATCATAGAAATCGTGCCTTTGCGGGTTCCATCCATTAAAAATTAATTTTGTAGGATCTATTATATAACTAGACAAATGTCACAAATCCCATGAAAATAAAACAAGAATAAGCCCTTTGACGGTTCACCGAGTACATTGATGGCTCAGCTACATGTAAAGTAAATAATATCCATTGAGATAAACCAAACAAGCTTTTTGATATTACTCAAGAGGTTTTGACTTGAATCTTTTTTTTATTATTAATAGGGCTAGTCACTCGAACTCTTACTTGATCAATAGTTTCAAGGTTTCGAAGGATTAGTTAAAGTGCATGTAAGCTGGTCCGAATACCTTCAATCATTAAAAAAGGAAAAAAAAAACCATATCAGTGATTTATTTATCAATAATACTAGCCTCACAAACATCTCTCACTAACCTTATGTGACAGTTTGCAATTAGTTTGGTTAGACGAGACCCATTGTTGGATAGATGAGACCCATACAAACTAATCAATTGTGAGTTAATACGTGACACTTGTAAAAAAGAGTTAATGGGAAGTGTTTATGAGTGTAGTATTACTCTTTATTTAAATATTTCTGGGTAAGGTAAAGTTGTGCTATAATAATGTGACAAAGAGCTTCTAAAATCCATGTTCTGGTTGTTCCGATTCATGGGCAATTCCATATATATCCTATGTTTCAATTTTCCAAACGTTTAGCTTCCAAAAGGCTCAAAATCGCAGTCGTGCGAACTTACTCAATGTCAATAGAGTCCATCCATCTTTCTTACTGCAATGAAGGAGGAATCGGAGGAACTGGAGGATATAAAGCTTACATTTCAGTGCAGCTGCAACTGGATTTTTCACTCAATCATCAGGGAAGTTATTGCATTAGATTAAGGGGGTGTTTGTCTGAGCTTATAAAAATTAGTCCTTATAAGCATTTGAAATTTTAAGCAATTACGTGTTTGATTAAAATACTTAGACGGTGTTTGTCTAAGCTTATAAGCTGGTCAAACTTGCTTATAAGCTGTAAAATTAAGCTGACGTGTTTGTTTATAATTTTTTTTTAGCTTATAAGCACTTTGCTTATAAGCTAGTTTGACCAAGTATATTACCATATTATCCTTATTTAATTTTAAAATTTCATAGTATGACATTGTTTAATGTAGTACATTTTTTAGTAATTTTATAATAAAATGTACTTATAAGCCACATTTTACCAAACACGTCAATTACTTATCAGTCACTTATAAGTACTTTAACCAAACACGTAATTGCTTAAAATTTCAAATGCTTATAAGTTAATTTTAGCTTATAAGCAATTGTTGCTTATAAGCTAATTTTCATAAGCTCAGACAAACACCCCCTTATAAGGAAATGATAAGTAGTTGACGGTTTGGTAAAACGTGGCTTTAGGCTTGTAAGTATATTTTATTATAAAATGACTAAAAAAAGTACTACATTAAATAAGGGTATACTAAGGAATTTTAAAATTAAACAAGGATAATGTGGTAATATACTGGTCAAACTAGCTTATAAGCAGAGTGCTTATAAGAAAAAAAAAAAAAAAAAAAAGTACCTCCCCCTAACTGTGAATCGACGTTCCGATCAATATTATAGACTTCGGAAGACCAATAATTCACAACATGCTTGAAAAAGAGCTTGGCCGTGTCTTCCGCTGTACATTCCTTCGGTGCGGGGATGAAGGTAGCATACTTCGACAACCTGTCCACCACAACAATAATGATGGTAAACCCCTGGATTTCGGCAAGCACACTATGAAATCCATTGAGATGCTCTCCATGGTCTATTCGGTGTGGGCAACAGTTCCAGTAATCCTGCGGGGCTTTGGTGTTCCACTTGTCTTGTTGGCACAAGACAAGTTCGTACAAACTGCTCCACATCATCCCGCATTTGTGGCCAATAATAAGCTGCTTCTAACGTGCTCGAGTGGGCCTTTGTCCGGATGTCTTATTTTTTTTGGCTTATAAGCTCAACTTATAAGCTAAAAAATGTTATAAACAAACAGGGCAGCTTAATTGAAGCTTATAAGCTAGTTTGACCAGCTTATAAGCTTAGACAAACACCAAGAATGCCCAGTCAGCAGTGGAAGGAGCTTGTAAAGGCGGCAGTGAATTTACGAAATCTTTTCAGTCATCAGTATTTTCATCCGTCAAGTTACCTTCGTCGTGAAAGTTTCATCTACAACGGAAACTGAATTTTGAGCTTTGTTTTTTGCTTGTACTGGAACCTCAACACGGGGTTTCGAGGTTCCCTTTTAAATTGTGGTCAACTGATCATGATCTGTTTGATGATTCCCCAGTTTATGAATGCATTAATTGTACTGCTTGAAACATTCTTGCAGTGCAATGACTTAAAGACTTTTGAGTGACCAACATTCCCTGTAATATTGTATGGATAGCAAAAGCTGCACAAAACATTTAAAGGAGGCTCAAATGAAAATGAATATTCACTAAACCCATTTTTATTTTTTTTTTACCATTAAGGTGTTTGGTTCAATTTACGTGCAATTCAATTAATCTTTCAGAGTGCTGGAGTATCGATCATGTAAGAGTCTCAATAACGTCTTTATAATGTATGAAAGATTCAAACTATAAACTTAAAAAAACTTCTTTTACCATCATTGGACCATTTATGGTTCACACACTAGTGTGCAAGGCAACTAACAGACATTATCAACCGAATTTGCAAATCTAAAACATTGTATTCATAAACCCAAAAAAAAAAAAAAAAAAAAAAAAAAAGAAAAAAACAACTCAGCCGGTGAATTACTCATAAAATAAGAGCAAAATCGCAGCCACTTGTCATAAAAATATTGGGTAGAATGGGCACCTAGACCAATAAGATGAAAAAGTTGAGCAATCAAAAGGCTAATAGCATAACAGATAAAAAACATCAACTCAGTTGGAGTCCCTCATTCACACCCTAAAATCTTCTCAAACCCTCATAAACCCTCCAAAGTTCCCTCCTCTTTCTAAACATTAACGATACTTCTCTACTCAAAAGAGACTGCTGTCAAAGTTTTGATCTTGTGGAGCTCCTCTACTTAAAGGTCACTCCTTTTTCTTCTTGCTCAACGCTTCTAATCTACGGTCAGTTCCCCCTTTCACTGTCGTTTTATTACTAATTATGTGATATTATTAATCAGTTTTCTTTACAACCAGTCATGGAATTTGAACCGCTTGATATTGGAAATGAAACTATTGAATTTGACCAAATGGGTAATTCTGATGGCGAAGATGATTTAGAGCAACCTCAATACTATGATCATTTCCTACAGAATAATGATAATTCCACGCCAGACAATAGTTTTGCAACTTCTGATGGGGACCTTAATCTTGAACCCTACGAGGGTATGGAGTTTGATTCTGAACAGGCTGCCCGTATTTTCTATAATTCATATGCTCGCCGTGTTGGTTTTAGTACACGTGTTAGTGTTTACCAGCGATCAAGGCGTGATGGGTCCATTATATGTCGTCAAATTGTGTGTTCCCGTGAGGGTTTTCGTCGTGAAGGCAGTGAAAATAGGTCCAAGAGACAGCGTACAGTTACTAGAGTTGGGTGTAAGGCGCAAATGACAGTGAAGAAACAGAGTTCAGGGAAATGGACAGTGTCAAAACTTGTGAAAGAACACAATCATGAGCTTGTGCCTCCAGATAAAGTGCATTGTCTTAGATCACATAGACACGTGTCAGGTCCTGCTCGAAGTCTGATTGATACACTGCAAGCAGCTGGGATGGGACCAAGTGGTGTTATGTCTGTGTTGATTAAGGAATCTGGTGGAGTGAATAATGTTGGTTTTACTAAAGTTGATTGTCAGAATTATATGAGCAGTAGTAGGCAGAGAACATTAGGAAGTGGGGGTCAAGTTGTTATTGACTATTTGAAGCAAATGCAGGCTGAGGATCCCGGTTTCTTTTGTTCCTTCCAAGGTAATTTTGAGAACTCTTCAGGTAATATTTTCTGGGCTGATGCAAATTCAAGAATGAATTATAATTACTTTGGAGACACTGTCACATTTGATACCACATATAGAACGAATCGATACCGAGTACCCTTTGCTCCATTTACTGGGTGGAACCATCATGGACAGCCTGTATTGATTGGATGTGCCTTGCTCCTTAATGAGTCAGAGGCCTCGTTTATTTGGCTATTTGAGGCTTGGCTTGCTGCAATGTCTGGACGCCATCCTGTTTCAATCACAACCGATCAGGATAGAATTATAAGGTCTGCTGTTGCACATGTTTTTCCAGGAGCTCGTCACCGGTTTTGTAAATGGAACGTGTTCAGGGAAGCCCAGGAGAAATTATCTGATGTCTATCACTCACAACCTAATTTTGAAGTGGAGTTCCAGAGGTGCATCAATTTGGTAGAAACAGTTGATGAATTTGAGTCATGCTGGGAGTCTCTTCTTCAAAGATATAATCTTGGGGATAATGAATGGCTCCAATCAATGTACAATGTTCGCCAACAGTGGGTACCAGTTTATCTCCGGGATACTTTCTTCGGGGAGATGTCTATAAGTCAAGGAAGTGATAATATAAACTCATACTTTGATGGGTATATAAATGCATCAACACATATTCAGGTCCTGATTAAGCAGTATGAAAAAGCAGTTGCCACAAGATACGAAAGGGAAGTCAAGGCTGATTATGATACGGTGAACACCGAACCGGTTTTAAAAACTCCGTCTCCTATGGAAAAACAAGTAGCAAATCTTTATACAAGGAAGATATTTATGAAATTTCAGGAGGAATTAGTTGAAACTCTTGCCTATCCTGCAACCATAATTGATGATACAGGAACAGAAATTATATATCGGGTGGCAAAATTTGGGGAGGACCACAAAACACACTTTGTTAGGTTCAATGTTTTTGAAAAGAAAGCTAGTTGTAGCTGTCAAATGTTTGAGTTTTCAGGCATTATTTGTAGGCACATATTGGCGGTTTTTAGAGTTACAAATGTTCTTACACTTCCATCTCACTATATCTTGAAACGGTGGACAAGAAATGCCAAAAGTGGGGTTCTATTAAACGATCACATTCTTGGAATGCCAGGTAATGCTCAAGAGTCATCTGCTGCCCGCCACGATAATCTACGTCTGGAAGTCATCAAATATGTAGAACAAGGGGCACAATCGACACACAGTTATAACGTAGCAATGGATGCACTTCGGGAGGCCACAAAAAAAGTTGCCGCTGCAAAGAAGCATGGTCCTGGGGTCCAACAAAACACTCTGTTTGATGGGAGCCAACAGCTTCAGTCTTGCTCTGTGGTGAGTCTTTTAGTTTCCTAAAATATGTTGCACTAGAAGTTCTAAGTTTTCTATTTTTTCTGTTCCCTAATTAGCCTTCCATTCCTAAAATAAGACAATTTGTTTGTTAGGGAGCTAGATGCTGCAATATGAGGTTGTAAATCAATAATAGGTGCATTGTTATTTGCCTTGTCAATTTAATGTTTTCTTGACACTGAAACATTTGTGTCTATTAATTATCAATGAATGCAGATGTTTTTGTATGTTGATGAAATCACTGGTGGTGCTAAATAAATAGCATTCTACGGACTTGCAACCATCGTATATAAAAGGTTTTTCTTTGACTGCTATCATATTGATGGATCCAATCTTAAATATTTGACGTGGCAATACAATTTGCATGTAGAATCACCCTAGACCCCAAATGGGAACTTAATTAAGTTGTGTCAAAGATCAAAGTGACAAGTTATGACTAAAACACTTTCTGCCAATCTAAACTAGAGTGTGAAAATTCTTTGTAGCATAAGGCGTCATCCATAGGACCTATCTTTGGTTTGGTTTGATAAAAGAATCATTATAAGTTCACTTTGAAACTTAATGTTCAGGGGAGAATGTGCATAGCAAGATCATTTTCTCTTGGCTGTGCTTTGTGCTGATATGAGACATTTTCTTTTTCTTGTGGATATTTAACAAAAGCACACGAATCCTTACTACATCATGAAGCAGATGCATGATGAGATACATGATGACAGTTATGAAAGTGTAACTTTTAAATGTATAAGGTGAGAGGAGAAATCAATACTGTACACCATGAAGGAATCCATAATATTTTGAAGTTTTTTCTGAAAACATTTGGGAGCAGATTATGTTGTTCTGGAGTTAAATTTGGTAAGGGTTTACATTGGTCCATTGGTCTGATAAAAATTGTAACCATTTCCTTTGCTTCATTGTCTAGTTCTTTTAGGCACTTGACTGTGTGACTGTCTCGTGTTCATTAACTTTCATCTCTATTTTGTCTAATAAATATTCTATTATTGTGTCTTTTTTTAGGATCAAGACAAGAGAATTCAAGAACTGACTGTTGAATTAGAGAATGCAAGTCAGCAATGTGAAGCATATAGGACAAAACTAATGGCAGTTTTGAAAGATACGGAAGAACAGAAGTTAAAGATGTTGGTGAAGGTTCAGAATGTGAGGTTGAATCTAAAAGTTTGAATTGGAAAGGTGATGGTGGCACCGTTTCCACCATATCATGTAAACTACAGATAGCAGACACAAAGTAAGAGGCCGCTGGGTTGAACACTAAACTTCAAACTCCAGCATTAATATATTTGTTGAGCTTCTGAGAGAGAAGATATATTGTGTATTTCTTGTAGGACGGTTTGATGTAAACCATGGTTAGTTGTAGTTGAATGTAACTATATAGAGTAGTTGTCTCAAGTGAGTGATAGAATTTAGCAACTTTTGGGGTTTATTGAATTTAATTAATCCCAAATAAGAAATTTTATATTGGAATTGACCCAACCATACATCTATGCTTGAATATTAAAAAAAGAATGTCTATTTCTTCAATTCCATATCTCAAGTATTTGGTGATTTATAGCTTGATTATACTCATCTGGGGAAAGTATACAGTAACTCTGGATTTGCCTGTGTGGGATTGTTATTTGCTTCTAACCACATTGGGTGGTCGGGTGGGGTGATATAACTCTTGAGTGTATTATTCAAAAATTTTGAGTTCGATTTCTTTTATTTGCTAATAGGGGTGATCACTGGAGGTTTTATTTGATCGTTAATTTCGGGTTTTAGAGGATTCATTAATGTACGTGCAAACTATTCTAGACAACTCTAGTAAAAAAAAAAAAAAAAAAAAAAAAAAAAAAAAAAAAAAAGGTTAAGCTACAAAGTCTTACAATGAAATTATATCATGAATGTATCAAATTGTCATGAATGTACGGAAATAAAGGAACCAAAAAGAGGTTTTGAATTTTTTATATGATATGATTGGAGCGGAATAACCAAAAGCTGTATGACAACGGACCACATGGTTAGTGGGCAATTCAAGCAAAGAAATAGGGGTATTTATGGAAATCTGCATATTTGAAATTCAAAATTTGTTGCCGTTAGGCAGAGCAACGCCCCTCCTCTCTTAACGGTTACATACTGAACCCCTTTATAAGCAAGCAAAGAAGTCTTCTTGAATCTTGAGAGTGACTATTTTTGTTTGAGGAAGTTAAAAAGGGAAGAAGAAGAGATGGACGCGTTCGAGAAGCTAGAGAAAGTAGGAGAAGGAACGTACGGGAAAGTGTACAGAGCAAGGGAGAAGGCGACAGGCAAGATCGTAGCCCTTAAGAAGACTCGTCTTCACGAGGACGATGAAGGCGTGCCCCCAACAACTCTGCGTGAAGTCTCCATTTTGCGCATGCTCTCTCGTGATCCCCATGTTGTTAGGTATTTCTTTTTTTTTTTTCTTTCTCTTCTTAGGGTTTTATTCGATAGTTGTTACATTTCTCTTGAATCTTGTCTTCTTTTTTGCATCAAGGGTGGTTATGAACAATGTTACTGGTGCGATTTGTATTTTTAGTTTCGGTTTCATTACGCCCGTTTCAATAATTATTATATCAAGTTGTAGATCTAGCGTCTTTAATTGCCTTATTCTTCAAATCTTGGGTGATTCTTCACAATTTTTCTTACGCTCTTGGATGATCTATGGCTTGAATATTGGGAAATTTGTTAATTTAGAGTTTTCAAAGTGCACATATACATTTTTTGTGTTACTCTCTTCTAGGGTCTTTAATTTCCTTCCCGTGGCGGTCCAATCTCTATTTCGTTTTGGCGCTAAATCAGAATTTAATTTGCCCTTTTTTGGACTTTTTCTCAGATGTCCTGTAAAACACTCTGTTTTATTTATTTATTTTATAATATCATTATTATGCTAAATAAGATAGAATATTATCCTTTGCGTTGAATTAATCTTCTTAATTATACTTCCATTGGACAGAATTTATTTTGAACTCATAACTTTTTATATGTCTGTTTGAGAGATTGATTTTTTTTTCTTTTCCAATTATTAGATTGCTGGATGTCAAACAAGGCCAGAACAAAGAGGGCAAGACAGTGCTCTACCTGGTTTTTGAGTACATGGACACCGATCTTAAGAAATTCATCCGGAGCTTCCGCCAAACTGGAGAGATTATTCCTGCTAAAACTGTGAAGGTATGGATTATTTATTTGTCCATTCATCTAATTTCTAGACATATCTTTATTCTTGATTAATTTACTTAATCTGTATATACAGAGCTTGATGTACCAACTTTGCAAAGGTGTTGCTTTCTGCCATGGGCATGGAATCCTACATAGGTACTTCTCTTTCCCATTTCATCCAGAAACTAAAGTAGAAGTTTTCTTTCAATTAATCTTTTAGCTTGACTGTTTCAACCCAGGGATCTTAAGCCTCACAATCTCTTGATGGATCGAAAGACTTCAATGCTTAAAATAGCAGATCTTGGACTAGCTCGAGCATTTACTCTTCCAATTAAGAAGTATACTCATGAGGTACCGCTTCTATGATCTTAAGTATTCATTATTTATGCTTAATATTCGGCTTGCATAATCAGTTTGTTGACGAAAGTCCCATTTTGTTACAGATATTGACCCTTTGGTACAGAGCTCCAGAAGTCCTTTTGGGCTCTACCCACTATTCTACTGCAGTGGATATGTGGTCTGTTGGCTGTATATTTGGTACAGAAACCTTGCTTCCTAAAATTTGTTTAATCTGTTAACCAAACTGTTCAGTTATTGTAGATTTGCCTGATGAGTTTAGTCTTTCTATCCTTGTAGCCGAACTTGTTACAAAACAAGCACTTTTCCCAGGAGATTCTGAACTACAGCAGCTGCTGCATATTTTCAGGTTCAAATAAGATCCTCATTTCTAAGTTGATTTTTTAACTCTTACAATGATTAAGGATGTTCTCTAATGCTCCTATATTTCATACTTCTATGCAGGTTATTAGGTACTCCGAACGAAGAAATATGGCCAGGAGTGAGTGCCCTGGTGAACTGGCATGAGTACCCGCAATGGAACCCTCAAAGTCTGTCATCAGCTGTCCCTAACTTGGATGAGAATGGGCTTGATCTGCTTTCAGTAAGTTGATCCGATCAGCGATGACTTTGTGTTTGCACCTTTTTTCTTTTTTTCCCTTTTTCCAACTGACTTTTAAAAATTATCTGTGCAGCAAATGTTGCAGTATGAACCCTCAAAGCGGATCTCAGGAAAGAAGGCTATGGAACATCCTTACTTCGACGATGTGGACAAGAACCGCCTCTAAAGAAAAGTGTGTGCACTAGTATTAGAGATTAGGGTTCTTACTTTGATATCTCAGGAACAGTAAAGGGATTCCTATATAGCAAAGTCTATTTGCTTCTTCCCCCAAGAATATTTTTAAGTCATGTTAAATTTGTTTTAGGGATGGATCGCCTTGCGCCTTAATATTGATTGACTATGGATTTGCTTATTCCACAAATCGCAAATCGCTCTACTACCTAGTTTTATATTCCATTGAATATAAAATTTTGAAATTACAATTTGGAATAATCGTACATTTTTTGGCTAACAACAATGAGATGCTATATATTGTGCCATTCTTCGTAGTATAAATTAAGACACAAGCCACATAAATAATGTCGACCAAAAAGTTAGCGAGATTGAAGCCAAGCCATAAGTCCATAGCATTATAACAGAACATTCACTTTCACCTGCTCCAAACAATTGAGTGATGGTACCTGCACATAAATTTAAATTTAAACATGAACATGAATATTTTTGCCATGCAGAATGCGATCATAAGTAGAAATTGGAAATACTTGTACCTATGTTCATGGCAGGCGGCAATGCAAATTGAAGCAGAAGAATAAATTCATACAAAGGATCATCAGAGTGCACTAAACCAAACTGGCGTGCCCCTTTCACAATGAGAATGCCAATCAGAGGCAGGGCAACATAACGTGCGACTACGATGGCCACAACAATAGTTTTACGAATTCCAGACCCTTTGAGACCTGAAACAAAACACACTTATCAGTGACTACTTCTCTCACTAAAGAATCCTTTAAGTGAGTTGTTAACCTTTCTCCATTACCTCTGAGAAGGTTTGCTCCAACAATCAGTGTGACGGTGGGGATGGCTCCATCTCTGTAGTAAAAAAGAGAACATTATGTTTACCGTAAATGTCCCTTAGATAGTCATTTGGCATTCATGGCCGGGTTTCTTACCCCAGTAAAGAAGCAGAGTCTTGAATAACACGAAGAGGAGCAGTTTCACCGATCAATGATTTTCGGATCAGAGGAACAAGGCCGATTACAAATCCAGCAAGCTGCACAGAACAAGATTAAAATGTTCGGTCAATGTGTGAAATGCATAATCAGGAACATGAGGGAGAAATCAAATATGTGGCAAATATATACACATACTTAATAATCCCTGCAAGAATGTAAATGTTCCTATTATATGTTATTCTCCCATAAATTTCCAGGTAAACTCCATTTGAAGATGTAAAAGAACATAATATTGTTTCTATATAAAGCTGTATGCCTAGTGCTTGAGCAATCTGCAAGAATCAGCAAGATAAAAATCAAAATTTCCAACTCGACAAAACCATCAAGGCTGTATCCTTTTTGGATTACTTCAAATTATTTCTGACATGGATGGTTAAGATCTGTCGATGAAGTTGACCTCATCTTTAGAAGTGTTTTAAGGGTGAAAACCTCGCAGTCTGATTCTTTTTCATAGTTTTTGTTGAAGTTGGTTGATATTTTGCTGGAAATGAAGAAAATTCAGTTGGTTTTTTGAAAACTCATTCTGGCGCCAAAGGTTCAAAGTTTGCTGTGCTGAAAGCAGTTGGTAGAGCTGCTGTTCTGATGTGTTTCTTGTGATGTTATTAGTGATGTTTTTAGGTGAATTCAGCCTTCATTAAGGAATGTATTAAAAGGCTTGTACTTGTGTTAGTTATGTGTATATGGTTAAAATTTAAACTTGTAAAATATCCACTGCTTTAGGAGAAACAGTGGACAGGCTTTGTATAAAAAAGCCCCTGTTTTCTGAATGCAAAACAGAGCATGTTTTCCAGCCAACGTTGTCTCTCTTTCATCAGTTTTTTACTTTGTATTCTCCACCCAAACCAACAGTTTTCTTTGTCCCTATTGGGCCAGGGTAAATACTCTTTAATTTTCTATACGAAAGAAGTTTATGAAGAAGATGAAAAGTAGTGGGACCATACCGCTCCAGTAGTAGAAGGTGCGAACAAAGCCTTCAGGTTAATCTTCTTGAACACCGACTTCACTCTTTCCTTCATTGTACATGAAACCTCCACCTGTGATAAGAGTTCCAAAGAGTAAATCCTTTTTCTTTCTACTTGCAAACACAAATTTACATTTCAGAGAGTAATGAACTATCTGCTACAGGCTACCGATGGTGACAATATGAACATAGATTGTGGATATCCTGGTCTGTCTGTTTTGCGCTAGAAGAAGTCATATTCATTGGGACAAATGGAATGAAGTAATAAGCGAATATTGGTAATACTACTGAAACTTGTTAATTTAATATACAAGTTCTACACCAGAATAGATGACAAAGGAATCAATCTATGGTCTCACCTCAGATGTAGTTTGGGGCAATGCAAGTTTATCGTTGGAAGAAAGTAGCGGCTCCCTGCAGTCTCCCATGCCTGAATTGGATTCTCCTTTGAAAGAGTTACCACCAATTTCAGATTCTGTTGTGCTCCTAGTTGAAGCTACCCGGACAATATTGTACACAATTGACCACAAAAAAATGGCTCCAAGCTAAAGTGTTAAAAAAAAAAAAAAAAAAAGTTAATAAAGATATACATATAACCCGCTAAACAAGTTTTTAGTTTTCATAGATCATGCGAACAGATTTTACTATTGTGGTAACCAGAGTAGCATGAATTATTCTCTTTTGCACATACAAAGTATTTTAGTGATGTAACCCCTTACCGCCATTGACAGAGAAGCATAAGCCAATCCATAGGAGCGACAGACATCGGGAGATCCGAATGGACTTCCTTTTTCTTTACAAACTGCTGGGAGTATAATAAGAGGCAAGTTCCCCAAATTTCCTGCTCACATGAATCAAAACCAAACAAGAAGGTATTGTTATTCACGAGGTGATATGAACATAGTTAAAAAAGAAAAACTGAAACCATCTTATTGAAAAAAATACCATGTAATAAAAAGTTATAGAGGATGATTCAGGATGTCAATGATATGACAATGCTGTACAGTAATGAAGAAAGTTTGAGAAAACCCTAAACAATAGAGTATAGAGATCTCAGAATCAAAAGGGGAAGGCTTTGGGCCTTTTCAGCCTCCAAATGAGTATGAAAATATGGTAAACAGAAAAAGTTTCTGGTTTCTGCTTATTTCAATCTAGAAAAAGTTTACTGAAAACATACTGTGTTTAAAATTACTCTCACTTTCTATATTATTCCCACAGAAGTCTTTGAAGAAGTGACTTCACAGAGAGTGGAATTCACAATCCTCTATAGCTCAAATTGCACCAATGATAGCTCAACTTTTAATAGCAAAGATAATCTAGCAAGCCTCACAGACAGGAATTGTGCCCAGCACACTATGTTTGTCCACATACATCAGTTTTAATGGCAACGGAGCATCTTCAAATGACATCTAACATATCAAGTAATCATCGCCATAACCGAACTTACACCCTTCCTCAAACTCAAACTCAAACTCAAGTCAAAGTTTCCTTTTCAGTGAGATTAGAACCAACTAAACTAAAACTATGCAGTTACTAACACTTTCTTATGGTAAAAACATGAATTTCCATGTGCAAAAATTATCATTGTATGGTTACCTGCAGCACAACAACCCACAATAAGCCCCCGCAGATGTGAGGGAGGCCTCGTCAATTTGATGACTATCCATCCAAGGATCGAGCCAACTAGAAATGTAATGAGAACATTGATCGGCATGAACCACCTAGCATTCAAAAGTAATTACTTAAGAATGCTAAAATAATAATTTTACTGAACCTCGGAACAAGCTTTATGTTAGACTGAGCACATAAGCGTTTTACTCACAACTTGACCATGCTTTCATATGTAATTGTTCCAGCAAGGCTGGAGGACACAAGCGCTGGGTTGAAGACATAAAATACCACCTGTTCACATTCAAATAATACCCCGATAAGGTGATCAAAATCTGACCATTTATGAAAACGAGTAACACATCCAAAATATGAAAAGAAGAACTCACATTATTTATATGCTTCCTGGCATCTTCACTCAAAATATTGACATGATCCAGAGCAAGATAGGAACCAAGTGCAGTTATTAGTAACACTTTCAACACTGGAATTGACGCAGCAATGAAGAGATCCAAAAGTCCCATCTTCTCTATCTTCACGAATCTCCTACGAAAAGTGAAAACAAATATTTCTTATATATATATACAAGAAACTGCAACAATATCGATCTCCCCTTTGAATTAATTACTTAACCAACCTAACTTTCAAACCAATCTCAGAACGACATATTCTTGATATCCTAATGACATGTTTTTACGCCACGTGTGCATTTATTGACAGGCTTTATCAGAAACAAGATAGCTTCATTTTCAAAATACTGGTGAACCGCGAGATTAATTCACCCGAAAACAGAACAACGCATATAAAACGATACAAAACTCAGTTATAAAACACACACCGAGTACTGAAGAGGAACGGAGGCTTTTCCTTTGAAGGCTCTTGCCGGCTCGCTGGATTGGTTTAACGTGCCAACTCAGTTCATGCTTACGTAAAAATAGCTGTAATTTAATTCTTATATATGCGGTGTAAGTGAATTACGACCACTTAATTAAAACCACATGAAAAGTCAGTCACTGATAGTGGAGAAATTGTTCCGTGTTATATCTATATTTTTGGCAATACAGAAAATACGAGGATAGATGCGCGTCATCGCTGATTGTGCCGCGTCTAGTTGCTGCCACCGGCGGCTGACGATTCCACGTCATGGTGGGGCTAACAGCAATTCTTTTTAATCATAATTCGTAATTTCTATACCAACTAGCCATGAAACTGATAGTGTCCTTAACTTGAGATGACAGGTACAACAACCAACTGGTCTTCCCATTTTGATTGTTTAGTTCATTTTGACTTGGTATTGGCTTGCAAGCAAATTTTGAGACGGATCTAGCTCAAGGTTATTCACACTTTAAAATAGTACTCTGTTTTTCAGTAAAATAATATTATCAATTCAAACCATTTAAACTATTATTCTATATTATTTAATTCTTTTTAAACCCTTTAATTTATTAATTTTACTAAATACCTAATTTTTTTTTTTAGAAATTGATAAAAATACTTCAACAACCCACATTTGTCAGATTCTGACTACTACTGTTGAAAGCTAACCACAATCTGATATAATGACCCACTATTAACTGGACCTGACTGGTAATGCACTGATCTAGCTTTTTCTAATCAAATCCACAATTGACGGCCAGAGTTTTGGTCGTAACTAGTCATCAACGATAACCATAACTTTTGTCGTCATTGACTACTAAATACGGTCAAATCTAACCGTCAATGACTAAATCTAGTTTTTCGATCAGATCCACCTTAGATCTGACATTTTTCGATCAGATCCACCTTAGATCTGGTCAAAAAAGGTTATATCAATACACGACCGATCAAATCCAATCGATCGTGTATCAATACAATGACTCCAACCACCGTTCTATCAATAGTGGCTAACTATCAAAATTTAATAGGTGAATGAGAGTGATTTTGTTAATTTTTAATATTTTATTACAAGAATGTTTAATAAATAAACAAACTTATGAAAATCATCCAATTTTACCTTTATAGTGAATGCACCCTACTCTAACAAGTTCTCAGGCCAAACAACTTTGTCGTCTTGCAAATGGCAGCGTTCAAGCCTTCAAGGTTCATGTACCAGAATCTCGTCGCGGAATAAAAAATGATTTAGATGAAAAACAAGTAAAACAATAGGACAATTTGGCAATTATCTGCTGTACTTTTAACATAAAGGAGATTGTTCATTTCAGCTCGCAGACATTACATTGGCACAGCTATCCTTGTCGACGGAGGAAAAACGAAAAAGGAAAATCATGGCAATTCCTGCATGCCTGCATCATTATGTAAATGGAACTTTTTCATTGGATTATAAGAGGGAAATCTATCACAAGAAAGAATAAAGCAGCTCTTTAAGATGCCTGATCAACATAAGCCATAACAAGCTCTAACCAAAAGCAAAAGTTGGCTTCAGAGTTCAGATATCTTCCCACCAGACCTACAAAAAGACAGAAGAAAACAATTGTCAGATACCGTATTTGATACAGTGAGTAAATGGAATGAAGAATTGGACAGAAAAAAAAAAAAAAAAGGGTTCTGTAGCCATCCATTTAGTGATCAAAAGGAACATAAACCGTAAGCATCGCACCAGATGATCGCCATCTCTTTGACAGCCATGATAGCTAAGGTAATGGGCAGAGTACATTGAACATGCCAGCATAGGTTTAAATCCCCTCCAGCCGTGGGTGAAGGATAAACAAAAGAGGGAAAAGAAAAAAAAAAAAAAAAATTAAAGCCGGCATTGAGTTGTGGAAATTGACAGGAATTTAACAATAATACAAGCATATTCCACAAGCCACAGGTAAAAGCCCGCCAGAAAATATGAAAGACATTGACAACCAAATGACCATCCAATGTAGAAACTAAAAAATTTAATTTGAGCAAGAATCATAAACCAGCTGGATAATCAACTCAAGTACAACATAGACAAACAAAGACAAGCCTATAGTCTGAGTCAAAATTTGGTCCTTACACTTATACAACTGAGTATCTGCCTGGTTGAGCTCCACCTGGAAGTGATAATGCCTGATTTGTGAAGTCTTCCAAAACACGTTTTAATTCTGCTTTAGCTCTCTTGACAGACTGTTCAGTAGGGCCCTCAATAAACAAGTAGAGTTTGCGTTCCCCTGGTCCTGTGGCCCGGCTTGGTGGAAAATATTGACCCCTGGTGGTAATGGCAGCTCCGGTCCATTCCGAAATCGGACCCAACGTTTCCTTGTGAGTAACTTTCCATCGAGCATTCTGGGGAAAATCATTGATCTCCAGTTCTGCTTCATAGTGTTCAGGCATTGCATCAGCTTGAATCTTCGCCAAATTATGCTGCAGGTTGATGGCAGCTGCCAATGCCGCTGCCCGAGCTGCCCCATCATTGGGCACCCCAGACATCCCAGTAGCAGGAACAACTGGCGCTGCTCCAGGTATCGGTAGGCCAAGAACACCCGGCAGAGCAATGGGTAGTCCAGCACTGGGAAGCATTTGCACAGACGAGATAGGAGTTGGCATTGAAGCCGAGGCTTTGGAGGCAGCAGCAATAGCAGCAATCTTAGCCAGCGCATCTTGTTGCGAGATGTCACCACCTGCCTTCCGCACCCCTTCATCTTCATCTTCTGAATCTGACTTGTCTTCCTCAAATCCATATTCTTTTGCCTGTGCTTTCTTTGCAGCTTTCCTCTTCTCATCCTCCTCTTCATTAAATTTAAAACCACTTCCACCGTAACCCGTTCCATGAGCTTGCTCAAGTCCCTGATTCACTTTTGCCATGAAACTATCAGCAAGAGCTTTCAGGTCATCAGGAACAACTTGCTCGGAGAGTTCCAATGCCTTTACAAGATCTGGTGCATATCTTGCATCCTCCTCGGAGATAAATGTAATGGCACAGCCTTTTCGACCAGCTCGGCCTGTCCTACCAACACGGTGTACATAATCCTCATAGTGGTTTGGAGCATCAAAGTTGATCACTAATTCAAGCTCCTTCACATCTAAACCTCTAGCTGCAACACTAGTTGCAATCAACAAATTGCAGACATTGCTCTTGAAATCAGAAATGGTGGATTCACGGTCTGTCTGATCCTTGGCCCCGTGAAGTGAAAGACATGGATAACCATGTCTAAGCATATCCTTAAACAAAACATCACATTTTTCCTGTGAGTGGACAAATATCAAAATTTTTCCCTTCTCATACCATTCACCTAGTAGTTCTAACAGTCTTAAAAATCTCTCACTTTCTGGCCTCACTTCAACCAACTGTGCTATATCTTTGTTTACAACACTTCTCCCGCCAACTTGTATCTCCACAGGTTTGCCCAAAACTTTGCGAGCCAAAATTTCAACCTGACGAGGGAAGGTAGCAGAAAATAGTACAGTTTGACGATCTGGCCTAATATTTTGAACAATTCGAGTGATCTGAGGCTCAAAACCCATGTCAAACATTCTATCAGCTTCATCCATGACCAAATAGGTGACTCTTCTCAAATTGGTAATTTTCCCTCCGCTTGTGCAAAGTATATCAATCATTCGACCTGGAGTACAGACAACAATCTCAGTCCCTCGTTTTAATTCACTAATTTGTTGAGCAACACCAGAACCACCATAGACAGGCACACATCTGATTCCCATTACCTTGGAAAACTTCTTGATATCACTGTGGATCTGCTGGACAAGCTCCCTTGTAGGAGCCATTATAAGTCCAATTGGCCCATCGCCAGCTATCACAGGTGGCTGGTCCTTGATATGCCTCAACATCGGCAGCACAAAGGCAAGGGTCTTTCCAGACCCTGTTTTTGCAACGCCTATGCAATCTCGCCCACTCATAATTACTGGTAATGCCTGAGCTTGGATTGGCATAGGCTTTTCAAAGTTAAGCTTCTTTATCGTCTCCATAATTTTGCTTGTAAGTCCAGTTTGGTGCCAGGTTTTGATTGGTTTTGGGACATCCTTTCCATGTACTTTCAGTTCCAGTTGTTTCCTGAGTGCAACAACCTCTTCAGGAGTCATTCTTGAAATTTCCTTCACTTCAATATAGAAATTTTTCCTGAAAGGTTTGTAATCAATCTTTGAGTGATCAACAATAGACAATTTCTCAGCTTTTGTCTTTTTTACTCTCTTAATAAATTCATCATCGTCTTCATCTTCAACTGTTTCCTCATCATTCTCAAGGTCCTCATAATCTGAATCAGAATCTTCACCAGGAATTATTCTCCCAAGAGACTTATTTGAACCTTTCTTTGGCCGCTCACCATTAATCCTATCACCCTTTCGATCCTTCTTCTTTGGGTCCACCCCATTAGCATCCACCATTGACAATTCCACAGCAGTGTTTAGCTTCTCAACTTCAGGTAAAACCATAGAGTTCATAAAAGCGTCAAGTGGATCGATTTCTTCCTCACCAGCATCCCCATTTTGTAAAACAGGTGAAGCATTCCCACTCTCAGACTCTACCACCATTGCATCTCCAACCTGTTTATCAGAAGGATTAGCATCTTCGTCTGCATCCGTGTCTGTCTCAAATTTCCCAGTTTGGGGTACTTCTTCATCATCAGAATCTTCTCCGTCAAGGGTCCAGTTCCTGCCAGCCTTGGGTTCACCAACGTTCTCTTCCCCACGCTTTTCTCTCTCAGATTCTTCCTTCTTCCTCTTCAACTCTTGCCACTCCTGAACTCTCCTCCTCCGCTTTTCCATTTCCTCATCCAATTTCCGCTGTTCATCTTCTAGCTCTTCTTCTCGGGTTTTCTTCTCTTTCTTGTCAAAATCATCCTCAACAACTCTTTTTCTTGGGCTATCTTCACTGTCATCCCGATGCCTGTTTGATCTAATGCTCTGTTCACGCACTCTCTCCTTGTAATCATCATCATCTCTCCTACGCCGCTTTCTATCACGTTCCTTGTCTTCATCACTATCATCACTATCAACTTTTCGACGCTTCTCCCGGTCCCTCAATCTCCTCTCCCTCTCTTTTTCCCTCTCTCTATCTCTCTCACGCTCTCTCTTCTCCCTCTCTCTATCTCTCTCCCTATCTCGTTCTTCCCTGTCTCGTTCCCTCCTCTCCCTTTCTCTATCCCTTTCTCTCTCTCTCTCTTCACGGTCACGCTCCCTCTTCTCTCTTTCTCTTTCCCTCTCTCGTTCTTTCTCCCTTGCCTTCTCCCTCTTCTCCTCTCTTTCTTTTTCTTTCTCTTTCTCTTTCTCTTTCTCTTTCTCCCTCTCCTTCTCTCTATCCCTGTCTCTATCTCTCTTCCTATCACTGCTTCTATCTTTTCCCTCATCCCTGTTCCTTCTGTCTTTATCCCTGTCTCTATGCTTATCTCTCTCTTTCTCTTTATCATACTTGTCATCAGAATCAGTGCTTTTCTCTCTCTCAGAACGCCTACTTTCCCTGTCTCTCTTATCCCTATGTCTCTCTCCATTTCTCTCCTTTTCTTTGTCCCTGTCACGTTCCCGGTGACTCCTCTTTAATTCATGTTTCGTTTCTTCCATCCCTCACAAATCAACTATTACTGCTATATCAATCTATACAATACTTAGAAACCCTAGCGCTACACTATGTTTTCAACCAAAATCGCCAACAACCCACTTCAATTCAACTAATTAACACCACGCAATTAGAAGATGACCTGATTAAGAATAAATCAAAATTGCATTAACAATACTGAACAAAAACAGCAAACAAAATACAGGATTCAGTGTGAGGAAATATATGAAACCTTACCAGAGTACGAGGAGAGAATCACCGGAGACAAATCGAATCCAAATCAAGGGCTATGAGTGTTCGAAAAAAACCCTAACAACCCCCTGTGAGTTTACTTAACCTACTTCAAAGAGGGTTTCCGTTAGCACGAAGGAAGAGCATTCCACATGACGGTGAAGATGGAGAGAGGCCAGACGCTTTCTAATCAGTTACAATAGGATCCACCTGGCCCAATCTCTAAACCGGTTCTACACCTTTAATGAACAATACTGGACTCGTGGGCCTGTAGTTGAAGTTCAAGGCCCAGCAAAACAAATGGGATAAAGATACTTCTAATCCAATATGTTTCAACAATAGTTAGAAAAAGTAGTTTTAGGTGGAACGAATTGGCCAGGTGTTGAGCTGTGTGTTGGCGTTGTGTCCAGTCAAAGTTGTACTTGAACTCTGAAAGCAGAGAGCGAGAGGAGAGGAGAGACCGCCCGCCGTGGGTTTTTAGCTTTTGGGTTGGATAATTTGCCCTTTGGTTATTAAATTTGTGTTGTTTTTACTTGATTCTTTCTACTAATAAAATAACAGTAACAAGTTGTTTTGAAAATTCCACCGGCAAAGGCCCGATTCTTCACATCTGTACTTGCCATGAACGAACGTTACTTTCTATGTTTGCTGGATAAGATCTCTTAGCTCTTTATTTATTCATCTCTCACTCTCCAGAACCAGCATTGTCAATTTAAGCCTTAAAATAATCCCTACTACGACGACGTCGTTCCGGTGGACTTTATCTCCTTTCATTGCTTCTTTCGCCTCTTCAATCACTCCCGCACAGACGCAGGCAAGCAAGTTTCTGTGATAACATTTTTTTTTTGTTTTTTCCTTCTCTTAATATCTTTTTTTTTTTTCTTTTTTGTACGCTCTCTAAAACGAAAGGAAATTTTCTCATATTAATTGTTTTTGTCGTATCGTATAAAAAAATGCTGTGCCTGTGTGTGGAAAATGAAAAAAGAAAAAGAAAAATGCATGTTTGGTTCTTTTAAAAAAGGAGGGAAAAAGCAGGAAATTGTTAAATTTTTTTAAAAGAAAAAGAAAATTTAGTTGGTTTTTTTCATTATTTCTTAGGAACGAGGCAGAGATTAGGGTTTTGTTTTCGAATTTTTAAACAAAATGGGCAATTGGAGCGGTCAATTTTATAAATTAAGAGCAGCTAAAAGGTTCATGTATAGGCATTTGATATGTTTTTTTAATCTGAATTAAGTGTTTATTTTATTTGTTATCGCTATAAGCGTATAAAAATCATTAATATAAAGTTGTATATTTTATTATGCCGCATTTAGACGGTAGAATCAATATAAGGTAGATGGAAGACACTGAAATGCGGGAGCAAGATTTGGCGAATAGTTCAGATGCCAACCTTGTTGATGCTAGTGTTCAACAGCGGGACTCTCTTGAAAATGGTCATGCGCCATCTCCAGAGACTACTGAGGATAAGACTGTGACTTTGCCTTCTGATCAACAAATGTTGACTGATGAGCCTGATGGTAAAGTTGCAATTACTGCTGATTCAAATGCAAATGCAGATAATGCTACTAATGAGCTGCCTGAGAGTAAAAGCGAAGGTGATGATACCCATGTAGAAAATGATCTAAAAACTGAGACTTCTCTTACTCCTCTTCCGCAAGGAGAATATTCAACTTCTGAAGCTCAAGATGGAAATGTGAGGAAATCCAAGAATTGGTTGAATGAAACTGAGGTACTTCTAGTCAACTCTTGTTTGTACAGAAGAAAATCTTGCGTGAATTGAATCTTACAAGTTATGCATATACAGGCTTTTTTTTTTCTTTAGACAAATTTGTTTCTTGTTTGATTTGCAGATGGGAGGGGCTGATGGTTCGCCAGAGGAGCAAGCAGAATTCATGAAGGAGGTGGAAAGTTTCTATAGGGAGAATGCCCTGGAATTCAAAGCCCCAAAGTTTTATGGAGAACTACTAAACTGCCTCAAGTAAGTTTTTGATAATTATTTTAAAATTGAAAAATACACTTTCTTTTTATTTCTTCTGGGCTGATTTATGCATGTTGTTTTATGGGATGTAGGTTATGGAGGGCAGTTGTTAGATTGGGTGGCTATGAAGTGGTATGCATGTACATTTGTATGACAGTAATTTGTTTACGCATTCTGTATGATCTTCAAATCGGTGTTGGTTAAGCATGAAACATGTAGTATGTTCAAAGTTGCAGATGTACCATTTACATGGAATGAACTCAATTGTTTAAAGTCACTGAACTTAGCCTAAATGGGACTGTTTGAGGTTGGATGGAGATGAATCCTGGCTCAAGCTCAAACAACTTCCTGGGCCAACCCTAACCTGAAGTCTCCCTGTTTTCTTTTACGCTCATACCAATGCACTTCCTTTCTTTTGGTCCAACCTCAAAGTTTGATGTGGTGCACATGCATCTTATTTAAAGAACTGCTTTTGTCTAAGATGTATACATAGTTTGTGACCCTATATGGCCATAATTTTAACCGCTTACAGGACATATACATTTCGTATGCTTATAATTTATCAGTTGTGGAATTCCATAAAATTCTTCTACCTGCTTTATGCTTCTTGTATTTTCATTGGGGAAAGTTTTGAACTTCAACAATTTTTCCTTTCACTGGGAGTAAATCTGAATTATCCCCAGATTTGTGTTCTTTTTACTCCAGAAGGGTACTTGTAGCGGTAGTGGGGGACTCTATATACATCTACAATATTTGTCTGTGAGTTGGTCTATTTCAATAAATTTGCATGGCTAGGGTTATTTTGCGTACAAAAGTTTTAGTCCTAGATGAAATTGACAATATATTGGAACTAAAAAGTTAAGTGGATACTATTTTATTGTGTAATGATCAATACTGTTTCCCAATCTGAGCTACAAGACTTAAACCATGTGTACTAAAGGTGGGTAGATGATTGGATTTGCTTTTTTTTACATCTTATTACTATTTTGAGTTGAAACTTGTGGTTGAATTCAGTTAATTAATGCATAGAGTATTTGATCATTGTTGTAACCTGATGGATCCTTGAGGTGTTTGTCAATATCGAGATATGACAGAGTCACTTTTACTCTATGATCATCTGTAGGTGACAGCATCCAAGTTGTGGCGGCAAGTAGGAGAATCTTTTCACCCCCCAAAGTAAGAAAATAATAGATGGTTGTTTAACCAATCATGTCTGTAACAGCTTTGGAACATGCAGTTATCCATTTTTTGTGTGCATTTTTCCTAGTCTGCAAGCTGCGTTTAATTGATACTTTACTCTAGATTTTGTCTTTTAATTTTTATCTAGAGGTTGCAAATACTTCATATCTACTAAAATTTGCTTTAAAATGCACAGTTGAATTTAATATGCTATTCAGTAGAAGTCATTATTAAATTTATTGTATTGCTTTCTTACTCTCTCAGGACTTGCACGACTGTGTCTTGGACATTCCGCATTTTCTATGAGAAGGTAATGCTTCATATTTCGACACATCACTTAATCTTTTATGCTCACATAAGTGTTTGTAATCACGCATCTTGTCTTCGTTGATAGCCACTGCGCCATGTTTGATGATTACAAAAGTGTTGTATTTCCATTTTCTTCGGGCAACCAGAGATGTTCATTGGGAACCCATGATGTTGGCCTCATTTACCTTTATTTAGTTAGTTTAATCTTCTTCTTTTTTTTCTCCTTTGCTTACAATTGAGATGCCAGATTTTAGAATAAAGCTCATAACAGTCTGTGCTCATATTTCCGGAACCGGAAGCTGGATAAACTGTCTTTGTCTGCTGTTGTTTAATAAAAATGAAAATAAAGCTTTTTGCCTGCCCTGTGTCCTTCAGTCATCGGTTTCATAATTTCAATTGCTGCTTCCTATCACTAGCCTCCATAATTACTGTCGTTTCTGCTTCTCCATGATATTCTTAAGTTTGCACAGGCACTATTAGAATATGAGAAGCATAAGAGGTTAATCGGTGAGCTTCAACTCCCCACTTCATCTTTCTCTCAACCTGCAAGTGCTGAAAAGGAGGTAAATTTCATCCCTATTGCATTTGCTTGAGTGCTATTTTGGGGCATTTACAAAGTTCAATGACTCAACATGTTGAAGGTTTCTTTTTGTTTTCATGATGAAAAAGTATATGCTGAACAAGAGTAGGTAGAAGGGAAACAGAGCGGAGTTGGTGAAGTAATATCTCTGGGCATTAGTTATTGTATCTTGGGCTTAGTTTCTGGGCAGATGCAAATGGGTTTTAACTAGGGATTAAGTTTCTGGTTAGATAAACTATAACGTATGCTGGCTTTTGTATTTGAAAAAAGAAAGAGGAGAATGGACCGAAAAGTGAATTTTTAGATTTTTTTGTTTTTAGTAAGTTTGGTGACCTAGATCAAACCCTCTTTCCCCACTCTTGATAAAAAGTTTTCTGTTGTAGTAAGATCACTGACTTCTCATTTCTTTGATTTTTTTTTTTTTTTTTTTTTAATGGCCTCTTTCTTTTTATTTTTGGCTTTGATACAGTTTTACTGGAGCATAAGCCCTTGTGTAAAATTTGTTAATCTGCTTCTCAGTTGTGTAAATTTGTGTGTACTTTTTTTCTCTGATATGCCTTGATTTTGGAACTATTACTTAAGGTATGCGTTTTAATTTCCTCTCCCTGGCTCTAGCTTAACGAAGGAAGATGCCAATGGCTTTTATGCCTTCTATTCAAGGGTAACATGCGGAATAAGCTTTGAGATTTTGTATGCTGATACTTTCTTACTGAAATAGTTGGAAAACAGCCTTAGTGTAGTCTTAACCATTTTTCTTATACATTGTTTTTAGGCATCTCTGTGTTGCTGCTTGTTTCCTCATATAGACATTCTAAATTTCTGTGCAGGTAAGTGGCTACCAGACTCCAGGATCAGGTAGAGCACGTAGGGATGCTGCGGCTCGTGCTATGCAGGGTTGGCATGCTCAGCGTCTTCTTGGATATGGTGAAGTTGCTGAGCCAATCATTAAGGTGTGTTGAAAGTCTTAACCTAGTAGTCTTTGTTATCATAGTCTTGTCATATTTTCTTTCATATAACAAATTTGTGTAACAATTAATGCCTCACAACAATGTATACAATATTTTTTCCTTGAACAGGAGAAAAGTTTAAATTCTACAGCAAGGCGTGAAAAACATCTCAAGAATATTGGTGTGCTGCCTTATGATTTGAGATCTTTCTTGCTAACATTTATTTATACTAACACACACTTTACCTTGCATTTGTTTTGGCGAGTCAGGTTTCCCTAAAAACAGGATACCAACAAACTTAGATCATGCTGAGAAACATGCACATGCAGAAGCAGATAAGCAGTTACGATTAGTGATCATTTCTCTGTAAATTTATTTGTTTTTTCCCCTTAAAATTTTAATTTAGATTTTTTTATTTTTGCTTATTGTTGGTTGCTTCACCTATGTCAACATTGGATACAAGTCTTTTGAGGTGTTGATTAGTTTTTATCAGATCATTCTGTAAATTATTCCATAGCACATATTAAATCAGCTTCAATGGAGTGACTATTGAACCACTATGTATCTTTCCTACAAAGAACAATTTACTATTATTGTATATTGTCATCGGATGTAACTCTTCACTCATGAAAAGACTTGATAGAAGAGAAATAACTTGTGTAGGATGTAGATGTCAACTCAGAGCCTACCTCAGAAATTTTTTCTTTCTTAGTGTAAGGCTATAACAATATTCCTCCCACAGGGTGAGGTGAAAAAGAACTCTCATACATTGGATGCTCTCCTTTCAGAGTCCTTTTTCCTCTTGAGAAAGGTCTTAACCAGCTGCATATTTTGGGTGTTGTCCTTGTAATACTAGGGTTCAACATCTGCTGCAATACACACAATTTGGCAACAGCCCACTTCCTTGCAAAAGGAAGAAAGTGTAAATGAAAATGCGATGGACAAATTAGACCTATGATAACTATGCTGTATTTTTATTTTTATTTTTATTTTTGTCATATTTTTTTGCCAGAGCAAGCTAAGAGGTTTTTATCTTGTAGACTGGTCACGGATATTGTTGATATTGGACCTCCGGCTGATTGGGTGAAGATCAGTGTGCGGGAGACAGTGAGTGTTTGTTTGTCTTATTTCTCATTATTTTCCCTCCTCAAGAAACTGCTAGAAATTATGCAGTTCCCAGTTGTTTTGTGTTGGGATCCTGAGTAGTTGCTTTGGTGTGGATGCACAGAGGGATTGCTATGAGATATATGTTCTGGTTCCTGGGCTTCTGCGGGAGGAGGTAAGCACTTCCCTTGGAAATAGAAACTCTCTTTTTCTCAATCATCTAGTTAACATTTATTTCTGTTGCTCAGTTTATCTGCTGGGTCTGATTTAATTAACCAAGTATGTAGTTACCTTGTTACCTTAGATCAAAATTGACATAGATTGTGGAAAATTGGTCATCTATCTTGTCAGTATCAGATGATAATCCAGAAAGAAATAAATATGGATGCGTAGTTGTGGCATCTGATCAGAGAGTTTCTTAACTGGGATATCTATCAAACATTCAGTTATAAGATATCGTTGTCTGGACTGCATATGCATTAATGTTTCCATAGTATCATTATTAAAGGGATTATAGCAGCTCTTCTCATTCTAAGCATCTAGTTGTTCAAAGAGGAGTGTGCTGAGATATTTCTATTTCTTTTATTATGATATGTGGATGCCAATATTTATGAAACTTTGCAAAAGAAAGTTTCAGTGCTCCTCTTTTTATTATCTGAGGACACATTGATTGACTGACATGATACAGCTTTTCAGATTGTTTTTAAAGTGTTTTATTTAGTTAAACAGCTGGATACCATTTAACACTTGATTGAGTTATATGATATAATTGGCGATGAATATGATCACCAATTCTGCATAAAGAGGAATCACCAATTCTGCATAAAGAGGAATTTGTATACCCTTTTTGTTTCTCTCTCTATAAGTTTACATGTATACAAGTGTACACGTGCTTTTATGTATGCATGAAAACATGCTACCCGCATTTTCCTTCAATCTGTGAAAGCAGTAAATGATTGTCATCGTAACTCTTTTGAATTCAGAAGCTACTGATAAATGTATAATGTATTGCTTAGCCTTTTTGTTTAACTGACCTTGACTTTCATTGGATTCAGGTGCGAGTTCAATCAGATCCTGCTGGACGTCTGGTTATAACTGGACAACCAGAACAAGTGGACAATCCTTGGGGTATCACACCATTTAGAAAGGTACTTTCTTTGACTTTGTAAGCACTGACCCACAAAATGAAAAGCACTATGTATCAAATAAGATTGCACATGGCCAAGCTGTATGCTTAAGGACATAGAATGACCACATGAAAGAAAGAGCCACCTTTACCTCCAAGGATTCTGCTCCTTGCCGAATGTAATAATTGATGTGGACTACAGAAGACCTTTCATTTTCATCAAGCAATTATCAAGGCTGGAAAAAACTAACTTTAGGTTTGGCTTCCAGGTCGTGAGCTTACCCGGAAGAATCGATCCTCTACGTACATCTGCTGTTGTTAGTCTGCATGGCCGACTTCTCATACGTGTCCCTTTTGAGCAAGGATCGGCATGAACTTATTTTCACACTTTCTTGAGCCATGCTATCATTCTTTCTTGTAGGAAACTATTAAGTTTAGGGAGAAACCATTGCTAAAAGGCCAGGATTGGAACTATGTGAACTGGTTGACTGAATTCCCTTATTTATTTATTTTTCTTTTTCTCCTTCCTTTGCCTTGTTGAAATCAATTGAAATTATTAAATTGTTATCAAGGCAGTCTTTTTCATGTGTATCATACTGATTAGTTTTGGAGGACCGGTGAATAATGATTGGCCGGAAGAATTTTATATGCAGTCATCGCTGTAAGTTACGGTTAGCTGAATACATCTTTTGTTCTGATAAAATTTAATAATTTATTTAACTTCTGAAGGTCTCATTTGTTGGCTGTGGTGTAATGTGTTGCATAGCTTCCTGATGGAGAGGCATTATATTGTTGTTAAGGATTTGTGAAAGCTGAATTAGGGCAATACAATACCAAGTTGAAAGTTGTGGCCTGTGGAGTATTTCTTTATTATGAGCACAAATCGGGAGGTGCCCTGCATGTGATGGGCATTAGAATTAAGCACTCACAAGTGTTCCACTATCCAACATTCGTTTCCCCACTTTCCTTAGTAATCCCATATTCAATTACTTCTTTAATTCGAATCTAAATTAAATAACTTATATAGAGGAGAGGGTTTGGCGGACACCCCACTTGGATTCGATTATTCAGTTCATGCAACTGTTGTCCACAATGAATTCTAATACCACACCGCCAATTATTTCTCACTGAATTATTGCTTTATTAGTGCTGAATGAGAAGGGCTATAATATGTCAAAGATATATCATTATCCTCACCATTTCTCTTTGAAAAATGTCAACATTTTACTTGTTTCAATGTATCTTAAGGTATATTTTTTTGTCAGTTAATGTCAGTGTTGCTGGTTGAGACTTGAGAAGGGATTGGATCTTTGTGAATTCTGAAGGACACCATGAAATCCATTTCTTGGCCCTCTTGTCTGGCATCATCATTCATCAGACGAAGGTGCTTTGGTGTTGAGGATACGACCAAAGGCTACAAGTTTCATTCACCATAAAAGTAGAAACTTTTGACACATTCCAAGTTTAATTTAGAGGCTCTTAGTACAAATGCCATCACAATGGGACCCAAAATATCCATCTGGGACATCAAGTCTTCAAGTTCATCTTCAAGCTAACCTATATTTTATAATAACCTCCATTATCGAAGAANTACACGTGCTTTTATGTATGCATGAAAACATGCTACCCGCATTTTCCTTCAATCTGTGAAAGCAGTAAATGATTATCATCGTAACTCATTTGAATTCAGAAGCTACTGATAAATGTATAATGTATTGCTTAGCCTTTTTGTTTAACTGACCTTGACTTTCATTGGATTCAGGTGCGAGTTCAATCAGATCCCGCTGGACGTCTGGTTATAACTGGTCAACCAGAACAAGTGGACAATCCTTGGGGTATCACACCATTTAGAAAGGTACTTCTTTGACTTTGTAAGCATTGACCGACAAAATGAAAAGCACTATGTATCAAATAAGATTGCACATGGCCAAGCTGTATGCTTAAGGACATAGAATGACCACATGAAAGAAAGAGCCACCTTTACCTCCAAGGATTCTGCTCCTTGCCGAATGTAATAATTAATGTGGACTACAGAAGACCTTTCATTTTCATCAAGCAATTATCAAGGCTGGAAAAAACTAACTTTAGGTTTGGCTTCCAGGTCGTGAGCTTACCCGGAAGAATCGATCCTCTACATACATCTGCTGTTGTTAGTCTGCATGGCCGACTTCTCATACGTGTCCCTTTTGAGCAAGGATCGGCATGAACTTATTTTCACACTTTCTTGAGCCATGCTATCATTCTTTCTTGTAGGAAACTATTAAGTTTAGGGAGAAACCATTGCTAAAAGGCCAGGATTGGAACTATGTGAACTGGTTGACTGAATTCCCTTATTTATTTATTTTTCTTTTTCTCCTTCCTTTGCCTTGTTGAAATCAATTGAAATTATTAAATTGTTATCAAGGCAGTCTTTTTCATGTGTATCATACTGATTAGTTTTGGAGGACCGGTGAATAATGATTGGCCGGAAGAATTTTATATGCAGTCATCGCTGTAAGTTACGGTTAGCTGAATACATCTTTTGTTCTGATAAAATTTAATAATTTATTTAACTTCTGAAGGTCTCATTTGTTGGCTGTGGTGTAATGTGTTGCATAGCTTCCTGATGGAGAGGCATTATATTGTTGTTAAGGATTTGTGAAAGCTGAATTAGGGCAATACAATACCAAGTTGAAAGTTGTGGCCTGTGGAGTATTTCTTTATTATGAGCACAAATCGGGAGGTGCCCTGCATGTGATGGGCATTAGAATTAAGCACTCACAAGTGTTCCACTATCCAACATTCGTTTCCCCACTTTCCTTAGTAATCCCATATTCAATTACTTCTTTAATTCGAATCTAAATTAAATAACTTATATAGAGGAGAGGGTTTGGCGGACACCCCACTTGGATTCGATTATTCAGTTCATGCAACTGTTGTCCACAATGAATTCTAATACCACACCGCCAATTATTTCTCACTGAATTATTGCTTTATTAGTGCTGAATGAGAAGGGCTATAATATGTCAAAGATATATCATTATCCTCACCATTTCTCTTTGAAAAATGTCAACATTTTACTTGTTTCAATGTATCTTAAGGTATATTTTTTTGTCAGTTAATGTCAGTGTTGCTGGTTGAGACTTGAGAAGGGATTGGATCTTTGTGAATTCCCAAGGACACCATGAAATCCATTTCTTGGCCCTCTTGTCTGGCATCATCATTCATCAGACGAAGGTGCTTTGGTGTTGAGGATACGACCAAAGGCTACAAGTTTCACCGTAAAAGTAGAAACTTTGACACATTCCAAGTTTAATTTAGAGGCTCTTAGTACAAATGGCATCACAATGGGACCCAAAATATCCATCTGGGACATCAAGTCTTCAAGTTCATCTTCAAGCTAACCTATATTTTATAATAAACTCCATTATCGAAGAACATACCTCTCTTAACTTTATTTAATGGGTTATAAATAACTAATCCAATCACCCACCATATAATATAAGAGTTAAGAAAGATTGAAAAACAAAAAAAATGGTTTTCTTTTATAAGTTTAAGTGCGTGTTGCAGACTTAAAACATTCTCCATGGAAACTTAAAACGTGTTTAGTCTTTAACTCTTTATTGCTATGTTGCGTTTAGGGAAACTTCTTTCCTCAGACAGAACGCTTCAGTTTGAACTTTACACCCTTCAAAGTCAATTCTCACGTTTATCATCTTCTTCCCACAGCCAACAATTCATCACCCTCATCTCATATTTATTGATAATCAAAGTATGAATTTTTGAGTGATTTCAGTACTCTAAAAAGCAAATGAGTCACACCAGATACCACACGGTGACCAACCCCAGAAGAAGATCAGGTTTCTGGTTAAAAACAAGGCGGTTCTTGATCATTCCTCGTCTGCGTGTCAGGTTCTTTTATTTTTTCAGTTCTTTATTTAAATGCAAGTGGAAGTTTTCACACAGCCAAGCTTTGAAATTGGTAAAGAGAGGCATTCTTAGAACCACTGGTATTATTAGTAGCAGCAAATTTAAAGATGGCGATGAAGATAATCTTAAAAGAAGAATGGTGTCAACAAGAGGCGGGTGCAGCTCAAGATCATATTACTATGCGAGTTCAGATGCCATTTCTGATTGTTTGGAATATATCAAAATGTCCGCCGTTAATTCAACAGATGACAACACTCCGTTGGCCGCGAAAATAAAGCAAGACAACACTTGATGTTGATTAAATTTTGTGTTTGTGATGATAATAGAATCTGGGTATTGTATTCATTTTTGCTGTTCTTAATTTGTAATATCATTTTGTTGCAGTCATGGAATTCCCATGTAGACGTCATTTTGCTCAATTGAAGTTGAGAATCGAAGGTATGTGCTTTCACGTTAATCTCCAGCTGGTTCTTTTTGGTGAACTCAAAATACAAAGAATAAAGAAGCAGTCTCTGGTGTGATTTTGTTTTTGGCATATTAATATTTACCCAGATGATCCATGCGTTGAATACGTGAATTCTTTAGAGGTTTTTCTACCTGCTGTGCATCCTTAATAAATAATACGAATCTTCAGAGAAACAGAAAATCTTATTTGATTTTATTTCTCTTCTATTGAAGATATGTTTAGTTTGGGGCATAGTTGGATGGTTAAACATTGACCAATTAAAAACTAGAAAACAAATGGGCTGATGTCCAATCCAGCTGGCTTCAACTTATTGACTGGACTGAGTCTCTCTAATTCTAATGGTCAAATTTTTGAAGAGTAAATGTCTGTTTCAGTTTTCTGAATATCAAGATTGGCAACCGTGTAGGAGAAGCTAGCTAGCTGTCGTGAGTTTTGATTTTCTTTCAGAGTGAATAAAAGAGGAGTCTAAATTGTCAAAGTCAGACTAGGGGTGCGTATACGAGCCGAGCAGAGCCGAGTATCTAGACACTTGAGCTCGGTTCGTGATGAACAGTGTCGAATTCGAGTTCGAGTTCAAGCGGAGCTCGTTTGAGCTTGAATACTTGGGCTCGAGCTCGAGCTTGCGAGTATGGGTGGATATTCGAGCTTGAGCTTCATGTTTATTGTGAGAAGGGGGTTGTTTGTCATTTTAAAAACTTGAAAATAAAAAAAGGTTACAAAATTTGCAATTTGGCCCTTCGTGCGTGATGAGGCTCACGAGCCTATCGAACCGAGCTTCGCCTTGATAGAACTCGGCTTGACCACTTAAACAAGCCACTCGAGCTCAAACTCGACTCGATTGACTTCAAGTCGAGTTCGAGCTTTTCTCGATCTGAGCTCGAATAGCTCAAAAACTGTTCGACTCGCTTCTGATCCCTAAGTCAGAACAGGGATTTCCCAGATCGTGGTCATCTTCCATATAATAATATTAAAATTCTGATAAGAAAATGACAACTACTTGTATTTAAATACTATCCGTAGAAATGAACGACAAAACCGTCTTATTTTGACAGGGTCTTCCATTCCAACAGCAAACTTTTTCTTATATATATTGGCATATCCTTATAGCTCTATTAGGATGAATCAACATCAGAGAGAGTGCATGAATGCATTTGTACGCAAGAATACAAGTACAAATTCATTGGGCTAGTGTTTCATTCAATTCTTAGTTTAGTTTTGGGGCTGAAGAAGTCCAGAAAATTGCTCTTTCCAAGCTCAGGACTGAAACATACAACCAAGCATATATATAAAATCGATAACTGCAGAAATATAATTCTGCAGTCATCATCTCCAATCTCATCACTGCATTTTGAGAAATGCCAGATCAAAGAGACTAGGGCCGTATTACGTATTCTTGCTTACTGATATCTTCCCCTCCATTACATTATGCAAGAACTTGAAGCGTACAATGGGAGAAACCAATTCTAAATAAGATCAAGGAAATTAAAACTAGTAATTAATCTCTTGATAGAAGCACAGGACAAGCACTAAATCATCTACACTTTATATAAAATATATACAACTTATATTCTTATATATATTATGCTCAATAAATTCATATCATATATAACTGAAAAATTATAATTATAATTATAACAGAAGTTCTAAACTAGATGTCTATATAAAATAATTTAAAGTAGCACAAAACAACATCTCTTACTGCTAGGAAAAAGAAAAGAACTGATGAAGGAGTCACAGTATCAGAATATAGAGAATATTAATGGGATTGCAAACAGCTGATTCTGAAGAAAGGCTCCACTATTACTTGAATACAAATCAATAGTATTACATTCAGACATTGATTTACTGTTGGATAAGGAAGGTGTTATTTATGATTCCCCACATGCATTCTATATAATACTCAAAAATTGGGGCATGATGAATCATATATACATCCAATTAATATCTATAAACCGAAGTGAAAACACAAAGTTAGAACGAGAAAGTATACATTTCAGAAGGTGAAGGTGATAACTGATAAATGTGTTCATCAGCAAAGTGCATGTTGACTTTAAACACCTATATGCAGGCTAAATACTTACTGCATAATTTATAAAGTATACAATCTACTTTGTTGCATGATGACAGATATTCTTCATTGAGAGATGTAATTACATATGTCAATCTACTTATCAAACTTAATTTCATGGTGAAATGCTTTCAACGTTTCTGCTAATTAATGAGCGACATTGACATGCATGGTAACATGTTACACAAATTAAATGACAATATATACCGTCTTCATGCATGCATGACTCCCCATCTTGCTCTAATTTCCATTAACTCATCAGGTAAGTTGAAAAATAATATACTTTTAGCTGTGCTGTCATAGTTATAAATTTTCCTTAATTGTTAAACAGTCTTCTATATATATGGAAACCTGTTTGAGAGGATTTGGTTTGTATAAAAAAATGGAAGTAGCTTCTGTGTCTTTCCTCTCTCTTTGTGCATGAGCATGAGGTGGAGTTAGACCATAGGGAAAGACTTGTGGAACCACTCATCAACAAGAATTAAAGCTGATTATGCAATTAATTATCAAGTGACAAGCAAGAAAGGTGTTTTGGGCTGTGGGATATACATGATACTACATCGTGTTTTGCAATTCAAATGGATTCAGGACATCAAATTGACTAATTCCGAAACAATTCTGAAAAGAGGAGAAACATTTTCCCATATTCCAAGATTAAAAACTGCAATTCTGTCATTAAATTTCTCTAGTTTCGAGACGACAATTAAAGTTCCAACAGTCCTATAGTTTACCATATGTTTAATTTCTTTGGAAACTGAGTTTCATCTTTCTCCTAGATGAATTGGAACTTAATTAGTTCCCTTGTTCAAATTCTAGCAAGAGTTACAGACAAATGTCCATATCTTGCATTGCGGGCATGATAGAATGTAATATATATATATATAGTAATTAAATGCACTATTTTATTCATTGATTTTTCTCTATAGTTAAATCTAAACTGAAAATGCTATTCTTAAAGATTATATTATCTAACACTTGAATCAAACAACGGACAAGTTGGGGGATCCTTGGTCATCTGGCCTTCTCGAATTTGAGAACTAGCTAGCTAGGGTTTTTGTATGGCACTATAAAGACGAAAGGAAAGGATTTTTAGGCTTAAATTTTATATGTTGAGGCAGCAGCAAATGAGACAAAAGAGACCAAAAACAATGCTGGAGATGACACTGGCCACTTGCAAGTAAAATTTGTATATATATCAGCTGTTTGCATTTCAGGACTATTATTTATTATTGATATAGCCTAGAGACAAAGGTTTTTATAATATTCAAAGCATGAAATGGGTACTAGGTTCTTTCATAATATAAAAATATACATATATTTAACTTTAGAAATAAATAAAGATGTCATTAAAATCATAGCATTAACTAATTAATTGATGTATATTTCATGTTAGAATCTCACACAACACAAGGTAGTAATATAATTAAATCTGAATGAAACATATGATCAAAGGGTAGATCCAAACTACAGGTCTTCCATACTTTTTTATTTTTGGTTTTTTCCATTTTCATAATAAAACTAGGATCATTATTGAACTAGGTAATATAAGGGAAGAAAAAGAGAGTCGATCGAAATGAAAATATAAAGTGAAGAAGCAAAATATTTATACATGAAGTTAAACTTACTGACTTGAGCCTGTAAATCCCTTGCTTCAAAGCTTTTCATCCTTTTCCATCCGATTCTCCATGAATTTACATCTTGAGTTTATCGATCATAACGGGGGCCAATTTATCATTCAAAAGGCTAAATGTACAGCTTTAATTATCTCATCCCGGCAATCACCGATTATTCAAAGATCAAAAGCATAGAGACTCCCATGAGATCGAAACCTAGAATCACTACTAAAAATCTCAAATTTCCATGCAGCTGTCTCTAGAAGGGAGGCCTGGAAGCACTTCCTCCACCCCATCCAAACAAATCACTTGAAAAGGGATAATTCCCCACATTTCCTCCCATATTATAGAAAGAACCGCCGCTACCTCCACCGCCACCACCGTTCCCTCCACCTTCACCCAGCTGTCCGCCACCTGTCACGCCTGAAGACTGAGATGCCGTCGGCTGAACTTGAACACCCCCATCTTCTTCATCCAAGGGCAACCTTTCAAACACTGCATTTGCAAACGATGCAGCCATCAAAATCACAGGACCAGATGCTAACAAAGGCCCCACCACACTCCCTCCCACCACCTGTCCTTGTCCTCCAGACAGAAATATCGATAATCCACCGGCACTGGGTGGTGCCGGTGGCGGAAGCACTGTCCCAGAAAGCGAAAGAATCTCAAACCTTCCGTGTAAAGTGACTACACTTCCAGTAGGAGCAGCTGGTTGCCTTAGGGTAACATTTGAAACGGTACCACTACCACTGAGAACACAAACGCCTCTTCCTCTTCTTCTCGCATAATTTGACATGCTCTCCATGATGTCAGCACCCGCAGAGACTTCAAGGACATGTGATCGGAGAGCATTGGGACTGTCTCGGGTGACTATAATTGGTGGTTTTGGTTTGTTCTTGGAACCAGCAGGGCGACCACGAGGGCGACGATTGGAGGAAGCAGTAGCAGCACCGTCTAAGTCAGTTTTGTGTTCGTCTTCTTCTTCTTCTTTGGAGTCTTTAGAATCTGGGGAAAGTTGAGCTGATTGATGTTGTTGTGGAATTGATGAAGGTCGCTGAAGGTGCAGTTCAGGTCTGAGGAGTTGATGGACGTAGCGAGAACCTTGAGCCGGCTGCTCATATCCCGCCATCGCCACATCTAATTTGTCCCACCACTTATTTGCAGCCAGCTTTTTCTTCTGATCTCTCTCTGGATCTGACGCTGTACTCTCTAAATTCGAATCAAAGACTATATCTACAGAAAACAATTAAGCAGAATATTTAACCCCCACACCCACTAATATATAATCTGTTTCAAGAACTTTGATTGAAAATTCAAAACTATGTATGGAAATTTTAAGCTAATATGGTAGGTGAGCAGTTACAAACTGAACTGATGAACCCAAATTGGTTTTTGTGCTGAGCTTTCTGTAAGAAATCTGAATGGTAACTAAAAAAACTACAGTTACATATAACTTCACAACCAGCATTTAAATCAAGACTGAAAAGTCATAATTCAACAACTGTTTATTTTAAAGAGTTTTGTACTTTATACTGTCAAATTTCAGACCAAAAACGAACAGTCACTGTCTAAAGCAAGTTTCATGTCTTAAGAGAGTTGATGAACAGATAATATTTGCCCTAAATTATTCGGAATCAGAAACGAGGAAACAGAGAACAGATAGATATGAAGAAGTAGCTAAAATATGCTCACTTGAAAAACAAGGAAGAAGAGATACTTATCACTGAAATTTTTCCAGATAATTTTAAGTAGTTGCCACAGTTGAGCTGTAGTACTGTATGAAGGGTAAAAGGAAAAAACAAGGAGAAGAAAATGATACACATGAAATGAAATTGAATTGAATTCACCTCTCTGAACAAATCCACCCACTTGAATTATTTAGATCTTTGAAATTAGGATATTAAACAGATACTTGGTGGAAAAGCGTGCGGAAAAAGCAGAATCCAAGCATTACCAAGACAAAATCTTCCCTTGGAAAATTATGTATATACATGATGTAAACCAATTAATGACCTAATCAACCCACACTCTCACCGGTGGCGCGTGCATTTTTTTTTCCATCTTGTCACACTCAGTGTCCACCATTAATTGTTCAATACGTCGAAGAAAATTTGGAGTCTTGAGAATCTTCTAGATTCAAACAAATAGTAAAACTGATAAGGAGTTGGAATAATGAGTTAGGGCAAGAAGTAGAAGCTGAGGCATATTTTCCTTTTGGATTATTATTTATTAAGTTAGCTTTGGCCTTTGAGTTGAGTCAATTTTGTGTGTAAATATGTGGATAGGGGTGTTGGGAAGTTAGATGTCATTCAAGGAAAGGCCCATGGTTGGGTTGATAAAGATAAAGAACGAGTTTGGTGTAAATGACTTAATTAATGAGTTTGGTGCTTCACCAAAACTCTTGTTTATTGATTGATAGGTTTATGTCTAATCATAGTTATTTTTTATTATTTAAAGAAAATATTGGTTAGATGCAACAGAAATGTATGGTGAATAGGACTACTACTTCAAAAGTATTGGTATCTTCTCTAAATTAATGGTAATTTAAGTGACTCCTAACATATATCGACATTTATATAATACATACAGTTATCAGTTGTCACATAGAATACAGTAATGTTTGATTCTCCATTTCCTCTCCGCAATTCAAAACAAATATATATATATATATATATATATATAAGGTAAATTTCATAAAATAAAAATAAAAAAACTATATAGAAAACTAAGAGCATATCTTAGGAGAGATTAAAAGAAGATCAGAACATATATATTCATCTTTTTTAACAAAAGAGAGCACGCTGGCTTCAAATAGAGGAATATGAGCTCAAACGTCCTAACGAAACTCGTAGGCTCAAATCAAATAGAAAAGAGAAATGAGCATAGGCATCCAATTAGAACGTTTACGTTCTAAACAAACAAAACCAATTAATCAAGCAGGCTCTAGATGACTCTAAACCGAGGATATTATTCTTCTTTCATCAATTTACCATTTGCGTTTACTCTTACCTAGCATAAATGGTAGTTTAAACAGATGGTCGATAATATAGAGTTAAATATATTCAACTTTGACATAGGAGTGCTTAATTATATCCGTTGGATGATATTTCTTTTAAATTTTACAGAGAGTAGAAAAGAGACAGACAAGACGTTTTGCTTTTTATGTGTTTTTCAAAACACAGACATGCATTAAAGAAAGCATAAAGATGAAATGACTAACATCTTTGGTGAAGAAGGCTGCATCTTGAAAAAAACTTGATCAATAAGGTTTAGCCTAAGGAATTAGTGTAATCAGATTACCATTAGAATGTGATGGACAGATGTAATATTAAAATATGTAGGGAGGAGAGGTTTCTGTGGAGAAAACACTTAAAAACAATTTTCATTATATTAGTTATTTGAATGCTTATGGGAACAATATTGACAAACAAAAAAAAGGCTGCAAAGTAGGGCTAAAACTACTGCAGGATTATCGAAAGAAATATTAGTTTATGTTGATCAAATTACTCAACATTATTGTGTGTCAGCCAGTATCGGGAATCTGCTGTGAATGTAAGCAAAGGTTGATGAGACACGTGTGAATGTGCTTTGCATGTGAGCAAAGGTTGATGAGACACGTGTGAAATGAAACCCTAGAGTAGAGTTCATCAGATGATTGATCACGTATGTAGGTAAGGTTGATGACATACGGAATGAACCCACTTACAACTTCCAGACCATTCTCTCACACGTGCATATAAGTTGGCAGAACAGTGGTCACGTGCGGTCAACAAGTCAGAGCTAAGCTGAAGTTGAGGTGTCAGACCACGTGGAAGCTGTCGGGACATCGGGACTTGGTCAACCTTATCTAATCTACCAGTGCTGTACATATCGTAGCCTTCCATTAAACAAACGGCGGCAACTCTCTGTCCTCAGTCTTTTAACATTACAGACCAATTCCAATTCCAGTTCCATCACCTTATGGGACCTCGATTACAATATCTTCTGCGTGACATAATAATTTACGGATGTAACAAGAACGTCTAATAAAACAATAAGTAAATATCTAAAAAGCTTGGAGGGATTAGTGGAATCCAATCAATTACATGTTCGCTTATGCCATGTCATCACATAATTTCAGATAATCTTGATCGTCATCATCAACCAAAGTCTTCACCACTTGCTTTCATTTTGTCTGCTTGTCTTTTAGATGCGCCACCAACATCCATAAATCTGGCTATTACTTTGATGATGATACAAACAACAAGAGATAAGGTATATGTTAATCAGAAGAATAAGAGAACAGCGTATCCTATAGGTTACCAATTTCTACGTCGTTAAGACTTTGAGAAATTTAAACATTAAATTTGCTTTCACGATCAGTTCAGTGAAGTTGACAATCATATAGTTTATCCATTTATCAGAAACTAATTATATTAATTCAATTAGGATAGTCACAGAACTGATTTTTATATGTAGTTTGTGGCCAATCATATCAAATAAACTGTCAGCTGATCGCCGTTTCATTGATTAAAAAAACTAATTATAAAATCTTAGAACTACTTTTGTAAAAATATATTTATGTATATATAAGTAAAGCAAAGTAAGAATCAATCAGCCGACGTGGGAATCACCTGATATTGAAGATAAGCATCTGATTTAGAATAAGATAATAATACTTTGCAAATTGCATGCCTTGTTTTGAGCCACTAAGTAAAAACAATTGTTCTGGGTTGTTTATGTTGAACGAATCCAAGAGTAGTTAGCTTGTAAAACTGTCTGTAATGACGCATACCTGTTGGCCAACCATGACCATACCATGGAAATTTTAAAGCTTTCCAAAGTTTCAAACAACCACCACTTTGTGGGGCCTCAACGTATTGAAAAGAAAGCCAGTTAAAAGTATTTTATACTAATCTTTATTCAATCCCAACACCTCACCACGGCACCACCTGTATTATTATTCTTTCTTCTTTATTTATAATAATTTGATAATCCAGGATACAATATATTTTATAATGATCAAAACTATAACAAATGATGCAGCTTTCACGCTCCTGTACCATATTAACTAATTTGATCCTGATCATCGTTGAGTCCATCCTTTTTAATATTATCTTATTGTATGACGATGATGATGATGGTAATATATAATAAGCAAATTACAAAATTCAGAGCGTTTAAAATTATGTAAAAACTAAATATGGGTCAAGGTGTTTGGTGAGTGTCGGCTAAATTGACTGCAAATTTGTTGAAAATTCTGTAGGGGGACGGAGACTGACAGTACAGTTACAATGAAGGGATGAAAACATTGAAGACTTTAATCAATTACCACTTTCAAGTTCCACTACTAAATGGGTTCATTAATTAAAGCATAAAGAAGTTTGCAAATTGCATTAAAATATATAGTAATACTAGAACACGCAGGCGCACTGCGATATTACTCGAGCCAAATTGTTGACGATGGTCCCATTTCCATCTGTCCTACTCTTGTAAATTTCTTCAAGTCACAATCGATTGTGCAGCTGGATATGGTCTTAAGGAAGCTGTGGGTTAATCCTGAACAAAATATTGGTTGTTTTATGAGCATTAACTTTAGTCCTTAGATTTGAAATATAAAGGCAGTCACAGTACGAAAGCCAAAAGGTTATGGATGGCGGAGGTAAAGAAGAGGCTGGTCAAACAAGGTGGGCATTGATAATGTAAAGAATTTGACACATGGAGAAGCTGAGATGGATTTGTTCACGTGATGGAGGTCCAGTTTGGACAAGTAATTGGTTGGGAGACGGTAAACCAATAATTGTGCCAGCAAATCCAATCAGCATGGGGCCTGGTGACACGTGAAAATGTTTTCAGGGTAGCAATCGGAGCAGTTCTATAGAATCCAAAGTATATCATGTTTTGTTTTTAGGATTTGGATTTTGATTTTGTGCATCAATCTTACTTTCTTCCTTTTTCAACTACAAAACAATAAAATATTCTTTCTTTCCAAACACGGGATCCTAATCCAATTGCAGTAACTCAACGGCTTTCATTTTCATTTGTCATCTTACTTTCACTGCTTCCATTAATCATCGCTTCGTTTGTTTCAGTTTTGGGAATATTATTTTTAGTATTTTCAAAAAAGTTAAACAGAAAAATACCTAAAAATTCAGATTTTTGAGAATACTACTCCCAATATTATTCAATTTTTTTTAAACCCCTTAAATTTGATAATTTAATTAAATACCCCTAAATATTTTTTTTTAAATTACAAATATACCCCAGTAATCCATGTTTACCAGATTCCGGCCATCACTACCGGAAAATGATCGGAATCTGTTAGGATAGCACACTACCGGCTGAATCTAGCCGGTAGTAAGCCGATCTAGCCTTTTTCGGCCAGATCCACGGTGGATCTGGCAGGAAAAGGCCAGATCTTTGGTCGTAAAAGTCGGTAACGACGACCAACAAACGGTCGTCGTTGACCATCAACGACGACCAACAAACGATCGTCGTTGACCATCAACGACGACCGTTTGTTGGCCATCGTTAACGAGCAAAAACGGCCAGATCTGACCGTTGACGGCCAGATCTGGCTATAGATCTGGCCGGAAAGGCCATATCGGCGCACGACCGGCAAGATCTAGCCGATCATGCGTCGATATGGTGACTCCGGCCACCCTCCGACGGTGGTGGCCGGCTATCCGTATTTGAGGGTTGGTTAGGGGTGTTTTTGTTAACTTTTAATGTTTTATTATAGGGGTATTTTTATAAATAAATAAACATAGAGGATATTTTATTAATTTATAATTCTTATATCGTAATACCCGCCCAATTCAACTTTTTTTTTAACTTTTTTCAAAAAACTTTTCTCAAAAACTCAAAATTTTGAACCAAACGGAGCCCATATGTTTCTCAAATTTCACGTGATAATGATGCGTGTACCCTGATGGGAATTCATAAATATGGGCCAGTTTACAATTGCTAAATGCTATGGCAAATTCCCGGGCCGGATTTCATCTGTCAGTAATGGACCTGGATCCAGTCCCGAGAGCATCCTAGGGCCTAGGCTGGCCTGGGTCACACAGCTTAAAGCCATATGCCATTCCATTGCTTAAACAGAATTCGAAGGTATAAATAGAGAAAGTATGATGAGAAAGCAGAACCAGTTTTCAATAAGAGACCTGGATAACATTATTCTACTAAATTGCCATCGCTTGAGATGAATATGCAGCAGTTTATTTTCTTTACCCTCATACGCTGCTCTATGGAGGCAACAAATGCTTCTCTTCCACAGAAACTAATGGCAAATATTTGAAAAAAGAAAAAGAAAGAAATCCTCCTATTGCCTCCATGACATGCCTTATTTAGAACCTCAAAATGTGAGCATCCCAGCGGAATTTGGAGCTATGGGCAGGGCGAATATGCGAGCCCACTTAGTCATGTTCTGGGAAAAATGCTCCCTCAGGCAACACATGTCCTATGGTGGCATTATGATGCCCCCAAAGTCATAAACATGTTCCACATATTACACAATTTAAGGGATACAAGTCTAAGCTTACAAGGAATGATATGCACTATTTGCTACCAGCTTCCAACTGAAATGCAAGTATATGCGAAAATTCCCTACTAGAGAACGCTAATTCCCTTGTCAACTATGCCTCCATTGAACAAGAGAAAAATATGAAAACGTGTAGTAAAAGCCCTATGTCTTGCCAAGCTTGTTTGTCCCCAAGTTTTCACTCACCACTCAACAGTTCAGTTCAAAAGCCAAAAGAAGCTTCCAAAAGTCTGCAACAGAAGTTACAGAATTGAATTTTAAGACACTTTCCCAGACCCCAATCAATAGTTCTCTAAAATCATCAAAACAATCTTCTATAGACTCTTCAGATTCAAACTACCCAACCCCCATCAATTGGCTAAGATAATGCTTTTGGAACGGTGTCCTACAACCAAAAACAGTAGACCAAAGGTTCAAAATGTGGTGGTGTTGATGCAATCAACAAACATGGATCTCCTCTATCATCATTTTCCCTAGTGCAATAGCTTATCAAATGTGATTTTGAAACTAAATTTATCAAAAATCTTATGCATACTTCCCCCTCGAGATCAAACACAAGTAAAAGTAGATTAAACTCTTATAAGCCCTCGAAGTACCCCATCACACAAGTACACAAAACGATAACATGGTAATGCCGATCAGTACAGAACTTTTATTTTTCATTATATAACATTCTACAATAACCTCAACAAAAGAAAACAAACCATACAGATTGTACATCCACTCAGAAGTAAGCTCTTATTTCTTATTTGACTCTCCAAAAACAAATAAAAATTAAAAAAAAAAAACTATTATTAAACAATATTTTGGATTTTCTATTTTATATTGATAAAGTCACTAGCATTGTACCCAGCATACAAGAAAACACCGTCACTTTAAGGTGAATTCACCTAAACCCAACAAATCTAACTTAGAAATTTGAGATGTGTAACAAAACTATTCGTCTGATTGATTAGCTTTATTCTTGTTGCCGTATATCAAACCAGTTGTCTGCAAACAAATTGAGCCAAATTTTAATACAAATTCCCTACTAAGAGTGAATAGAAAGAATAAATTACAGAAATTAAAACAGTACCTGTGGATCGGGAATGGGTTTTCTTTTCTCCACGTACCGATTAGGATCAAGAGCCGCAAGTGCTGCCCTCTCCTGTAGAATTGAAATTTTCGATAACATCGAATAAATAAAAGTTAAGGCAGTACCGATGGATTATGAATTTTAAATAGAGAAAAATTAAACCTCTTGTTCTCGCTTGAGGTCTTGAGAGGGCTTAACCCAGAGGAAATAAGCTAGCGTTCCGGCAACCACCCACGAAGCTAAATTAGATGGACCTCTTAGACCTCCCATCGAATTCCCTATGAATGATCTGACATTTCCCACGGTTCTTCTCCAACTACCCATCATAGCGCTCAATTTTTGTTTATTCCCAACTTTTTTGTTCTGCAAGTATAAGGGTTTTATCCAACTTCCAAGTAGGGTTCTGTTATTTTGGTGGGGAAATTATTATCAGTAGCGAAGAGGTTGGTGTCTTGGTGAAAAGAAATCCGGTTTATTTTTGCGCTACACGTAGTTAGTATAATCCTCATGTGCACCCCGGCCTGGGGAAAGTGATGGAAGCACCGAACAATAACATAGCCCGGCCCATTGAGCCTAGTTAGTGGACCCTTGTTGGGTATACAATGGACTAAAATAAAGGTAATGGGCCCTTGTTGGGTATACAATGGACTAGTTAATGGGCCCTCCACCTTTTTTTTATCTTTAAACCCTATTCTCAATTTAAAATCGAATAATTCTACGCCAACAACTCCCTCTCATAACACTGATGTGCCATTATCACGATAGCTCTGATTTTGAATAGACCATGTGCCATTATCACGATAGCTCTGATTTTGAATAGACCAAAGAAACGGCTGTTCCTTTCATAGGAAATGATCGTTCCTTATAAAGGTATAGTTGTTTCTTGCGGAAGGAATGATCGTTTCTCATTCAGAGAAGGAGAAAGAGAAAAGAAGAAGAAGAAGATACAAAGAAGTAGAAGAAGAAGAGGAGAAGAGAGAAGAGAGAAGAAGAAGAAGGAACAACACTGTCACTTCATAAGGTACAACCGCTCCTTATAAAGGAACAACCATTCCTTCATAGGGGACGGTCGTTCAAGGAACGACCGTCTGTTTCTCGTAGTACTTGATGCCTTGGGTAGTGGTGGGGTCCATGATGGGGTGTGTGGGAGGTGATATGACGTGACAACGCTAATATGTTGACACGTTAGGGTTGTAAGAGAGGTTTGTGAGAATGTGTTATTGGCGTAATATTACTTTTTAAAATCTATCTTAGGTGTATATGGAGTTCAAGGAACAGGTTAATTGACGCTCTTAAGTCTTAGCAAGAGTAAACAACTTTTTCCCATCCAAGGTTTGCCTTAATGACACTTTTCCAGCTAAAAAGTTTCAAAATACCACTTTCTAACAAAAGCTAATATTCCATTACAACCTAAAACCAATTCTGATCAATTATGATGACAAAAATTCTCTTCATCACTACCATTTGAGTCTTCGGTCTCCTCTCTACAAACCTCTCTTACTTAAGCATATGATTTCTCGTCGATACCAGTCATCGCAAAGTTAGAGTTTTCTGTTCTTAGTTGATTTTCAATTGATTCCGACAACAAATATTCAATTAGTCACCACTCTTCGATCTAAATACCTCTATTCTACAAAACCATTTTATCTTGGCTTCTAGTAACTTGCCAAACACCGACTGAAAAATTTAAGTGTATTTTGAATATTAACAAAATATAAACTTTGGAGGGAAAAATTAAGGTAAACCTCGGGTGGGAATTGGGAAAAAGTCGTTTACTCCTCTTAATAATTCCGCACTTCTCCCACTCCAACCCTGGTTCTCATTCACAACTTGAATGGTAAGGCTACCACTTCTGCTTCATCGTTTCCACCGTGGAATTCAACTTACTAGTCGTCATACAAATGCTGCATTCCATCGCCAACCCCAGTATCTTCAGTCTTTTACATACCAAAAAACGTTATACTTTTCTAATAATAAGCCTGCAGTTCATGGGCAACGAAACAAAACAGTAACAATTAAATAATTCTGATTGCAATTTCAATGCCATTTGCAGCTCATTGGCAAGTTTCAAGGGTGTTTCCATAAACCACACCTTTCTGTAGACATAAGAATCTGGGAATAGAATGAAAACAGTAAAATATGAATAACTTAATAAAAAAACAAAAATTAATCATCAAGAAGAAATACAGAAATTAGAGCAAAATCACACAACGCAATTGAAGAATAATTACATGCCACAGGATTTAAACTGCTTTACTCAAACCAAACCAGCGTCTGGGAGATGTCACAATCTTGTATGCTACAAAAAGACAAAAAGAAAAGGACATGGTCCCAAGCTAAAAGCATGTAACACATACTACCAGGAAAAAAGACACATAAAAATTTCACTATTAGGACACAACAGACCAAATATTTTAGTGGTGGCCCTTTCTATTCTAAGCTCATGAGAACATGCCATCAGTCAGACCCACAGCCACACTAATGGTGACGAGGAAGAAACACGCAGCATAGCTGGCCACGTTATGTTACTCTTTCCTCACTTCATAAAATAGCCCAACTTTACAGCTACAGAAGCTAAGAACACTTTAATATTGGCACCAAACACCTTCATGGTTTTGCTTTCTTCCTTCCCTACCCCTTTTCTTTATCTTCCTATTCATTTTATTTCTCCTGCATGTTTTAACTGATGGCTCCACATCAACATCATTTATGATGCAGCTTTACATACATCTTTGCTCGATCGGTTGTATTTCATGTGACTCTGGACAAGTTGACCAGCTGCAATGGCAGACATCAGGGAGAGCTCCCCGGCAAGAACTGCACCGGCTACAATAGTGGCCAAGAGCCTTGAGTTTGATCCAGCAGACTCTTTGCTCGCACCCTTCACACCGAGCAAATTAAGGCAAGCAGACTGAGATGCAAGTTGAGTTCCACCTCCAACTGTACCCACCTGATATACACAGATATCATATTAGCTACAAAGCAAGTAAAAAAACAATACCAGCATAGATATTAAACATAAGTTCAGTTACCTCGATGGATGGCATAGTTACAGAGATGTGGAGATCCTTCCCGTCATTGACAGCTTCCATCATGGTAATACAATGAGAACTCTCAACATTTTGTGCTGGATCCTGGCCAGTTGCTATAAAGACTGCAGAGACAATGTTGGCAGCATGGGCATTAAATCCACCAAGAGCACCAGCAACAGCAGAGCCAGCAAGGTTCTTTAGCATGTTGAGCTCTACCAGCGTAGCCACGTTAGTTTTCAAAACCTTCTTCACCACCTCTTCCCTGATCGTTGCCTCACACACAACAGATTTGCCACGTCCTTCAATCCAATTTACAGCAGCAGGCTTCTTATCCGAACAAAAGTTTCCTGGAAAGTTGAAATGATATGTAAGCACCATGAAATCAAACAAATATTGCCATCATATTGATAGCGAATAACACGTAAGCCCAAAAAAAATAAAAAATAATAAAAATGGTCCCAAAAGATGGAAAATGACTAGCAACTAATGTAATGAAGAGAGGGAAGGGAAAAATCAGAAATGGTGAGCTATGTCAATATCATAAACCCAAAAAAATAGAAATGTAGCCCAATAAAAATTTAATTCCATTGGCAATCGTAGTATTATTGGACAATGAGAGTGATATTTATGTTTAAATATAAAAAATGAGAACACATCAACACCTACAGCACAATATATAAGCATTAATAAGAATGACCTCTCTGAAACAATGGCAATAGAATGACATGTACACTATATTAATGATATTTTCAAATTAAAAATAGTTTAAACTACTATCAGAAAACCACTCATTTATGATAAAATAAAGACAATGAAGTAAAAGATGACAGTAAAAATGGATAGTAGTGGTAGCTAACTTAAATTCAAGTAACAACCTAATATAAAATTTCAAAGATATTACTGTAAGCAGGAGATAAAATCATATCAAGATGTCATGAAGATAGAAACCAAGTTCATAATAAAGTGAAATTAACGTACACAAATAACCACATATTCGGAAATAAATTATTTTTACAGATATTTAGAGAATAGGCACAAACAATAATCCAAAACTGCAAGACCAAATTCAAAACTGCTGAAACATACAAGAGGAGACTAAAAGACAACCACATTTCGGTAACTACTAAAGTGAAAATAAAGTTCAGCTTAAAAAGTAGATGACAAAAGACTTACCAGATAATCCAATAACCTCCATATCAGGAAAATCATTGTGAAGAAATTCGAGGACATTCTGAACTCCTTTAGAAACCATGTTCATTCCCATTGCGTCACCTGTGCTACAACTAAATCTAACATATAGATTCTTCCCAGCAATAGAGCATTGAATATGTTGGAGCCTTGCAAATCTACTCGACCTGCAGCCAAGTGAAAACACTTTAAACCAATATTCATTTCCTTGACCCAAAAAATGATTCTTATTCCGGATCTACTGAACCAAAGGCACATCAGTACATAAAAAAAAATATCGATCTACCTTTTTCTTTAACCTTTTTAAACTTACAACTCATAGTAACCATAATTATAATTTTGCTGTCAAAGCATCAATAGTCCTCTTTCCTATTTTTTATTAAATGATTATTTTTCTATTTTTTTCATATGGTTACAAAAAGAAGCCTGCACCACCTAAAACTAGATCATTTAAGTGTTGATCTGTAAATTACAATCAACGTCAGGAATTTCCAAATCAAGAACAACGCGAATCAAATCAACCAAAACAAAAGTAACCAAAGGCAGATTTATCCAAAAAAAAAAAAAAGTAACCAAAGGCTGACCTGTTAAAAACGATGGCCAAAGTTTCGAAATTGTTAGGATCCTCTAAGAAGAACTTCAATTCGGCAGCTCTCTTAGCACTTCCAAATCTCACAACAGGCGCCCTCGTCATCCCATCTCTCAACAGCACACTGGTGGCCCCACCAGACGCATAGATTGCCTTACACCCTCTATTAGTACTCGCAACCAAACACCCTTCAGTCGTCGCCATCGGTACGGAGTGTTCAAATCCATCAAGCAATAAGGGTCCAGCGATTCCCACAGGAATCTGCACATATCCCACTGGCATTTCACAACATTGACCAAAAATGGATTCGTAATCAAATCCATCCAACGGTAATCCTTGTAATGATCTACCAGTCGTTCTCTGTAGCGCCTCGCGTCGAATCTCAGCTGCTCGTTTACAGTCCCCAATCTTTGATTCAAGCGAGTATGACGGAATGGTACCGTCCACAACAGCCTTAACAATTTCCTCCTCTTCCAAGGACGACAAAGTTGTAATTATGGGCTCGGGTTTGACTAATTTGGCAATCGTGGTCGGGGAAGGGGCCGGAGGGCAACTAATTATTGCTTCCGTTTCTTCGTCCAGATCCCACGCGTCGTTAGAAGCGCGTGAGATGAAAGACTGGACGAAGTCAATGCCGAAAAATCCGAGTAAGTATATGAACGAAGCGATGAGCGACACAATGGCGGCGATTTCGGAAAGCGTGACCACATGAAGTGGAGTTGAGTTTCGGATCTTGTCACGCCATCGGTGCAACAGGTAGTACGCAACGGAGAAGAAGAGCGTGAAGAAAATGGCGTTTGTTAGGTAGAGAGGAAGCGGCAACGCGTCTGATGCTTGAGGAGAAGGCGACGGCGACCGTTTCTCAGGTTGGTTATCATGATGATTGCTCCCTCCGAGAACACGTGCCGGTTTAGCTGGCCGCCGGCGTACGTCCATTCCCGATATTGAAACGGAAACAGAGTATCTGAAATTCACGGAGTAGAAAAATTATTATAGTGTTTGTTAGGAGGGATGAACCAAAACTGAAGGACAGTGAGCCTTTTTATAGGTGGCCGCGCTGGCACTTTTACCACACGTGTGATACCCTCACGGTTTTGTTAAGACCGTGTTTGGTTGGGTCTAATGCATCTCCCTTGTAATGTTCATTTTTTTTTCTTTTGTTTCCTTAATTTACCTTAACGGGCAATTGGGCATCCAATAAATGATTAATTTCCAAATTTTTCTGTGAATTATATGCCAATGTAATAAATAATTCAAAGATGTTTTTCCTTGAAGGCGGAGGGTGGGCAAGTGGCTTCTGGAATTTGTCATTTACACGTAGCTGGTAGGCCCCCTTTTTGTCTCGTGAGGGGACGGTTAAGCACCACTCGCTTTGGCTACACCTTGGCTTTAATTATTGGTCATTCAACCAAACTCAATTTTTCTGCTTTTAATATTTCTCCTACAGACCGGGGGGTAAGCAAACGTAACAAGGAATAAATAAGAAAGTACTAACGGGGATATTACTCGAAGTTCCCATATCCTGTGACATAAAATTTAATTAAACGAAGGAAATATGTTAATGTTATTTTACAATAATTATTTTTTTACCTGAAAAAATAGATATGTCGTGTGATCTTATCATGTATGTGAAAAGAATAATGCAACCTAAAAAGGAATAAAACTAATAATTATCAGGAGGATCTTAAGAAAACAGACTCATAATTAATGGTAATAATAATAAAAGAGTAACATATCTAGGTGATTTTGTGACAAATGGATGAAATTCAGGTAGAACAGGTAAGGATTTTTCTACTATGCAAATATGGATGGATTGAAATTATTGATTATCATCAAGTGTTTAATTTACGGATTGTTAGACAATCATTGTTTTAAAACCCGGACCGGAGGGCAAACCGTTTTGCTGTCCGGGTCGCGGTTCAANTAATGTTATTTTACAATAATTATTTTTTTTTTTACTAAAAAAATAGATATGTCATGTGATCTTATCATGTATGTGAAAAGAATAATGCAACCTAAAAAGGAATAAAACTAATAATTATCAGGAGGATCTAAAAAAAAGAGACTCATAATTAATGGTAATAATAATAAAAGAGTAACATATCTAGGTGATTTTGTGACAAATGGATGAAATTCACGTATAAACAGGTAAGGATTTTTCTACTATGCAAATATGGATGGATTGAAATTATTGATTATCATCAAGTGTTTAATTTACAGGTTGTTCGACAATATTAAGGATCCATAATAATCATCTCTGGGTGGTTGAGTGATTGGATAATGACTCTTGGATGTATTACTTAAAAATGTCTTATTCGAGTCATCTCGATCAAGGTTTTCAAATCCAACCCAATCTGACTAGTTTAACCTGCTAGACTAGGACTCAAGATCTTCTTCGAGCCAAGTTACAAAATTCAACTATTCCCGAAAATCCCTAACCTAACCATCATTTTGACCAGTTGGACCGGTCAACTTGAGACTCGACTCTTTGATCGGGTGACACCTTTAATTGCTAACAGAAGGTTAATCAAGATGTGTGTAAACTAATCTAAACATCCTCCCTCATCAATTAATCAAATGATTTTTATATTAGTTCATTCAATCAGACGTTGACATATTAAAAACATTGATTTTGAACATTAATAATAAATAATAACCTGAATAAATATCGATTAAAATACTAATTAAATCCAACATGTAACACGGAATTTGAAGTGTATCTTTAAAGTAAGTCAAGTAGTAAACAATTTAATTAAATAGCATGGAAAATATGGCAAGGGAACGACCAGAAGTCACTCTTAATAATTCTTTTAAGAGACTTTGGACAGTCTCCCACCACCGAACACTTGAGAACATCTTAGAAAATTGCCTATATTAAAATTTTCCAAGGCCATAATCCTCAGGACAACGAGTTTCACGTAACCCAATGTGATATTTACAACTAGAATAATACTTTGGGTACTAATGAATGGGTACTAATCTGTGTACTTACTAAAGCATAGTACGGATACTATACGCATAGTATGGGTATTATGCTTTAGTTAGTACACAGATTAGTACCCATCCGTTAGTACCCATACCATCACTCTTACAACTAACAGGCATTGAGAAGAAAATGAAGCATATATAAGAGGATGACTTAGACGATTTGAAGTTAGAGTCCAGCCAGCCCCATCCATTATAGTTTTTATTGAATAATCGTGCTGATTTAATACGCGGTCCTCAGTGGAGTGGTGGCGGCTAGAAGTCTAGATCTCCAGAAAACGGCGTCGTATTGAAGTTACTGCAAATAAACACTGTACTAAATACAACAAAAACGTGATACATAGTTTATCTTTTAGACCGGTTACTATCTGAATTCTGTAACTCCTCTTTCTTTTCGAATCTTTGGACTTAACGACACTTGCAACGTGTTTCATCTACTTCTGAATACAAACCTGATTTGGCTTTCTTTGATGCCGATGGTTGGGTGCTTTGGTTGGTTACTTCAACCTTATATTTCATTGACTTTGGGGTCAGGTTTGGACCAGGATGGGTTACGCTATATAAATGAAGTCGCATTATTCAAAAATACAGTTGGTCAGTGGATGTTGTGAGCCACAAACAATCTCACCGACAGAAGTGGCAGGCCACGATTTTTATTGAAGTGCCTACACGTGGGGGATGACTAAACCGGAGGTTTGATCCGTGGGCTTAGTTATCTACAAGCCCGTCCGTTTATTCGCACCTTGTATTAGAAAGCTTTTGGTACATGGGTTCTGTGGCCCAGCCCATGGTTCAAACCAACTGTCAAACATGCATTGCGGACTGCTGTATCAATTAGTAAGAAATAGTTTGCATTATTGATTATTGAGTAAACGACATTTTCCCACCCAAGGTTTGGCGAATCTTCAGTTCCCACCCCTGGTTCCATAAATTATAGATTCTCACCCTTAAATTAACGCCGTTACTTTTTTCTCAAATTAACTCTCACATCTCAAATTTCTCTCAAATAACCCCCAGAGGATCCCGGCCAAGCCAAGAATCTGGCACTATTGGATCTGTCCGACATCACCATCAACATCCCCTTATCCTTCTTACCAAGACCCCTAATTTTTCCACCCGATTGCACCTCGGCAAGGTGCCGGAATTTGGCTAGAAAGGGGCGAAAAAAAAGCAAAAGCCTAAGGGAGAGGTGACGGCGATCAGTGGGCAATTACAGTTGAAAATGTTGGGGGTTTTGGTGTGGGGAAGCCGACGATGCTATTGGTGGTCTTGAGGGTGGTTTTCGATGTCGGGACTTGCCAGAATTTTGATGAAATGCTGATTAACACTAAAAGTGATGGCTGACGATTGGGGGGTTAAATCAGGCGGGGAGGTTAGAGGTTTTGATGTGGGGGTTGAGGGGATTGTAATGGTGGTATCAGGAGGGGTCGATTGTGCTAGAAACTGACCAGAATGGCCTAAAATCGTCGTGGCGTGAATTTGAGAAATGAAGGGTTATTTTAAATTTTTCTGGTGGGGTGAATTTGAGAAGTGAATGATTATTTTGAAATTTTCATCTTTGAAATAACCATCTTACCTTTTTAACTGTTAGATTAAACAGTTATCTGTTAATTTAAGGGTAGGAATCTGTAATTTATGAAATTAGGGGTGGGAACTTGCAGATTCACCAAACCTTGGGTGGGAAAATGTCATTTACTCTTGATTATTTTATGATACAAGATATTCAAGTACAAAATTCTTGAATTGGGGAGGATTACTCGGGGCTAAAATCACTTAACAGTTTATGGTCAGTATAGATATTCCATACAAACCTAAAGGAATTCAGGCTATAGAGTTTGCAAAAAGAACAGGAGCTGATGCTGTAACAGTTTGTCCTACACTTGTACTGGGGCAGATTCAAGTAGGTAGTTCCTTTAGAGCATGGTCTCTTCAGAAGTAGCATTTCAGGCCGCTATACACATGCTTGCACATTGGCAGCTTCACAAATGGAGAGGAAGAAACAAAGATGAGTTCAGAAATCCGCAAAAGCTTGGTTGAAGTCACAGATCATTGGTGAAGAGTGAAGAGTGAAGAGTGGAGAATCTCACTTATTCAAATGAACACTACAGAACAGCTGGACTCTTTTGATTTGATACAAATACTAGTACGACTTATTAAGTTTTTAGTAATATCATGTTCATCTTAATTATTTTTTTCAAAGTTTATGGGTGGGAGAATGTAATTACGGCGAACCTTGGGTGAGAAATTGTCATTCACTCTATTTATCTTAATTAAACCTAACATTTGACCAAAAACGGTGATCATGAGATTGAAAAAGAGTGTTGAATTTGACTCTAGTCGTCGACTATTACATAATTAATTGAAAGAAGGGTTTCTAAATTGAGAATAAATGAGTTAACTGAAGTTTATTTAAGATGCTGAGTAATCCTCTGACAGATCAATCTTCATAAATACGAAGAGGGTGTAGTAACAGGTTTAGGTTTGGAATGGCTTCAGAGAAAGGAAGAGTGTGTGTAACAGGAGCTGGAGGCTTCATTGCATCGTGGGTCGTCAAGCTTCTTCTCTCCAAAGGCTACTTCGTCCATGGAACAGTTAGAGAACCCAGTGATTTTCTTTTCCCTTTCTCTGAATTCATGCTTTTGTTCCAACCATGTTTCTGCTTAATTTTGTTTATAATCTCTTTCTTGCTCCCTCCTCCAATTGAGCTGCTATTGTACGTTGAGATCTTTGGCATCGCTTATATATTGAATGAATGACGCATTTGATTTATGGCCACTAATTATCAAGTAGGACATTTTTGATTGGATATTCAGTTATTATCCAGTAATTTTAAAACGAATTATATTTTTTGTACCTTAAACATTTAGAGGGTGTTTTAATAGTGAATATCCCGCAAATATGGTGCAGAGGATGAGAAAAATGCGCATCTGCATAAACTTGAGAAAGCATCTAAGAATCTGAAACTCTTAAAGGCAGACTTACAGGATTACGACTCTCTCTATTCTGCGATTGTTGGATGCAGTGTAGTCTTCCATGTTGCAAGCCCCGTTGCATCCCGCACCGTACCAAATCCTGAGGCAAGAAGGCCTAAATATTGTTATCTTCTTAATAATATTCTTTGCATGCATCATAAAGTGTTGATCACGTTATTCTATTATCTCCAAAGAGAAAAAACAGAACCAAGGGAATTGAAGTGTGCAAAGTGGTGTACTATCATTTTGAATTTGCCTTTCCATCTATATTATTTATTTACATATTTTGCTTAAAACTGGTGTGGTTTGTTTTCTCTTACATATTCAGAATACAATGGTGCAGGTGGAAGTGGTTGATTTGGCTGTAAAGGGTACACTCAACGTGCTGAGAGCATGTCTTGAGACAAAAGTTAAGCGACTTGTTCTCACATCTTCTGCAGCTGCTGTCGGCAACCCCACCTGGCCCAAGGACCGGGTGATGGATGAGACTTGTTGGTCTGATAAGGAACACTGCAGAGCAACTGAGGTAGTAACTTGAGAATTCATCTTTGTCTCAAATATCAGACGAGTTGCTTTATCTTTGTGTATGTTAGTGCAAACAGTTTTGAAAATGTGTTTAAGTATTGCAGAATATGTTTGGCTTAGTATACACTGATGCAGAATTTCTTATGTTCTTACCAGAACTGGTATTCTCTTTCAAAAACGGAAGCGGAAAGTAAGGCTCTTGAGTATGGAAAAAGAACTGGGCTTGATGTTGTAAGCATTTGTCCTCCCCTTACATTGGGGCCACTTCTGCAGTCCACAGTGAATGCAAGTAGCTTAATTCTCGTTAACCTTCTCAAAGGTACCAAATTGTAGCCTGCCTGTATTGGATGATTTATTGTAAAGAAAAGGAATTTTCTCTAAAACATGATTTCTTGACAAGTAGCATACTTGCATTAATCCAGGCTATAATCTCATTCTGACAGGAGTTTTCTGTCATCTGTCTATAAACAGAAGGTTATGAGTCATTGGAAAACAAACTTCGGAGGATAGTTGATGTGCGTGATGTAGCTGAAGCATTGGTTCTGGCATATGAGAAGCCCGAGGCAGAAGGTAGATATATATGCATGGCACACATGATCACAAGAAGGAACCTGGTTGATCACCTGAAGAGTATATATCCTAACTATAACTATCCTAAAAGGTAATCCTTGCTTTACTGCATATCTAGTCAAACCAAGAAATGTTTATGGCTACAGCATCAGTATCATGCTTTTGTTAGTATTCATAAAAATGCTCATATATTGGCAGCTTTACTGAGGGAGGTGAAGGAGAAAGACTAAGTTCAGAGAAACTGCAGAGGTTGGGTTGGACTTTCCGGCCCTTGGAGGAAACTCTCATTGATTCCGTTGAGAGCTATAAGAAAGCTGGAATCTTAAATTAAGAAACTAGACATTTCGATTCATCTATAATAACAATTGTATCAACGTTTTTCTAATTCTGTACCAGCATGTAATTGCAATTTGCTAATAAATATCTGATGCCTCGTTTAAAATCAGAGGCTTGCTTTCACAAATCCTCAAGAGACTTTCAACTAAATCCTTCCCCCACAACTCGGATCTTGTTTGATTAAAATCTAACAGACAANTTATGTTCTTACCAGAACTGGTATTCTCTTTCAAAAACGGAAGCGGAAAGTAAGGCTTTTGAGTATGGAAAAAGAACTGGGCTTGATGTTGTAAGCATTTGTCCTCCCCTTACATTGGGGCCACTTCTGCAGTCCACAGTGAATGCAAGTAGCTTAATTCTCGTTAACCTTCTCAAAGGTACCAAATTGTAGCCTGCCTGTATTGGATGATTTATTGTAAAGAAAAGGAATTTTCTCTAAAACATGATTTCTTGACAAGTAGCATACTTGCATTAATCCAGGCTATAATCTCATTCTGACAGGAGTTTTCTGTCATCTGTCTATAAACAGAAGGTTATGAGTCATTGGAAAACAAACTTCGGAGGATAGTTGATGTGCGTGATGTAGCTGAAGCATTGGTTCTGGCATATGAGAAGCCCGAGGCAGAAGGTAGATATATATGCATGGCACACATGATCACAAGAAGGAACCTGGTTGATCACCTGAAGAGTATATATCCTAACTATAACTATCCTAAAAGGTAATCCTTGCTTTACTGCATATCTAGTCAAACCAAGAAATGTTTATGGCTACAGCATCAGTATCATGCTTTTGTTAGTATTCATAAAAATGCTCATATATTGGCAGCTTTACTGAGGGAGGTGAAGGAGAAAGACTAAGTTCAGAGAAACTGCAGAGGTTGGGTTGGACTTTCCGGCCCTTGGAGGAAACTCTCATTGATTCCGTTGAGAGCTATAAGAAAGCTGGAATCTTAAATTAAGAAACTAGACATTTCGATTCATCTATAATAACAATTGTATCAACGTTTTTCTAATTCTGTACCAGCATGTAATTGCAATTTGCTAATAAATATCTGATGCCTCGTTTAAAATCAGAGGCTTGCTTTCACAAATCCTCAAGAGACTTTCAACTAAATCCTTCCCCCACAACTCAGTTCTTGTTTGATTAAAATCTAACAGAAAGTTTCAACATCTTTTCCAATTTACCAAAAGATATTTGGCCAGATGAAAGTGTAATAAAATCACTTGAACAAACATCAGACGCGAAGTTGCTCTCTGAAGTCTTAAAAGCAAGATGATGGTTGCCACAGCACTCCCTGAAACAAGTCAAGAATTCTCAAGGTGTCTTATAATTTACAGCCCACGGGTTGGTTTTGGTTTTATAATTGGCTTTGAAATTGATTTTGGCGCCTTTTAACAGATTTCTGGCATTGCTGTGGAGAGTAAGAAAATTAGAAAAAGTCTAAAAGGATACAGAGACTTATGAAGACTAGAGATATGTTGGCACTCTTTCTTATGTCTGACATGATATGATCATCCCAACAAACAAAAGTATGTTTTTTAAATTAAACCTAACATTGCCCNAGTGTAATAAAATCACTTGAACAAACATCAGACGCGAAGTTGCTCTCTGAAGTCTTAAAAGCAAGATGATGGTTGCCACAGCGCTCCCTGAAACAAGTCAAGAATTCTCAAGGTGTCTTATAATTTACAGCCCACGGGTTGGTTTTGGTTTTATAATTGGCTTTGAAATTGATTTTGGCGCCTTTTAACAGATTTCTGGCATTGCTGTGGAGAGTAAGAAAATTAGAAAAAGTCTAAAAGGATACAGAGACTTATGAAGACTAGAGATATGTTGGCACTCTTTCTTATGTATGACATGATCATCCCAACAAACCAACAAACAAAAGAATGTTTTTTAAATTAAACCTAACATTGACCAGACTTTTACAAAAAAGAATGATGTCACTGATGACTTATCATTAATTATAAAAAAATAAATTGTTAATTGAAAGGGACGTGTACAAATTGAGAGGAAATGCATGAACCAGTCAACCAGAGGCTTATTTATATAACTCGAGATTACTCCTACATTACTCCTACACAGATCCAGACAGAAAAAATAATCTTCATAGAGGTAGTAATAACTGGTGGAGGTTAGATGGCCTTAGAGAAAGAAAGAGTGTGTGTAACAGGAGCTGGTGGGTTCGTTGGCTCATGGGTGGTCAAGCTTCTTCTCTCCAAAGACTACTTTGTTCATGGAACTGTCAGAGAACCCAGTTATTATCTTCTCTATGTTTTACTTTCAATATCTGAAATAGCCAAAATAGGGCTTTGTTCTAATAGTATTTGTGCTAAAATTATTCTATTTATTCTTACTCTAGATTATATTCTTCTCTCTGTTTTTGAGATCTATGACATGGACCTTAGTCTAAACAATTTTGTTTTGAAGAGGAACTATATTAATGGAATTTCTTGAAATTGGTGCAGGGGATGAGAAGAATGCTCATTTGTATAAACTTGAGAAAGCATCTGAGAATCTGAAACTCTTCAAGGCTGATTTACTGGATTACAACTCTGTTTATTCTGCCATTGTTGGATGCAGTGGAGTTTTCCATGTAGCCAGTCCTGTTCCATCCACCATTGTATCGAATCCTGAGGCAAGAAGGCCTAAATATCGTTATCTTTTAATAATAATATTGCTTGCATTCATCATACCCTTGTAATAGAGCTGATCACGTTATCTGATGGTCTCACAAAAAGAGAAAAATAAGACCAAGGCAATTGAAGTGTCAAATGGGTGTATCATCGTTCACTTTCCATTTATTTTGTGTATTAAATATTCTTCTTAGAAGTGGTGTTTTATTCTCTTTCCCATTGCAAATACTATGATGCAGGTGGAGGTAATCGAACCAGCTGTAAAGGGTACACTCAATGTGCTGAAAGCATCTGTTGAGGCGAAAGTTAAGAGAGTTGTTTTTGTGTCTTCTGGAGCTGCTGTTGCCTTCAACCCCAGTTGGCCCAAGGATCAAGTGATGGATGAGACTTGTTGGTCTGATAAGGAATATTGCAGAACAACTAAGGTAGCAGCTGTAGAATTTATCTTTATATAAAATTCAGATGAAACGTTCATCAATTTTGAAATGTAACTATAGAGCAGAAAGTGTTTTGCTTAGTATACAATGAATCCAGAGCTTTTTATTTTCTTACCAGAACTGGTATTCTTTTGCCAAAACGGAAGCGGAAAGTGAAGCTCTGGAGTATGGAAAAAGACCTGGGCTAAATGTTGTGAGCATTTGTCCTACCTTTATTTTTGGGCCAATTCTGCAGTCCACATTGAACGCAAGTAGCATGATTCTTGTTAAGCTATTGAAAGGTACCTAACTGTCCATGCCGACTGCTTGTTAAGTTCCATTTGAGTCTGTAATATTCTCATCCAATCGGTATTCTCTGTAATATATGTGTGTACAGAAGAAGGTTGTGAGTCAGTGGACAACAGGCTGCGGATGATAGTGGATGTGCGTGATGTAGCTGAAGCCTCAGTTTTATTATATGAGAAGCCTGAAGTAGAAGGGAGATATATATGCACAGCATACAGTTGCAGAGGACAAGAACTTGTTGATAAACTGAAGAGTATATATCCTAACTACATTTATCCTACAAAGTAAGTCTCGTTTTGATGAATTTCAAATCAACTAACTGTATTTTTATGGTTATACTATTGATATTCTTTTTAAATCAGGCAAAACATATTTGAAATTTATCTCAAGTATGACTTATAGCTGTTTCTAGTGATATCATATGTTCACAACAGTTGTTTTTGAGTTGGCAGCTTTACTGAGGGAGGGGAGGAAATAGTGCTAACTTCAGCAAAGTTGCAGAAACTGGGTTGGAGTTACCGGCCTTTGGAGGAGACTCTTTTTGACTCAATAGAGAGCTACAAGAAAGCTGGAATCTTAGATTAAGAAAGTAGACATTTTCATGTCATTATCCAGTTCTGTCTGATGTAAATTGCAATCTGTTAATAATTATGTGAGACGTCTGTGTTTACACAGCACTCACGATTGCTTTTTCTCTTAATAAAATGAGCTAAATTTCAAGATGATATTTTTTTGGCAACACCTTCCCAGCATCAACAATGTCAATAATTTCACAGACAACATAAATAGAAATATGTATGAACAAATATTATAAATGACATAAAACAGAAAGGAAATAAGAAGAATATGTCCGCCTGGTGATGGTTTTGATGAAAGTGAAGAAATGTCTGCAGTGCACACCCTCAGAAAACCATGGACTCACACAAATTCCTTACAGGGTCTTTCAGATAATATCTTAGAGTTCATTTGGTCTTATAATTTGGCAGTGAGGATGATTTTGGCGCCTTTGAAGAGATTTCTGAAATTCCTGCTGGGGTAAGAACCGTAAGAAAAAGTCTAGAAGGATAAAGAATATTATATAAAGATTAGAGAGAGATACCGTGGCTCTCATTTTGTATTTATCAAATGATCGAGATTGTATCTTCATCATCCCAATGGACAGAATATATATTTTTTATTCTAAACCTAACAATGGTCTAGAAGATTAAATAATGAATTAAAAACTTGAAAGAAATGAATAAACTAGAAGCTTATATAAAAGGTACGTCTAAGATTGACCCAGAAGGGAACAATATTCATAGAGGCAGGGAGAACTGGTTAGGGTTTGGAGATGGCATTAGAGAAAGTAAGAGTGTGCGTAACGGGAGCTGGAGGCTTCGTTGGCTCGTGGATCGTTAAGCTTCTACTCTCCAGAGATTATATTGTTCATGGAACTGTTAGAGAACCCAGTAATTATCTTTCTCTTTTTACTTTTAATGTCCGAAATAGGGCTTCTAATCGTGTTTTTGCTTGTATACTTGTGATTTTAGTTATGTATTAAACAATCCTTTCTTGATTGATTCTGATGGTTTTGTATTGTAGAGAAGACTTTATTGTTGCTCATGTATACATGTGCAGCTTTTGTTGTCTATTATGGAATCAGTTCAGTATGAATCATATTTCGGTATCTCGATAAATTGAAGGGTGTTTTATGGTGAATTTCTCAAAATTGGTGCAGGTGATGAGAAGAATGCTCATTTATATAAACTTGAGAAAGCATCTGAGAATCTGAAACTCTTCAAGGCTGATGTACTGGATTACAATTCTGTTTATTCCGCCATTGTTGGATGCACTGGAGTCTTCCATGTAGCCAGTCCTGTTCCATCAACCACTGTACCGAATCCTGAGGCAAGAAGGCCTAAGTATCGTCATCTTTTTAATAATATTATTGCTTGCATTCATCATACCCTTGTTGTTAGGAGATCGCACAGCGGAAAAAATACATTCGAGATTAATAATGTAGGAATACAATCACATAAAGAGACATGATATTTACGTGGTTTGACATGATCCGTTTACATCCATGGATGAGAGAAATCTACCATAGTTTTATAAATACAATATACAAGAGTACACAATACCATAAACCTGGTACATAAAACAGAGCAGAAACAATTATAGTTTCTAACCACACTCAACCTATATCTAGAGTGGAAACGATCCCAGTTTCTAAGACACTCTCTCCATGGTGTTTAACAACACTTACATCAAATATCGTATGTTCTCACATTCTTTCATAACCTTGAATTGGTTTTCACTCTTCTATTTGTAAGTAGGATACGGGATATTCTAATTCCAATAGGATTCATATTTCAATTCCTAATAGGACTCCTAAATTCTTTTCCTATTTACAAAGAGTAACCATGTCCAATTTTGCTAGCATACAATTGCACAGTAACCATGCCAAATTTTGTCACCAAGATTTGAGAACCAATCCACCTACAACCTAAAACCTGTTGTACTCTGTCTGTTATATGCATTCACCATCTTGAAAGAACTCATCTCCCATGGTGTTTAATAACACTTACATCAAATATCCTATGTTCTCATATTCTCTCATAACCTTGAATTGGTTCGCACCCCTATATTTGTAATTAGGATACATGATATTCCAATTCCAATAGAATTCATATTTCAATTCATAATAGAACTCCTAAATTCTATACCTATTTACAAAGAGTAACTATGTCTAATTTTGCTAGCATACAATTGCACAATAACCATGCCAAATTTTGTCGACAAGATTTGAGAACCAATCGACCTATAACCTAAAACTTGTTGTAGTCTGTCTCTTATGTGCATTCACCATCTTGAAAGAACTCATCTCCCAGGCCGCAACTTGGAGCTTTGATACCACTTGTTAGGAGATTGCACAACTGAAAAAATATATTTGAGATTAATAACGTAGGAATACAATCACACCACATAAAGAGACATGATATTTACGTGGTTCAGCATGACCCGCTTATATCTACGAATGAAAGAAATTCACTATAGTTTTATGAACACAATATACAAGAGTATACAACACCATAAACCCGGTACATAAAACAGAGCAGAAACAATCATAGTTTCTAAGCACACTCAACCCAGTACCTAGAGTGGAAACGATCCCAATTTCTAAGACATTCTCCCCATGGTGTTTAATAACCCTTACATTAAATACCTTGTGTTCTCACATTCTCTCATAACCTTGAATTGGTTCTTACCTCTATATTTGTAGGTAGGATACGTAGATATTCTAATTCTAATATGATTCATATTTCAATTCCTAATAAGACTCATAAATTTTATTCCTATTTACAAAGAGTAACCATGTCTAATTTTGCTAGCATACAATGGCACAGTAGCCATGCCAAATTTTGTCGCCAAGATTTGAGAACCAATCCACCTACAACTTCAAACCTGTTGTAGTTTGTCTCTTATGTGCATTCACCATCTTGAAAGAACTCATCTCCCAGGTCGCAACTTGGAGCTCTGATGCCACTTGTTAGGAGATCGCACAACTGAAAAAATACATTCGAGATTAATAACGTAGGTATACAATCACACCATATAAAGAGACATGATATTTACGTGGTTCAGCATGACCCGCCTACATTCACGAATGAGAGAAATCGACTATAGTTTCATGAGCCCAATATACAAAAGTACATAATACCATAAACCTGGTACATAAAACAAAGCAGAAACAATCATAGTTTCTAAGCATGCTCAATCTAATACCTAGAGTGGAAACGATCCCAGGTTTTAAGACACTCTCTCCATGGTGTTTAATAACCCTTACATCGAATATCTTGTGTTCTCACATAATCACATTTGCTCATTTTCTCGTAACTTTGAATTGGTTCTCACCCTTATATTTATAGAGAGGATACGAGATATTCTAATTCCAATAGGATTCATATTTCAATTTTTAATAGAACTCTTAAATTATATTCTTATTTACAATTGTATTCTTTATTAAATAGTTTTTCTAAAGACATACAGTTTTACATAGAAATAAATAAGAAAGCGAGCAACAATACCTCAACGCTTGTAATAGAGCTGATCACATTATTTAATGGTCTCACAAAAAAGGAAAAAGAAGACCAAGGCAGTTGAAGTGTCAAATGGATGTGTATTATCATTCACTTTCGATTGATTTTATGTATTAAATATTTTTCTTAAAAGTGGTGTTTTATTCTCTTTCCCATTTCAAATACTATGCTGCAGGTAGAGGTAATTGAACCTGCTGTAAAGGGTACACTCAATGTGCTGAAAGCATCTGTTGAGGCAAAAATTAAGAGATTTGTTTTTGTGTCTTCTGGAGCTGCTGTTGGCTTGAACCCCAGTTGGCCCAAGGATCGAGTGATGGATGAGACTTGTTGGTCTGATAAGGAATATTGCAGAACAACTAAGGTAACACCTGTTGAATTTACCAGTACATCAAATTCAGATGAATTGCTCTCGCTATTCTTTATTTTTCTATTGCTGACAATTTTGAGATGTAATTAGAGCAGAAAATGTTTTGTTTAGTAGTATACAGTGAATGTTGAGTTTTTTATGTTCTTACCAGAACTGGTATTGTCTTTCCAAAACGGAAGCTGAAAGTGAGGCTCTGGAGTTTGGAAAAAGAACTGGGCTTGATGTTGTGAGCGTTTGTCCCACCCTTATTCTCGGGCCACTTTTGCAATCCACATTGAACTCGAGTAGCCTAGTACTTGTTAAACTTTTGAAAGGTACCTAATTGTACTATGCCTACCTTGGATTATTTGTTATAAATGTATGATTTAGGTCACGCTCCCATCAGTAACAAGGTTGTTTTATTTGCATGTTTGTGATCATAAATGAGTTCTTTGTGTCTGTGTGGTTACTGATTTTTCCTCTGAAACATGATTCCTTGCATGTTTCATTTGAGGTTTAGTCTTCTCATTCGATTGGTATTCTCGCGATCTGGCTGTACAGAAGGTTACGAGACAGTGGAAAACAAGCTGCGGATGATAGTTGATGTGCGGGATGTTGCTGAAGCCTTACTTTTGGCATATGAAAAGCCTGAGGCAGAAGGGAGATATATATGCACAGCATACATTATCAGAGCTCAGGAATTTGTTGATAAAGTGAAGAGCATATATCCTAACTACAAATATCCTAAAAAGTGAGTGTCATTTTGATGAATATATACTCAACAAGCTTGACTTATAATTACTTGTATATGATTTGTTCACAACATCACTTTTGCGTTGGCAGCTTCACCGAGCCAGTGGAGGAAAGAGTGCTAACTTCAGAAAAGTTGCAGAAGCTGGGTTGGAGTTACCGGCCATTGGAGGAGACTTTCGTTGATTCCGTTGAGAGCTACAAGAAAGCTGGGATCTTAAATTAAGAAAGTTGTCATTTTAATATATGCGTCCACTTCTATCTGCGTAGAAGGAGGATATGTTTGGTGTAATAATAATGTTTTCAAGGTTAATAAATATCTGAGAATGGATTTTTTTCAGTACTGGAAAAATAAAAAATCTTACAGAAATTATTGTAAACCTCCATTAACCAGTTTCAAGGTGTAAAGATCAAAATAGTCAGTGGACAACAAAATTTTGAAGATGAGCACAAGAAAGTAAAACAATCCCACAATTGTTTTTGCGTTTGGATTGGAGCCTCGGCATATCGACGAAGATATACCATAATTATGCCTCTTGCACTCATTTTGGACCCATCTTTTCTGTGTTCTTTTGTGTCTCAGAGTCAATTGATAAATTAAGTACACTTGAAGAATCTAGATGACATCCAGGGGTTTTTTATGCCAACAACCACAATAATAGTGCATAGAAACAACAAAGCTATGATTTCAGAATCTGTAAGGTAAGACAGGATATAGAAAAAAATCTTACACAAATGAAATGATCATTTACCTAAAAAGTTAACCAGATTCAACTTTTAAACATCGAAATAGTCAATGGAAGATTACAATTTTGAAGATAACAGAAGGAACTAGAAAGTGAAACAATCCCTCTTGTTTTTATTTTTGGACTCCGGCCAATGGTTCTTGATTGGCCTTTTCATGTTGATGAATGATGAAGAGACACCATATATACCGGCTGTTAGAGCTCTACCTCTACCTTTTGCACTCATTTTGAAGTTCCCCCCCTGATTCTGTGCCTTTTTTAAATTGAAATTAGTTAGGAAAGAACATTTGTATAAGCTTGTTGATTTGTGTAATTGAAATTGTATATAGCGAGTTTAACTTTGCATTATATATTATGCTTTATTCAGTTGTTTTCTAATAGATTCACATAAAGAGCGAGAATTAGTGGTTTTTTTACTCATCATTCAGAAAAGTTGCAAAAGCAAGGCTGGAATCTTAAATTAAAAAAAAAAAAAACAGGAATAGACATTTGGGTTTATCTTCTCGACTTTGTAACCATTAATCAAATGTCAAAAAATATTACTATATAAGCATATTCTTGAGTATGTTATTGCTAACGGAGATAGATTTAACATGATCTCTTAAGTTCGAGTTCGTTTTAAGGTAAAAGAGTAAGAGGAGAATCTAATATAATCTCTCGAGTTTGAGTCTCCACGGTTTCTAATAGGGATGACACTGGAGGTCGTACCTGACCGATAATTCTAGGATCTCGAAGGATTAGTTTAGGTATGTGTAAGCTGATCCAAACACCCTAAGTCATATAAAAAAAAAAAAAATGTTATTGCTTAGGAATGCTTAATAATCGAACCCACTTGTGCATCATTTGAATATATTGATATAAGTCAAAATAATATCTTCTTTCTTATTTCCTGCTAGACTTTGATCACTCAATGATTGACATTCACCTAACTTAGCAAACATAAACTGCCAACTATGCCTTCATCTTACAGCTTTTTTCTTGTTGGATAAAGATAGATTTTTCAACTGCATATTTGTCAAAAGATACTTGGCTTAATGATAAGTATTACAGGCAATCCCTATTGTTTAATCCATTAATACCTACTGGTTAATGGACTCACTTTCAGCATCCTTTGTGATAATCGAAGTGGTTAAAAAATCAAGAATCATGTCTATGCTTCAGTTAAGGTGAAAATTGCATTCTTATCTAAAAGCAGCCAATAAAACCAGATCACAGAAGGCCTTTCAATATTGAGAATATTGTCCATGTCCTTGCTCTAATATGGTTTAAATTTCTTTTAAGCGAATAATAATTCTTTAAAGTCTAAACGGGTCGAGTAGAAATGGGTGTATATCAAAATTCGAAATTGGGATACAGCCAAGGACGAGAACCAAAACGCAGATATTGACTTGTCAGGTGTGTTTTGTCTTGACAAATAAAGCGGTTGATGCTGGGTCGGCATTTTAATATTGTTATTCATCTGGAGTATTCTGCCGTTTTAACAAAACTGGATTGAGAGAAGAGAAAAATATTAAGTAAAACTGAAGTCGGAGAGGGTGAGTGAGATGACGACGAGAGCAGTTGAAGAGAAAGAGAGAGTGTGTGTGACTGGAGCAGGAGGTTATGTAGCTTCATGGCTGGTCAAATTTCTCCTTTTGAAGGGATACATGGTCCATGGAACAGTTAGAGAACCAAGTAATCTTCTTCTTTCTTTATAATATCATCTTAATACTAAAAGCACTGAAGATTTGTGTCAGCTATATTATATATTAAACTACTGAGGCCTTTATGTACTCATATGGATCATGATGAAAGTTGATAATTATATATACAGGTGACGAGAAGAACGCTCATCTGAAGAAATTGGAAAACGCTTCAGAGAATTTGCAACTCTTCAAGGCAAATTTATTGGACTATGAAGGTCTTTGTGCTGCCATTGCGGGCTGCACTGGGGTTTTCCATGTTGCTTGCCCTGTTCCTGTAGGAAGTGTTCCAAATCCTGAGGCAAGATTTCAAGTTACTTTCCAGTTTGTTTCTACGTGTACTATGAGCAGCTTGCTTTTTATGATATCATCTGTGGTTTTCCATTAAGAAAAGGTTTTGCAGGTAGATTTTATTGAACCAGCTGTGGTTGGTACACGGAATGTACTTGATGCTTGTTTGAAGGCAAAAGCCAAAAAGGTTGTGGTTGTTTCATCTATAGCTGCTGTTGGACTGAACCCAAATTGGCCAAAGAATCAGGTCATGGATGAGAATTGCTGGTCTGACAAGGAAGCTTGCAAGGCAAATAAGGTATCGAACTAATAATCAAATTTTACACATCTTTTATAAGTAGACTAGGAGAAACATCACGATACTATCACCAATGGTTCCACGATACTTTAGATGCTATGGCTTTTCTGCTTAATAGGCTTCAATAGCAAGGATTACAGAGGTTCAAGTGTTTCATATTTCACGACTCCAACAGATCATCATACTAGAGTTCTCAGTTCCTTTTTTTAAGGGTTTAGATAAGAATTAAACTCCTTGCTCTAATGAATGCCAGAACTTTTATAGCCTTGCCAAAACAATGGCAGAGACAGAAGCTTTGGAGTATGCAGAGAAGGGTGGACTTGACATTGTGACAGTTTGTCCATCAATTGTGATTGGGCCAATGCTGCAACCCACAATCAATGCCAGTAGCTTACTGCTCCTAGCGCTTTTGACAGGTTTCTTCTTCCTCTCATTACTTCAATACATATTGTTAACTGGTTATTTATTTATTTATACTGTCACAGCTTATCTTGTATACTTCAATACTAATCGCCATAAATGACATGAAAATCAGATGGACATAAAACGGTGGAAGACACAGATCGACCCCTCGTAGATGTACGCGATGTGGCGGAGGCGCTTTTGCTGGTTTATGAGAAGCCTGAAGCAAAAGGAAGATATATATGTACTTCGTATCAAATCAAAATGCAGGCACTGGTGCACAAGTTGAAGAGCATTTTTCCAAACTATAGTTACTCTAAAAGGTAATTCCTGAATGTCACACATGATTTAAATTCAAAAAATGAGGCACTTTCACTTATTTTGTTATTGATTCAATGAACGTCATTACAGTTTCACTGAGGATGACTATGAAGCAAATCTGAGTTCAGAGAGATTGCAGAAGCTGGGATGGAAGTACCGGCCACTAGAAGAAATCCTTAGAGACGCTGTCATGAATTATGAAGAGAAGGGCATCCTCCATAAAGCTTAGAACAGCTGGTTTTACTGATAAACCATATTCATGTCATTTCATGGTTGAGAAATCAATGTTGCTATCTTCTGTTCTCTTTAAATGCAGTTTGAAATAAATTTCGACTTACACCATCATTTTTTCAGATATACTAACAACTAACTACTGGTATGATCATAATTGAAGTAACAGTTGATTTCAATATGCTATACTGAAGTCAAATAATTCATTTATTTGTATTTTTAAGTCTATAAACAGAGAATCATGCACATAATAGAAACATAAATTTTTTATAGGTATATATTATATAAATATTACATACTCATAAGGTCTACGTTCAATTTAAATGAATCAATATCATTTTTCACAACAACATTTAGGATACTTTCAATGGCAACTCCGTGGCTTCCATTTACTTATAGACCGAGGCCTGATAGCTTGGAACCTTAAATATGTATGCTTCTAAGAAGAAATTGATCCAAAGATGGTATTTTAGAAGAGACAAGACATGTTACTCCTTGTGGGAATCATCTTCATCTTGGTTGTTTGAGATAATTAATGACAATGTCTGTAACCCCTATGTCTCTGTGTCAGCTAGCATAAGGTTTTCGTTACAACCTTTTCAAGTTTGTAAACATCTGGAAGAATATAATTTTCCATTATAAATCCAAGCATAAATGACATAGGATCCTATATTATAAACCTTATAATTAAGTCTTTGGTAATAGAGTGGACGACAGAAATATATGAAAGTCTCATGCTACCAGTTGTCACCGGCGGGGAGTTTCACACCCAAAAGGATAACCTATTAGATGAGAGACTCTTTCCATTTATACGCCCAAGACCTCCCCAATACGCTTCCGATGTGGGATTCGTTACATTTTCTCCCACCCAATCCTGTGATGCCCTTGTCACAGGTGGGACTCCCTGCCTATCCGTCCACCTCACTCTAGTGTGGACCCATAATCACACGTGAACGCTCCTACGTAGGCACTTGACGGGACATCGAAAGATGGATCGGGCAGACTGGGAGTTTCACACCCAAAAGGCTAACCTATTAGGTGGAGGGACTCCTCCCATTTATAAGCCCAGGACCTTCCCAATGCGCTTCCGATGTGGGATTCGTTATACAGTGCAGGTACAACTCATCCAACCATCTGTTAATGGCACCAAGAATGTTCTAAACGCATGTGTGAAAGCCGAAGGGAAGAAGGTTGTGGTTGTGTCATCTGTTGGGGCTGTTGGGCTAAACCCAAATTGGCCCAGGGATAAGCCCATGGACGAGGAATGCGGCACTGACTTAGAATTTTGCAAGGCAACGTAGGTGTCTGACTAACGAAATTAATTTAGAACCGCTATTTAATTATATTACTAAAAGTTGTTTCTTTCTTTATTGTTTCACTGTTAGCTAACCTGTCAATATGAACATCAGCAATGGTATTGCTTTGGCAAAACAATGGCAGAAAGTGAAGCTTTGAATTATGCCAAGAGAGGTGAACTCAACTCAACATAGTGACAGTTTGTCCATCCATAGTTATTGGGCCATTGCTGCAATCCACCATGAACAACAGCAGCTTATACCTCCTGAAGTTTTAGAGAGGTTTCTCTATTTCTTTTCATTCAGTTTTACCGTATTAGACCATACAAATTTTCAATAATTAATAACGCTGCGATCAACAATCATATCCTGTTGGGGTGCACGAATTAGGACTAAGTTTTGGGCATAAGCTGAACCTTAATGGAAATAAAACAAAAATGTATGATTGTTACTGGGATGTGAGCCAGGTTATGACTGGTGGATGTCATAATTTTACGAAGAAATATTCAAGCTAAGAACAAGACTTCAATGTCACTAATTATGAGTAACGTTACCCTCGTAATCTTTTTTTCATAAGCAGCTCCAATGTGACAAGTGAGTAAGCGTTGTCACGTCAACTCCACCACATAAAAGATACAAAATGATTTTGATTAGACCAAAGAAATGATTGTTTCTCACAAAAAGAATAACCGTTCATAATAAGAAACAATTATTTCTTATGTAAGAATGACCGTTTGTTTCTAATAGTGCTTTAGGTGTGGTAAGAGCTGACATGATAGTGTTAATCTGTTATCACGTTAATATTGTAAAAAAATGTTGTAAAATTGGCATTAAATTAAAAAATTGATCTTTGCTCATTGATTTTACTTTTGAAAACTACTATTATGGAAAGCAGATGGATTCGAATCAGCAGATAGTATAGGTCGGTTCGTCATGTGGCCGATGCAATCTTGCTGGTATATAAGAAGACAGAGGCAGAGGGTAGATATCTATGTTCATCATATGACTTTAGAATCAAAGATTTGGTCGAAAAGTTGAAAAGCTTTTATCCTAATTACAATTACCCCAGAAGGTAAAATAAGTTGCATTTTACAGTATCAGTAGAGTAGGAGTTTTAGGTCAATTATTAAATTCTCCTAGCTGGATTTTACATGTTTGCTCTGTTTCCCACCAGAATCTTTTTTTTTTTTTTTGTTTTTTGTCATTTCTGGTATGTTCTTTTTCTTGACAGTTTTAATGAACTGGAGGAAGATAGTAAATTCAGATAAATTGTAGAATTTAGGATGGAAGTATAGGCTACTGGAGGAGACAGTGGGTTGATGCTGTGAAGAACAATGAAGAAAGTGGTGGCTTGGTAAGATAATCTGTAGCTTCCAGGTTCAGTTGGGCAGTGAAGTTCTAAAATCAAAGTACCTATTTACAGTGTTCTTTTTCGCCTTGTTAAGCATCTTGTACGGTAATATTCCCTTACAGAGAATTGATGAATAAACTAAATTTGTAATTTTGTCCTTCACCCCGGATTCAATCTAATAAGTTTACTTGATCAGAAAGATATCTCCCAAGAAACAACCAAACTTAGCCTGTAAGAAATTGTAGTTTCGTCGAAGCACTGTAATTAGAGGTTGAGGTTTTATGAAACAGTTTTAAGGGATTAAAAAACTGTTTTCCGACAACAAATCTTTGTTTTCGAGTGTTACAAAGAAAATAGTAGTACGAAAGAGACAGAAACATGCTTTGTTTTGTTCGAAGAAGGCTCAGAATTACTTGTGTTTTTCAATTCAATTCTCTACTAGAAACCACTGGTGAAGTGGTCCCTTAAGAATTAAGTTTACGATGCAACAGTAGCCCAAAACTGGTGTCTTGGACCCATCAGACCCAAACCCCTAGCCACTGGTTAAATATCCTGAAAGGTTTTTCCAGATAAAATAAGAGAAAGTAAAGATGAAACTTGTCAAAATTAGAATGGTGTTTCACACTACTTCTGATATGCCTTTGACTCTTGCGTATTCTGGGCCAACATGATTTTTGGTATTCTGAAGCTTACAATGAGGGAGCGCTTTTGGGATAAATTCTCTGGAAATAGGTTACGAGCATACCTACCATTTTAATGAAAGAAAATAATGATGCATTGTCACAGCCAGCAATAGCATCATCCATTATGAGGGTCCCTTTCTTGACTTTAGATACGTGGAGACCTCCATCACCTTTATCATCCAATTACTTAATCTCTCTTCTCATCTGTCAAAAAAAAAAAAAAAAAAAATACTAACTGGTTACTGTCAACTGCTTAAAACTTCCACAGCATAATCAAATTTGTAAAGCAGAAAGCCAAAGGCAAATCTTTACTGCTCCTTAACCCAGATCATTTCCAATCAAGAAGTCATTAATTGTAATGCAATCATCAAGATTGAATCAAATAATAGGCTGGAATTCATATGGGTATTTAAATTTTGTCAAGTTACCATAAATAGGAAGATAAATAAAACTGGTTTTGGCTGTACAAAAATAAATGACAATGAAGACAGAAGGAAGAAATTATTACCAACTGGAATCTAAAGACAGAGACTTTGTCTTGGGAAGTTTTGTTGTGTTACGTGTGAAGTTGGAAAAAAAGAAAAAGAAAAATTAAGAAGAACAAATTAGGGTTTAGATAAGTGTTGAAAGAGTACAGTAGATAAAAGAGAAGAGGTCCCACGTCCACACCATACCAAGCTGTCTTTGCTTTGTTGAGAACTCTGGAAGACAAAAGACTGCTCATTTCTTCTCTTTCTCTTCAGTGCAAATTATGACTCTCTCCTTCTTCTTCTTCTTCTTCTTTTTCGTATCTTCTTTCACTCATAATTATCATCATGAACATCCACAACATCAATGAAAAAGATTAAAAGGAAATCTATTTTCCCCTTGTTAAATAGTTTAGTTACTGCTGTATAAAAGTAATTATAGGGCACTGTTAGTATCAAACTCAATTCTGGTTTTTCTAAGATTCTTTTTACAACTTCTCTGTGACCAACTTTTCCCATACAAACGAAGCCCACCACCAACTCTTACTGGCCCATCTAGGGTTTTTTTACAAATTTTTTTATCTTTTTTTTTTCTTCTTTTTATTATGATTCTTAGGTTTATTTCTTTTCTCATCTTTTATCTTTCCATCAAATATTAGCTGACTTTGTCTGCTTTGATTCCCTTTCAATTCTATGGATTCGCAGTATATTTCTTCTTCCATTTCTAGGGTTTATCTAGGGTTTTTCTTTTAAGATGTGGTTTCTTTTTAATTGGCTCTACTTTAGTATCACTTAATTATTATCTCCGATTTCATTGATCATCCCTTTTTTCTTTTCCTTTTTTTCTAGAAGATTCTTGGATCCTCTCTTTTAATCTGAGTCTTAGTTAGAATTAGTATATAATTTTATTCTTCTATTCTTGATGGCTTATCAGCCGATTCCGGGTCCTAGCTCGGGATCGAGTTCCAGTTCTGGGTTTCAATACATGAATTCTCCTTTTGGAGATACCACATACACAAAGGTCTTTGTCGGGGGACTTGCTTGGGAAACTCAAAGTGAGACCATGCGTCGCTATTTTGAGCAATTCGGTGAGATTCTTGAAGCTGTCGTTATCACTGATAAGAATACTGGGCGATCCAAAGGCTATGGTTTTGTGAGTATTAATTGTTTTTCACTGTTCGCTTTCATTTCAAAACACCGTCGATCCGTTGCATAATGTGTTATATCTGTGCTTTGCTTGGTTTGTTAAATAATTTTTTTTTTTTTTTTTAAATAATTTGATTGTTTATTTGCGCTCGTTGGTTGTGAAATGGGGTTGGTTAGGATTAGTGCAAATTCATTGCTACTGTCATGGATATACTTGCCAATTATTGGGGTGATTAGTGTGGTTGTTAAATGACTTTGTTTTCTGTTTGTATTTGTATGGAGGGTGTAGGTGACTTTTCGGGAACCGGAGGCTGCTAAGAGAGCCTGTGCTGATCCAACTCCAATAATTGATGGTAGGCGAGCAAATTGTAATTTGGCTTCACTTGGGCGACCGCGACCTCCAATATTCTATGGTATCTTATCTAATGTGTCTGGTTGGTCTAGATGTAGAGCGGATGTATCACTTTGCAGTTCGATCATCTATACCATGCTTGTGTGGTGATTTCTTTAAAGCTTGAACATAGATATTGATATAGGACCTTTAAATCTATTTACAACGTTGTTTTCTAGGATAATCATTATTGAGCAATTTATCTGGTATGCACCCAACATTTTGCCATCTGTTCTTTTATCGTGTCAAAGTTCATCTTCATCTTTCTTCCCTTCTGCCCAATAAAAGATTTGATGGTCTGAACGGTTTGTATTTTTTCTAAAGCATGTTTGTTGTGCTTTTAAGTATATATTACACCTTTTCAAATTCATTATTCTTTTTGTTACTAGGCTTGGTAAGAAGGTTAAAAAAAATCATTTTTTACATGCACACTTTTGCTTTCTTTATGGTATGCCCCCTTCTTGCATTTTGAAAGGTTCTTATTTGTGCTTCAATTAGCAGTTTGTTGGCTCATATATTTGGCTCTTGCTTTGTTTTGTTTCATTTTGAATTTTAGTTTCAAGCTAATGCTATCATGCTTAGAGTTTTGAAGAAAACTAAACTATCTCTATCACTGGTCCCATCAGTTTAACTTTTAAATCTTCTTAATCATTCAGATTTTCTCTATTCTATATGCTCACTGTTTCTGATACTCAGGGCGTCCAAGGCCAACAGCCCTATACAGTGGGAGCTTGCAAGCCTCCCGGGGCCCTTATATTGGAAGTTTTGGCTACCAGCAACCACTTTCATACAACTACCAACAAGGATTGGTTTATCCTCCTTATGGGTGAGTTCTGCATTCGGAAAAACATGATTTAAATCAGTTTAGCGGGTTCTAGAAATTAAAGTTAAATGATATTGTTTATGAGGAAAATGTTGTTCTCTCTCTCCTCCTTCACTTTCCCTCTCTTTTGTATATTTGTTTCTGAAGGGTAATCGACTGACAGATATAAAATCGAAGCGTCTTGCATTGCATGTTGCTGATTTGGTGACTCTTCAGTTGACTGGATCATTGGCCATATGCTGTATGTAGATAAGCAAATACATAGTTTAGTCTGCCCTGTTCTGTCATTTTAAGATAAGTTATAGTCCTAGGGTAAATTTAAACTACTAGCTCTCTGAGCTCCACTTATGCTCTTGTTCTATTTTGAACTGACCATGGAAAGCTTGGTTATTGCTTCGTTGAATTGGGTACATCTCCTTTACTACTAGTTTTTCTTTTTCTTCATTCCTCTGTTGCCTAGAGTTGTAGTTGGTGCATTTACCAATCACCGATATTGAACATGTGCTTAGGAACTTTTAGTTGCTCTAGGAATAATTAGTTTTTTTTCCCTAGATTTCAAGGTTGATAGTTACATAGTACAGTGATGTGACATGGTGTGATTGGTAATTGCAGGAATGAGAATTGAAGATCATATGTGCCCAAGTTCAATGTATATAATACAGGCAAGAATCATGTTCTTGGTTTGATAAGGACCACAAAAAAACATGAAAATCTTGGTTTGAGTTGTTAGGATCATCTTTTATTGGTTTACCTTGGGCATACTACAGGTGGCTTACTGATGGAATAGCATTATGTTAGCCTGTAAACTACTTGGGAAACTTAGATTCCTTAGAATAGAAAGTAGTGTCTGTGTCATTCATCATTTTTCTCCATGCAGTATCATGTTTCAAGGTTCCATTCTCAATTTACACCCAAAAGTTTGTTCTGATGTTGATCTTGGGTGTCCTCAATGGTTGTCTAAACATGCAGGTATTCAACATATGGTCCTGAATACGTCTACCCACAGGTAAATAGGCTCAGTAGCAGCAATTAAATTTACATCTTTCGAGGGTTTACTGATTTTATGATACTCACCACTCCCACCTTTTGCATCTTCTCATTGTACTGGTAGGGTGTTTACAACCCATACATGGGTCAGCAGTACCTTCAGATATATGGAGTACCTGGGACGGTCAACACAGCTATCTATCCTTATGGACAAATGGGTCAAAATGTTCCTGGAGGTCATGGTTATACCTCGTTGCAGGGATATGGAGTGCCTGGTCATCAGATTGTGCAGTTCAGTGGACCAAGTGTAAATGCAATAACAACTTCACCTATGCCCACAGTTCAGGCACCATATCCTGCCGGTAAATTTTTCTGTCTTAGAGCTGTTCGTTAGATATGTCAATATTTTTTTCTTAAAGTTGTTTGCCAAACACTTGTGTGATCTCGTGATATCTGGCCTGTCTATGCTTACCACATAATTGCATATTTCATGTGATTAAAGATGTAACATTTGATGTCTGATGTTACAGTTTCCCAAGCTTTATGGTTTTGATATTTTTGTGAAATTTCATTGAGTGAAGGATTGATTCCTCTAGAACTTGCTCTTGCCAAGTGGGTGGCAACAGCATGAATATCAAAAATTCAGTTGGTTCATTCCCATGTAGTTTATGTGAAATCATTAAGTTTGTTTGGAAACCTTTCAACTTGAAAATCTACCATTTATTGTGATTTAGCAGGGTTTAATTTTAAATAAAAAGTTAAAAAGAATACACCTCAGTATACTAAAAATTCCTATGTGAATGGTGCATCAAAAAGAGTTTCTCATAAACAAAATGAAGTTTCAGCCTTTAGAATCTACAAATACTATGGGGATGACATCAAAGGAATGTGAAAGAAAGATATTTACGAAGGAGTGAAACAGAGCAGTCTCTTTAGGTTCTCGGTGTGAAAGGGAGAAATTATAGTCAATGAAGACTTGCATGATTATTGGGGATTGGGGAGATTGAACTTGAAATGTCTCTTGATGGGTGTTTAACCAAGATATTATTAAGTAGATAGGTCTGATCAACGAAGTCCATTGGCTTTTTCAGGTATTGCTGCCCCTGTTCCAGCACAACCTCAATTTTTAGTTCCTGCTCCTTCTCAGTTCATGCAAGGTAGCGGTTCTGACCAAACTACTGGGTGAGGGGTGGATCAAGGTGAGTGGCATTTTCTAATTTGGGGTACAATAGTGCATGCCATCTTTTCCTTCTTGCTGCCAGTACTATATTTTATTGGAGACTGTTGTTAATTTGCAGGTATCCTTAGATTGCAGCAGGACTAAGAGCAGCGGAACTGCTACTTGAGTGGCGGGCTTCGGATCTAGCCTTGCAAATTAATTTTCTTGCATTCTAGAGGTACGATTTATCAATATCTTAATGTTCCTTGACATCAAGAAAGGTGATAAAAAGGAAAAACAAGGATGCCCATTTTTCCAGGATACTAAGATTGCGCCTTTGTTTCAATGATTTTAGCATTGACCACCAAAATTGACTTTATTGGATAATCTTTTTTATGTTGTCATTGTGATGGTTATATTCTTATTAATGAGACCTTTTGAATTGGGAAGGGGAAAAAATAAAAAAGAAAATTAAAGAGTCAAGTCAAAACAATTAATTAAAGAAAAAGATGCTCAACTTTAAATTTTGAATCAGGAACTTTCGGGTTGATTTTTTTTTTTTTTTTTTTTTTATGACTTCCGTTCTCTGGCTAGTAGCTCTTGTGGCTCTATAGTGATCCTTTGGCTGGTTATGGAGTGAAATTATAGGATTTTGGCGGTATAATTGTTTATTTGTTTCTTGAACATCTGTGTATTTATATTTCCTCTTGTGATTTGAAGTATTTATGCAACACTTAATTAAATCTTGACTGATTTTCTGTTTTGCAGGTCATACATAGTTCATGCTCACCAGAGAAGTCTGTTGTCTGAGTCGCTCCGTATGGTTGAGAAGGATAATGGAAGATGCGGGCTGCACTTCCTTTACCCTATTGTATCTAAAACCTTCATATGCCTGCTGGTGCTCAGGGAGAGCCGCGAGCAGTCATAGATTGATGGATGCTGGAATTGGGATTTTGGCAACCATGTAGGAAGGAATAAAACAATGTTTTTTTTTTTTTTTTTTTTTTTTAAATTTCAAAAAAGGAAAAAAAAGACAGTCAACATGCATAGAATCAAGATATGATTCTTTTATAGTCTAGTCTAAGTCCCAGCATTTGGGTATATAGATGGTCTATGGTACTGGTAGTGGTGACTACTGTTGCCCCCTGCATTGTATTTAAATTAAAATGTCATTTCAACTTTTGTGCATATTAGTTCTAGGGGTTTTATTTTACACCATCTTCTGTAATATTCTTGATCTGACAGCCCGACCTCAAAGCATGGGGAAAGCTTCAGTCATATTTAATTTAAAAAAAAAAAAATTCTGTGTGTATTGGCTCTTCTAGCAGTGTCTGTCATGAAATTTTTGCTTGTTTACACTCCTTTTAAGGCCTGGCCTCACCGTTTACAAACCCACCAAATCCCCAAAACCTATGAAAGCAATTTTTATAGATGATTGATAGTTTAATATATAATGATTATATAAATCAAACTGCTTAATTCGTAATTTGAAGAAGGAAATCTTCATTATAGTATACATGGACTAAAAACTAAAACTAAAGTTCCAAAACACCTTCGGTTGGGCATCCAATTGGGTGCAAAGGTAGTATCTTTGTTTCAACAACGGGTTGTTTTGGGATAATTTTCTCTGAAGATTAGTGGGCTAATAGATTGTTATAGGATGTTTTTCCTTAGGAATTAGTGGAGGTCCGATAGCTACCTTTGCCTCGAGGGGGTTGTTTTTACTATAATTTTCCCTGAGAATTAGTGGAGGTTGGTTGGTTTGGGAGAAATCAAGAGGTTGACCTAACGGTCAAAGAGATTTGTTTTATTTCTTGAATATTTGGGTTTAAATTTTAAGACTATCTATCGTAATAATATTGTGGTTTACTTAATCTTTTAGGTTTGTATAGTGTTTAATGAATTTTAAGATTATATGAAGTGTATCGGAACTGGCCTAAATACTCTGATTTAAAAAAAAAAAAAAAAGGGTTGGCTGGGAACTATGACAGAATTAACTCCCGTATCTGAGTACTGAAATTTTTCATTATTAAATCGGCAGCTCTTTACTTATGACACTACCTTAGAATTTTTCATTATTAAATCGGCAGCTCTTTACTTATGACACTACCTTAGATTCAGTGACTTTATTGGGATGACAGAATTAACTCCCGTATCAGAGTACTGAAATTTTTCATTATTAAATCGGCAGCTCTTTACTTATGACACTACCTTAGATTCAGTGACTTTATTGAAATTCTCGAACTATTATGGACTACAAAACAACTGGAGTTATCAGTTTTAGTTTCCTTTTGAAACTCATTCTGTGGCTGATTAACGGACAAATCAGATTAACCGTGAAACAATTGAATTGACCCTCCGGTGTAACGTGAAACATTTTACCTTTACCGTAATTTGGGATTTTCTTTGATAGAAGTTCTGGGAAAAACTCGTGAATGATGACTTGTAGCGACCTAGAATCATCACCATGAACAGTAGTCCTGGTAAAAGGTGATTATCATTAAGAGGAAAAGTCATCACAGGTATTGGCAGCACACATTTGTGTGGTATTGCCGGAGGGATTCAACTCCAGGGACGAATCGAAAGGATCTGAAGAAGATGAGCTGATTATGTAAAGGTTGAGTGGGCGTGTGGAAAAGTCTGGTGAAAGTAGCATATTAAGAAAGGAAATCCTAGGTAGCCGCAGCACATTAAACAGGACTGATAATGTCAGCCGTTTGAAAATTGCCCAGCCGATGCCTCTCCTTTTACTCAGGATCACGTATCTCAGTAGCAAACCGCCCCACCTCCTCGTCGCATTCCAAGGTAAATTCATGGTTAACCTTTACCTGTTAGTTGCGGTTGTAGTAGCTGTGGTTGTGGAGGTCAGTGATGGGATCCCTTGGGTCATCCCACTGAGTAGAAACTGGAACAAGAAAAAAATGAAGTTGAATTGTTGAGTGTATTCATAAAGACCTGAATACAGAGGATTCAGGCGGGCATCTTTTTTCTGCCGAGTTGAAGAGCTTTTCTCGCTTATCTCTCAACTAATCCTGCCGTGACTTTCATTCTGAATTATTAAAAATCAACTAACACTATAGTCCTAATCTTTCATAAACTAACACTATAGTCCAACTATATAAACTATTACTAATATAAAGTGGCGTTTACTTCGTGGAATGTATGAGAATAGGAATAGGGATGAGAATGGGAATATGTGAAGGTGTAAAATATATTATGTTGTTTACTTTTAACGATGAAGAGTGGTGGAATGGAATAAAGTTTGTGATTTTAAGACAAAATTATCCTTAGGGGGCGTTTGGTTGGAGCTAATAAAATATTACTGGAGTTATGTCATCTTATATTACTTGATTACTATGTTTGGTTGTCAAGTAATATAAGATTCCAGTAATCTTGCATTACCATTTACCAATAGTTGTTCTTGTTGGTAATCTTGAGGTAATCTGATTACCTCTATTTTCTTAGATATTATAAGATTACCTTGGTAATCTTATTTTTGTTATAATTTTATCCCTTATTAATAAAAAAATTTGGACAATAATACCCCTGTTTTAAAATAAATTTACATTAATATACTATTTTAATTTTATCTTTGTTTTATTAAGTTTTTTGAAAATAATGTCTTTATATTTAAAACAAATTACAGACCACCGCCACCTAGCCACCACCGTCAACAGCAAGCCAACCACCACGGATCACCGCCGAAAAGTCGTTGGAGTCCCTAAAAATGACCGAGATTCGTTGGGAAGCTCCTGGAGGCTTCAATATGGCCATTTCCAGCCATATTGATGACCGAAAACGATCATATCAGGCCAGATCTTGCCCAAGTCTGGCCGATAATGGTCAAGGATCTAGCTAAAAATGGCTAGACATATGGTCGTTTTCGGCCATCAATATGGCTAGAAATGGCCATATCGAAGCCTGGTGGTCACGGTGAGCTAGTCACAGCGACTTTCGGCTGTGGTTTGTAGTGGCGACAGGAGGTGGGGGTCATTTTATCATAAATTAAAGTTTTATATAAGCGCGGTGTTTTAGCTAAATTTGAAATATTGGGATTAAAAATTATTCAAAAATTAATAATAAAAATAATATTATATTAATATTTAAAAAGAGAGCAATTTAGTAATTTAAATAACATACCCACCAATTTATTCCCTCTAACCAAACATATTAATATAACATACCCACTAATTAACCAAACACATTTTCCTAAAGATTCCTAATAATCTTCAAGGTAATATAAGATTCTAGTAATTCAACATTCCTTGAACCAAATGCGCCCTTAATACTAGATTATTATATTTGTAAATTTTGTTAAACAATAAAATTCCTTAAACATATATTAGGAAAAATATCCTAATATTTAAAATATTTTATAAAATATTATAAATACAACTAAAATAATACGTATATCAAAATATTTTTTTTATTCAATAAAATTACAAAGCAATTAATGACGCCAATCAACGAATTTTCGGCCACATCAATTGTCACCGCTGGCACATGAGCAACCGCCATTCAATGATCTGTGGATCTAGTAGGTTCCAGCAATCAAAGATTATCGGAGATGGTTCACGCGTGGTGGTCTATAGATTTGGCCATCGTGCGTGATGCCTCTTTGGCTATATTGACTACTAACACCCTCCTAGATCCATAGATCGGTGGACGGTGATTCTTCATGTGTCGATGGTGACGATTGATGTGTGATCCGTCGAGAAGTCCGCTACCAACAGTGATGATAACGATGGACGTCGAAGACCATGGCAACGATGGTTGACGGTTGGTGATAGTGAAAGTGAGGAAGGGGGCAAAAAATAATTTTAACTTTTTTATATTATTAAATTAAAATAGGGGTAGGGAGAGAATTTCAACCCTTTCCCTACCTTGGAGTAACCCTTCTAAATTTGGGAGGAATGGGATTCCCCCATTTTGGGGAGTGAACATTCAATTAGAATGCCCATTCCCTCAAAATTTGGTCCAAGTAAACGGTGGAATGGGAAAAACCCCCATCCATTCCATGTCTAAGAAGTAAAGTAAACACCCCCTTAGTTAGGCTATTTTACTAAGAATAAATGACTTTTTCCCATCCAACTAATAGCTTAATGACCTTTCTTGACTACAGACTTTTAAAATACCACTTTACTATCTAAATTTATATTCGGCAGTGAACAGAGAACAAATTTAATCCAAGTTGTTAGAGCTTTTGAAGAGAGGAGATCGATAAGTCTTTTAGTGGTAGAAGGTTGGATTTTTATGGTTAGGATTAATCAAAATTTGACTTAAGAAAGACGGCTACACAAACTCTAATTGCTCGATTGTTGACAATTGACGAGATTGACATAAATAAGGTTTGAGGGGTTTTGGTGAGTTATGATTAGAAAAGATAATAGTGGTGGTGTGAGGTTGTAATGATGCCGAAATCAGAAACGGAATATAAATTTGGATAATAAAGTGGTATTTTAAAAGTTTGGGGGGGGGGAGGAATAACAAAAAAGTCGTTTACTCTATTTTAATTATGATTTAGGAAAGGTTGATTTATTGAGTATTATATAAGGCCGAATGAATTATACCTACCCAAGGTTTGGTGAAACACAGATTGATACCCAAAATGTTTCAAAATGAAAAACAAGTACATTTTATTAGTGAAAAGACTAGAATGCCCTTTGAGAAATATTAGTCTATTTTCTTAATTACTTTAGACCCCTTAAGTTTATTAATTTCATGAAATACCCCCCAAAAAAAAGTTTAAAACTTAACAAAAACACCCCCACCCACCCATACTTGCTAGATTCCGGCGGCCACCGCCAGTGGTAGCCGGAATTTGTCACAACGGTCTCCGCCACCACCGTAAATGGCTGATAATTCATAGATCTGACCTTTTTCTGCCAGATCTAACGCGAAAAGGCCAGATCTGGTTGTCGACGGCTACAACACCCCATCTTTGGCCGTCAGCGACGACAAGATCTGGCATTTTCATGTTAGATCTGGTGGATCTGGCCGGAAAAGGGCAAATCTGTGAATTATCAACCATTTACGGTGGTGGCGAAGACCGTTGTGACAGATTCCGACTACCACCGGTGGTGGCCATCGGAATCTGATAAGTATGGGTGGGTGGAGGTATTTTTATTAAGTTTTAAACTTTTTTAGGGGGTACTTGTGAAATTAATAAACTTAAAAGGTCTAAAAGTAATTAAGAAAATAGACTAATATTTCTCAAAAGACATTCTAGTCTTTTCACTAACAGAAGGTACCTGTTTGTCATTTTGAAACCTTTTGGGTACCAATCGTTCTTTTGCCAAACCTTGGGTAGGTGTAAGTCGTTTCCCCTATTATGTAACCCAAATTCCAACAGCGGGTGGGTCAAATATCAAAAAAACCCGAAAGGCCTCTCCGGCTTTTATTTTTTGTTTTGTGATTTTCCCTCTCTGAGTGGAGTTCAATCATGGCTGCTAAAGAATCTCCCGGACCCTCCGCCCCTGTCACTCCTCCAGTCGTCAAGTCCGAGATTCCTCCCACTTCCGACCCCGACGCCGACGTCGTACACGTCCCCAGCTACTCCAGTAAGTCTAATATATATAAAAAAAACCCGTAAAATTATCTATTTGTTTTTTTTTAAAACATTTTCTTGATTAAAAGTTAATTCTATTTGTTAGGATGGTTTTCATGGGACTCTATCAATGAATGCGAGGTGAAATTTCTTCCTGAATGATTGAAATTCTCGAACTATTATGGACTACAAAACAACTGGAGTTATCAGTTTTAGTTTCCTTTTGAAACTCATTCTGTGGCTGATTAACGGACAAATCAGATTAACCGTGAAACAATTGAATTGACCCTCCGGTGTAACGTGAAACATTTTACCTTTACCGTAATTTGGGATTTTCTTTGATAGAAGTTTCGGGAAAAACTCGTGAATGATGACTTGTAGCGACCTAGAATCATCACCATGAACAGCAATCCTGGTAAAAGGTGATTATCGTTGAGAGGAAAAGTCATCACAGGTATTGGCAGCACACATTTGTGTGGTATTGCCAGAGGGATTCACCTCCAGTGACGAATCGAAAGGATCTGAAGAAGATGAGCTGATTATGTAAAGGTTGAGTGGGCGTGTGGAAAAGTCTGGTGAAAGTAGCATATTAAGAAAGGAAATCCTAGGTAGCCGCAGCACATTAAACAGGACTGATAATGTCAGCCGTTTGAAAACTGCCCACCCGATGCCTCTCCTTTTACTCAGGATCACGTATCTCAGTAGCAAACCGTCCCACCTCCTCGTCGCATTCCAAGGTAAATTCATGGTTAACCTTTTCCTGTTAGTTGCGGTTGTAGTAGCTGTGGTTGTGGAGGTCAGTGATGGGATCCCTTGGGTCATCCCACTAAGTAGAAACTGGAACAAGAAAAAAATGAAGTTGAATTGGTGAGTGTATTCATAAAGACCTGAATACAGAGGATTCAGGCGGGCATCTTTTTTCTGCCGAGTTGAAGAGCTTTCTCTCTTATCCCTCAACTAATCCTTGCCGTGACTTTCATTCTGAATTATTAAAAATCAACTAACATTATAGTCCTAATCTTTCATAAACTAACACTATAGTCCAACTGTATAAACTATTACTAATATAGAGTGGCGTTTACTTCGTGGAATGTATGAGAATAGGAATCGGGATGAGAATGGGAATATGTGAAGGTGTAAAATATATTACGTTGTTTACTTTTAACGATGAAGAGTGGTGGAATGGAATAAAGTTTGTGATTTTTAGACGAAATTACCATTAGGGGGCGTCTGGTTGGAGCTACTGGAAGATTATTGGGTTATGTCATCTTACATACTTGATTACCATGTTTGGTTGTCAAGTAATATAAGATTCCGGTAATCTTGCATTACCAATAGTTATTATTGTTGGTAATATTGGAGGTAATCTGATTACCTCCATTTTCTTAGGTATTGTAAGATTACCTTGATAATTTTTTTTTGTTATAACTTTATCCCTTATTAATAAAAAATTTGAACAATAATGTCTCTGTTTAAAAATAAATTTATATTAATATATTATTTCAATTTTACCCTTGTTTAATTAAGTTTTTAGACAATAATGCCCTTATATTTAAAATAAATGACCACCACCGCCACCCAGCTACCACCGCCAATAACGGGCCAAGCACCGTCGGAAAGTCATCGGAGTCCCTAAAAATGACCGAGATTCGTTGGAAGGCTCCGGGAGGCTTCGATATGGCCGTTTTCGGCCATATAAAACGGCCATATCGATGGCCCAAAAACGGCCAGATCTTGCCTAGGTCTAGCCAATAATGGCCAAAGATCTAGCTGAAAATGGCTAGACATATGGTCATTTTCGGCCATCAATATGGCTAAAAACGGCCATATCAGAGCCTCGTGGTCACGGTGAGCTACTCACGACGACTTTCGGAGACTTCCGACTGTGGTTTGCAGTGGTGGCAAGGGGTGGGGGTCATTTTATCATAAATTAAAGTTTTATATAAGTAAGGGTGTTTTAGCTAAATTTGAAATATTGGGGGTTAATAAAAATAATATTATATTAATATTTAAAAAAAGAGCAATTTAGTAATTTAAATAACATACCTACCAATTTATTCTCTTTAACCAAATATATTAATATAACATACCCACCAACTAACTAAACACATTTTCATAAAAATTTCCAATAATCTTCAAGGTAATATAAGGTTCTAGTAATCCAACATTCCTTGAACCAAACGCACCCTTAATACTAGATTATTATATTTGTATATTTTGTTAAACAATAAAATTCCTTAAACATATATTAGGAAAAATATCCTAATAATTTTAAATATTTTATAAAATATTATAAATATAACTAAAATAATATGAATATCAAAATATTTTTTTTACTTAAAAAAATTACAAAGCAATTAATGATGCAAATCAACGATTTTTCGGCCACATCAATTGTTGCTGCTAGCACATGAGCAACCGCCATTTGATGATTTGTGGATCTAGGCAAGTTCCAGCAATCGAAGATTATCGGAGATGGTTCACGTGTGTTGGTCTATAGATTTGGCCATCGCGCGTGAGGCCTCTTTGGCTATGTTGACTACCAACACCCGCCTAGATCCATAGATCGTTGGACGGTGATTCTTCATGTGTAGATGGTGATGATTGATGTGTGATCCGTCGAAAAGTCACTATCGACAATGACGATAACAATGGATGTTGAAGATGATGGTTCACGGTCGGCGATAGTGAAAGTGGGGAAGGGAACAAAAAATAATTTTAAATTTTTTATATTATTTAATTATTAAAATTTAAATATATTATTTAAAGGAAAATAGGAAAAAATAATTAAAATAGGGGTGCGGAGAGAATTTCAACCCTTTCCCTACCTTGGAATAACCCTCCCAAATTTGGGAGGAATAGGATTCCCCCATTTTGGGGAGTGAACATTCCATGAGAATGCCCATTCCCTCAAAATTTGGTTTAAGTGATCGGTGGAATGGGAAAACCCCCATCCATTCCACCGTCTAAGAAGTAAAGTAAATACCAGCTTAGTTAGTTAGGTTATTTTATTAAGGGTGTGTTTAGTTCAAGGAATGTTATATTATTGAGAAATGTTGTATTATTGGAAAGATAGATTACTAGGAAATCTTTAGAGAAATGTGTTTGGTGGGTTAGAATAAATTGATAGATATGTTATAATAATATGTTTGGTTGAGAGGATAAATGAGTGGATATAGTATGTAGATTACTAAATTGCCTTCATTTTAAAATAATAATATAATATTATTTTATTCTATTATTTTTTAAATTATTTCTTTTAACCCCCCTATATTTGAAATTTTACTAAATCACCCCAACCATATACAACTTTAATTTATAACAAAATCACCCCGCTCACCCCAAGCCACCGTTGGCAGCCGCCACCACCACAGAAAGCTGCCGTAATGGCGCACGACCAGTAGAATCTGGCTGGTCGTACGCCGATAAGGCCTAATCCTGCCAAATTTGGCCGTGAATATGGTCATTTCATCGCTAGATCTGGCCGTCAATATGGCCATTTCACGGCCAAAGATGTGGTCGTGAAACGGCCACAGATCTGGCAGTGAAAAGACCAGATCTTTGGCTGTGAAACGGCGACCATTTCACGGCCAAAGATCTGGCCTTTTCAAGGCCAGATATAGTCGTTTCCGGCCATGGATCGCAAATCCATGGTCGGAAACGTCCTTATCAGCACATGACCGGCAAGATCCTGCTGGTCTTGTGCCGATATGACGAATTTCGCTAGCGGCTAGCGGTTGTGGCTAGCAGTCGGCGGTGGTCTTTGATGGTTGGGGGTATTTTGTTAACTTTTAAACTTTTTTTGTGGCAGGGGTGTTTTAGCTAAATTCTCAAATATAGGGGGTCTAGGAATTTTTATTTGGTAGACATATGAGGGCAAATATGTCCGAAATGATAAATTATTAAGGACAAAATAGGGTTAAAATTAATATTACCTCGGTAATCTTATAATAACACCCCTTGGGAAGGTAATCTGATTACCCCCAATATTATCAACAGTAAACACTATTTACAATAAAAGATTACGTGATATTTTATTACCAAATGAGGGAATCTTGAAAATTAAACAAAGATTACAGGATTAATCTTATATCACCCTGAACCAAACGCTACCTAAGAGTAAGCAACTTTTTCCCACCCAAATAATGACTTAATGACCTTTCTTGTCTACAGAATTTTAAAATACCATTTTACTATCCAAATTTATATTATGACAGTAAACATAAATCAAACTTGGTCCAAGTTGTTAGGGCTTTTGAAGAGGGAAGACCAATGAGTCTTTTGGTAGTGAAATGTTGAATTTTGATGGTTATGATTGATTGGAATTTAACTTAAGAGGGATGATTGCTTAAACTTTAATAGCTTGATTGTTGGCGATTGACGAGATCGGCAAAAATAAGGTTTGAGGGGTTTTGGTGAGTGATGATCGGGAAATAGAATGATGGTGGTGTGGGGACGGGGGTTACAACGATGTCAATATAAAAAAGAGAATATAAATTTAGGTAATAAAGTGATATTTTAAAAGTTCGTAGGTAGGAAATGTTATTTGGGTGGGAAAAAGTCGTTTACTCTATTTTAATTATGATTTAGGAAAGGTTGATTTATTGAGTATTATGTAACCCAAATTCCAACAGCGGGTGGGTCAAATATCAAATAAACCCGAAAGGCCTCTCTGGCTTTTATTTTTTGTTTTGTGATTTTCCCTCTCTGAGTTGAGTTCAATCATGGCTGCTAAAGAATCTCCCGGACCCTCCATCCCTGTCACTCCTCCAGTCGTCAAGTCCGAGATTCCTCCCGCTTCCGACCCTGACGCCGACGTCGTACACGTCCCCAGCTACTCCAGTAAGTCTAATATATATATAAAAAAACCCCTACAATTATCTATTTGTTTTCTTTTAAAACATTTTCTTGATTAAAAGTTAATTCTATTTGTTAGGATGGTTTTCATGGGACTCTGTCAATGAATGCGAGGTGAAATTTCTTCCTGAATTCTTTGATTCACGTTCCCCTTCCAAAAACCCTAGAGTTTACAAATACTATAGGAATTCTATAATCATGAAATTTCGAGAAAACCCTTCGAGGAAGATCACTTTCACAGACGTCAGGAGGACTCTTGTGGGTGACGTGGGCTCCATTCGAAGAGTATTTGATTTTCTTGAGACTTGGGGACTTATCAATTTCTTGGCTTCTGTCAAGCCCCTCAAGTGGGAAGATAAAGAAACTAAGTCTGCTGCTCCTTCCGTTGAATTTGCTGCTTTACGTAAGGAGACTTCTAAGAGGGTTTGCAATGGTTGCAAGTCTCTTTGTACCATTGCTTGTTTTGCTTGTGAAAAGGTCTGTGTCTTGCATACAATTTATTGCATAATAGAATAATTGAAAGAACTTCACCTTTTAATGTAGAATGTTGTGTGAAATTAGATTTTCTCATAGAATGGTGGTGACAGCTGACTTTTACAATATTTATATTGTTTTATGAATTTCAGTACGAGTTGACGCTTTGTGCTAGATGCTATGTTCGTGGGAACTATCGGGTGGGTGTTAGTTCTTCAGACTTTAGGCGGGTTGAGATCAGTGAGGAGACAAGAACAGAATGGACAGAGAAAGAGACTTTGCTGCTTCTGGAGGCTGTTATGCAGTATGGTGATGACTGGAAGAAAGTTGCACAACATGTTCCGGGTAGATGTGAGAGAGATTGCATTGCTCATTTTATCAAGCTTCCTTTCGGGGAGGAATTTATTGGTCAGCCGGACTCAGGGGAGGATGATAGCAAAATTAATCATATGAATAATTCTGGCGATGCCGAAAGTGAATTGTTAAGTGATGGCACAACATCCCCTAGTAAAAAAATGCGCCTCACTCCTCTTGCAGATGCAAGCAACCCAATCATGGCTCAGGTATGCTTTCAGGTTATATTTAGTTGAAAACTGAAGAAAAAGGGATGGATGCTTTCCATATTGATGTATTTAGGAAACAATATTAGGAATCGGGTCGATACTATTAAGGCACGGAAAGCAGTGTGTTGAATGCCAGAAACCGTTATAAGATTACTTGTTGCAGGGTGGCACTATTTTATAATCCTATAAGATAAATTTTAGGGTAGGTAAGACTTTTTTGAATCAACTCATATTTGACTAATTGACAATAATGGACCAAAATTATTTCTCTTTGACTTAGTGTCAAGAGTTTTTTTTTTTTCTTTTAATTTTTTTTTAACATCTGAATTCCTTTTTATTCATTGCTGTTTGTCCAAAGTTATATCAGATGATTTTATGTGCAATTTTTATCAGGCTGCTTTTCTATCGGCTTTGGCTGGTGTTGAGGTTGCTGAAGCAGCTGCTCGAGCAGCTGTGACAACTCAGTCAGAGGTTGATAACAGAACAAGTAAACCGAGTCTTGGCTCTCTTGTCAGAAACATGAAACATCAAGGTATGATTAAGCACTCCTCTCAAGCCATGTGTGTTCACTTTCTGGAACCAATTATATTCTTCCATGATGAATTTGAGCCAAGTTCTTTGTCAGTGTAGAAATAGTTTCTGCTGTAGTCCTTTGGTGAGAGCTGCCATCAAACTGTTTGTAAAATCGAGAACTTTCTGTTGTTGAGATATCCTACTGAGTATAATAATGACTTACTTGCATTATGCAGAAGCTGAAGTTGCAGCTAATGGTGATACCACTGAAAATGTACTGGAAAGGTCTTCTTTTGATGCAAATTCCTTGATAGAGAAGGAGCAGCTGGATCTCGAGAAAGCTGTTACTGATATCATGGAAACACAGGTGTTTAGCATTTTTTTGATCATTTAGTGTTTGTTGGTCAACATATAAATTATTAGCTAAAACTTAATGAATTTTGCAGATGAAAGAAATCCAAGAGAAGATTGTTCGTTTTGAAAAGTTGGATCTGCAGATGGAGAAAGAATGGCAACAGTTGGAGGAAATGAAGAATATGCTTTTTGTTGATCAACTTTCTCTTCTGTTTCATAAAACTTCTGCTCCAAAATCGGGAGATCACATTGAGGAGAATGTCAAAATTCATATTCAATAGTTGTTTGCATGTACTATATTTATTAAATACTAAATTTATATCTTTTCGCCTATTTGTTGGATTTCTTTGAATGATTTGCACATGCTCACATCTAATTGATCCAGTGGTTTCCACTTAGGGTTCCTGCTCAAAACGAGACATAAAAAGAAATTGGAATTTTGGGTTGGCGTTGGGAACACCCCCATTTTCACAAACTTGATGTGGCATGATATGAGCTTTGTTATCCACCTTACACATACCAAAAAGCATTAAACTTGATTCAAATTGGAGAATAAGGTGAAGTTACTAATGATACAAGAGATACAATTTATACAGCTACCATACCCAGTTGGGAGTCGCTTTACTACGCCCAAGGAAATATCAAGGTAGTCCTGCTAGAATGAATAGATCATATATGATCACTCAAGAATTTTCATTGTCAATACAAAAATGTTAACAGGAAGAAGGTATCACGTAGCAGCATCTTAACATAAAGCTGGAAAACCAGAACTTTTGCTGCCGCAGTTCAGTAGTTGTTCCCTTTGTTTTAAATGAACCTGAACGAAGCAACAGTCTGCAAAACAAAATATTATTTCTGTTTCAGAAAACGAATTCAAAGCACAGTTTTCTTCAATCATGCTGCAATATTACTTGAATGCCAATTGATTTCCAGGAACTAATTTAAGACAGTTTCTGTCTCCGTACTCATATTGGATTTGACGGGGAATGATAAAGACGGGCTACTCTTAACTGTGTTCAATAAAATTTCTCTTTGACACTGTAAACTGAATAACAATTCTACAAATTAGCTGACCTTCTCAATTCTGGAACTGTATTTCTCTGATTCTTCTTCGACAAACTGCAGCAAAAACACGAAATCTTAAGAGTCAATTATAGGCCATGCATTCATTGAGGAGCTGCAATAGCTAAATAACAGAAGACAATGAAGATGACTTTCAATTTTGATGCAAAACCCACCTGTCCCGTGACAGTATATAGTCTGTTATACCAACCATTTGTTGCCATCCCAATGGCTGAATACAAATGTTTGCGACTTTCACCAGGGTTCTGCAGTGTATACTCTATGTAATAGAACCCTGCATTGGAACCATCACATATCATTTAATATAAGTTCATGTACATAAAAAAAGTAGCAAAAATTCATTGGCACTTGTTACCACAAATGGTAGATTGAGAGATAATATGCAATGTTGCACTCAGATTGAGTGATTGCATAGAAAAGAAGTTGAATCACCTTTAGATGCTTTACAATCTATGAGTTTTGCTTTCACACCTGGAGGCCTTTGCCAGCTTCTGTCCAGTCCACTGACCTGTTTGTTGAAGACAAGTTGATATGCAGAATGTAACATGTAAGCTGAACGAGTTTCCTTTCAAGAAATTGCAGTAGATAAATGATGAAAAACCCACCAGAGTTTCGGCGAACTCTTCAACCTTGCCAAAAGATTCCATTCTTGTAAAATCCGGACCAAGTCCCGTGATTACAACGCTGACTAATACAACCAGGTTTAGATTCATAAAAAGCTTTGAATAATTACCAAAAATGATGGATCCACCACATAACTCTATGAATACCGTTTGAATTAGTATCTTCTGCCGGGTAGAAAGCTGTTATTGATTTGAATCCATTATCACCAGCCCCCACTTGCCAATCTGCATCAACAAGCAATGAATACTCCTTATTACTCGATCAATGTAAAATTTCAGCTCTAGTTGTATTATCACTTCATATATAATTACAACCACAACTCTAAATCTGCATAAGGAATTACCTTGAGGAATCAATATCTTGAATTTGTTGGCATCATCAGTATAACTACGGAAATCTCCTGGGACATCTAAAACATAAAGAAAATATATAGAACAAACAATCAAAACCTCAAAACTCAATCCACCCCGTAATTATCAACTACCGAAACAACCAAGTTACCATTCTCTGCCAACGCCTTTGAAACAATGGCTGGAAAAGAAAATGCAGTGAAGGCCAACTGCAACACAACTTGCCTTCTTTTAGCTTGAGTTTGATCTAGCTCCAGCGCGCAAAATCTGTTACTAATAGAAACCAGCATACATAGCCAACACACTGAGGTTAACAACACTAATTCAACATAAAAAAAGGAAAAAAAAAACCAAAAATCAATCGCAGAACTCAATTTTAAATTACACTGGTGTTTCTTCTTCTTCTTGCTGTTCTTGTTTGCAAAACGCCTGTTGCTTTCTAAATTGACTGATTCCTGAAAGAAATTGTATGAACAACAAAACAATCAATACAACGAAGTTGGCTAAGAAATCAAGAGTTGAGAGATTGCAGACCTTTGAAAGGTGAGAAAGAACCATCACGAGGACGCAGAGACAACGAGTACAGTGAAGAAATAGACGCCATGGTTTTTAGATTGGCCTCTGTATTGGGTTTGGACATATATTCGCTTTTTCAGTTCACTTCAGTTGGCTGTTACTAGCCGTTAGTTTTTTTTTTCTTTTCCGCTATAATAAATAATATTTCTGGTACTAAAAAATTCACAAATAAAAATAAAAATTTCATTTTTTATTTAATATAATATAGATAATCATTTTACCTTTTAATTGTTACATTAAACATTAATTTAAGAATCAAACCATGGTGGAAATTGGTAGATTCGTCTAACCTTGGCGGGTAAATTAATGATAATAAATTTTAATTAAATTAAATTTCGAACACCCCTCACTGAAATATAATGGCACCAGCATTAATTAAATTAAATTCAAGGTCTCAATTATTATGTTCCATGTTATTATGGACCGAATACAGTCTCTACCAACCCTGAACTATAATTTTTGGACCACCCATTCAAGACCAAGTATCCAGTCCAACTGTAATACAAATTGCCAATGTAATTATTATTAATTAATTAATTATTGATTAAGATAACTTAAAAGGGCAAAAAGAGAAAACAACAAGCGCCAAATACAAAAATTTACATGATTGTTCTCCATACTCGCAGAAACTGCTAAAAGGAAAACACCCGCTAATGTTTACTTAACACGTAGGGGTATTTGGGAAATAATGAGGATATTTTATGTGTTGTTAAAGCGAGTAAGAGACTATTTGTAGTCGAGAAAGAGAGTGAGGGAAGGCGTTGAAGTAAATGCAAATAAATAATGGCCTGCTTTTACCTGCTTTTTTTAATAAATTAAAGCCCCGTAAGAGAGAAGTCATGAAAAAGAGAAATCTTTTAATATTTTAAATTAAAAATTAAATTAAAATACCTGAAGTAAAATATATACTTAAATATTCACCATTTCTTTATGCAGCTTCTCTGCCTTTTTATTTTTATTTTTTATTTTTATTCATTTCCCAATCCCTGAAATTTCTTCACTCAACTCTCCTTTACCTCTCATATTTTTTTTTCATATTTATTGGTGAGTTTATTGTTATTTTTTTTTCTTTTTTTTTAATTTTTCATGTATTTTTCACATTTTTTTAAACAGTAGAATTCAAAATTCTTTGTAAAATTTGTTTCTTTCTTTTGGTTGTTTGGTGTAATTAAATTTTCTTTTTTAGTTTGATGTTTGTAGGAATTTTTTTTTCAAATTTTGTAACTTGTGAAAAATTATGGTGGATTTGCAGTAATTAGGGTTTTTATCTGTGCAGTTTACTAGATTCTCTCTAGATTTCACTCCGATATTTCAGGTCAAGGGAGGTTTTCTTGCTTAGGGTTTAGTATAACCTCACTCTAGTTCAAATTCTGCTCTGAATTTCAAAGATCTCTGAATTTTAAACAAATCATCACACTGGTCCACTCACTCTAGTTTAAAATGGAGTCTCTTTACTTAATTATGTATATTAGATTTCTTTTTAATGCTTTTTATTTAATTTTGTGTTGTACAGGGAAGAGAAAAGAAAATGTCAGGATCTGAGACAGGAGTGAATGTGATGACGAGTAGAGAACCGTTCAACACGGGTATTCAGAAGAGTGTGGTACAGCCACAGCCGGTAGTACAGAACATGCGTTTAGCGTTTAGTTCTGACGGGACAGCTGTGTACAAACCAGTGACTCCACCGTCACCTACCTACCAGCCCAACCCGGCGGATGGTGGGCCCACAGGGGTGACATCTCCACAAGGAGCGAATATGAACATGGGAGGGAGTGAGTCCATGAAGCGGAAGAGAGGTAGGCCGAGAAAGTATGGGCCAGACGGCACAATGGCACTGGCTCTCGTGCCTTCACCTACATCTGCCTCCGCTAATCAATCGGGTGGCGGAGGCTTCTCTCCTCAAGGAGGATCGGCTTCGCCAAATTCTTTGAAGAAAGTTAGAGGAAGACCGCCTGGTTCTAGCAAGAAACATCAGCTTGAAGCTCTTGGTATTTCTTTTTTTTTTTTTTTTTTAAATTAAAGAAGTTGAGTGTTGTTTGGATTAATCATTATTTGTGTGTTTATGTCACGTGATGGGATTGGAATGTTTTAGATGATGTTTGTTTGCTTTGTTGGGTTTGACTAGTTTTTCTGGTCTTGATTGTCTATCGTGTTATATTGTATAGTTTTCTATTTTTATTTTTAATCTTGTGATGGTGTTGAGGGTTATTAGTTTGGTATTCTGGCAGGGAATGAAATGAAATGGTAATTGCTGATATAATAAAGTGTTGTTATGTTTAAAAGAGTATTATGTGGAATAGAAAAGGAAAGCTGATGTTTTGCTGGAAATAGGGATCTGTTCGATCTGACCTCAGATTCTTCTGTTTGACGAAAGTACAATTATGCCCTTGACTACTGTTGACCTTTGTAGAGTTCTCCTCAGTCTTCACATCCCCTATTGTTTTCATGCATGCTTTTCACATTGATTTGATGAAAGCTAATGCTTTTGAATTTTATGTTCACCTAAAACTTTTACATTATTTTTTTCTTAAACGTTTTAATAAGAAAACAAAAGTATTTTAATATTTGAGTCTCAATGGGTTCCTTCTAATTCTCTGAATTCTTAACTAATGAGAAGAAAAATTTCTCAGGAATTTTTGTTTGATGGAAAAAGAATTTCCTTTGCTGCAACATCAATTAAGAAAATTTATTAAGAAAAATTAGTAAATATAATGGGGGATTTTCGTTCTGGGTTTAACTCTCAATATGATTTCAATTTTATTTTACTATTTTTCTATTTTAAGGTTTTCAATTTCCTTGATACTTATGCATTTGATTTAGTTAACTATGATTTTCTCACAAAGTTTTCTTTTTCAGGATCAGCCGGGGTTGGATTTACACCACATGTTATCACTGTGAAAGCTGGAGAGGTTTCTGTTTGCCATTTACATTTGTTTTCTTTCTCATTTATGCATTTTCTGAATCTTGTAGAAAATTTTCCTTGTAGCATCTAACACCAATATAGTCTATGCTCCAAAGGATTGTTCTTTGGATTAAAATACTATGCACTTAGTTTGCAGATGTTTATATATATATAGTGCTGACATTAATGTTGATATGCTTTTTTCAAGTTCTGCCGTTTAATTTTGACTCACGTGTTGTAACTACAGAGTATTATGTATTCTTCAGGTTGATCTATTAAAGTTTCCCTTACATTTTCTAACTGTGGGTGTCATTTTATCTTAAGTTTCTTGACTAATCGTAAATGTATACAAACAAGTTAAATGTGATTAATTCCTCGTTCTGTTGATTGTGGTGTTGTATAAATGTTGTCAAGATTGTCAAGTTGTGAACCTAGTGTTATTATGGCAGTGTCAGGAATTTTCAGCCAGTTCATTCGTTTTTTTCCATACCAATATGCCGAACACAACAAGAAAGAAACTGGAAATTTTACAAAATTTGATTGTAGTTTTCACTATGCAGTTCCAAGTTGGAACTTCGATTTATTTTTTTATCCCGCTTCTGTGATATGGTTTACAAAGTCATAAGTATGTGGTGCTGCTCAGTCAATTTCATAGGTAAAAAATTAATTATTTCCTTAGTTGAGTGATTAAATACATTTCATTTGTTCAAACTAGTGATATGGTTTAAAAATCATTTAATAATGTGGAAGTGTTTGATGAATTTTTAAATTTATTTCTCCTTTATACTTCAATATTGGAGGGGGAAAAGAGAAGGAAGGGCTTTGCTAGCCCCGATCCAAGTGGCGATTTTTTTTTTTCTTTTGAATTGTCATCTTGGCAAGGGGATGTTCTTCAATTTTTCATTTGCAGAAAGTTGTATATTGTTTGGTGATCAAATTAAAAAAAGAATCTTAAACTGGCTGGCAAGGAAAAAAAAAAAGCTGTATTTACGGCTCTTAAAGTACTATATCTTATGGCGAAGTTCCGAGGAAGTTATTCCTTTATATTATTGTATGTAACCTGTCTGTCTTTTCCAAATTAGTGCTTCTTTGAAAAGAATTGTGTATTCAGTGAAAACAGTTTACAAAAATAGTTTAAGCATGAATTTATCTCATTTTTTTGGTTGCATCTTATTATTGCTTTGAACGAATCCGACTTCTAGGTGTGAGCCCCATATCTTTTGTGTTTGAACCTGATTTGCGTGCTTGCAGCATATTGTATTTTACCTTGGCATGTTGTGGAACATGCCCTTGGTGACTAAAGTCTCGGTTGCTGGTGAAGCAAAGCGCAAAATTCTAGTAATTTTTCAATTATTTTAGCTCAACTTGATTGAAAATGAACATCCTATAATAGGTTCACCCAAACGTCTTTTGTGGAAGAACTTAGTTTTCATTTTATTTGTTTATCACTGTTAAAACAGCTGAACCCTGGTGCTACTAATTTAATTCCTTTAGAGGGAGACATTTGTGGTTTGAAACTACAGATGCCACCATGTAGTATTTGAGTGCAGACCATTTCCCATATGATTACAGTAGTTTGAGCTCATCAGGTTTAAAATTTTTTCAATGTGATAATCAGGACCGTTGACGAGTGTCCTTCGTTTATAGATTGGTGCAAATGGGAATGAATGATCCGTGGTTTTGCGGTTTGTTGACATTTGTAGATGCAATTGATTACTTGGCAGATTCTACTTGAGTCCTAATTTTTGCAGTTCTGTGCATTTTATTTCTAATATCAATGACATCATATTATGATTCTTGATTATGGTTGAATGTTGCTTTTTAATTCTAACCCTTTTTTTTTTTTTTTTTTTTTTTTTGAATTTTTACACTTGTAACGTGTTCAGAGTTAGAAGGAGACATGCATGTGCAAGTATATTAACTACATTTTAGTTAATTTAAGGAAACAAAAACTAATGCCTTATATATCCGGATTTTCAGGATGTATCATCGAAAATAATGTCATTTTCTCAGCATGGTCCCAGAGCTGTCTGTATCCTCTCAGCAAATGGAGCCATATCTAATGTGACTCTCCGTCAACCAGCAACATCTGGTGGAACTGTAACCTATGAGGTGGGTGTTGCCTTATTTATGACTTATAGCTGTAACTCGAGGTCACGGCATTTGGACCTTAGAAAATTGCAGCAATTTTAAATGCATTTATTGTAAACAATTAGACCTGTGCAATGCTGATGACGGCACAATGCCTTCTTTAGCTCCATAATTAGCTGGAATTTCGTTTTTAAATTTGATTTAGTAGTTATTTCTTTATTTTGGTTGGGAAGGGTGATCGTGTCTGGGACAGATATGGTATGTGGATTAAATTCTTGGTGTCGCTTTATACAAAAATTCCCAGTAAAGTTATATATTAACAGTGATAGGAACTTAATTTATTTATTTTTGGGATGTCGATTGTGAATCAGTGTTGAAATTAAACTTTATTAACTACCTGTTTAAGTATAGTTGTAAAAACCTTTTTAAAGAAAAGTATTACTTTTCAACCAATTTGTTGTATTATTATTTACGGTGCCAAAAACTGGTTAAAAATTGAAAAGCATTCTTGTACATCTGTCTTAAGTTTAGGTTTCAGAAGCAACTTGTTATACCTGCTGAAATCGCCCATCAGAGACAGAATCATTGGAATAAGCACTCCCGACCGGACATGTGACTGACTGTATACCAAATGACTTTCATGAGTTGGGTTGCCTCATTCTGTGCATGTGGTCATTCGAGATATATAGTTTAATTTAACCAATCAACTTTTATTTTTCTCTTTCTCCTGTTTTCTTATTTGTTAATTTTGTTAATTCAGGGGCGATTTGAGATTCTTTCACTTTCTGGTTCATTTTTGCTATCTGAAAATGGTGGTCAGCGGAGTAGAACTGGAGGACTTAGCGTGTCATTATCTGGCCCAGATGGTCGTGTTTTAGGTGGTGGAGTGGCTGGTCTGCTAACTGCTGCATCCCCTGTTCAGGTCTCTTTGCTTTTTACTGTTATCTTCATCGATTTTGTTTTCAGTTTCCAAGAAACTCCGCTGTTAATAGTTTCCCCCATTTTTTACAGCATCTTGCAAATTTTAGATTACGTTGGAAGAAAAATTGATAACAAGAATAACAAAGGATACAAAGTGCCTGAATATTTATTAGGAAAGAAAATTAAGAGATTTGACCAAAATTAAGTTTCTTCAATCTCACTTTATGATAATAAATAATGATATTACTGCATATTATAGCTATTTTCTCTTTACCATCTCTCCCTCTCATCTTTGAGGTTGTTGATCTCACAATACAGCCATGTATTATGTTCCATTAACAAAGAACAGTTTTACTGAAGTGAATACATGTTAGCAGTTCTTACCCCTAGTAGTGAAGTGTAGCCATAAATGTTTCCAAATGATATTTAAGCTTTTATCCACGGCAGGTGGTTGTGGGGAGTTTCATTGCTGAAGGTCGGAAGGAATCAAAATCATCTAACCATATGGAACCTTTATCTGCCCCTTCAAAGAATATTGCAGGTGGTGGGTCTGCAGGAGCTAGCAGCCCACCCTCACGCGGGACTCTGAGCGAGTCGTCCGGTGGACCTGGGAGCCCACTTAATCAGAGTACAGGGGCCTGCAATAACAATCACCCACAAGGCATGGCCACAAGCATGCCATGGAAGTAAATGCTCTGTAACTGAAAAGCTAATTTGTGTAGTAGGCATGGGCTCTGGTGTTGTGTACTATTTACTGTAGGCATTAAAGAGACCCATTAGTAATCTAAGCAATGTGTAAGTTCTGTAGAATAAGACTATCACATGCTTTCTGTATTTGACTTTGATGCTGGCTGGAAAGTGGGAGTTAGGTAGCTTTTAGAGGTGGGCTTTGGCTTTTGAGGTGGCTGTTGTTTAGAAGATAGAGAGGTTTTTTTAGAAGGTTTTAGAACAGTTTGCCATTGTATTGGCTCATTGTAGTTGTTTGTGGTTCATTTCGTGTACTATCTCCATCCAATTGCTTGGTTGCTGTTCTGTCCTTCATTATTATCAAGCTTTTCCACAGTACTAAATCTGACTATTTGTTTAAAACAAATTGGTTCCTCGTTCAGTGAAACATGATGAGGCTAGTTTAAACCGTTTACTGCAGACCCATAAAGCATGAGATTTATGGTTCTTTCAACGGTAAAAAACGCAAGTTTCACTTCTCAAATTTGGTCCATTTTTGCTTTTCACCACAAAATCAAGATTTTTTTTACAACAATACATAAGACTACAATAGCACATATATAAGTTCTGGACTTTACTTCTTGGCTCTCTTCAACAGAAACCGCAATGAAAAGATCCCAAGAGCAAAAGTCTGCCAAAACCATCCTCTTGCATTAGCAGGATCCACTCTTTTTGCCAAGAACCAAGCATATATAGCCTCAACGATGTGTACTGCTACAGCAAGAATGAATACCATTCTTATTGTCTGAATCGACCGCATGAAGAAAAGACTGATAGCTCTAAAGAGTGGCACTGGTCCAATGTCCGGTAAGAACGCAGCACAAAACAGTGTAGACATTCCAATCGCACAAAATAACCATGCGTATATTGTAGGTCCATCTAAACTTTTGCTTTTCCTTTCTTGCCAGTATGAGATGGTCGCAGCCATGCCCTCTCTTGGACTCACCATTGGAACATACCCAAGCTCCTCTTTAGCTTTAAGGAAAGAGAAGTAATGGGTAACACCCACCTGCAAACATTGGATTCAATAAATACAAGTTAGGAAATAAGCAAATGGGCGTATTACACAAATTTAACACATGTTACAGACACAGAATACACTGTGAATCTATAAAGAGTAAATGAATACGTACAGATGCGCACACATTCATATTTTCTTCTCAGAGCAACTAAAGGGATGGATTGAGATAAAAAAAAAAAAAAAAAAACAAAAAGCCGGATATTTATGCATACTTTACCACATTTTAAAGTACCTTCTACTTGATTTGTCGGGATGTAACAAAAAAACTAATAATCTGCAACTATATTCAGCAAAGAGAAGGATATTAAAACAAACCTTGTACACTTCAGCTGGAAGGATCAGTGGTTGAGGAAGCCACCATCTATTCAACCATGGATACAAAATGGAATAGAAAACTGAGAAAATTTTCCCCAGAAAGAGAGCACGAGTAACAGCTAAACGAGACTTTGGCAAGTCATAATCCAGACTTTTGAGTAAAGGTTCAATGAATTCAAAGGTGTTGACTGGATACCCTATGAAAGAAGGGAATTAGTTATATTCTATGAAATTCTTGCAGTATTTCAATCCATTTTCATTTTAATTTATCATCACAAGGATTCTCAATAAAAGATCACTTCATCACCAATAGTTCTAGCAAAGAAACCGGAATTAGATAAGATATTTTTCACCAATGCAAGGATCATTACCATCAGACACAAAGTACGCCTGGCCAGCAGCTATCGGGCGCCCCTTTTTACCAGGAATGTCATCCAAAAGTGCCATGCTCACCAATACCAGTGCAAGTACAAGGTTATCCACATAAATCCAGTCTTGTTTCACATTCGCTTCACCAATTCTAAATGGCACCAAACCTAACTTCGCTAGGGACACTATCCTTGGAAAGTGCCTCTCTTCGCCAGGACCATAGATAGCAGCAGGACGAACCGCACATGTATATAGACATTGCCCATTATTTTTCCTGTACACCACAAAATCTCAGTTTAGAACAAAAATAGATGCCCAATTCACTGACAAACTCTTTCATTTTAAACTTTCAATGCAAAAACTAAATTATCTGAGTAAAGATACCTTTTACACAAATTTTCTTTCAACAGCTAAATTATTAGATAATACATATCACGACAATCAGAAAAAAAAGCATTCATAACAGATAGCAAAGATCTAAAGCAGAGAAAGAGCACCTATAACAAAAGCATTTTTGCAATTAAGAACAAGTACTCACTTAAAGGGACGACCATTGCTCTTTAGAACCAATTGCTCAGCAATTGACTTACTACGGCCATATGAATCAACATGATCATCGATTGGGAAATAAGGTAAGGATTCATTTCCGTTTACAATCTCTTTACCCCCAAACACAACATTGTAAGTGCTGACATAGACAAGCCTTTTGATCCCAAACTCAACACAAGCTTCAATGACATGGCAGGTTCCATTTATATTCACCTCATCCACTCGAGAAAGCTGTAACATTTCTTTCCCTGACATGCCATACGAAGCAATATGAAACACACAATCCGCTCCACGCACAGCTCTTTCAACATCTTTTTTCTTCGTAATATCCCCTGTGCCATATTAAACAATCAACCAAACCCATCAAAACTTCATTCAGTTACATAAATCTCAAAGTCCCACATCACAGAATTTGTGCAGATTCAATTTAAAAGCAAACCCATTTCTGAAAATACGAATTAGATCGGATTTAAATTTAATTAAAAAAAAAAAAAAAAAAAAAACCTTGAATGAAAACGACGCCTTTGTGGTGGAGAAGATGAGACCAAGGAGAGGTGGTTCGCAAGTCAAAGGCTCGAACCTCGTAAGCACCGCGTCGTAGAAGGTCTAAACAGATAGCAGAGCCCACGTGGCCCAGCCCACCTGTCACCAAGAATGTCTTTCCTTCTATCCCTTCATTTTCGCTGAAGTGCATTTTCTCAGAACTCCCAACTCAACTCAACACTCTGCGTCTTGATCCACCGTTCTGTTCTGGCGGTGCATGCTCGAGATGCCGCCACCTCACTCCTCTTAACATACTTCTCCTCTTTTTTTTTTTTTTTTTTTTTTTTTAAATTAATAATTTCATTTAGTTATTTCCAACTATTTTTTAAATAATTCATAAATATGATTTTTATTTTAAAAAAAAAATATGGCCCATTCGTTAAGATTAAGAGAGCAGAAATGGGCTGGGCTTAGTAATCATAAAGCCCATATTTTGGCCCATTAATTTAGGAGTTGAAAATTTGATTGGGAGCATAAATTGATGCTCTGTGAAATTAATACTAATTTGAGCAGAGAACTTGGGAAAACAGCAAAATTTGGTAATCTTGAATTTCACTCTATGTATCTGATGAATTGAACATTACATATGATAGTTCCTTTGAAAAAGAAAAAGGTAAAAGCTGAGAATATGAAAACACAAACCACAAACTTTGGTATATAAATCAAAACCCCACATAATTAAGGGATCAAAAAGAGGGAAATTAAGATTAATATATAAAAAAAAGAAAAAATTATATGAAGAAAGAAAGTCCTAATCCTAGAACTAGAGCTAACGCTTGAGCTAGAAGAAATTGAAGTTATTGAATCTGAAGTTTCCATAGCTTGCACTTGCACTTGCACTTGCATAAGCATTGAGAAGCTCATTTTGTGCAGACCAGAAATCAGCTTTGAGACCTCCTCTTCTAATGGCTTTTAATATTTTGTTTCTATGTGCATATCCTGTAACCACAACCTTCTGGCTATTACCATCCACTTCCACTTTCTCTATTCCTGTAAAACAATGAAATCAAAATCAGTTAAAGTCCCCCCAAAACAAACACAGTAAGGTAAAGGAATCACACAATTAACTTAATTAATGAATTAATTACCTTTCAGTTTTGATAGGCATTTTCTAAGCCTCTTCTCATGTATGCCAACCATCTCCACCTTCAATTCAACTGTCTGCAAAATCAAACTCAGGTTAACGATTAAGAATCAACTTAGACTTGGGAATGAAGTAAATAAAAAAGAAAAGAAAACAATGTACCTCCATTTGAAGTAGTCTGAATTGCAAATGATGAGTTGATGATGATCTGAGCTATAAAGTTAAACAAAGGACAATGACAAGGAAGAAGAAACAAATGGAATGATGAATATAAGAGATGGGGAATGTCGGGCTTTATATATATATGATAATACAGAAGGGGACATGAAAAAAGATGGAATAAACTAAAGTGGGTCTTGGGTCAGTGGTCTGGTAGCCAGGTGAAATTATCAGCTTTGCTTTTTCCAAAGACAGACAAGAACATAAACATGACAAAACCAAATAACAAGAAAACGGCTTGCATCGATAGAATAGAAGGGGCGGGGATCTTCTTATATTATATATAACTTTGTGATTTTGATTTTGATTTTGATTTTGATTTTCAGCTCAAGCTTCAAGAGTCAAGCAAGTGATCCCGTCTGCTGAAAGCAATGTGAGTCTCAAGCATTTTGAAATGATTGGGTTTGACGGGTCCAACTTAGCTTTTCTTTTTGGGATCTTTGGATCCAGTTCTTCACAGTTAGGATTGTATTGTCTTTTGAGGTATTTAGACAAAAGCATACTATAGCTTCCATGTGTAAAGCTCAAGATTTGCATCTCTCATCTCTTCATCTTAACCCTCCATTTATCTGTTAGTCTCTTACGCCCATCATTTATTGTATTGCTGAGTAGAAAGGAGCAAAAGATCGAAAAAAGAAAAAGAAGAATAAAACTTGTACAGACTCAAAAATAAATAAACTACTCTGCAAGTTTAGCATTTTGGGCAGCATATATTTTGTTCTTTAGCACAAGATACCTACAGCATGGAAATGTTTTTGCATATATTGACAGTAGAATTTTGACAAGAACCCATTAAAGTTTTGATCGATATTCAGTGATTTGTAGCAGTGCAGTCATTTTTCAAGTGGGAAATTATGAATCTTATAGGCCCTAAAGCTACATAAATTAATCAACTCTGCAAGGTACAGTGACAAAAGCTAGAAAACAGAATGATTCATGGAGCCCAGGAAGATTCTATCCCAGGATGCTTGGGATCAACGTGAAGAAGAATAATGAAGAAACTGCATTGGAATATGGATCTCTCTCGAATTTTCACACCACATTTCTCGATAATCACATTACATTTTCTGATTTTGGTCAGACCTTGTACTTTTTGAATTGTTTTACCGGTTTGATCCCATCCTCTCTTTTTTGGGGTTCTCGATCAGGTTTTGTCGAAAACACAAAAGCCACGTCCTTAAGGCACAAGTTGAATGGTGCTAGCTCTAAGTTGTTTCTGGGCCTACGCAGGCCCAAGACAGCCAGAAATTGGGCCCGAAATGTTCCTATGGACCTAGAATGTGCCAGACCTGACTACTGTTTACTTTACAGAACAAAACATTGAGAAATATATTTCGACACGGTTGACGGTCCCGGTTTCCGATTTCCTTATCTAGGATGGGGGCCAGGAGAAGTGCAAGCTTTTCGTTCTGATCAGACAGTTAACGATAATTTTATGCAGGTCTATTCCTCTCTGTTTCTTTTTATATTTCATGCAAGTCCTTAGAGTTAAAGGTGAATGTTATGTTTTTGTTACACTCGGGTTTTCTTGCTAAATATTGAAATAAACTTAAATTGGAATGAAGTTGTACATCTTGTAAACCTTATCCAACGTTGGATAGTTATCGTAATATGTTCTGTTCTTGAATGAATATGATAAAGGTAATCAAATTCATGATAATGGCTTCCGTTTGAGTGAAGTGTTAAAGAGTATTACATTACATGCATGGGGCCATTTTTTTCATGAATAGCATGTAAAGTTTGAATGAAATAAACAAGGAATTAGTGAATTTTGAAATGATGGTTTGAAATTGAAGCTTTAGAAGTTTAATTTGATTGTTGTATGAGTAGTTTAGGGAGAAGGGCAGCGTTTACCGCAATCTTTTGTGAAAACAATAGGATAGAGATGTAGGTGATTTATGATTTCATTTCTTAACTTGCTGCTAGATGGGCATTTGAGGACAAGAGGAATAATGTATGTGACAGAAATAAATATAGTTTATGAGCTGTGTTATGATTTACTGGTGTTCTATTTGCTAGAGATTATGTTTTTCAATTTGTTATTTTCCAAGAAAGAACAAAAGAAATGAGCTTCTGATGCAAGTCTAATCCGCTTATGTAGGTAACTTTCAGAGAGTTGTGCCATTGTGAAGGAAGTTAAGTTGGAAGCATGGCCTTCCAAGGGAATAATCGTCCTCATATGTTATCTGTCAAAGAATCATTTAGTGATCAATATTTCTTGCTTAACTTCATAATGGGCTCTTATTTGGGTCCAGATGTCTACTCTGATAACCCAAGACGTTCGGCATTTCAAAGATTAGCTGAAGGTTTGCCACCATACACTTCAAAGAATTTGGGCGTCTCATTTGTCAGCATTTCTCAGTTGGAAAGCTTGTATTACTATGTTCTTAGGAATGCTCATCGTAGTCTGGTCTTGAAACCTGATGTGTTGCATATGTATCTAAAAGGCAACATGCCTTTGCCAAGCTCTGAGCTTCCAGAGGACTGTTGGCAGTTCACTAGTTTATTTCCCACAAATATTCATGCACACAAAAGGTACTCTGAGAACTATGAGATTGTTAAGGGGATTGCTCTCATTGATCATCCTGTTACGTCCTACATGAAAAAGGAGAACCTGGAGAGGTTCAAACACTTATCTAGCATGAATGACTTGAAAATTGATAAAATCAAATCCTTATCTTATGAGCATGGATACCAAAAGAGCCAAGAAAAGGGAGGGGCAAACTGTGTGAAAGATAGTGGGAAGATGGCTGCTGGTAGTATTTCCAATGGAAACAATAATTCAGCAGAAAAGTTTCAAGAAACATGTAAGGGGAGGCACCGTTGTAATACTCTTCATATTCCGGCATTCCCCCATGTTGTTTCTGCATCAAAACAACTTAGAGAAGGAGCCAACCACAGAACTTGCAAAGGTGATGGACCTGTCATGATGCCACTATTAAGTGTGCCAGATGTGGAAGAATGTACATCAGATGCATCTATTACACTGACCGGGACTGCAACAATGGGGATAGCTGGACCACCAGTTGGTGTTGTGGACATAGGCGTTAGTCAAAGGGCTTATTTTTTCCAAGTTGCTCTACCTGGAGTCCAGAGGGATTATTGTATGTCTTTCATCTTTCCTCAATTCTCTTTGATTTATCTTGTTAATTGATGATATTGGTCTGGAGATCATATGGGGTTTCCCTATATTACAGACAAACCATTAAGGCACGTCCTAAATGTTTAATGAGATTGGAAGGCCAAGGTTGCCTTATTTGTTCAGACCATGAGAAGCAAACTATTTTTTGCTTTGTGCACCATAATTCGTATATGAAATACATGAATCAAGAGTTTCAGAATCAAAATCGTCTTATTAATTGATCCATACCTCCACTTTTAGTACATTACATAGTGGCATTGCCCTTAGTCATGGAAGGCCTTGGCCTTTGGGCATACAAGTCTTCCAAATGCTTGTTGAAGGCGTAATCAGGATTATTTGGTGGAGGGATTCCTCCTTTTATTTGCATTCTTTATTCACAACACAACATTGTTTACTCGTTACTTTATCAAAATGACAAGTTTCTTCACTGTAGCAGGTGAGTTCAGTTGTGAGATTGAATCCAACGGAAGGGTTCACATTCAAGGATCAACATCAGGTGGAAAAGCTATTAAGAAACGTTCTCGTGTTTTCCATATCAAACTCCAGCAGCTATGCCCATCCGGACAGTTCACACTTTCCTTCAGTCTTCCTGGACCGGTCGATCCGCGGCTGTTCAAACCTAACTTTAGACCTGATGGCATTTTTGAAGGAGTTATCATCAAACACAGTTAAAACATGGCGTCTTGCTACATCGGCGCAGCTCAAGAATCCAGTAATCTGTAGAGTGCATGATCTGATAGCACTTTTGAAGTAGTAATCCTTGACTGCATGAGCAGTTCATACTTGTATCTAGCATTTTCCATATAGGATTTGGCTTGGCTCCTTAAAATTCACGTGCTATGCATAATTTTGAGAACAGGAAGAGAAATAGAATTTGGTCAGTCATATATCTGTATATTGCAGCATACCCAGATGATATCTGGCGCTTTCCCCTTCTCAAAGATTATACCATATAGGCAGCAAATTTAATTAAATACAGTATAAGGAAATTAATATAATTTTGTTTAATTTTAATTACTTTGTGTGGTTCCAAATTGTCAGAAGTCAAATAATTATATAATATTAAGTATTCCCAATTGAGGCCCAATAATAAGATTTGCCCAAATCAGTACAGCCCGCCCCAGTTGAATCAAACGAACAGATCTTGAACCAGTGCCCGGTTCCCAATTTTTAAAATTATTCCTTAAATATAAGGGGTGGGTTTGTCATTTAAGTTAAAATACGTGGCGCGTTCTCGTTGGAGCTCTAATATGAATGAAACAGTGGGCAGTTCGCTTATGTTTAGTTCATTTAGTCCGTACTTTAACTTCGAAGTAGACCAGAGTGGCAGAGTCTGAGAAAACGCTGCCGCCATAGACGGCGGAGTAGCTCTAAATTAACGGCCGTCCACTATTGACCGGAACCCTGCTGGTAATAATTCTTCCAAAGTTACGATTCGCATAATTTTCCGCTTCTCGATCTTAGTTTAGTTGCATGTCTTTCTCATTTCAAACCTTCATGAGTGCTTATCTAATCCTTTTAGCTGTCAGCGCGGTGGCCTTTTTACGATCTGAGTATTGTTTTAGTTCATTAAGTGATAATATTTCTGGTTTCATAGATGAATTCAAGTTTATGTGTTTTTTTTTTTTTTTTTTTTCCCACATTTCGAAATGAATAACCTTTCTTATGATCTTTTTATTAGATTTTATCAATGCATTTATTTGAAAAGAATAGGTTTAAGAGTTGATTGAGATTTATTAATGAACAAATTAAGTGCCACTAGGTGCTCATTTCATGCTAATTGTCCTCCTTGTTCTCATGTTTCTTCTAATATGCTGATATAGTTACCTTTCTGTTTTATCTATATGGAACTGTTCAAATTCAAATTGTGATGACTTGGCCTAAAAATCAACAGTTTTTTTTTTTTTTTGACCTCATAAAGTAGGGAAAATCATGAAACTATATGGTAGGGTGCGGCAGAAGAGTAGTATGGAGAGGAGCCAGAGATTTTAGGTTTATGGTTTTCCAACAGTTTTCCGGAGAATTCTTATGTTATTAGTAGATTTTTAATGCCCTTTTCTGTAGGAATTTGGCAAGTAAAAGTATATCTGGAATAACATCCGTAACGTCAACTATTTTTTGCTTCTTTTGTGATTTGTGTTGATCTCCTTTCTTTTCAGATGCTATCTGTTGAGACTTGACCACTTGATATATGTAGATTGGGTCAATTATGGAGGTCATATGTTCCCTTATTTTCTGAGTTTGTTAACCTGGTCAACTTGAAGTTGAATCCTTTCCTGCATGTTTTAGATCAGACTTTGATGAAGATTTATTAAACTTTAGAAATGAATATAGGGACTTTCAAAAGGAATATGTTGGCTGTAATTTGGTGATTTGGAAACGGCCACTTCTATTCCCTTGAATTGAGTTGTTACTCAGGTATTAAGATGGAATTTGTTGTGATTGCATCTGTTTTTCCTATCTGCTTGTCTCCATTTGCAAAAGTAAAGTTTGTGCACATCGATTTAAATCCTTTCATAAGTGAATTCTTTTTTTCTTGTATGAGCATCTCTGCGCATAAATGGTATGTGGATTAACTAGCTTTAAGAGTGACCGGGTGACGGAAAAGCGAAATCTTGTTTGCCTTACCTCTATGCTTCTTTTTCCTTATCCCTAAATGCCTCTAGTTGGCAATTTAAGTTTGGAATATCCTCCTTTACAATGCAAGAGAACCTTTTGTGCAATGGATGTATATGCATGCAGCCAATTATGGGGTGCGTGTTTGTCACGCTCTGACTGAGCGTGTCCTAGTTGGCATGATGTACATACATCCATTGCACAAGAGTTTCTTCCTTATAAAGCACATAATGTTTTAAGAATGTGACAAATTGTGGTTGTTAGAATAGCAGCAAACGTAAGATTTTTATGCTCCATTAAGGTTTAACATCTACTTTTTTGATTTAGCAGGCTGGGAAGCAACATTTATAAGCATGGAGAGGGGAAATAATGTTGACCATCAACAACTGAAGCCATCAGTTGTTTTAACTGGAACTGCGAAAGAAGGTAGTGTTGGGCCACCTGTTGGTCTTGTAGACATCGGTGTGAGTGAAGGTGCCTACCTTTTCCGCATTGCACTTCCTGGTATCCGAAGGGATCAAAGTAAGGGTCAAATCTTTATTTATATATTTCATTAATGCATGAGATTCATGAGGTATGTGAAACTGGTGCATCACAAGCATAATATTTGTTTTTTGGTTAAGGTTCCTGCAAAGCATGTGAAACCTGAATGTGGTGTAATTGCTATTGAAATGCTACTAGGATTGGCATGCAACTCCTTTCCTTTTTGAATAGTAAAAAGTGTCAGAGATGACCAAGTAGATCATGCTTGTCCTAACAGGTAAGGTGAAATGTGAGATGCACCGTGATGGGAAGGTTCATATCCAAGGAGTTATAACGGATGGAACTACGCTGAAAGATTCAAGTGCATACCAGATGAAAGTCCAGCAACTGTGCCCACCTGGACCTTTCACTATTTCCTTTAATCTGCCAGGACCTGTCGACCCCCGATTGTTTTCTCCCAGTTTTCGTCCTGATGGTATCCTGGAGGTGGTGGTTATGAAATACAAAATGCATACTACTCCTCCTCATACCTAAGGAATTCTAAGGAGTTGTCCAATACCAAATATCGCGAGGCATGTCTTAGGGAGCAGAATGCATGTCAAGGTTCCTAGATGCATACTTTTGTTAGGAAATCTGAGAAAATATGAGTCTCTGTACAATTAATATTGGATATTAAATCAATGGTTGGTATAAGGTGATTATAAACTCTGTAATGTTGGATATTCAATTAGGAGAACTTCAATATATTTTTTTTTTCCTTGAAGGTCTTGTCCTTTGTGTTACGTTCATATAATTTGTGGGCTTTTGTTGGGTTTTTCAAATCTCATGGATCAAAACCACATTCTCATGCCTCCCAAACATATAAGTGGGTTTTATGCAACCACGGTAATCTGATTAGAAATTAGATGGCTGATATTTGTTTTTTTTCTGGTAAGGAGAAAATTTGTGGTTGAAATNGAGGCATGTCTTAGGGAGCAGAATGCATGTCAAGGTTCCTAGATGCATACTTTTGTTAGGAAATCTGAGAAAATATGAGTCTCTGTACAATTAATATTGGATATTAAATCAATGGTTGGTATAAGGTGATTATAAACTCTGTAATGTTGGATGTTCAATTAGGAGAACTTCAATATATTTTTTTTTTCCTTGAAGCTCTTGTCCTTTGTGTTACGTTCATATAATTTTTGGGCTTTTGTTGGGCTTTTCAAATCTCATGGATCAAAACTATATTTTCATGCCTCCCAAACATATAAGTGGGTTTTATGCAACCAACCACGGTAATCTGATTAGAAATTAGATGGCTGATATTTGTTTTTCTGGTAAGGAGAAAATTTGTGGTTGATATTAAAAATTGACTCGTTTTTCAGGAACTCATTAGCTTCCAAGTCAACCACTTATCTTAGTACTTAAAATCAATAAACTGTGGTGACTGCAGACGCAAGTTTCACATTTCCAATAAACAATCATAAATTGTCGTAACAATAATAGAAATTTTCTTAGGCTGTGTGTGGAATTTGTCCAAGGTTGCTGTCCTTGGATCAAGGAATGTTTTTGGCCGAACGACTTGCGCACACCCAAGATTTGCCGTAACAATAGTTGGTACCTAAAAGGTTTGGAAATGATAAACAGGTACCTTCCGTTATGTGTTGTTAGTGATTTCTATTTGTTAATAGTGAAAAGACTAAAATGCCCTTGAAAGTTTGATGTTTAGTTTTTTATAAATTTAAAAATTTATAAAAAAACCTCTAAGTTTGCTAATTTAACTAAACTACCCCCATATATAAAAAGTTTGTTAAATGACAAAAACACTCCTACCACCTGCAATGCCAGATTCCGGCTACCACCGCTGGAATCTAGTTGGAAAATTGCGTTACGACACAGACCCATCGGATATGTGTCGTAACGTGTCGATCTGGCCTTTTTCGACCAAATCCATGGTTGATCTGACCGGAAAAGGCCAGATCTACGGCCAAATCTGGCCTTCGATGCTGTAAAACTCTATCTACGGCGTCGAAGGCCAAATCTGGCCTTTTTCGACCAGATCAGCCACGAATCTGGCTGGAAAAGGCCAGATCGACACGTTACGACACAGATCCGATGAGTTTATGTCGTAATGCAATTTTCGGCCAGATTCTGGCACTACAAGTGGTGTGTTTTTGTCATTTAACAAACTTTTTATATATAGGGGTGTTTAGTTAAATTAGCAAACCTAAAGGATTTTTTAGAAATTTTTAAATTTATAAAAAACTAAAATATCAAACTTTCAAGAGCATTTTAGTATTTTCACTATTAACAAACAGAAATTACTAACAGCACATGATGGAAGGTACATGTTTGTCATTTCCAAACTTTTTAGGTATCACTTTATCGTTACGGTAAACCTTGGGTATGCACAAGTCGTTTTGCCAATGTTTGTGATTAAACTAAACACGAGTCCAAAGAAGGGTCACTGTAAATGGTCCACTCAAATTAGGCAACCAAGCAAACGGGTCTAAATAGACTTTTCCATAATCTAACTGAATCTAGCCATTAACAAATTAAATGATTATCGCAACTGATAACCAATAGTCAATTAGGATTATTTGAGTGTATTATTTAAGAAGTTATTAGTTTAATTCAATTATTAATAGGATGATTAATAAGAAGGTCAACTTCACTTCATAATTTCAAAAGATTAGTTGAATTATACAAAATTGGCATGGGCAATTAAAAAAAAATAAAAAAAATTAAATGATCAAGAACCAGGGTGGCCTTCTGGATACAATCATTTCTATTAATATAATATAATGTAATTAATATGCCATGTTCCTAGCTATGATGTAACAGTGATTCTAGAGTCTCTGAAGAGACATACGTTAGACGATGAAAACGATCCACCAATTACAATAAACAACATGTTCTTAATTTCTATCATTACATAATAACGAAGAAACTTAGAAATAGCGACAAAGATCCCAGTAGCAAATGGAGACAGAGAAAGACTTTTGTGGCTGGAAAAACCAGTCAATATATAGAATAATGCTAAAGTGAAGAAGAAAAAATAAATATGAAATTTAATTGATGATCCGCATCTCTATGGAATCATAGACTTAAAATCTCAATTCTAGTCAACCCTTCTACATCCATTTCATCATCAACGAACCTTCAAGGTAATTATAAATTTTCTTGCTTTTAATTATACAGAACTGAAAACTCTCTCTTTCTATATAATTTTCACTCCCATCAAAAGCATCAGCAAATTTGTTCATCAATGGCGTTAAAAGTTCTTTCTGCTCTTGACACTGCAAAAACACAATACTACCACTTCAAAGCCATCATCATAGCCGGCATGGGACTCTTCACCGACGCTTACGATCTCTTCTGTATCCCTCCCATCATGATTCTGATCCAGCGGATATACTATGATTCTGATGTTGATAACAAAAAGCCCAAAATCCCGAGAACTGTTGTGTCTACCATGGTGGGTATAGCTCTTTTGGGGACTGTGATTGGTCAGCTGATCTTCGGAAGGTTGGGTGATCGAATCGGGAGACGACGCGTGTATGGGTTTGCATTGTGGCTGATGGTGGTGAGCTCCATTGGATGTGGTTTCTCTATCTGTACAACCAAGAAGTGTGTACTTGGAAGTCTTGGGTTTTTCAGGTTTTTGTTGGGTGTTGGAATCGGTGGGGACTATCCGCTGTCCGCTACAATCATGTCGGAGTTTGCAAACAAGAGGACACGTGGCACGTTCATAGCCGCTGTTTTTTCCATGCAGGGGTTTGGGATTTTGGCTAGTTCAATGGTCACGATGGTGGTTTGTAAGATATTTGAGAGAGCATCAAATGCGTCAAGTGATCAAACGCCGGATGGGACCGATATTGCATGGAGATTGATACTGATGCTGGGTTCAATTCCGGCTGCTTTGACTTATTACTGGCGTATGATGATGCCTGAAACTGCAAGGTATGTATTTATTTATTCTAACGGTAGGTAGAATATTCTTCATCTCTAATGTAATTAATTTAACTGCGAATGTGGACCGAGAAGTTAAGGATGAATAAACCCTAAGATTCGATGGACAGTCAAAAAGGTTTATTTCCTTTTTTAAGTTTTTAAGTTCAAACCTTAGAGTTATTTATCACAATAATATTATAGTTATAATAATATTATAAGGTATTTAATGGACGTTAGAGATTAGTTAAGATATAGTATAATCGGACCCAAATACTTCGGTTAAAAAAAAAAAAAAAAAAGTTGACGAATAATTATTTGAAAGAGCAGATCCATACTCTATACAAGTCACCGTCTTGCGTCATTCATTTGGAGAAGTAAATGAAAAGTCAAATGATTTGAAAGAGCAGGTGAAACGGTCATCATCTTCGGTCGGTGGAAAGCATAAATATATAGATTAGGTAATTAAGAATAATTTAGAGCGGTACTCATGGAATAATAGTGGCATGTATATTTTACTCTTTTACTAGAAATTAATACATGAAATGGTACATTTCTTCTGAAATTCAGATATACGGCTCTGGTGGAACAAAATGTGTTGCAAGCTGCTAAAGATATGGAGAAAGTGTTAGACGTTTCAATGAGTCAGATTGCAGAAGAGTTTCCATTGTCACCAAAGCCACCATCATATAATTTACTATCCAGAAAATTCATTCGTCAACATGGTCGTGATCTCTTCGCTTGTTCCACTTCATGGTTCCTTGTTGATATTGTGTTTTACAGCAGTAACCTCTTCCAATCCAAAATTTACCACAACTACGTTGATGATGATAGCGGCTCCTCCATGAATGCCTTTGAAGAAGCTTTCAGAGTTGCCAGACTCCAAGCTATTGTTGCTATCTGCTCTACTGTTCCAGGTTACTATGTGACTGTCTATTTCATTGATCGCATTGGAAGAGTCAGAATCCAACTACTCGGTTTCTTCTGCATGGCAATTGTTTATTTGGCTATTGGAATTCCTTATATTCATTACTGGGACACACACACAAATTTTGGTTTCATGTTCTTGTACGGCCTTACTTTTTTCTTTGCAAATTTTGGACCCAACACTACAACTTTTATTGTGCCGGCTGAGCTTTTTCCTGCTAGATTTAGATCAACATGTCATGGAATTTCAGGGGCCATTGGAAAGGTGGGTGCCATAATTGGGTCTGTTGGATTGTTGTGGGTTTTGGAAGAAGATAAGAAAACTGGTGATCCAAAAGCCACTGGAATGACAATAGCATTGATTCTTTTGGGTGGGGTTTGTTTTATGGGAATGGCTGTAACCTATTTCTTCACACGCGAAACTATGGGGAGATCACTTGAGGAGAACGAGAATGAAGACGATTCCAGTGAATTGTGTTTTTTCAGATGCTTTAATGATTCTTGTTTGCGGACAAATTCATCTACCAATGAAGGTGATGAAGCTCCATTAGCTATTGAGCAACTATAATTAAGCTTCCATTCTCAATGTGTTTTTTTTTTTTTTTTAATAAAATCAAACTCTCAGTGGTCAGTGCCACTCTTAGATTTCTATCTCTTTTACACGCGTTCTTGGTAGCTAGGCAAAAAAGAATTTTGTGATTGAGGCATGGCAGAAGCTAAAAGTTTCAATAAGGAACGGTGCCCTTCCAGCATCTAGAGCCATAGAATTATTCATTATAAATTCCCTTTATATGGCCAATTAAATGTCTTATATAATGATCCAAAGTATATTATATAATATTCTTCGCAAATGGATCACGACACGAGCTCGAAAGAAAGAAACTTTGCCTGACAATTCAATTAGAAACCTTCATGAAATTATATTTAAATCACATGACCATTTATGTATTAATAAAAACACCAGAAGGAATTATTAGACACAGCCTGTGCCTTGTTTTCACTTGTTTTTAGTTGGATAGGAAGCCATTTTGTTGATTCCACACAGCCCTTCTGCCTTTCCACTGTTCCTTTTCATCCTTATATAGCCTTTTTCACCCCATTTTGCTCCCCATGAATTCTTCACAATGATATAGTCCAAGCCTGTGGTTGATCCATAACCAACGGCTGCTACTCCGTGGTCTAGATCGGTTCCACAATGCCCATCGAAAACACCCTATAACCATTTTTTTTCATAGATAATAAATTAGTGAACCACATAAATACATAAATTGCGTAGATTTGTATTATTCAATGCCGGTCCAGTGACTACTTACCCCTTTGTAAAATTGAAAGTCTTTTCCAGAAGCCTCAATAGCAACGCTGATAGGCTGGTTTGCAAGTGCCTTCAATAGGCTCATTTCATTGTTCTGTGGCACGTCATGGTAGCCACTTATGGTTACCAACTTCGATTCTCCCTGTAAACAAAAATGAATTTACTGCCACTGACAAGTGCCGTTCCATGGTTTTAATACATATGGTCATTTTAATTAAGCAGAACAGTGTTTTGCCTCAAGTATTTATAGGATTTGGGACCCTTAATTTACTGCCATTAAAAAGTGTTGTTCCAATATGAATTTTTCTCACCTAAAGAAGGAGAGTTATTAAAAGTTATTTAACCAATGGTTTGACTACCTACCCTATTCATTTTGCAAGTGCCTTCCTCCATTATGTATGGATAGTCTGCTTCCTTGTGGAGTCCCCTACTTGAAACAATGTAGGCAAATGCGTAATCCATCAGTCCTCCATTGCAACCATTGTTGAAGTTATTGTCACAATCGATCAGCTCTTGCTCAGACAATGAAGTCAAATTCCCTGTAACAATTTGGTTTATACCCTCTACTGCAGCAACCGTTGAAAATGCCCAACAGCTACCTGTAAGTACAAAAATCAAAGTAATATATAAATTCATATTGGTCCATCCCTTGTCATTAATTATGGCCTAAAATCAATTATATCGTGCTATACGTACCGCATGAGCCTTGGTTTTTGACGTTAGTAACAGCTCCTTTCTTTCTCCAGTCGACTGACTTGGGCAAATCCATAACATCTTTATAACTAAATTCTTCAAGTGACGACTCTCTTCTTCTAGGCAAGTCAGTCTTCTTCAAGCCCAAATACATCTTCTTGAATTCTTCATGGCTCAAATCTGCAAATTCATTCAACCCAAGCCAGTAGTTTTTAACCTTCTTGTTTGTCTCGTCTATGTGCTTCAAATTATCCTTAAAAATATCAAATCTCTTTAGTTTTTCCTCAAGACTCTCGTAAACCTTTTCGAATTTTGACATCCAAGACTCGAAGAGATCAATGAGTCTATCATTGGAAGTCAAGTCATCTGGGGAATAGCCCACTATAGAGAAATCTCGAGCAAAAGAAGAATAAGCAAATAAAGACATGGAAAATGCAATAAAAAATATCTTAGAATATGAGAAGAGAGCCATGTTTGAATAAGTATATAGAATGATGGAGAGGATGAAGATGAAGCAGTGATTTATATAGCTCGATTATGTTTCATTCGTTGCTTTCAAGTAAAGTTGGTGAACAATGGATTGTGCCCTGAATCCTGAGACTTAAAGTTTGGTTCTTGTAGCATTCTAGCTTTCACTCTAAGCATATGCCGTATGCCCCTTGTAATATATTACATATTATATTATTATACCATAAAGGACGATTGAGCTTCGTTTTTACAATGAAGGCCTAAAGGAAGCCCATTGTAACATGGTCCAAATAAATGAGCAAAATATACATATGTATATATATATTTTTTTAAATTCTAATACGAGAAAAGAACTAAACATACGTGCATCATACGTAGATTAATTAAAACATAAGTTATAGGTATGGTTGATCCCTGGCCTAAGCTGTAAAAAGCAAAGAAAGAGGCCTAAACTGACTAAACCCTGCAATAATGACAGGAAGAACTAAGAAGAAAGGCCAACGTGATTTTGATTACTGAGAAAAGGGAAAACAGTTAACTGATTGGCCGTTTAAAGAATAAATGGCGAAGAGAAAAAAGTATATTGGGAGATGTAAAAATAATATCATTGATGATTGGCGATTGGTCCCCTCTAAATTTCTCCAGATTTCTGAGTCTATACTCTATACCTCAATAATATTAGCTAGAAGATGGACCTATCATTTGTTTTGAAAACGACAAATAGATATAGCCTGGTTCTTACCTGTCAAAACCCCTTCAAGGCCCCACGACTGCTCTCTCTCTCTCTCTCTCTCTCTCTGCCTTGCTCAGCCACAGCCTCGGCCCAAACGGAGCCTTCACCCACACACTATCTCCTACTATACTGTTTCTTTTATCGAAAATTATAATATGAAATTCTTCTTCTATTTGTCCTTAAACATGGGTTAATGCGAAAATTCTAGTTTAACGATGTAAGGTAAGGATTTACCAAGGTCACAACAGGTGATAAGAGAAATTCCAGATAATAAATGAGAGAATGTACGAAGAAAAGCAAGTGGGTGTGGAGTGTTAGATAGATAGGTCCACAGCATAATATAATAGGTATATGTATATAAAGTTGTTGTAATAAAAGAATCACTGACTTTGCTTGTTTGGAGATGTCGCTATTTCTTTCTTAGTCTGATCTGAATCATCGTAGGCACAAGGCATAGGCAGCTGCAGGTCGGTGGTACCAGGTCCCTCTTCTGACTCTTAAGTCTTAACCTTCAACACCATCCGCCTCACCTTCCTATTTATTATTACCCTTCTCTTTTTCCGTCCTCTCATATTTCTCTATCATCTCACTATTCTTTACGCGTATCTCAATTACCAAAACGCGTATCCTGTTCCTATTTTATGCATAAATAGGTAATATTGCGGATCATGACACTGAAAAATTAGAGATAATTACTCTTTAATCTAGAGATTTTGGTAAGTATGAGATTGAGATATAGAGTCACATGTGTGGGGAAAGCAGGGGTGCAGGCTGATCAGAATGAGATATAGAATCCTGGGAGGTAAAATATAAATGCAAAATGAATTATTTTATTAGAAAAGTTGCAGGTGCAGGGCTAGTTACCATGAGAGTAGGCTTATGTAAAGCTATAATAAAAGAAATAAAAAAAATAAAAGAAATGGAAAAAGATAAGAGAAGAGATCCAGGATGTTATCTTTTACTTGAAAGAGTCTCTAAGATAAGATCTAGAGAGACGCTTAGTTAGATACACAGCAGTAGATGCAGAAGGCTGAATCAGAAGCAGAAGCAGAAGCCTAGGACGCCTGCCTTTTCATTACCTGATCATAATACACGTGCAACGCCGACATTTGTAGCTGCGCCACCCATCAATTCTCTCGATATATTATCATCCCTTTCAATTTACACAATTATATGTTTCAATAATTCTCTGTGTTCTCATTTATTTCCATTAAAAATTTTGACTCTTCCATCACAATTCCCTCCATGCCACCATCTCTATCTTCTTTACATCTTAGACCAAGTTTTTGACAGTGAATTCATTGTTTTTTTCTCGCAACAAATTACTATAATTTGTCTTTCATCAATTAACATTTGTATTAAGAATCATTATGTTAATGTTGTTTACATGTAATCACTTAATTTATATTAAGTGTTGGGCAGATTTTGCAGAAGTGAAGGACACTCTCTTCAAGGTCTTTACAATGTTGATCTTTTAAAGCAGCAGCACTGGAGAGAGTTTCCATAATGGAAAATAAATGGCAATCATCTAAAGAATCTAGAGTGATAATGATATAGAGCTACAGAGACAAAATAATACTAATAATGTACTGTTACAGTGACAAAAAGCTGGGTACTGATGATGGTGATAATTTGAAAGAGGAAAGGTCCAAATCAAAATCTGGATAATCCTTTTTTCCACAGTTTACTTCTGATAAAGAAATTAATGGTAAAAGCAAAAAGTTAATGATCTTGGACAACATATACCATTGCCAAAGATATGAAGGACCAGGTAAAAAAGGGTCTGGAAAGTGAATCTAAAGATTACAATATATAGAAAACAAGATGTGCAAAAGAAAAGGGAGCTACAATTGATTGATCATTCAAGTACCGTTCATTGAGAAAGACAGAAAAACAAAAACAAATTGGAATCGTGGATATGGAAATCTTGCTGTACAATAAAAATATTTGCACAGAAAAAGAATTTGGTGGATGATGATCTCACTGTTCAGGAATCAGAGGGGCTACCCTCGTGTTATCCATCTGAAAAATCCTGACTCATCTCTCTCTCTCTCTCTCTCTCTCTCAAAACATGCTCACACACGCACGCATAAATCTCTAAAACCATCTTTGCATTTACTGCTTCTCTCATAACAATAATACACCACAATCTCTTGTTTTTATGAAATAAAATCAGTTTATTATTTATTTGTTTGTTTGTTCGTTTGCCAGTTGAGGGAAGCCTTACAGGTGTGCTAGCTTTGGTAGGGCCCTTAACTCTTTTGCATTTATGAACCCAAATCTATCCCTCCTAACCTCCAATACTAGCCCCCTTCTCCTTTAGTTTCAGTGCTTCTCTCTATATATTTACATGTTTCTACAACCCCTTTCCTTCTCACATGCAATACTATTATCAATCAAACCATCTTCTTACTCTACTCTACACTACTCTAAATCTCTTACTCTCTTTCTCTTTCTCTAGAATAGTAAGATCATGTTGGCTGTGGAAGAAGTTTTGAGTGAACTGAATGGTGAAGAAGTTAACGAGCAGGGTTTGCCTCCAGGGTTTAGATTCCACCCTACTGATGAAGAGCTCATAACCTTTTATCTTGCTTCAAAGGTGTTTAGCTGGACCTACCGTGGTATAGAAATTGCTGAGGTTGACCTTAACCGATGTGAACCTTGGGAGCTACCAGGTATGTTTTCTTCATGAATTTTTTAGGGAAAAAAAAAAAAAAATTATGTCAAAATGTGAGAATGTTATCTGTTTCACTTAGCTAGGTAGGCCGTGATGATACCGGAAGGGTATTTTCTTTAGCATATTATTATATCTAAAGATTCTCCACGTTTCCCTCTTCTCTAGATGCCCTTCAATTCCTTTGTTTAGAAATAAAATACTGTTTATTTTTCTTAGTCGAGTTCAGTTAAGATAAACAAGATGAAGCTAAGTCGTGATCTAAAAATGACAGTGACGTTTCATGCCCTAATGATCTTACATTATTCTGGCTAGTGACAACTTAATAATCAAATCTGAACAACAAAACTTCATATATATAAGTAGATTTGTACATATATCTTATAGTTGAAGAACGATTTATGATCGCTTTAAGATTCTAAGTGTAACTATAATTTACAAATGTGTATATCTCACTTTAGTTACAGCATTCTTCTGTAAATCGCAGATATGTATATATATTGCATGAGCCTTGTTAATGTCAAGCAGTTGAGTACAACACACATTCTTTTTTTTAACCATCCCTCACCATACATGTTTTCAGGTAGAAACTGATTAATCTTTAAATAAGCCAACTCCAGACAAACCTCGTAGATGTATAATAAATGTAGAATAATGGACATAAAAGAGAGAGACTTAAATGGTCTGATCTTGGTATATGCATGGAATATGAATTTATAACATAGGGTATTATTGGTGGTTGTTTTTATTTTTATATATAGATGTAGCAAAGATGGGGGAGAAAGAGTGGTACTTCTTCAGCTTAAGGGACAGGAAGTACCCAACTGGGTTAAGAACAAACAGAGCAACGGGAGCTGGATACTGGAAAGCCACAGGGAAAGACAGGGAAGTTTGCAGTGCCTCAAATGGAGGTCTAATTGGCATGAAAAAAACCCTTGTTTTCTACAAAGGCAGAGCCCCCCGTGGTGAGAAAACTAAGTGGGTCATGCATGAGTACCGCTTAGATGGTGACTTTTCCTATCGCCACACGTGTAAGGTAATGGACCCCATAATTATCTCCACACGTGCACCGCGGGAATCAAGCTACTGCGCCCTCCTTACCCTTCTTTTTAATCTTTTGTCCCCTTCTGGGTTGACTTATTATATTGATAATGGCATGGATGTCGACTACACCATTTTTTCACCTTTTTCATTATTAACCTTTGGGGTAGATTTTGATTTGATTGATTGATCGATTGATTGACAGTTTTGTTATTTTATTATTTACATTACTGTTACTGTACATTTATACTGCTTTTAATCTTTAAAAATACAGCGTTACTTTTGAAAATGACTAAAAAAAATACAATTTTTTGGCAGGAGGAATGGGTGATCTGCAGAATGTTTCACAAATCTGGGGAGAAGAAGAATGGCATTCTCCAAGGACAAAGCTATCTCTTCGAAGGTTGTTCATCTCCCTCAGGTTCCTTGCCTCCATTGCTTGAAACTCAAACAACATTACTGGAATGTCAATCTCAAAACCCAAGTTCAATAGAGGCTCTCCAAAATTCTTTTCTGTATCACCAGCAAGAAAGTGACCTGAAAAGCTTAATAAACCCAGTCATGTCTCAGTCACATTCACATTCACATGATCTCTTCCCAATGAACGGATTCCAATCCTCTTTTTCACACAACCCTACCACAATCATCTCTACAAACACATCTAACACGACAAATAAACACATGATGATGAACACTGACAACAGCCCATCACAATCCATGCTCTTCAAGTCCCTTCTCTCACATCAAGATTTCACATTGAAGGAACAAACTACTATTCCTAGACAGTGCAAGACAGAGGCCAACTTTTCCCATTTCCAACTACCTGAGGCCAATAACAACAACTTTAGCTGGATGGAAAAAATTCACCCAAACCCATATCATAATCCCTTGTTTTTTGAGATGGATTGCAATCTTTCGGGTCTCCCAACACAATCTGCAGCTATTGCGGGGAGCAGTGCCAATGAAATGTCTACTTCAGTTGCTTTCAACAGGACTAGCTTTCAAGTGATGTTAGATACTCCCATCAGAATCCCTGGAGAATCTTGGACATTGGATGCCTAAACAACTTTCTTTTAATGAGATCTCATATATCTATAAATAGTTTGCGTATATACCCATCATCTATATAGATTTATCCATGCAAATGCAAGTATCCATGTACCAGTATTGGACAACTTCTTTCTGTATCTTTTTAAAATATTCGTAGTAGGAGTGAGTTTGAGTTATTATTGTACAAAGATTGCTTGTTTTATGTTATTCCGATATATATTTGTGTGCTTTTATGAATTGGATATTCGGAAATCTTGGGAGAGGGAGAGGAAGAGAGAGGAGGACAAAGGGAAAAAGAAAGTTGGCAAGAAAAAGGTTATAAATGATGTGACAGGAATGATAAGAAATGGAGGTTTTTTGACGTCACCTGCATTTATCATTGACGATGGGATTGGGGCCCTTTTGCATGCATGCGCAGAGAGGAGAGGCTCTAGGTTTGTAATTGTAATGGTAGGGGCCTGACCACCCCTAGGCCCTGTGTTTAATAGCTTCTGTCTCCAGGGGGAGACATGGATTTGCATATCATCGATGCATTCTCTGTCCATACATTCTGTGTACGCAGGCCCAATAAAACTATCCCTTCTCATCCTATCTTCTCTAAAACCCTTTTTTTGCACAACCACAACGAATGTTGTCTATTTTTTTTTTTCTTTTTTAAAAAAATGATCAGCGAGGCTAGGAATATGTTAAGTGGGGTGGGACTTCGATTGTGAGATAATGTAGGATTATGGGAGGAATGCGTAATTGTTCTTAGTTACGTGCAGGGTTAATCAATTGGTTATTAGAAGCTTAGGGTTCAATTCCGGAAAAAAAACTATTTTATTAACTCTTCGAGACACTAGCCAGAATGCTTAATTATCAAGTGAATGGATAATTTCATGTATCAGTGTGGTTTTGGTATTGAGACTGATATGAACATTGCCAAGCAGCATAACCAAAAAAGAAAATTATGCTCCTATTCTTTCCAAGCCTGCAGTGTACAGATCCATCAAGGATAGTGTTGAATATTCGAGCCAGTCATGCCAGGCAACCCATATTCAATCCCTGGCAACAGCGTCAAATACTTGCCTCAAAGCTGCTAGGCCATGGGCGCAAACTGTTTCTCAGATCAAAGAAATAGCCAAGCCCAACCAACATAATCAATTAGGACTTGCTTTTATGTTTTGTGTCTCCAGAAGTCTTCTTGCTCTCAGGCTATAAAAATTTATTTGGCACAGCCAAGTAATTGAGTGCCGAAATTTGCCTTGTTTTGCTGGCTATAAGCAATAAACAGTTAACAGCCAAGTAACAGAATGCACAAATTCTAGTTGCAAGTTTCTAAATGAAAAATATTTCCAAAATTTGAGCCTGCTTCTCCAATCAAAAAAATAAAAAAATAAAAAAATAAAATCAGCACTGATCAATTCAACAACACAATTACACAAGTAATTCAAAGGCGATCAAATTTTATACAATTCACAATGCAATAAAGGGGGCAACCATTAAATTGCAGGATAGCATTTTATTTTCAACAAAGTTTGCTACACAAAAAGGAAAAAATAAAGACTCAGGACTCGAGTTTCTTGACGGAAGAAAACAAACATCAACTCTACATACCTACATAGCATAGCCGTTAATTCTTATATGGTGATCATCACATACCCCATTATATCAAAAAGAGCAGAACCATTTAACAATGGATTCCTAAGCATTCCTCGAAAATGTTCCTGCAACATGCAAACAATTAATAGTTAGTCATAAATTTAATTGCAATTTGTAATTCTTGCAAATATACAGCAACAGGGGAAAAAAGGGGTGGACCAGAAACCAAATGACAGATTTTCCAATAAACAGTATAGGAAATAACAGCGGTTATCAGCCTTATAAAAAATGCCTAGAACTTATTAGAAATTGTGTTTGTATGGCCACAGTTGATGGCCTTGAGTTTTATTTACTCCAAGATATAGATAGAGACATAAGAATTGAAACAGCCCTAGAGGAGTAATAAATGGAATCCTATATATGAAAAGCACTTATAAATTGAATCCTATACATGAAAAGCAAGTTGGCTATATCTACATTGCATACCCTTACTCGTGTACAAGTTCACTGTGAAAGAGGTGACCTACGCGAACTGGTAAACTACAGCAGGTGCCAGATAAAAGGAATTAAATAAAACCAAATTCAAGGCTTGAAGATTTAATTCTTAAGCATGAGCATTTCAGCAAGTAAAATAGGAAGTAAATATGTAAGACCAAACAGTACATCACCATAAGCAAGCAGGGAATTCGAGTAATAAGCAACCACAAGTTTTCACAGCACCAACAACCTAGTTCTTAAAAGAGATAGAGATCTTGAAGTATTTTCAATTCCGTTAGCTAATTCAATTTCGTTTAATAACGATAAACAAAATCTTGGAGGAGTATAAAATCAGCCAGTAATAAGTTCGAGATGACGAAGCAAGATACTTTACCTGATCGCAGTTAAAGAAGACGATGTAAATGGCGAGGTTTATCGGACTTGGAAGAAGATTCATAAGGAGGAGGTGAATAGACGACGGCAGCAAGCATGGCTCCTGGAAGAACCACGTACATAGCCACCGCTGCCAGCTTCGCCACCAACGGCTTCCCTCTCATTATCGCCATTCTTTCGATTTGACTTCTTCTAACTCTCCCGGTCCCTTTCAGATTCAGACCTATCTATCTTTACCCTTTACCCAGTGCATGCACCCGACCACACTTCTGGGCCTTTTTCGCATTGGCCCACCATTTCAAGCCCACAATTTTAAAAACTTTTGGGCCTATTCGCTTCGGCCCATTATTACAAGCCTGCAATTCTTAACATAAATTAGAAATGGAATTAGATGATATAAAATATGTAACAATTACCAAAGAACTGAGCTTTACTTTTATAAAAGCTCCCATGTGAAGGCTTAATATACGTATATATATAATTACAAACTGTTTATTAATGCTGTCTTTATGTTTGGTATACACCAAAACAGACGGAACTCAGGATAGATCGACATCAATTAATAAAAATTTAAGGGATGCCTTGGGGAGGCAGGTAAATGGCAATGGCAACGGCAACGGCAGCATCAACAGCTGTGAGTTCGGGATTTTTCTGAGAGGCGTTTGATTTGATTATGAGTTCCAGAAATGGTGGGAGCATCAGTTCCACCTCCACTTTGGTTAAGTTTAACTGGAAGGTGTCCTTCACTGCCATATGCATTACGTTTGTAATCCTCCAAATTAGTATACTTGACGTATGGGCTGCTCTCTAATGGCAGCCCTTCTACGGTTGCTTTCTTCTCTTGGTTTTCGCCTTCAGCTTTTCGTGTCATCTGAGCATTCATGTTTGTTCGACCTTAAATTAATTTCTCCTTCCTTCAAGTTTGATTGAACATTACCACTACTTATGCAGGAATCGAAATGCGTACAAGCAGAATTTCAGTCAGAAGCCCCGTGTTAACCGGCCCAACCCACTTGACTTTTTCAGCTTTTTTCTCCCACATATCCGGAGACACCAGATACACCACGTTGTCAACGGAGATGAATAATATTACATTTACACCACTCTTTTACACCATTTTCATTACATTATGATGTAGCATATGTCACAACTACACAAATTCTATTATAATATTAAAAATTCAAAATAATTAAAAATTTATATGGTTGTGACATATGTCACATCATGATATAATGAATATGATGTAAAAGAGTGGTGTAAATGTAGCATTACTCCAACGGAGATGCTTGAGTTTGATCTTCCAAGGTCACCTTATGAATTGGACTGCTGTTAAGTTGGGCTTCCAGTCCGGCCCAACACATCACATCAGAGTAAACAGCTAAAAGAGCACGGGGAGTGCGTGCAAGTGAGTGAAAACTCATGGCAGCTTCGCGGGAAATAAGTTTTTAACAAGATCACCTTCCAGAAAACAAACAATAAATCCTCTGGGACCAGATTGCTCTCGTTTTCAATCCTGTCTGTTTTTTTCCAGAAAGAGGAGAGAGGGCACTCACTAACGTTCTTGAATTATCCTTCACACAAATTTTTTTTTTTTTTTTTTTTCAACAAAGTATCCTTGTTGGTTGTGGAAGCACCAACAAAAATAATTTTTGGCTCTTTTTCCACCTCAAAAACATTTCAACTATCCACAACTCCTTATCTTTATTCCATCTTCCTGCTACAAATAATCCCGATATCATATTATTATCACCATTTTCGTCTTACAATTGCATTTCTAATGGCAGCTGACTCAAACAGTAGGAATTCCAATACTCACCTATTGGAAGAGCTTGAAGCACTTAGCCAATCCCTCTACCAAACTCACCCTGCAACCACTAGAAGAACTGCCTCTCTTGCTCTTCCTCGAACTTCAGTTCCCCCAATCACATCTACTGATGAGAAAACCACTGCTAAACTTGAAGACAAAACCACCAATAGACCCAGGTCCAGGCGCATGTCCTTGTCACCATGGCGTTCAAGGCCAAAGCTTGATGATGAAAATCAGCAGCAGAGAGATAGAGGCAAGGTGTTAAACCAACCAGACATCAACATATCAGATGAAAAAGGAACCTCAGCAGAAAAGAAAGGAATTTGGAATTGGAAGCCTATTCGAGCTCTTTCCCATATTGGAATGCAGAAATTGAGTTGTTTGTTCTCTGTTGAAGTTGTTACAGTCCAGGGCCTTCCAGCTTCCATGAATGGGCTTCGGCTTTCTGTTTGTATAAGAAAAAAAGAAACGAAGGAAGGAGCAGTTCATACAATGCCCTCGAGGGTTTCACAGGGAGCTGCTGATTTTGAAGAAACCCTGTTTGTTAAGTGTCATGTTTATTGCACTCCCAGCAATGGGAAGCAGCTGAAATTTGAGCCTCGTCCGTTTTGGATTTATGTGTTTGCAATTGATGCTGGAGAGCTTGATTTTGGAAGGAGTTCCGTGGATTTGAGCCAGCTTATTCAGGAATCCATGGTGAAGAGTTTTGAAGGTTCTCGTGTTCGGCAGTGGGACATGAGTTTCAATCTGTCAGGAAAGGCAAAAGGCGGAGAACTTGTTCTGAAATTGGGGTTCCAAATTATGGAAAAAGATGGAGGACTTGATATTTATAGTCAGGCGTCAAGCAAATCTAGAAAATACTCTCCATCTTTTGGCCGTAAGCAATCAAAAACTTCATTTAGTGTCCCTAGTCCGAGGATGTCAAGCAGAGGTGAAGCATGGACACCTTCAGAGAGAGGAGCATCAGCAGATCTTCAAGGAATTGATGACTTGAATCTGGATGAGCCTGCACCAGTTCCTTCAACGGCTCCCTCTGTTCAGAAGTCCAAAGAACCAGAATCAAAAATAGAAGATCTTGACCTCCCAGACTTTGAAGTTGTGGATAAAGGAGTTGAGATTCAAGACAAAGAAGAGGTTAGGGAAGGTGAATCCGAGGAAACCAATGAAGAAAAGTCAGCATCAAATGAGGTTGTCAAGGAGATAGTGCATGATCAGCTACATCTTACAAGACTATCAGAGCTTGATTCAATTGCTCAGCAAATAAAAGCTCTTGAATCTATGATGGGAGAAGAAAAAATCATCAAAACAGAAGAAGAAACAGAATCACAGAGACTAGATGCAGACGAAGAAACTGTAACGAGGGAATTTCTTCAATTGCTCGAGGATGAAGAGAGTAAGAAATTTAAATTTTATCAACCAGAAATTTCTCCTCTGCAGCTAGATGAAAATGAAGATTCAACAGATGCTGAAACCAAAGTATACCTTCCGGATCTTGGAAAGGGTTTAGGTTCCGTTGTTCAAACAAGGGACGGAGGCTACTTAGCTGCCATGAATCCTCTGGACACTATAGTTGGAAGGAAGGACACTCCAAAACTAGCTATGCAGATATCAAAACCTTTTGTTCTTCCGTCAAATAAATCCATGAGTGGGTTTGAATTATTTCAGAGAATGGCAGGCGTTGGATTTGAGGAACTCAGTTCAGAAATCTTGTCTTTGATGCCTATGGATGAACTGATTGGTAAAACTGCTGAACAGATAGCCTTTGAAGGCATTGCTTCTGCAGTCATCCAAGGAAGGAAAAAAGAAGGTGCTAGCTCAAGTGCTGCACGCACCATTGCTGCAGTAAAAACCATGGTCACTGCCATGAGTACAGGCAGGAAAGAAAGGATTTCAACAGGACTTTGGAATGTCAATGAAAATCCGTTGACGGCAGAGGAGATTTTGGCGTTCTCCTTGCAGAAGATTGAGGCAATGGCAGTTGAAGCCTTAAAAATTCAGGCAGAAATGGCCGAGGAAGATGCTCCCTTTGATGTTTCTCCACTAACTCATAAGACAATTACAAGTAGTGGCAAAGATCAGAGTCACCCTCTCACTTCGGCTGTTCCACTTGAAGATTGGATAAAAAATTACAGCTCAACTGCTTCTGATGGTCAGCTAGGGGACCAAGAGGCAATTAAAGTAGTAGTGGTCATCCAGCTGCGTGATCCAGTTAGGAGATATGAGGCAGTTGGAGGTCCAGTAGTAGCTCTTATTCATGCTGAATGTGCCAACACAAATGTGGTCAAGTATGATGAGGAAAAGAGATTCAAAGTAGCCAGTTTGCATGTTGGAGGTTTGAAGGTACGAACTGAAGGAAAGAGGAATGTGTGGGATGGTGAAAAACAGAGGCTAACTGCTATGCAATGGCTGTTAGCTTATGGTCTAGGAAAGGCAAGGAAAAAGGGAAAACATGTCCTCATAAAGGGACAAGATTTGCTGTGGTGCATTTCCTCGCGGGTAATGGCTGATATGTGGCTTAAACCAATGAGAAATCCAGATGTAAAGCTTTCAAAGTAAAAGAGTACTTTTGTAGTTCATTCCAAAAATCTAAATCGACTTTAGAATCTCCTTCCTGGCCATAAACATAAAAGAGTGTTATTAGAAAGTGTAAGGATTATGCCTCAGTTTTAAATTTAATAAAGACATATATGATAATGTTGTACTTGTAAAGAGTATTGTTTCAATGTATATGTAATAAAAGTCCAATTTCTCTCTTATCATACTTTAAATGATTACTTCTTTTTATCCAATGCACTGTTACATTATTGTATGAGCATGAAAAATGAATGGAACACAATCTTGATTCCCAATATAATAGATATAACCCAAACCCAAACAGTGCAAAGAATAAGTAGAATGATTATTAATCTTAATCCCATACCATAAGATACCAGAAATCTCTGCGGGATAAGGATCTTTCCTTGAAATGATGAAACCACCATCCATCCCTTACTATAAGTTCCCCCAAGGTAACATAACCAAGGGGCAATTCTGGAAAAACACGAAGATTCTTCAAATGAGCATCCAACCAGGAAAACTAATAAATCCAAAAGCCACAGCAAGTTTCTATCTTGACAGCTCTGAGATAATGCAACCAACTACATTTGCCACAGCTTAAAAAATTTACTAGTTTTCTGTAATCTCCTCTAACATGCTGTAGATGTCCTTGATTTGAGGATGATTTATGTCATCTGCAGTAAACACATGTATTCTGTTATCAACCTCTATCCAGCTACAACCAGGATTCTTTCTCATTCCTTTTTCTCTCATCAGTTTCCTTACACATGCAACACCTTCTAATTTTCCTGAATCTGAGTATGTGTTTGCAAGTAGAATATAACTTCCAGAGACTTCGAAATCCAGCTCAAGCAAATTCCTCAAGATAAGTTCTGCTAAGTTTGTATTACGATGGATCTGACAAGCACCAAGCAGAGCTCCCCATATATCAACAGTTGGTTTAAAAGGCATTCCATCAATCAAACTCTTAGCCTCCTCCAGCAACCCAGAGCGCCCAAGTAGATCAACCATGCATGCAAAATGCTCATGGCGGGGAGAGATGCAATAATCTTTAGTCATGGAACTAAAATAATGTTTACCTTCAGTCACAAGCCCTGAATGGCTACAGCCCGAAAGAAGAGCTACAAAACTTATATGATCAGGTTTGCATTTCATTGTTAACATATCCTCAAAAATCTCAATAACTTTATTCCCTTTACCATTCTGAGCATATACTGCCATCATTGCATTCCAAGAAATCAGATTTTTCTTACCTATTGAATCAAAAATTTTCTGAGCTTCTTCAATTTGTCCACATCTTGAATACATAGTAAGAACACTGTTTGCAACTGAAACATTAGAGCCAAAGCCTAATTTTTCAGCTTGAGCCACGATTTGAGTACCTAGCTTTAATATTGTTAAATTAGCACAGGCAACAATTGAAGTAGCAAAAGTGACCCAATCCGGCTTAACTCCTTCCCTTAGCATTAAAATATACAGATTTAAACCATCTTCCCAAAACCCATGTTGATTATATGTACTTATCATTGAATTCCAAGTTATAAGATTTCTCTCTGGCATTTTATTAAAACAATCCCAGGCTTTTTCAACATCACCATTTTGAGAGAATGCGGTGATCATTGCTGTCCAAGATATTATATTTCTTCTTGGCATCAATTCAAATTCATAATACGCTTTCTGAATATTACCACCACACTTGGCATACATTGTAACTAGAGCATTTCCAACAGGAACAAAGGACTCCATTCCAGTCTTGATTGTATGGGCATGAAGTTGTTCTCCAACAGAAAGATGATTTTGCCTGGAACAAACCCCAAGAACAGTGGCAAGGATAAACTCATCTAAGTCAACATGAGCATCTCTCATTTGGCTAAATAATAGCAAAGCTTCTTCTCCAAGCCCAAAATGTGCAGCCCCATAAATTAAAGAAGTCCATGAAACTGAATCACGTTCTGTTAAGCTGTTGAAAACCCGCCTTGCAAATACTAAGTGTCCACACTTTGCATACATATTAATCAAACCATTGCCCACAATAATATCAAGAAAAGATTCCAAACGGATAAACCGAGCATGCAAATGGGCTCCCCATTCCAGATCATAAAGGCTGGTACATGCTCTAAGAACGCTTGCATATGTCAAGGAATTCAATCCAAAACCTTGCCTGCACATCTCAACAAACATACAAAGACTCTCAACCCCGAAGCCATGCTTGGACAAGAACGAAATGATTATGTTCCACGACACGGAATCACGTTCAGCCATTCTCTTGAATATATCAAGAGCCTTCTCAACCCCATATACTATTGAATAACCATAAATCATACTATTCCAACAAAACAAACTTGGATTTTTCATCCTCGAAAAAAATCTCTCAGCGTAATCAATACCACCACACTTAACATACATATCCAAACTCGATTTCTCAATAGACGAGTCACTGACAAAGCTAAATTTCTTGGCAAATGCGTGCAATTGTATAGCCAATTTGACATATCCTAGACAACCACAAGCCTTCATCACACAAGAGAACGAGTACAAATTAGGAACACAACTACACTCTCGAACCATCGAAACAAAAATCTTTACAACTTCCTCATACTTTCCATTCCAAAAGTAACCCGACATCATCGAGTTCCAAGAAACTGAGTCTCTTTCAGGCATTTCATCAAACAACTTTTCAGCGTCTACGACCAGACCCGAATTCGCCAACCCGCCGATAATAATATTATAACTAAAAACATTACGATACCTAGAACTAAAAAAGACACGTTTAGCATCGTCTATCAAGCCACAACTGGAGTACATGTTCAAAAGATTGTTTTGGAGGAAAATAGAAGAGACTAATCCTGTTGAGATGAGCTGAGCATGGATTTTCCGAGCCACATGAACTGATTTGAGAGATGCGCAAGCTTTCATGGCCTCGTGGAATTTTTGGGACAGTTGAATGTAAGATTGTTGAATTGAAGGATCGTGGAAGAGATTGAATTTTGCAGTAACTGGCTGGAGATGAATTGAACGATAGAGCCAGAGAGAATAAATAAACGGTCGGGATTTTAACGGAAGCCATGAGCAGTCGATAATCATTCGAAGCTTGGAGATTGTAGCAGGTGCTGCGAAGTTTTATTTGTTTTTTTTCCAGCGCGTTTCCGACTTCTGTTTGTGTTTGTTTTTAAATAGACAAAACGGCGTCGCTTAAATTTCCGGTTTAAGGAAATTTAAGGAAGTTTAATGTAACTTTACTCCCAGGTTTAAGGAAGTTTCCTAAACCTTTTAAGCCCATATTAATGGAAGAAAGTGTAAAGTGTCTGTTTCCTGAATGAGCTACACAAAAGAGAAGTTGTCTAAATTAAATAATACAGGTGAGTCCACTTAGAAATATAGCTTAACAGTTGAAATTAAAGTACAGAAAGGTGGAGAGATTAAAGAAGGGGGGAGTTGTCAGAGAAAAGAGAAAATGTGTAGGCACATGGAGATAGAGTAGAAAATGGAGGAAAGATCTTGGCTGGACGTAGAGGGAGAGAGTTTTGGGATCTAAAGAACATGCAGTTTGACAGAAAAAAAAAACGTACACTACACAGATTGTCGATTTCTTAATAGACCCCATGTGGCACCTCCACAGCTAATGGTCTTCGTCTTTCATTCTCTCTGTACATTGACAGGTAGATTTTTTTTTTGGCCGCTCTCTTTCTTTCTACCATTTATATACGTATATAAATACTTATCTTATATACGAAGAAAAAGAAATAGAGGAGAAATCGGGGTAAAAAAAGACATATCGTGGATTGGGTCGGTAACGNAATGGAGGAAAGATCTTGGCTGGACGTAGAGGGAGAGAGTTTTGGGATCTAAAGAACATGCAGTTTGACAAAAAAAATACGTACACTACACAGATTGTCGATTTCTTAATAGACCCCATGTGGCACCTCCACAGCTACTGGTCTTCGTCTTTCATTCTCTCTGTACATTGACAGGTAGATTTTTTTTTTTTTTTTTGGCCCCTCTCTTTCTTTCTACCATTTATATACGTATATAAATACTTATCTTATATACGAAGAAAAAGAAAGACAGGAGAAATCGGGGTAAAAAAAGACATATCGTGGATTGCGTAGGCAGCGGTAGAAGTCAAAAGACAACAAAGCCAGTACAGTAGAGCTGAGAAGCTTCCATTATTAGGAAAACAAATACAAAAAAAATGGGGAAAATTAAAACAATATCTTTCTACCAATACCATCTTTTTCTCTGTTGCTTGGTTGGTTTGTTTAGTAGCCATAGATTAGTAGTGGATATTAGATACCCTTTTATACTGTTTTTTATAATCAAATGCCTACCGAGTTTTTCCAAGAGACAATACTGTACTTCTTCTGAGTCATCCATACATACAACTCGGTGAACTGAACTGAGTCACTATTTGGAGACTGGCGAGTGTTTGAAGGGTTGTTGGAGAAATAAGGAGCTGTTTCTTTCAGTTTTTTTAACTGCTTCTTCGGCAAAATTATATATAGCTGTCTCACTTTCCTAAGTTTCCTTGTATTACATAAAGATTCCATCCATCCCAGAAACCAGTTCACTACTTGCAGATTTTTTTTTTTTTTTTTTAATTGTGTTTTATACAAGGCAAGGCATCATCATCATCCTGGCATGAAGCTGTATTCTTAACGGTTAGATTTATGTACATCAAATTCGCTATCTTTGTCTCAAGAACGCTCACTTCACTTTCACCCTGTTGGGGTAATCAAGATTGTGAGCCATCTAAGAGATCTAGTTTCTTTTCTGTTGATGTTGATGCCTTTTCTAGTTTATTCTTACTAAATGGACTGTTGTTATTATTATTATTATTATTTATTTGCTGTTGATTGGCACTGTTGATATGTGGTTTGGATATTCTATTGTTGTTAATAATATACTGAATCTAAAGGATTTTATACTGTTGTCATTAGTCTTTACCTGTTATGATGGGTTCATAAAGAGAAATTAGTTATGTTATTGTACTGAATTGGATCTGTGTCGATGGTGGAAATGATTGATTGTTTGATTTGTGATCTGGGATCTCGGTTTCTTGCAGATTAGTTAAGAGTATTTGGAGTTTAATTCATTGGTGACAAGATGAACGGAGCTGCACTTGTAGCTATTGCTGCTGCTATTGGTAACTTCTTGCAAGGATGGGATAATGCTACAATTGCTGGTACTCTTCGTCTTTATAGTTTGAATTTTTTATAGTATTTAGTTGTTCTTCAATTTTATCAAAATCAAGTTTAGTAAAGGTTGATTGAAAGCTTTGTTTCAGAAATTTCATATTTTCATTTCTCCACTTTCATGCCTCTGAGGTTTTGGGTCCATTGGGATTCAAACTGATTAAATCAGTTGGTGCTAAATGTCAGTTTTTAATATTTTCTATGATTTCAGGGGCTGTTGTTTACATCAAGGAGGATTTGAGTTTGAGTACTACTGCAGAAGGTCTTGTTGTGGCCATTTCACTCATTGGAGCCACGGCTATTACAACATGCTCTGGACCCATATCAGATTGGCTTGGTCGTCGTCCAATGCTAATAGTGTCATCAGTGCTCTATTTTGTTAGTGGTTTGATAATGTCGTGGTCACCCAACGTTTATGTCCTATGCTTAGCAAGACTGTTAGATGGATTTGGAATCGGTCTGGCAGTTACTCTTGTTCCAGTCTATATATCTGAGACTGCCCCATCAGAAATTAGGGGATTGTTAAATACCCTTCCTCAGTTTACCGGTTCTGGTGGCATGTTTTTGTCATACTGTATGGTTTTTGGGATGTCATTGACGACCTCACCTAGTTGGAGGTTAATGCTTGGGGTTCTTTCTATTCCTTCCCTTCTGTATTTTGCATTAGCAGTATTTTTCTTGCCCGAATCTCCTCGGTGGCTTGTGAGTAAAGGAAGGATGGTTGAGGCAAAACAGGTTCTGCAGAGATTACGTGGCAGGGAAGACGTTTCAGGTTCACTTCAAACTGCAGTTTTTTTTTTTTCTTTTCTTTAATTTTCCGCTTATGAATACATACTTTTCTTGAGCCTGGAGAATGTTCTCTGTGCTTATTTTAATGGATCCAGCGGAGTCTTGATTCCATTGTTGGTAGTGTGTGTAATATTCTTAATCAAACTTCAGACATGACTTTCGTGCACAATTGATTATTTTCTAGTAGGATCCCATATCTTCTAGAAGACAAAACAAAATATGTTTCTGTCCTGAGGCACAGGTGTGTGGGATACTGTAGTTTACTTAGTTTCACTTTCAAGCATTCACAATTTAGGAGGATGAAAAGTTACATTCATGTCGGTACCTATTAAAATTGTGTATATCTGCTGCTATGTTATGGCCTCTGTGTTGTATCTTGGCCCTGAACAGTTTCATGAAAATACTGTGTGTGATCCAGAATACGTAATGAATATTTGAAAAATAAATAAATAAAAGAACACAGTTAGTAATCTGAAAGCTCTCAAGAAAAGATCATAAAGTTTGTTGAGCTTGTAGTCGTCTTTCAAAATCTCCCTAAATTACATAATGTATATATTTGTCCTTTTTCAGTCCTAGATAGCAGTTGCTGAAACACATTTGGTGCACGTGTATATGTTTATATAAATACCTGTGAGAGTGACTAGGAACACCTAACTAGGTTATAAATTATTATTGTGCTTCCAAAAGCCAATGTTCATCTCAACTTTAGCAATTTGTTTAATTTTTCCGGTCTGTTAGAATCAAATTTATGGTTTGACCTTAGATTTTATCCAGAGTTGGTGAGAACATTCTGCGTCCCTTCCAGTTTCTTTCACTTTCCTCTATTCTTGCTCCTTTTGAGTCAAGTTACTAAGTAACAGTGAGTTAAAATATTTTATTTAATCTTTTGGTGTAATTATTGATTGCACATTGTTACTCTGATCTTGTTTGACACTCAGTTGTATTTCTTATTTGGGCTTCTATTTAGTTTTTGTTTTTATTTGATATCATTATTGAAATGATGATGATCTTAGGTTTATAGGAGGTAATGCTTTTTGCTTTCTTTTCCCAATTCTGTGTCTGTGTATAAATAGTTTCCTTCAATCCATTGATTGAATCCACTGTTGATGGTCATTCCATATTTACATATCTGTTTGTTGTTTATATTGAACAAAACAACCAAATGCTCCTTATGCAGATTCTAAATTGATGGTCATATACACATGAAATGGCAAGATATTAAATTGAGGATGAGAAAAAGTCCATTGAGATTGTCTATGTTACTGTAGTCTAGTAATGCACAGATGTTGGAAATATCTATACCTGTCATATTTTCTCCATTTTATTTGTTTTTTCTGTCTAATTTGTCATTTTAATCTTACTGAAGTTTCTTCAATCCACAGGTGAGATGGCTTTGTTGGTTGAAGGTCTTGGAATTGGTGGTGAAACATCTATAGAAGAATACATAATTGGTCCAGGTGATGAAATTGCTGATGGGGAGGAACCTGCTATGGAGAAAGACAAAATCAGATTATATGGACCTGAAGAGGGCCTTTCATGGATTGCCAAGCCTGTGACTGGACAGAGTTCTCTGGCACTTGTCTCTCGCCAGGGAAGTCTAGCAAACCAAAGTGTCCCACTTATGGACCCACTCGTGACTCTATTTGGTAGTGTTCATGAAAAGCTACCAGATACAGGAAGTACGCGAAGTATGCTTTTTCCAACCTTTGGAAGCATGTTCAGTACAGCAGAGCCTCGTGTTAAAAATGAGCAGTGGGATGAAGAGAGTCTGCAGAGGGAAGGAGAGGACTACCCATCTGATGGTGGTGGGGCGGACTCTGATGATAATTTGCATAGTCCATTAATCTCTCGCCAAACAACTAGCTTGGAAAAGGACATTCCCCCTCATTCCCATGGCAGTATATTGAGCATGGGGCGCCATAGTAGTCTAACGCAAGGAGGTGGGGAGGCAGTTGGTAGTACTGGGATAGGTGGTGGTTGGCAGTTGGCATGGAAATGGTCTGAGAGAGAAGGTGAGGATGGAAAGAAGGAAGGAGGATTTAAAAGGATTTACTTGCACCAGGAGGGAGTCCCTGGATCCCGCCGTGGATCTCTTGTTTCACTTCCTGGTAATGATGTGCCTTCAGAAGGTGAGTTTATCCAGGCTGCAGCTCTGGTAAGCCAGCCTGCTCTGTATTCGAAGGAGCTTATAGATCAGCATCCAGTTGGACCTGCAATGGTTCACCCTTCTGAAACTGCTACAAAAGCTCCAATTTGGTCCGCTCTTTCTGACCCTGGAGTTAAGCGTGCTCTGGTTGTTGGGATGGGAATACAGCTGCTTCAGCAGGTAGTCTATTGTTTTATGCATTAATTGCACTACGTATGCTCCTTACAAAATAAAATAACTGCAGTGACCCTCTTACCTCAACTTTTAATACATGCATGTGATTTTAGTGCTCTCCCCTTTCATCCTCTCTTTGAGACTGGCTTGTTTCCAATAAATCAAAAATGAAACTAGAGGCCTATCTCTTCATTACTCAACTTTAAATACTTCAGCAGGTAGCTAGACTTTCTACCTTGCAAAGCCATTACAAGGCCAGTCCTATCTAATAGGAGGTAATGCCTACACAAGAGTCCCTAACTTTTTCTCTCATGTTAGCCTTATTCTGCTTGCGAATTTTACTTCAGATCTACAATTATGTGAATTCATATTCCAATATTTAATCTGAAAGAGTACTCTTTAATTTGGGCATCGCACATTGATTAAATGCTGATCTAGGTGGTAAAGTTGATTATTCAAGTGTTCTTCAAATTTATGTGCAGTTTTCTGGCATTAATGGAGTCCTTTACTACACTCCTCAAATCCTTGAAGAAGCAGGTGTTGAGGTTCTTCTTGCAAACTTGGGCCTTAGTACAAACTCTGCATCATTCCTTATCAGTGCATTCACAACCTTGCTGATGCTTCCCTGTATTGGTATAGCAATGAAACTCATGGATATATCAGGCAGAAGGTGATTTCCTTTGTCTGTCTCTTAGATCTGTTCATTTTGCATGGTTTTTCAGAAGTTGATAGATAAGAGTATAACATTATATACAATTTTTAATAATTGGATTCTAATTATCAAAATGCTGAAAGTGTTTTCATAATGCTCTCTCATGTGGAAAAAATTATGGATATGAATTGGAGATGGAATATCTTCTTTACTTAATCTAGTAATACAGTTCTCTTCTTTTTCAAAGAGAAATTAACTTTTGTGCTTACCTTTTCAATCCAATTCATCACTGAATGCAGGCAGCTGCTGCTCACCACCATTCCAGTGCTGATAGTGTCACTCATCATTCTGGTTATTAGTGAAACTGTGGGCTTTAGCTCGGTTGTCAAAGCAGGAGTCTCAACTGCATGTGTTATAATCTATTTCTGCGTCTTTGTCTCGGCCTATGGACCAATTCCGAATATTCTCTGCTCGGAAATCTTCCCAACAAGGGTCCGTGGCCTCTGCATTGCCATCTGTGCACTGGTTTACTGGATTTCCGACATCATTGTCACGTACACACTCCCTGTGCTGCTTAGTTCAATAGGCCTGGCCGGCATATTTGGGATTTATGCCACTGTGTGTGTCATCTCCTTTGTTTTCATCTTCTTGAAAGTACCAGAAACCAAAGGCATGCCACTTGAAGTCATTACTGAATTCTTTGCCGTTGGGGCGAGACAAGCTGACGCAGCCAAGAATGAATGATTCAAAGCTTCTTGTCCCTTCTGCAGTTTAGCTGCTACAGTTACATCCAACTCTCTTATGAGAGATTTTGAGCGTTCTCATTGCAATGTGAATTAGCATCTTCTGATTATAAGAGGTCCAATGATTTTTTTCTTTTTTTCCATCTAAATTTGTTTTAGTATGATATAGTTAATTTTGTTAAAAGAATTATATACTTAATTAGTTCCTTGTATTTAAAGAATTATCAATTATATATTTGGAGATGGAAAACCAATTCACATACCAAGGTCTCTGAACCATGCCAGGAAAAATTGTAGGCTTTCCTTGAGAGAAAATCTATTAAAAAAAATTAAAAAAAAAAAATCTTTCAAGCACGATGGGTTATCAATTGCAGGCTTCAGACCTCAACCACATGCAGAATAACCATGAAGACAACCCATAAAAAGGCTAAAATGCAACAATCAGCAATCAGTCATAAATTAGCAACGGAAATTCTTAAACCATACTGCTGTGAAAAAATATTTTGGTTACATAAGCAAACTGGATACGTAAAACACTGCAGTTCTATTTACAGTCTTGCCTCTGATTTACAACTGAATTCTAGAGCAGGCTAAACTCAAATTTAACACCTGAGATGCAATTTTAAATGGTAATCCAGACACTCTTTGGTAATATTGAAAAAAACCAAAGTTCACTGAAAAGCAATTACATTTCAAAAGGATGACATTACTGTCAGAAGCCCAATGTTGCTTAGGGTTTCGGCATTTCCTCTGAGGATGACTTACTACCAACTGTATTTGGGGCTTGATCTGATTTAGGAGGTCTTGAATTACCGGATTGAATATTGAAGGGATTCTGTTCAGCAGGCTCATGAGACTTCTGATTGAACTTGAATGGTCTCTCAAAATCTTTAGCATTGCTAGAGTCAATCACTACTTTATTAAGCTTTTGTTCCTGCAGACAAACAAACAGAAACTGTCAAGGAGAAGCCTCAAGAAATGTTTGAGAGTATGTGTAAAGCAGTACCCAAATTTGAATTATCATCAGTTTAAACTACCTCAATGCTTCACACATGTAATTTGATATGCAACTCTTCTATATTAAATGGGGTTACTTTTTCCTTCTAGTCCTAAAAATTAAAGCGTAGGATTTCAAGGATTTAAAGCAACTTACACTTTGAAGCATTTCGAGCTTTCTCTGCAGTGCCTCATGCTCAGCCTGAATACGAAAGGGAACGCCATGCTTTTGATACATATTGTCCTGTGCCAAGTCTTCATCAATGTCACTGGCAATTGTTGCAAAAGGATGATTTGAGGGAATCCACCTGATTGTATCAGGGTCAACATCAGGAGGTATAGAGTCACCTTCTTTCAGGAACATTGTAGGCCTCTTCCACTGGTATGCTCGGGACCTCCTCATCTGATGGATAGCTTGTTCCTGTTCTGTAAGAGTAACTGGAGCCAATCGATAAACCTTTCCACACATCTCTACGGTTGAATTTCCCTTACCCACCTTCACCATTGGATTATTGAAAGGGTCCTCATATTTAAGAGGCCGTGAGCTGTACAAACGCAATTTCACGAGCAAACCACATCACTTATATGAACACGTTGTAACCAAAAGCTACGCATTTTAAAAACAGCAAATTTGATTCCAACATCTGCATACTGACGTAGAAATTACAATTGAGAAATGTCCTCACGCAGCATAGATTTAATAATTAAAACACCACATCCAGCAAAAAAAGAAAAAAGTGTACTCTATATACATGGAAAAGGAAGGATTCAGGGAAGGGAATCATACATGCCTCTTCTATCAGATCTCAACTGGCCGCGTCTAACAAGATCAGCTACAGAGCCAGGAGGGCTGTGCCTCGACTTCCTTGACATGTATACTCTCACCACAATAACCAAAAATGCAGTTGCAAAGAACAACCCAATTGCAAAACTACTTCCAGCATTTTTTTTCATCTGAAAACAAACAACCAAATAACTTCATTTATTCCTTTTTCATTTATTGCACGATAATTATTATCAGTTCCATTAAAAATGTTCAACATTGTAAAATAAATTATAAGAACAACAGAAAACAAAACTCAATTAAAAGTATTACCACGAAAGCTACATGAGGCAAAGAGCTAACGATTTCATGAAACTTGGCAACTGGGCGTTTCGAATGCCCAGCAACAGCAACGCTTTCAGTCTTGACAGGGTGGTCGCCATCGGAACTCACAGCTCTCAATTCAAAGTTTCGAGCAATGGATAATCGGTTGAAGCTCAGTTGCCCATCACATAAATCAAATTCAGTTCTAAGTTTCACCAAATTCGAAGATAATCGATGCTTTGAAACCCAAATAAAGAATTCATTAGTAAAATAGTTGAGGCTTAAACTTTTGCAATATAAAATAAAAGAAGAGATAAAGCTTGCAATACTTACAGAAAAAGAAAGGGAATTGAATTGAAGAGTGTAAATTGATGCCATTTTTTTGACGATAGAAGAAACTCTCGTCACTCCTCACATCTCACCATTTGTTGCTCTGGTCGTGACGGTGAAAAATATCTAGGGGAACCGCTTAAGTCGAATATTGAACACGTTTATAAGAAAATAAAGGGCTCGTATAAACATATTCGGATCCGTGGCGCAATGGTAGCGCGTCTGACTCCAGATCAGAAGGTTGCGTGTTCGATTCACGTCGGGTTCAATCCCCGGATTATTAATTTTTTTTTATTCATAATTTTAGTTTACATATCGTCGGAATGTTTTTAAACAACAGGACGATATGTCGTTTATACAAAGATAACACGTCGACGAAGAGTATCATTTAAAAAGAAAAAAGGGATTAAATAAATAAGGTGAAGAATTTATCCCGGGTCAGAGATGCAAGAAAGCACTATGACTGCAACTTTTGTTCCATGATCATGTGTTAGTGGGTTAATTAGTCTTATCACTTTAACCAAATAATTATACTTAATACGATTTTTTGGTCAAATGCTAATGATCCCCTACCTCACTACCTATTCCATCAATCCTTTCAATTTCGTAGATTATATATATATATATATATGGTGCTTTAGCCTTTAGGTTCCAATTATTTAATTTTATATATTATTTAATTAATGAATAAATAAATATATAGGTTAGCGGCTGGAGAATAAAGTAGTGTTGGATTTGACTGGAATTCAATTCAATACATGTGAGAGATCAAGATGAAGCGACTGGATGAAGACAGAATATTTGATAGAATACAAGTTTGTTTCATTATTTTTTACTATCTTATTTCTATTCTATCTAAAATACATATTTATTTTCCTATTTTATTTTATTTTATTTAATTATTTTTAATCCTCATAGGTTTATTAATTTAACTAAACACCTCTAAAAAAAAGTTTAAAAATTAATAAAAACACCCCTCATCCACCCATATTTATCAGATTTTAGTCACCACCATCGACAGGTGGTTGAAATCTAATATAATGGTATACTACCGACTAGATATGACCGATAGTGCATCGATCTAGCTTTTTTCAACTAAATCTACAACTAAAAATCTAGCCGTTAACGGCCAAATCTTTAACCATCATTAACGACCAAACGCTGGTAGATCTAACATTTTCCAACCAAATCCACGGTAGATTTGATTGGAAAAGGTTATATGGATGCACGACCGGCTAGATCTAGTCAATCGTGGGCCAATACGACAGCTTTAACCACCCTCTAGTGGTGGTGGTCGACTGCCAGTATTTAATGGATGAGTATGGATATTTTTATTAATTTTTAATGTTTTATTACAAGAGTATTTAATAAATTAACAAACCTAAAAGGTATTTTTATTAATTTTTAAATCTTATCTCGTAATAACTACCAAACTCTTTACTTTTTCAAAAATTTTATCCAAAATATTGAAACAAAACGTACCCATTCAATTCCGGGTTTATATTCTGTTAGCAACAACGTTAACCTAAATAGTAACAAAATTAGGTGCAATTCCACGCCATTTCATGCACTCACTCATTCACTCCATTTCCAATGGCAATAATAAACACAAGTTGGTGAAAGGAATGAATAATACACATGGCGGCTTAAACATAAAGTTGAAGTGGCCTAACTTCTCACGCAACGCACATGGGAGAAGAAATAAAGAAGTGACCCCTTGATGTCAACTTACAACCCAATAATTAAATTAATAAGGCCAAAACCAGCACTGCATAGACCGAGACCTTTCTGTAACAGCTTAATTTTCAAGATAATGAAAGCTTTTCAGCCACGATATTCATAATCAAACGAAGAAACCAGCCCCATTTCCGAAGCTGGATTCAGGCTTGTCTCCATCTTACCTGTACGTGATAAGGAGTGTGTATTCCACATTATACCTTCAATATTCAAATATATATACATTGTGTGTTTTAACTTTTGAATTCATATAATAAGCTAAACACACACCAGGTGTAATATTTAATACACGAATGTTGCTTAGAAGAGACAAAATCTGAGGGAATGACGGCCAATTTACTGGTTTATTCTGGTATATATTTAGTTTAGGTGGACCATGGCAGCTTATTGTATTGAAAGGCTCCAAAGAAAAGGGAATAAATGGGTACCAATAAATCACTATAAGGTGGACAAATATTATCTTTGTTAGGTCAAGACAAGAAAAAAGAGAGTGATTGTTGTTTGTCGAATAAATGGAGATGATTAAGTTTTATTATATTTAATGATATCTTAAAATTTAGTGTGAACAAATTTTCTTTATTAATGTTAGTGGGTTACCTACTCTTAAGCTAAACCATTCCTCCTTTCAACCAACCCATTTCCATTTATAGCACAAGTTCAGACAATTTTTTACCTTTACCTAAACCCGATTGTTCTTCCTCCACCTAATCCAGAATACTTAAAAATTTCCAACAAGGTTCATATACTTGACACGAAAATTATTAGTACCCAAAGTTTAAAAAAGATAACGACAGACAAGCCCTCACTAATGGATTCCTTCCTTCACATTCTATGGACTATCGACTAGCTAAGCGTTTTTATTGGGTTCCCTTTTTCTTTTTCTTGATTCCATGTCCCACTATTCATTTTCATCCCAACACTTTAAATTAATCTCTTAATTACTAAATTAACAACTGATTTCTTCTTCTAAGCCTAATAATAGCTGTAGCGAGAATGATGCGACAACCCGCCGCCACGGCCCTTCACTTAGATAGACTGTGCACTTATCTACACTATTCTCAATTCGCTTAATTCGCCGTGATTTAAATCACAAGTTTCTTCGAGAGATCTTAAGAGTAAATACATTTTATATTAATGTTACATAAAACCAACGGAAATTACATATTGATTTTAATTATATATTAAATACACCCTGTTTAAATCTAAATGCTAGTAATTAAGCAAGTCATAATTTCATAAACCTAAATGAATAGTGATATGAAATTATGAACTAAAGAAAACAAGCTTACAAGCTAGGGCAAGAACCTATTTGCATCGTCTTCTCTTTCCTTCAATCTCGCTTCACTGGTTTCGGGTGCTGCATCGGAGCTAGAAGAACTCGCCGGCGGCACGCCACCACACTTCTGACATCTGGCCACCACTAATATCTGCCGGCACGACGGACATGATGAGTGGGACCCAAGCCACGTATCTATACACGCCACATGGAAACCGTGACCGCACTGCGGTAAAATCCTGATTTCGTCTCCGATTGCGAACTCCGTTAAGCAAATCGCGCAATCGGAGAACTTCGCGGCAGTTTCTGTGTTGAAGGCGAGCTTCGGAAGCGAGCGGAGGATCTTCTTTTTAAGGCCTTTGTTGGCGGGAGAACGTCGCGCCGTTGCGGAGGTGGTGCCAGCGGAGTTGTTGGCTCCGCTAGAGAGTCTGCGGAGCCAGGCGCAGCGAGCGACGGCTATGAGACCGAGAACGCATATTAAGGCGCAGAGGAGCGCGGCAAGAATTACAACATAGTCAGAGTCGACGTTTGCGGGTTCCGCTGACCCGGGGTTAGTTGAGTTCTCGCCGCCTAAGAACCTGAAGAAAGGACGAGTCATGTGAAAGGACACAGAAAGAGAGACAGAGAGAGAGAGAGAGCGAGAGAGAGTCCTTTGTTATGTTTATTGAACTGTGTTGACTGTGCGAGAGTGTTTTAAGGTTTTTGTTGTGTAATGAATGATGTGGATAACTTTATAATAAGGAATCTGCTGGAGCTAATTTTGCAAATTACTTATTACTCTCTTTATTTTACTCTCATTCATAAATGTCCTTATACTTTCTCATTATTACATTGACACCCCCTTCTTTTTAAGTCTATAAGTCGAAGGATTATTTATTCATTTATTACTGTTTTCCTTAGTCACAATTGCACATAATAAAGCATAATGAACACATGCAATCCATTTATTCAATAATTTATCTAGCTTTGAGATTACATAAAAATCAAAGTGAGAAAAGATGTTGGAAAAAGCTAGTAAATCCCATTGAAATTGATTTAGTTGTCAAGAAAAGGTGTGAAGATTCATCTTTTCCATGTTTCTGAGTGGTATTATGGATATACATTTAGATTTTTTTTTTTTTTTTCTCTTTTTTTAAAATAAAAAGACAACATTAAAAAATATATATATCTAGAAAAAGGGAACCCAAATGCGAAACTCCAAGATTCTAAGATAAACACGGGCTGTCCTGCAGATCTATGAACCCAATCCAAAATGGGTCCTCTTAGTGTATAGCAGCTCACACTTTAGGTCCATTTCTAATACCGTAATCATAGCTATCGCGACCACCGATTCGATAATATAATTAAACCTTTAGGCTGCCAATTACGACCGAAAAGGATACACGCACCCACCACAGGCCAATGGCAAAACAGCCGAAAATATCTAAAATCTAAACATTTAAGATATTAATGATTTATTTTTCTTATCATTACTATAATGGGCATGTATCAGGCGGAGACCAATATTTGTTATACATTTGGCCAGATTCCCGGAAACCATGGCGACCAAAATGGGAAGATTGAGCAACAACATTGGGAATTGTCGGAAAACTAACAAATTTGGGTTGATAATGTGACAGCCTACAGGTACAAATGGCAAAACGAGGCATGGAAATTGTGAAATTTGTCGGATAAGAACTTAAGAAGATAAGACTTTAGGGTCATACTCATACTCATACATGCTTCTTGTGCTTGCGCTTCGACAGTCCTTTGGATGGTAGTTGCCACGTGGCATGGGCCATGTGAATTGATAATCTGGACACGTAAATGAATCACTCCAAAGACGAATTTTAATGCTTTCTTCTTCTTCTTCTTCTTCTTAATTCTCTCAACAAACAAATCCCCTCTAAACACGTCTCTTTATCTTTTTAGCTTTTATCTTTCTTTCAACGAATTTTCGGCGCCAAACGGTGCCATTCCCACCCCTTTACACCGTCTATTCAACACAAGAACCATCAATGGATCAAGCATTTCTCGTTGTTTTAAGTTCAGGGAACTCTAGTGATAAATTCTAAAATTAGCATCACGCATCCAAAAGTAGACATTCGCCTTATAGGCATACTCTTTTTCCAGTTGGACAATCGCAGCTACTGCCCTCTACATGCCCTGCACTTCCAGGGAGTTAATAGTGTCAGTTAATCCTCTAGTTTATAAACATACAATTTGTCCATTAGAAAACTGTGATGCCCTTCTCTGAACGGTTCTGTGTCACAAAACAATTAGGTTCAACGCAATTTTAACCAATTTTGCTATCATGGCGCACTCAGCACATCAAAAGGCACGTCTACATAGTGGGAATACTTCATTGCTTACAAAGAAAAGTACCAAAAAGAGAAGATAAGGGAGACCTAATACCAAAGAAGCCAAAAGTGAAATGATTGGAAATGGTAGATGCAAATTCTTTCTAACTCTTTAAGGATATTAAGGAACATATGCACATATCTATAAATGAACTAATATTTCCCCTGCCCCCAGTACTCATCCTAATCTTTCTCTTAGTTGGCAAGATTTGCAAGGTTTAACCAAGAACTCCTTTCAGAAGCCACAAATTCACTACCACCCTAAATAGATGAGCAACTCCAACAAACCTCACTAATCAGAATTGGATATTTTTCATTATTACCTCACGCATGGAATGATGGAAAATTTCCAATGTACAACCCAACCTAAAAGGCATCCAGCATAAAAATTTGGCAGATAAGTAGACCCTTCATCATGGGTGACAGAGACATTTCGGATAAGAAAAGAGATATGTAAGAATCAATTAAGGATTCCAAAATCACACCATTGCAGTTCCAGCTAAGGACTGTCTAGCAGAATTATAATAAACATGTTTAGTTTCCTAATACAAATACCACCTCCGGCAAAGTGTGTCTTCCTTCTTCACAAGTCATATCTCACATTCCACCGACCATTCATGTCAGCATTGAGTGTCCAATTATTTTCTCTGATCTGAAAGTACGGAACCTGAAAGAAAAATAATTTAGAAAAGTACCAACAGAGCCAAGTAAACTGAATGTTAATATACTATAAAAGACAAGATAATGGTGTAATTCTGTGAGAGTGGAACCCAATTATAATTGAATTTGATCACATAGTTGTTGGAAATCCAATCCAATCATCAACATAAGTTACAGATCATAACTTTATAAAATGCAGCCAGGAAAAGTTTAAGTTCTACTATAGCAGTTACGAATAAACTAAGCAGATCTCTATGCTGTTAGTTACAGCTTTCAGCTGCCTTGGGGTGTTACTATAAATCTGAAAATTACATTTCAACTTTGAGGGAAAATATAATGAAGGAAATGAATAGAAGAGATAAGATGACAAACTCTGACAATGTCAATGTATTGAAAGATAGAATTAAGAAGAACCACATTAGAAATCATCAAGGGTGATAGACTGCAAGGAGAAAATTCTTCCTCAGCCTAAAGTTAATTGAAGAGAAATAGATGAGAAATGCTATAAATGAAAATACATACATACATAATTCCACAATATACCTTGTCAATCACTTCATAGCCAAGTTTGAATCGAATATCTTGCTCTCTCTGAAAATTGAATATGCTCCAAGAAAATTCAGCAGCTCCTTTTGAATTTTTCTGTCAGAGTAGCAGTACATGATAGCATAAGATACAATTAAAACAAATTGCAATCTGCATGAACACTCTTTGGCATCTTTCCATTTAAAAAGACATTCTAAAATATATTAAAACTGCAACTAAAAGAAAAGAAGAAGTAGTAGTAACAAAAATGTATAGCCATTAAAGTTATTGTATAGGGTACACAAAATAGCATGAGCATGGATCATCTTACACCAATTATGTTTAATATGGTATATCTCCAGCTTAATGTAAACACCGACCTGTTTAAATTCTTTGTCAACATCACATCTTCCCTTGATATTAAAGCTTAGCAAACCATTACTGGTCACAGGAAATCCTTTCTTGGCACGTACAAAATACCTAAGCTTCTCATGTTTAGTATACTGCAAACCTACTCCAAGGCTTGCTGATAACTGTAGACAATTATTACATGCAGAAAAATGTAAAGAGAAGTCAAATTTGCAAATGAGATGCTATAAAAAATAAGCAAGCAACAACATACATCTGGGTAGAAGTGTCTGATCATTGCACTACAATAACTTGGATTTCCCACTCTTGTATCTAGCTCTCCATGGACCTAAACAAACAGAGACACGAGAAGACTTGAAAAATCATTTAAGGAGACTATATACTGAGATTGTTCAGATATTCAATCACACATGTATAGCTCTCCAATAACAAAATGTAGCCCATTGCTTAATTGAAACACTGGCCAATGATGCATTCAAAAGATAGGTCTTACATTAAACAAAACTAGTGGGAATGTAGACTAATAGTTCCGTATATTAACATATACAACCCATCGTCTAAAATTCATACCAGAAACATCAATTCAAACTCCAAAAGTAACTATTAGAACTACAAATGAACACAAAGCTCAGCCCCTTATAGCATCACCAAATAACAGTTGCTGTCTCCCAAGTCCTAAAAGTTAAATAAAGCATTCTACATGAGATTCAACAGTAAAGCTTTTACTGCGACCAATCAAACTCAACTATGAGCTGCCCAATATGTGCAACGATTTCTATTAATTCTAGCATTTAAGCCACCCAGTAATTCCAAATTTACTTCATCAGAAATATTATAGAAACACAAAAAACCAAGATTCGATAAGACAGTAAACAAGTTCTGCACCTGCAAGCGAGTATTGGAATCAATGAGAAACTTCTCCTTGGCATGGATTCTTAAAGCTTTTGAGTCTTTTCCGTATCTTAAAGACGTCTCCATTTCTTGTTCTGTGTCTATCGAATTCGAATACAAATCACTCCAATCAAAACCCTAGCACAACTTAACAAAGAGATAAATGGGAGCTCTCTAGTTTCTCTCACACTGACTGCTTGTGCACACTGTTATCAACCAAGTTTAAATCTCGTGCCTCCTTTCAACCAATCACAGCATTTCACCACGTCATGACTTAAATGGGCCTGCCTAGGCCCAATTAAAGTCATAAATACAGCCGAGGCCCAAATTTTTTAGTACGAAATATTTATAGTGTTTGAAGAAGAAGTGAGGGAGTAAGAAAGCAAAGTCAGGATCTTGAACACAAAGTCTTGGCCGGGGGTTTTCTGTAATGAGAGGAGATAACAAAATGGGGTTCAGATTTGATTTACTTCTCTTTGCACTTACTGTACTCGCTGCACCTGTACTCTCCGATCTGATCCTCTCCAAAGTCGATCGACGCGTAAGTTTTTCGTTTCGTTTTATGTTTGTTGATCTGATTTTGATTCGTAATTGTTAATTAGCTCTAATTTTTGGTTCATTATGTGTAAATTTATTGCAGAAAGAATATAATTTGATTTTATAGGCTAGAAATGAAAAAAAATAATGGAGATTTTTGTCGATCTTCTTTTGCAGATTGATTTGACTTCACAAATTGTTCGCAGCGTTTCAACACTTAAGGTGCTACTCTAATTCTCTCTTTTGTTTTCTCTTAAAGACGGTTTTTTGGTAAAATTTTGAATCTAATAGCAAAGTGTCTTGATTTAATTTCGAAATCATTAAACTTTGTTGTTGTTGTAATGTGATTTGTAGGTGGAGAATGCTGGTTCTGAGTTGGTTTCAGAAGTTTTGTTGTCATTTCCCGAGCACCAGGCGAAAAACTTGGCCTATTTAATGGCAACATATAGTGAAGGGAAAGGAAAAGCTAAAAGTTCTGGTGTTAGTCTCTCTGTTAAAGAAGTTAAGCCAAAAGGAATGCCTCCAGCTTTAACCTTTTATTCAGTAACATTGCCTAAGGGACTGGGCAAGGGGGATAGTTTTACTTTCGATGTTTTGTCTGTATTTACCCACTCCCTGCGGCCGTTTCCTGAGAAAATTACTCAGGCTGATATTCAGCTTGTTATTTTCCAGGACAGTGCTCACTTCCTCACCCCTTATGTTGTTAAGTTCCAGTCACTCAGTATTAAATTACCTGATTCCAGAATTGAATCTTACACAAAATTGGAGAACACAAAGCTTCATGGTTCAGAGATCAAATATGGCCCTTTTGAGAACCTCCCCTCTTTCTCATTCTCGCCCATATTTGTTCATTTTGAAAGTAATCAACCTTTTGCAGTTGCTAAGGAGTTGGTGAGGGAGATAGAAATTTCCCATTGGGGTAATGTGCAGGTTACAGAGCATTACAACCTTATCCATGGAGGTGCTGAAAGCAAGGGTGAATTTTCTAGGTTTGCTCATGTTTTCCTGAATTTTATTTATTTATCTTTTATTTTGAAACAAACAAGGGTTTAGAATAAATATGTAAGTTGGATGGAGGTTTGACTTTTTGTTGTTGCCTCAAATGTGTCACAGGCTTGATTACCAAGCTAGACCCCACCTCAGAGGAGCATCAGCGTTTAGACATCTTGTTGCGAAATTGCCTCCAAGAGCCCATTCGATTTATTACAGAGATGAGATTGGAAATATATCAACGTCTCATCTATGGAGTGATTCCAAGAAGGTGGGTATTTGAGGTTATGTCAAATAAGATGTTTGAATAGCTGACTTTAACACGAGTGTTGTCTTTATTTGCAGACAGAACTATTGATTGAACCAAGGTATCCAATGATGGGTGGTTGGAGAACTAAATTTACCATCGGATATGGTCTACCTCTCCAAGACTTTTTGTTCCAGTCAGATGGGAAACGTTTCCTTAATATAACTTTTGGAAGCCCAATGAATGAATTGGTCATTGATGATCTCATTGTTAAGGTTGGTAATATGATGACTGTTGATACAAATCTTTTTTGTCCTTAATTTTCACGGTTTTGGTATTGGCACTGGGTTGGATATTGAGTGGGACTAGCCTTCTCCGTGCTGCTTATAAAATTAATGAATTTCAGATCGGATGGGCTTTGTTAAAAAAATGTCTAGCCAACCAATTTGCAAATGGTCTTCATAAGTTACTAGATAGTGTGTTCCTTGTAATTCATATTTCATATTTTCGCACCCAGAACTCATAGAATTATTGGAAGCATGAATTGTGGCCAGGTGGTTCAAAAGTGTCGTCTGTGCTCTTCTGATTGAGTACTTTTGCTTTACAGGTTGTTTTGCCTGAGGGGTCCAGTGATATGTCTGTGTCTGCACCATTTCCTGTAACACAGTGGCAAGAGGTAATATGAAACAGTGATTTTTATGTCATCCATTCTTTGTTTATTTTCATTCATCATTTTCAAGTTTATTTTTACAAGTTTGTATTTAGTCTTGTATTTGTTTTCTTCTACCACTTGAAATGCAGCTTTTGCTTTTCACTTACTGTGCATTATGATTCAATGCAGACCAAATTATCACACTTGGACATTTCTGGTCGGCCAGTGATTGTGCTGCAAAAGACCAACGTTGTGCCAGAGCTTAATCAATTTTTCCAGGTATTTATTACTCCAGTTTCCTTGGGAATAAGTGGTATTTTTTTAGTGAAGCCTGCATTACCTTATCACTGAGACAAAATGTTTGATATTAGTATAGACTGACATCATTATCAAAGTGTTATAATTCTTATATATAATTCAAGTCTACACATTTCATTAGCTTTAAGTTTCTATTATTGACTAGAGTTCAAAAATCAATGTTTAAAGTTTCCTTAAAGTGGTGAGGGTTAGTTTCCTTTGATCAAAGTGTGTAGAATACATTGTGGTGAATCCCATTCTTTTTGGAGTACTATGCCATCCTTTGATGACCTGGTGGCATGAACAGTTATTATGTCGGATAGCTGTTCTTGTGTGCTATGTAGTGTATTGGGAAGGAAAAATATAGAGAATCAAATGAAATTCTTTGTTGTTTGTAGCCATATGTCTCCTACAACTATAAAGGCCTAATTGTTTACATGGCAAGTATTTATTCTTTTTATATGCAGCTCACATAAATAATTCCATTTTATTACTGATTAAAAACAAAAAAATTTGATTCATATATATTGCATGTTCTCATTGCCCAAATCACATTGTCACCTTCTCTCAAATCGTCATGAATATTGATGTTGTACAATCATTGTTTATTTTGCAGGTCTATTACAAGTTCAGCAGCTTTTCGATGCTTAGGGAGCCATTGATGTTGATTTCTGGCTTTTTCTTTCTCTTTGTTGCTGGCATTGTGTATATGCATGTTGACATGTCAATCTCCAAGTCTTCTCCTTCTTATCTAGCAAAACTGCAGTGGGATGAAGTAAGTAGGATGTTGTCCAGTAATGTGCTTGTGTTGAATCTAGCATTCCATGTACAATTTAGTTATTTTACGCCTATTACAAGCTTTGTTTTCTGTAATTTCAGGTCCAATCAACAATTCAGCAGCTCCAAAATATTATCAATCGTTGCCTAACTACACATGATAAACTGGAAGCATCACTACGTGAGCTTTCTAGGACTGGGGATGTTCAGGCTTGCAAAGCAGCTCGCAAATCAGCCGATGTTCAGTTGAAAGAGCTTTCAAAGGAGTTGAAGCCCCTGTTGGCATTCTTGCAATCTTCATCAGCCGCCTCCCAAATATACCTCAAGGTCTGCTGTCTGTTCATTTGTTTTTGTTAAAACTTTTTTTTTTTTTTTTTTTTTAAGGAAAAAAAGAAAAAGAAATAATTGATACAGGTTTGAACTATATTTTTGACTTGAAATATAGTGGTTTTATTATCTTGCACACTGCATTAGACTTGTCTTGGAATTGTTGTGATAAACGCCAAAAATTTATGTAGGTGGAGGAGCTGGTTGCCAAGGAGAAAGAATTGCAAGAGAAGGTAATGGCAAAACACTCGACTGTGGTGGACGGCTATGAGAAGAAATCTGGGGTACGAGATATTGAAAACCGGGTTGCTGCACAGCAGCAGAAAATTACAACTTTGAGGCAGGAGGTTGACAATCTGCTGGAGCTGATTGATGAGATATGAAACAACAGGTTTATTTATTTATAACTGAGTTTAGGTTTAGGTTTTTTTATTTGAGTTCAAATCACTGAGGTTGATGAAGTAATACTTCAAATCAGGATTTTGTTATTTAAGGCCAAGTATTTTTGCAATGTAACTTACAAAGGCAAAATGAATTTTTGTTAAAGGAATTTAAATCGGCAAGTAAACATCATAAATCATTTATTATTTATCCTGATAAAGTGATAATAGTGTAAACTGAAAGCATCCCAGGAGATTTGTGAAATATAGGGGCCAATATGCTTATATTATGAACCAACTTCCTTATGGTCAGATGGTAGACCATTGGGTTCGGCTTGTCTGTGGACTTAGAGATCTTGTGTTCGATTTATCAACGGAGTGATCATTTATCACATTTGTGACTTATTCGGTTCATTGGGTTTGTAAAGTATTCAATGGATATATGCTTATATATGCTTAATTTTGTTTCATCAATATATCTATATCGGTACAAGTTACAAATGGTATTTCAATTAAAAAAAACCATTGGACAAAACCATGCTCTTCAATTAGAAACAGTCCTGCCGTGATACTACATCCTTTTCCCAGTGAAAAAAGCAGACCACCACTGAGATCTTGATTTTCTCATCACCCAGATTAAGCTTTTTACTTTCCTTCTGGAGGAATTACTTCTAAAAGCTCAATATTCAGGTCAAATGTGCTTCCTGGCTGCAATATTAGCACATTATTATCACCAAAACCTGCGCAATTTCTTTCACAAATCTTTAATCAGTGCAACAAAAGAATTGAGGACTAAATTTGTACCGGAATCTCATTCATTCCTTTCTTGCCATAGCCAAACTCTGGAGGAACAATCACAGTCCTCTGCAAAAATATGAAAAATGATGACAATAGAGCTAGTAATTTTAATGGAACTGACAAATTAGAAGAAAGTTTCAGCATTAATGGTGAATATGAAGACAATCAAGAAAAAGGATGATGATATATCACCTTCCCCCCAACTTTCATCCCTTCTGTTACTGAGTACATAGCTGGCGGGGGTTTTGGTGCAGCTTGAGCAGAGAAAAGACCATTTGGGTTGTCCACAAATTCACGCTTCCGTTCTTTACCTGGAGGAGCTCCAACCTTGAACTCATATGGCTGAACAAAGCATGAGAAAACCAGTCTGAGCAAACATTTGGTAATGCCAAGATCGAGGTCATATTGAGAAGCGAAAGCAATTTGATCCGATTGATGAAAAACTTAATTTTGTATTGCTACAATTAACAGCAGCATTTTGATCATCCAAACAAAACCAGACACACCAAAAGTTCAGCTGAAAAAGATCATAACCTGAGCAATGCTACGATTTCCAGCTAAAAGTTTAGATTCTCGACTTGAAATAGCGGTTATACCCCGATACATGCAGTCAAAGTGCACCTGGGTGAAAAAAAAAAAGCTAGGAAAAATGATCAGATCCCAAAAACATTAAAAACAATTTCATCTTCTGTTTCCAGTATGAACCAACCTGAACTGTGGATCCCTTTTCGGCAACTGGACCCTTTCCTTCAACAATATCATAGTATTTCAATCCATCAGCTGCAAATTCAATTACAGTAAAGCGAAATTACGCGTTTATTAAAATTACATAATTGAAGAATTTGCTTGAATTAATGAAAATGATAGAATTCTTTTATGATAAATCAGGATGTGAATTTTACCAAAGTTCTGTTGCATGCTTCATATCATTGGAAATTAAAACCAAAAGAAAGATTATGGGAAGACATTTATCTATAAAATTTACCTCATACAAAATTCAATTTCCCTTCAGAAAATAATAAGCAAATATGAAATGGGTATTAAAAAAAAAAAAAAAAGCAAAGGGACGAAGTCACTACGGGTAGTAAGATAGTCTTCAAGAGGAACGGCCTTCCTGTTGCGTCTCTCTCTTGCTTCTGAGTGTTGGGGAAGTGAAATGAGGGTAAATGGCAATGAAGATATCAGAATTGCTGATCTTCTTGAAATGGGTATTGAAACAACTACTTGGTTTGCATTCTGGGTTTGTATTGTGCGATGTTTTGAACAGATTTGAAGATGATTCTCAACGGTCCAACTGTTTAAGCTCCTAATTGAAGCCATGGCCGTTGGAATGCTAAAATAACACAAACAAAAGGTTCAGATTACAGGAAACCCGCAAAACCCCATATCTCTCTATCCACTCTCACTTGTGTGAAAATACGTTTTTAACCTTTTGCCATGCAAGTTGAACAGCGTACTTGAAAATCGATATTTCTATTATATCACCCAACTCCTTTTTTTTGAGAATTACATATATAACAAAGGTTAAAATACATAGCTAGCACATGTAATTCTGTAAAAAAGAAAAAAAAAAAAAAAACTGTCCAAATTATATTACATAAACTGTGGATCTTTTAACCTCCATGAAGTTGATTGTGCTGAATTGTTGGCCAGAATGGTCTAGAGATACTGTGACACTGCAAGAGTGCTTGGGATTCTGAAATTTTTGCATGAATATTTTAACATGTTGATGACTAACTACGACAATGGTCAACTTAAAAGATCAGGAGGCTGCTGGGATGGAGGCCATGTGTCATGGTGGTGGTGGTGGTGTTGATGTTGATGTTGATGTTGATCTCCATTATTATCCATGCCAATGTTTGGATTCTGATCAGGGTTTACTCCCGTCCTGTGATTGGCATGTGAAGGTAAGGGTTGCATAGCAATTGGACTGGAGTTTCCATGTCCAAACAATTTTTTCTTAACTGGGGATTTGGCCTCATTTTTCTTCAAGGCCTTTTTGTGCCACTGCTTTAGAGCCTTGGAAGTTTGGTCATCAAATATTGATCTCTTCATGTTTGATCCCATCTGAAAATTTCACATTTAAACGATAACAAAATGTTCAAGGCATTAGAAGAATTAAGTTGTACTTAAGAAAGAAAAGCATTTGCAGGCAAATACTGTGAGAGCTGTAAAGGTACCTGAGTAACAAGAGCATAAAGAGGAAGGGTGCTGTAACTGCACAAAAATTGTATTGCTACCCTGCAGAATTTCAGTTGAATAAATCAGAGGGTGGGTTCTGTCTTCTATATAAGCAATGTAGACTCAACCTTTTCACTTGTGCATCAAAGAAATTGAGATCATTTTCATCAAAGATAGATAAAGTTTCAGAGCAATACAAAAACTATATATGATTACAGGGCATCTCTATTTCTGCCTGAAGGATGACTTACCCGAGAACAACTCTTATGATTGCAAGCAAAAAATCGTCATGAAAACAAGATTTTAATCCGAACTCATACTGCAGCATGAAGAAGCATCAAATTAGGAAAAGTTGATACAAAATAAATAAAATAACCATGAAGTGAGAGGAGAGCACTTTATTACCCATATCCATAAGAAATATGTTATTTCGAATGCATTCTGCACATCACACACACGCAGAGCTAGTCAGAAAATCTTGCAGAGACAATTTCTTTTGCATTGTTGAATACAATTTATCGGAGTTTTAGAGTCATTTAGTACCATAAACAGGACAAAATGGATGAGATCAAGGATTAACTGAGGTCGATGAAACCAAAAATAGCTGTCAGAGACTTGCACCAAAGGTATCCCTTGAATAACAGCATGTCTTTCTTTGATCTCAAATGCCATCTGCGATATAATTCCTTGAAGCTTTGCTCCAATAGATAAGATTACCTTCAAAAAATTATATGGATAGTTCTTTACCTTATACTATAAAGCACAGTAAAGAATAAGTTTCTAATGACAAATCTCTTACAATGAGAGGAATTACAGAGAAAAGTTGCATAACTATGGTCCACCCTGAAATTAATAAAATCGATAATTGGAAAACAGCATGTATCAGTTTGATTCAAACACAAAAGCCAATTACTGACTCAAAAGGATAATAGAATAAAGAGTGTGAAGAAACACAAACCATGAACGTTAAGAAGCAGAAAGATAAATGTAGAAGCCCATAATACTGGACTGTCACCAACATGACAAGATTAAGTTAGACGAACATAGAAATACAAATTTAACATTCCATGATTTTAGTTTAAGGTGGAAATGCTGCTAAATGAGATTTTGTAAACACCATAGATTTACCTGATTCCTACGACTACCTTGAAGTCATCTTCTAATGATCTTTTAATATATTTTTGGAAGTCAAATTTACTTCCAGGCGCTAAATGAACCTACAAAAGAATAAAATAAATAAATCACCAATCATAACAGTACCAAGGTGATGTTTGAAATTTTTTATTGGTTAAAAATCTCACAGTGATAAATCCATGTCTCATAGTCAAGTAGTCGAATCTGCGAACAGACATGAAGAATTGTCGAAAGAAGCATACCTGCAAAGAATGAATATACAAGAATTGCCATCAATGTCACATAACTGTATCAGGCTACGAAAAACGAAGACTAGGGAGTTCAGTATAATCTTTACCACATAAAAAGAAACTGCTGTTTGCATCCAGTAATTGGTGTGGCTTCTCACAAATGATGTCTCGTGAGTGAGCCTAAATCTTGTAGGATCTGAAAAATTAGCACACACTCAAAGTCAGCATTTTGATAAAAAAAAAATAAAAAAAAAAAGGAAAAAGGAAATGGTAAATGCAGCAGTTTACATTAGATGGCCAGAGAATAACAAGTTATTGTTGAAATTTTCTAATATATACCATTCAAATGATCATATTCAGTGTGAGTTTCTTGTTCCCATTGCTTCCATTTTCGAATCTGCTTGCAAGAGATTGTATTGAGGGATTTAGTATAGATGGATACCTTACATAAATCGAATTATATCATATTTGGAAAAGCCAACATCTCAAATTGCCAAGGCAATTTCCAGAATGGCCTGGAATAGCTATGACTAAATGCAAGCCACAGTTCACTTAAGTGGCCTTAAGAATTACAACAAAACCATCATTAACAACCTCAAAAGCATATGCACCTTCGCTCTTCCAAGCATCATTGTTATTGCACTGTACATCACATGAAACGCTGCCAAGAAGAAGATGAAAATGTGCAATTGATGTAGTCCATTGATAGATATAAGCGGCACGAGCCCCTGTTAATAAGAAATTTCAACAATTGTGTGCGTTAGACTGTTAGTTATCTCCAAGGAAGAAAAAACCCTATAATTGATCAAATTCATAAGCAAAATTGCCATGTACTTACTGGTGTGCAGCCTAATTCGCCGGATTCAGCACCACCTAAGGATCTACGCTCATTCCATAAGAGCCTGCGACGATTCTGATCATATTCATGGATTACTTTTTTCAAGCGGTCTTCACCTCCTTTAGGACATGGTAACATTGTATCTGCAACTGCTGTGGGAATGCAGATTTTGGCAATGTAATTTTGCCCGAATGACAGGAGTAATGAGATGAAACCTAAAAGCATAAGCTCTGGAAAAAATAACAAGAATGACCCAAATTGGTTACCGCAAATCCTTGATTTAACAGCTATTCAAAAATAGACAAAATCACTATACCATCTTTAATTTTCTCTAGAGCTTCAAATAGAGCAACCTTGCGTCTCTTTTGAAAAACCTGCAACAAAATCCTCAAGGTAACAACAACACACAAATGAAAATAGCATAAAATCAAATGTGCTTCAGATAAAGATTTTCTTTTTTGAAATATTAAATTAATTTTCTATAATCATTTTCATCCTACATTAATAAATCATAATAGAATTAAAATTCAAATAATACCTTTCCAAGCAAGTGAATAAGTTGTTCCAGTATGATAGAAATCAAAACAATGACAGAACAAACAAGGGCGACGGCCCATGTCGGTGTCTGATCAAGCTCCCTTGAAGCACCTGGCCCTCCGCCTTCCCCCATTTTCTTTGTTATTTTCTGAATAGAAAGTCAGATAAACAAACAATCCTCCAGGTTTGCTTATAAATAAAAAAGAAAATTATTTTGCATTCATATCACCATGTCATCTGAAAATTTTCATCAAGTTAATGGCACAACTAATGACATGGATCCAGAATCACTGTGAGAAAGCGGGTTGATTTTTTTTTTTTTTTTTTTAAATTTTTTGGGTTCTTTGTTTATTAAATCGTAACAGCATTAACCGAAAATGTGCAGAGAGAAAGATCAAGCGGTTCTAACACTTCAACGTATATGAGGTCAGAATTATACGTCCATTTAAAAGGCAAGCTAAATAAAGAATAATTTTGGCTTCATATATTATTATTTTTAGTAAGTTATCTTGTGATAAGAATCTAGAATCCATGGTGGCTTAATGCATATATGGGGACGTACAGACATTAAAGATCGTATTAAAATGTTTGTGCTTAATTATAGGATTTTAAAAAAAAAAAAAAAAAATTAATGAGCCGCCGTTGCCGGGGATCGAACCCGGGTCACCCGCGTGACAGGCGGGAATACTCACCACTATACTACAACGACCTGCTGGTGAAGGACGATTCAAATTTTTTTTATTAAATATCTTATAAGGATTTGCTTTGCGTTCCACAATGAGTAATCGAGTACACAATTTGAAATTTCTCTTATAGCCATAAGATTTCTAACTAGCCAAATGAGAATCAAAATATCATGCTAAAATGACAGTTCTGCTTTGCAACTGTTAATTGGTAAATGCATCAGTGTATGGGTTAGTAACAACAAATAAAGCAAAGCATAAACATATGCAAAGCTGCACAAATTGAGCAAAAGGAGGAGAAAATCCTGACTATTAATCTGGGATAAAATAACAACTTTTTGTCCTAATTTTAGTTTTCAAGGCAACCTAGAAGAAAATTGCTTTTGATGAGATTCACTTGGAACAAACACAGGTAGCTGCCCACCCCTCTGTGATCTACCCTGATAAATACTTGATGTCAAACCTCTATCCAGGCTACTACCCATTAAACTGCTTCTTGTCCCTCTAGTCGGTTGTTCATTCATAAGAGGTCCCCCAAAAAATATGGACTGTCCTGTGTACAAAAGCTCTGCCCCGGGAACCTGAGAAGAACCACCACCTCTTGAAGTAGCAGAGACGAAGCGCCCAGCTTCTGGATCCCAAAACACTGAACTTCTTGTATTTTCTGCAGCACTTGCATTATTTCTATTAGGTGCTTGTGCGACATTCTCACGGAAAGCACTTTCATTGCCTTGACTCTGCCTTGTTGACCAAGGAGATTGATCTGCTGATGATTGATATATGGGGTTGAAGTGATCTACATTTGAAATCTGCTGCTCCAATGGAGAATGGGCGAGATGGGAGACTTGGGGACTACTAAAGTTACTAAGGTTGTGACCACATGTCTCACTATCTTCTCTGCTAGCCCGACTGGGCGGATATGAGCTCTTTGATTTCCCTGCTCTAGTATTTCTTGACTGAAACCCTTGATGACTACTCATTGGGCTGCTTCGCATGCTCACATTGCTACTGGATAAATGATCAGTATCGTATGGATGATGTCGAGAATTAACAGGACGAAGTATAGATGATGATGCTCTAGCTTTTGCAGCTGCTTTCATTGCCTCAGTGGAATCCAATTTTGCGAGTTTCCATGCACTGATTCGCACTGGACGCTGAGGAAGCTTTTTCTCTTTGTCAACAGTTCCTATTGCATCTGGATCTACTGTGGATGGTAAGCGTCCCGGCTCCAGATGCGGGATAATTTCATCCTGCTTACAAGTCAAACAAAAATGATCAAACCCAACCTTTCTAGATCGGAATAATAAGCAAAATTTCAATGGTACAAAAAGATGGAATGTGAAACACTTGGCCAAGAAAGGATATGAAAGCACAAAAACCAGGGCACTTAAACAATGATCTAACTCATTACAAGGGCCTATTTCCTTTCATTGTTCTTTAAAGGTTAACACAATAAATGAATAGACAGATATAATTTCTAGAGAAATTTGATGCATAAATGCAACAATTTTCTGAACAGACAGAAAAACATAAGCATACCAAAATATTTCTCTAACAATAATTAGACTCAAGCCCACAGTTACTATTAGTCTTTATAGCCTTAATCAGTACAGATGATAGTTTATGACAATTTAAATCATTAACTTCCCTTCTGTCCATGCTCCCAACATAAACAACACTTCTAGACAAGCTGACAAGATAAATAATGGTAGTGGTACCTGGTGGTCCATGAAGACTCTTGGAGGGGTACACCAAGCACCTTTGTACTGCAAGCTCATACCAAGAGAACTTCTTCCACTTACTGCAGTCACAGCTGAACTGGTTGGTGAAGTTTGCAGACTTTGCTGGTCTCCTCCATCAACAGATGGTCCAGGTGGTTCACTTTGTGTTCTCATGGCAACAACATACTCATATGTTGTGATACCCTGCAGCAAGAAACAACAATGATTCAGAATTTGCATACATATAATGAAGATGGGAAGAGGGGGAGAGTAAGTTTTTGAGGAACACACCTTTCGCATCAGAATCATGTGGAAGAAGAATAGTTCTCCCAGAGGCACAGTGGCAAGAAAAGAAACAGCAGTGCATGTGGCCTGTAATCAAATTGTGCAAAACATTGGTTTAGAACCAGCTCAACAGAAGTTATAGTTTGTAAACCCCTAAAAAAGAGGGCACAAAAATGATTTTTATGGATATCCAAAAGAAAAATAGGGAAGATGAAGGATAATTCATAACAAGTTCAGTATTTCAATCAGAATGGCTAAATTTTATTTCTCCATATCTCATAATTTCTATTAAGTGAAGAAAAAAAGGAAAAATTATTAACATATATATAGTAGCAATATGAATTGAAGGCAAAGAACACAGAAACATACCACCACTGTAGCAAAAGGGGGAAGAGAGAATCCAACTCCAAGCCTTTCAGTTATATGATCTTCTGTACCCTTTTTATCAACAAAGCATCGAACAAGGACAGCAACTCCAACTCCAAATTCAACAATAAGCTGATACACATGTACAGGCCGATAAAACCATGATACTTAAACTGATTGAATGATTATACATGAGTGAAATATTGCATAATAAAAAAAGAACAAGAAAGTCAGACAAACATAAAAACTTACCCACAAAAGGCTTGATGCCATTAGGCACACAAAGGTGACATAATTTTTTCTTCCCACACAATTATTCAACCACTGCAACGTATATGCAGATAGTTTTAGTCATGCTCATTAATACATAAAAACAAAGAATTATATTCTTAAAAAGAATGTTCCAAAAAGTTGCAGCAATAAATAACTAAAGTATTTGAGACTTTATAACTGGACATACAGAAAAGAATATATCAGGATCTAATCTTAATGAACCAAGGTGATGCAAGGTAATATTCATTTGTGGCATATGATGGCTATTTGTTGTACATTATTTCCTCCTCAGATAGTTCCCAATACCCAGGGGATCTGAAACTTCGCCAACCAAGATGGTGATTAACAAGAATAAATGTTTAAATCTTACCAACTTACCCTACAATGATGATCAAAACCATCAACACATTTGTCACAGCTCCTGCAATGTTTGCTGAACTTCCGCACCTGCAAACAAAAACTGAGTCAATGATATTCTTTGTCCTGTCATTTTCTAGTTTTGCTTTCGGTTGTATTCATAGCTGGGTAGCTCATCCTTGTCAAGCTTCAAGCATGGACAGTTAGAAGAACCAGACATTGGAGTTTACCAACTTTGAATTGTTAATTTGTGTTTTTGTAGTATTTTAGACATTGTAGTTACCAATTTTTTTGTTTCCTTGTGTTTTTGTAGCATTTTAGGGGCGATGATGGGGTTGTCATGTATAAGCAAATTATTAAGTGTAATGAAACAACCTTGCTAGCAAGAATCCAGTACCTCAGCATTGCATAATGTGCAGAACAAAGCATCCTCCTCTCCAGATTGCTGTTGTATAAGATCTTCATCTTTGCGGCAATCTGCTCTTACAATAAAACCACAAAAGATACCTCCGAGTATTGAGCACCAACTTGAACCATGCCTAGTTGATCTTTCTCCATACTTGAAACCTACCTTGCTAGGCTCTTCAATGGGAGATGCAATGCCTGATCAAAAACAAAGCAGAAAGTGTCTTCAGAAATGAACATACAGTTTCATTCTCACTTAGTAAAGAGGATGATCACCAGCTCAGCAAGTCAAGAGAAAAATAGTAAGGCTGGACGCATTAGCAAAACCCCCAGGTTTCAACTTAATAAAACTATGCAGTGATTTTAGACATTAATTCCTCAAAATGTTCTCTATACCAACTTCTGTTTTTCTGATGGTCTGATAGACTAGTGAAAGGGTATTATTGTCATATTTAAAAATTAACCAAATAGAATTTCTTCACTCTAGTAAAAGTACCATCAGAACACTTACCAGGCAGCTCGGTGCCATTTTGTGATTTATACATCGAGGTCTTGTCAACTTCAAGCAGAATTCCAGGATCTGCTGGATCAATAGCAGTGCACCGAACATAAAGAATGAATACAGAGAATGCCTACAAATCGAATTCAAACATTAAGCTAATGAGAATTGAAGTAAATAACACATTTTTTAGGGATATGCAAAGATGGGTTTTAATTGTCCTTACCAAGACAGAATAAACTCCAATTGCCACAAATTCATAGATGTCTTCTGTGCCAAGAAAAGGAGCAAAAAAGGCATAATATGCAACAGATAGCAAGAAAAATACTGTTATAGCCACAACCTGTCCACCACAAAAAATTGGCAATTAGCCATTAGTATAAATCACAAACTAATAAAAAACCTGAAATGCACCCCCATTAATTCTTCAAAGCCTGCCAAAATGCAGAATGAATTATCTAAAGCTTGACCGGGACAAATAAAGTCGCTGATTCCACATCTATCTTACCATCCACACCTTTCTAGAACATTGATTAATATCTATCTGAGAGTATGGACCTCTAATTTGAACGCACTTCGATATTCTACAGGCTCTTTACAACAACTTAAGTCAAGCTTCTCTTAATGCAGATTGACGAATTCACGTTGAGTAATCAGAGTTATATGCAGACTATCAATTTATACTTAAGATTTCAGTAAAGGAAACTAACGACACTTCAACCAAAATCAGCACCAGACAGAAAAGAAACAAACAAGTAAATTAAGGTACTTTGTTTACAAACCGAGTGAGCTTCCCTAATACAGATTTTGCCTACTCCAAAGTAAAATGAAATGTTTATTCTAGTTTCCTACAAAATAAGAAAAAATAAACAAAACTAGCACAAAATCTCCCCAAAAAATAAAAATACAGAGGAAAAAAACCAATAATCGAGAAATTTACGCAGATTAGATTCCAAAATGCAAAGAAAAAAATTACTAAAAAAGGCAAAAAAAATCTCCCTGGTTTAACATATTACTGTACACATAAACGAACAATAATTATAACTCAAAACCTCGCATTTTGAAGAATAATGAGAACAGAACCGGCTGAGAAAAGTACATTAAAACAAAGAATGTATACCTGAAATGTGTGAGCAGGTAGTTGCCATCCATGACGCCTAGCCATAGTTGTTAGATTAGTAAGTCCACAGCCGTTAAATCAACACCATTAAAACTTAAACAACGCCTCACAAAACCAACCAGCTTTTACTAAAACCATAATGCAAATCTATAGTCTCTTATCAGAGCCTTTTTGTTATGAAAAGGAACGGGTCACAATAAAAGCCGAGTACAAAACAATCTCGACCCAGATGTTAAAAGCTTGGTTTAAGACAAAGCCATGAAGTTGATTTTTAAAGTTGTAGCGATTGTGGAGCTCGATTCATGGATCAACGAGCCTTGAACAAGTAGAAGAAGAAGAAGCATAAGAAGAATACAAAATGACTGTGTAATGTGTTGGACCATTTTTTATTTCATAAAAACGAGTTTCTTCACTGCAGCGTTTTTTTGGTCTTTTCATCTCACGTTTCGGTATTATTTTCACATTTTTTGTGCCGGCATGCCAACAGCTAACCCATTCCATTTTTATTTCCGATGTGGTCCTCTAATAATACCTAATTTACAAAACAGACCTATTTTGTTACTGAAAAATCGCCGATTTCGACTGTGAAGCTTCCTTTTTTTAAAATAAAAAATAAAAAAATTTAATAATTTGCTCCTTTTAAGGTAATTAAATTAATATTTAATTCGTATAATCAGTCAAATCAAGATAAAATCAGCTTGATTTGTTAGTCAAACGATTATGCATATCATTTTCAAAGTAACGGCAAACGTCAATCTCAACTCTTTGTCACAGACCAGGTAAATATTTTTAATTAATATTAATAATAAAATATTAACACACAAACAATCGTATTAGTCGAGATTTAAAATTAAAATCTAACGCTTATACCAAAGACATTATTTGTATAATATAAAGTAGAGAAAACTAAGGCTTCGTTTGGTTGGATTTTGGGAATACTACTTTTAGTATTCCCAAAAAAGTTAAACAGTAAAATACCTAAAAACTCACAATATTATTTAACTTTATTCAATATTTTTTAAACTCCCTAAATTTGTTAATTTAATTAAATACCCCTAAATATTTTTAATGTTTTTGTTACGGCGACTCCGGCCATCCTCCGGCGGTGGTGGCCGGCTGTCCGTATTTGAGGGTGGATTGGGGGTGTTGTTGTTAACTTTTAATGTTTTATTATAAGGGGTGTTTTGTAAAAAAACAAATATAGGGGGTATTTTATGAATTTGTAAATCCTACATCGTAATACCCGTCCAATTCAACTTTTTTTTTAATTTTTTTCAAAAAACTTTTCCCAAAAACGCAAAATTGTGAACCAAACGGAGCCTAAATTTTCCCGGCGAATCTACAAGATCTCACCCATAGTTTCATAAATTATAGGTTTTCATCCTTAAATTAATAGATAATTATTTAATCTAACAGTTAAAAAGGTAAATTAGTCATTTTAAAGATGAAAATTTCAAAAGGATCATTCACTTTTCAAATTCACCCCACCAAAAAATTTTAAAATAATCATTCGCTTCTCTAATTCACCCCGTCGGCGATTTCAGGCCATTCCAATTTGTTTCCGGCACAATCGACTCTTCCTGACACCACTATTACAATCATCTCAATCCCCACATCAAAACCCCTAACCTCCCCGCCTGATTAAAACCCCCCAATCGTCGACCATTACTTTTAGTGTCAGTCGGCATGTCATCCAAATTCTGACAAGTCCCTACACCGAAAACCACCCCCAAGACCACCAATAGCATCGTAAGCTTCCCCGCACCAAAACCCCCCAACATTTTCTACTGCAATTGCCCACCGATCGCCGTCGCCTCTCCCTTAAATTTTTGCATTTTTTTGCCCCTTTCCAGCCAAATTTCGACACCTCGCCGAGGTACAATCGGGTGGAAAAATTAGGGTTTCGGTGAGAAGGATAAGGGGATGTTGATGGTGATGTCGAAGAGGTCCAATGGTATCATAATCAAGGATTCTTGGCTTGGCCGGGATCCTCTGACGGTTATTTGAGAGAAATTTGAGATATAAAGGTTATTTTGAGAAAAAAGTAACAAAAGTTAATTTAAGGGTGAGAATTTGTAATTTATGAAATCATGGGTGGGAACTTAAAGATTCGCCAAACCTTGGGTGGGAAAAAGTCGTTAACTCTATAAAATATTTGGGAAGAAAGAAATTATACGTGTTGACTTTGCTGAACGGTTTGCTTAATTGAGCTGCCTTGAAGCTTTGATTGATTAAATTACCGATACAAACTATATTGTTCAAAGATGGAGTCAGATTTGCGTCCCAAAGATTGATCGGGAGTGTTCGGGTAAAACCTTAAATTAACAATCAAATAAACCCTTCGATAACCTATCAATAATAAAAGAGAATCCAATTTAAAACCTTTTGAATAATACATTTAAGAGTTACTATCATCCCAACCCATTACTCAAAAATAATTTACTAATGCTTTCGTTATAAGCCATGTGTGACCTTTTTAAAATCTTATGGAAACATCAACCTTTTATTTTTATTTTTTTATTGTGTAAAATAATATTATTCTTGGTCTGTCTTGCTATCAATGATGGAGAATCTTTAATTAAAATATACACAAAGTACAAACCCACTTAAAACTATTGAAACTTTCATCAACTTGCCCAAGACGTCAGAATGACATTTCTCTCCACTATATGTTATAAAAAAGAAAACAATATAAAATAAAATTGATTTTTGATACTATTTAACATTGAACATATGATTCATAAAGTTTGACCTTCACAAATAATTAGCATATGATATTATTATATTAATTAATGTAATAATTAATTATCATTAAGTAAATTAAATACAGTTAAAAGTCATCAATTCTATTTAACGCATATAATTATTTTAATAGCAATATGAGTTATGCCTATATTAATTGAGTTTGTTTGAAATAATACTTTAACAAACAATAAAGTTGAAATTCAAACTGATAAGCCGTGTCTTTTTACTTTGAGCCTGTTTTACTGAGCTTATGAAAATTAGTTTATAAAAGATTAGCTTATAAGTAGTTAGTGTTTATAAGCTAATTTGAGCTTATAAACATTTAAAATTTTAAGTAGTTATGTGTTTGATTAAAATACTTATAAGTGACTGATAAATAGTTGACACATTTGGTAAAATATGGTTTATAAGTATACAAAAATTATAAACAAATATATTAGCTTAATTTTAGAGTTTAACCAATTTATAGGCTCAGACAAATGCCCTCTTAATTTAGGGGGTGTTTGTCTAAGCTTATAAGCTGGTCAAACTAGCTTATAAGCTGGTCAAACTAGCTTATAAGCTCTAAAATTAAACTGACATGTTTGTTTATAGTTTTTTTGAGCTTATAAATTAAGTTTATAAGCAAAAAAAATATATAAGCACTCTATTTATAGGCTAGTTTGATCAAGTATATTACCACATTATCCTTGTTTAATTTTAAAATTCTATAGTATACCTTTGTTTAATGTAGTATATTTTTTATTATTTTATAAAAAAATGTACTTATAAATCACATTTTACCAAACATGTCAACTACTGATCAGTCACTTATAAGTACTTTAATAAAATACATAATTGCTTAAAATTTTAAATGCTTATAAGCTAAAAATTAGCTTATAAACACTTATTATTTATAAATTAATTTTCATGAGCTCAGACAAACACCCCTTATCGAGATTAATAGTTAATCTGTCACCTTAATTTTGATTCAATCATGGAAGGGAAAGGAAAATGATAGGGAACATCATCAATGATAGTATTATTACTTTATTAGATGGTTAGAGGGGGAGGGGGCGTGGGGGAGCGCTAGCAAAAGTATACTCAGTGGGGTCAAGTGGCCCCACTGAAATTCTGAAATCATTGAAGATAGATAGTTACAATATTTAACAATTTTGAGCACCAAAATTTATATTCATCCCACTGAAATTACATTGTAAATAAAGTAATCATGTATCAATTTTTTAAATATAAAAAATCATCAAAAATAATTATGGAATCAATAATTTGATATATATAATTTTTAAAATTATATTTTTTTTATGCTTACTATTTCAGTATATATTTTATTATAAATTTATCAATTTAAATCTTTTAACTTCACTGTTTGGAGAGCGTTAGCAAAAGTATACTCAGTGGGGTCAAGTGACCCCACTGAAATTCTAAATCATTGAAGATAGATAGTTACAATATTTAACAATTTTGAGCACTAAAATTTATATTCATCCCACTGAAATTACATTGTAAATAAAGTACTTATGAATCAATTTTTGAATTATAAAAAATCATCAAAAATAATTATGGAATCGATAATTTGATATATATAATTTTTAAAATTATATTTTTTTATACTTATTTTAGTATATATTTTATTATAAATTTATCAATTTAAATCTTTTGACTTTACTGTTTAGCAACCTGACTACGTCCCCGTTTATGTGAACATTTGTCAGTTGTTCGTAAATTAATTAATTTATATCCTATATTAAGCTGATGTGTCACTTTTCATACAACAATCAATAATTAAATTGGATTAATTTCATGCCTGCCCAAAGTTGAAGTACACATTTTTTTTTCCTATACAAAAACGACACTCTTATTCCTCGTTTAAAGTCTAACGAATGAGAAATCTCTGTTATGAAGTTCTCCATCGTTTCTTTTTAGACGATGATCTTCTTGTTGTTGTTCTTCTTCTTCAACAATATGCCTGTTGTTATGAGAGGAGCCTTCAATTTCTGAGAGCTCAGTATCGGAAGGGTAAGACATGGGTGTAGTTACAACACTTTCAATGTCGACATCCGGTTGACTAGATCGGTTCTTATAGTTGTGAAGCAAATGTATCGGTGATGAGCCAATGCTTGGTGTGTTTTCACCGCTCAAGAATCCTGGATCAGAACCACCATTATTATTTCTTCCTGCTTTCCTTATCTTGTTTCTCTCCTTTGCAACCTGATGCCATTTTTTAATTGCCTTGGCTGTTTGCTCCTCGAAGATTGCTTTCTTCATGTGAGAACCCATCTGCATGCACACGTACACGATTATTACTGTGCTTTATTAATGGTTATTTTGAATTTTGGAAGAACTACTTACGTGTGTTACCAAGGCATAGAGAGGGAAGGTGATGTAGCTGCATAAGAACTGAAGGGCCACGCCCAGAATGACCCTTGCCACAATGGCTCGCAAATTCTCGTGAAAGCATGAATTCAGTCCGAATTCGTACTGCATAACATTAATTTCCTTACATTAACTGATCATTTCTTAGCAGAATCATTCATTACAGGAAATTTAAACAGTTACTTACCCATGTCCACAAGAAAAATGCCATTTGAAACGCATTCTGAACAGGGATTAAATCGATTAGTACAGTTAAAATAGAATACATTTTGGTAAAATTTCAACTGAAGTAAATGTTCACCTGGAACAAAGTGTAGTGTATTAATAGGAGAATCCATTCGGGTCGATTAAACCAGAAATATTTATTGTTTGGTTCAACGACTGGAACTCCTCTTACAACAGTAGATCGATCCTGGATTTCTTGAGCCATTTCCATGATTACAAGTTCAAGCTTTGTACCCACTAGGAGAAGTATCTGCATATACAAGATCCAACATTACTTTTAAAATTATTAATTAATTAGCATTTAAGAATTAGTAGAGATTCAAAAGCTGTAATTTCTGACCGCGAATGGAACTAATGTCAGCCAGTCAAGCGTGTACCATTCTGCATAAATAAATTAAATATTTCAACATGAGACATTAAAAATTGTGAGCGTGTAAAATATGAGTGCGCTTGAAGACGAAGGGAAGGGATAGAGAGATTAACTGTACACGTTTATAAGCAAAAAGATTACAGCGAAAATCCATAGAGGGATACTGCAAAATCAGAATAAAGAAATTAGCATTCCTGCCGCCCGCTGTACTTATTTAAAAAGAAAGAAAAGAACAGTATATTGAGATAATAGATAGAGACCTAATACCCACGACCACCTTAAAATCGTCTTCCATGGATCTTTTGATGTATTTATGGAAGTCAAATGAACTATTTGGAGCAAAATGTGCCTGCAGCAGTTGTTACAGTTGTAAAATATAAGCACGTTTAAACTTTGATACAATGTCAAGTTATCACTTTAACCCAAAAATTTGATTATCAAGTAAAATCTAGTTCTTACATTGATAAAGCCATTGCGCATTGTCAAATAGTCCACCTTTGATACTGAACCAAAGAATTGCCTGAAGAATGCTATCTGTATAAACAAGTTGATTCGTTGATCAAACAGTAATTGAGGTCAAGATCTTCATTTGCAATAGCATTATATATGTATATAAGCGCTTACAATCCATCTAATTCCGGGCGTTCTGGATAAACCAGAGTGACGCCTCACAAAGGAAGTTTGGTGAGTGAACCTGAATCTTTCTGGATCTAGAAACAACAATATCAAGGCCCAATTAGATCGACAGGCTAAAGGTCCAAACTCAAGCCATTTGAATATGTCTCAAAAGAGAAACTCCAGAACACTAAAAAAATCACCATTTGTGAATTGATATTCCAAGGATGATGTCTCTGATTCCCAGGATTTCCATTTCTTCACCTGATCCAGAAACAATTTCACCCATCAGATAGACCTTAGACTTTAGAGGGTTAAATGGGTTGAGGCTCTGACTTGAATGGTGAAAACTTAATCATTACCTTAGCCCTAGCCAGTACAATGGTGATGACACTGTATAAAACATGAAAGACGGCAAGGACGAATATAAATATATGCAACTGGTGCACTCCACTCTGCGAAATCAATGATACTTTACCCTGGAAACAATTAAAACCCAGTCAGACTCCCACCAAATAGCCCCAAATTCAAAAAAAAAAAAAAAAAAAAGTCATTTTATAAAAAAAATATACTTATAATCACATTTACTAACACGTCAACTACTTATCAGTCACTTATAAGTACTTTAACCAAACAGGTAATTGCTTAAAATTTCAAATGTTTAAACCTAAATAGCTTATAAACACTTATTACTTATAAATTATTTTTATAAGCTCAAACAAACACCCCTTATGAGATTAATAGTTAATCTGTCACCTTAATTTTGTTCAATCATGGAAGGAAAGGAAAATGATAGGGAACATCTGAATTATAGAATTTACTTATTAGATATTTATATTGGGGGCCCTAGCAAAATATACTCAGTGGGGCCACTGACCCCACTGAAATTCTGAAATCATGAAGATAGATAGTTTACGGGTGCGTTTGGTGTAGTATTTTGGATAGGTTTGAGGATAGTATTGGATTTTTGGTAGGGGAGTATTACGATAAATTTGAAAAATTTATGAAAAAGCCCTTAGGTTTACTAATTTAATTAAAGACCGTACTATATAAAATGACAAAATACCTCCACCACCTGCAGTGTCAGATTCCGGCCGCCACGCCGGAATCGGATGGAAAATTTTGTTACGGCACAGACCGATCGGATCTGCGTAACGCATTATTATGACCTTTTCCAGCATCCACCACGATCTGGCCGAAAAAGGCCAGATCTATGGCTGTTATGGCCGTCGACGGCCGGAAAGGCCAAAACGATGGCCATCTTTGGCCGTCGCTGACGCAATCTAGCATTTTCTGGCCAGATCCGTGGTGGATCTAGCCGGAAAAGGCCAGATCGGTGTAATTCCGGCCATTTATGGTCGGAATTTAGGCCGTTTTATAGATTCCGGCTATCACCGGCGGTGGTTGCCGAATCTGACAAGTTTGGTTGATGGGGGGTTTTTGTTCATTTTTAAAAAAAAAAATTCAGGGGGCATTTAGTGAAATAATAACCTTATGGGGTCTAAAAGTAATTAAAAAATAGGTAATATTTCTGGAATAGTGTGCCAAACATATTTGGAGAATAGGATTGAGAATATGGATAAAAATAGGGAGTCAAACGCACCCTACAATATTTAACAATTTTGAGCACTAAAATTTATATTCATCCCACTGAAATTACATTGTAAATAAGTAATTATGTATCAATTTTTGAAATATAAAAAATCATCAAAAATAATTATGGATCGATAATTTGATATATTAATTTTTAAAATTATATATTTTTTTTATACTTACTATTTCAATATATATTTATTATCAATTTATCCCTCTAATAATACCTAATTTACAAAACAGACCTATTTTGTTACTGAAAAATCGCCGATTTCGACTGCGAAGCTTCCTTTTTTTAAAATAAAAAAATAAAAAAATTTAATAATTTGCTCCTTTTAAGGTAATTAAATTAATATTTAATTCGTATAATCAGTCAAATCAAGATAAAATCAGCTTGATTTGTTAGTCAAACGATTATGCATATCATTTTCAAAGTAACGGCAAACGTCAATCTCAACTCTTTGTCACAGACCAGGTAAATATTTTTAATTAATATTAATAATAAAATATTAACACACAAACAATCGTATTAGTCGAGATTTAAAATTAAAATCTTACGCTTATACCAAAGACATTATTTGTATAATATAAAGTAGAGTAAACTAAATTTTCCCACTCGCGAATCTACAAGGTCTCACCCCTAGTTTCATAAATTATAGATTTTTATCCTTCAATTAACAGATAATTATTTAATCTAACAGTTAAAAAGGTAAATTGGTCATTTTAAAGATGAAAATTTCAAAACAACCATTCACTTCTCAAATTCACCCCACCGAAAAATTTTAAAATAATCATTCACTTCTCTAATTCACCTCACCGGCGATTTCAGGTCATTCCGACCTGTTTTCGACACAATTGACCCTTCTTGACACCACTATTACAATCATCTCAATCCCCACATTAAAACCCCTAACCTCCCCGCCTGATTGAAACCCTCCAATCACCGACCGTTACTTTTAGTGTCAATCGACATGTCATCCAAATTCCGACAAGTCCCTACATCGAAAACCACCCCCTAGACCACCAATAGCATTGTCGGCTTCCCCCCATCAAAACCCCCCAACATTTTCAACTGCAATTGCCCACCGATCGCTATGGCCTCTCCCTTAGGTTTTTGCATTTTTTTTGCCCCTTTCCAGCCAAATTTCGACACCTCGTCGAGGTACAATCGGGTGGAAAAATTAGGGTTTTGGTGAGAAGGATAAGGGGATGTTGATGGTGATGTCGGGGAGGTCCAATGGTGTTGGATTCTTGGCTTGGTCGGGATCCTCTGGCGGTTATTTAAGAGAAATTTGAGATGTAGGGGTTATTTTGAGAAAAAAATAATAACGTTAATTTAAGGATGGAAATCTGTAATTTATGAAACCATGGGTGGGAACTTGAAGATTCGGCAAACCTTGGGTGGGAAAATGTCGTTAACTCTATAAAATATTTTGGAAGAAAGAAATTATACGTGTTGACTTTGCTGAACGGTTTGCTTAATTGAGCTGCCTTGAAGCTTTGATTGATTAAATTACCGATACAAGCTATATTGTTCAAAGATGGAGTCAGATTTGTGTCCCAAAGATTGATCGGGAGTGTTCGAGTAAAATCTTAAATTAACGATCAGATAAACCCTTCGATAACCTATCAATAATCAAAGAGAATCCAATTTAAAATCTTTTGAATAATACATCGAAGAGTTCCTATCATCTCACCCCATTACCTAAAAATAGTTTACTAATGCTTTCATTATAAGCCATGTGTGACCTTTTTTAAATCTTATGGAAACATCAACCTTTTGATTTTATTTTTTATTGTGTAAAATAATACTATTCTTGGTATGATGGAGAATCTTTAATTAAAATATACAAACCCACTTAAAACTATTGAAACTTTCATCAACTTGCCCAAGACGTCAGAATGACATTTCTCTCCACTATATGTTATAAAAAAGAAAACAATATAAAATAAAATTGATTTTTGATACTATTTAACAATGAGCATATGATTCATAAAGATTTGACATTCGCAAATAATTAGCATATGATATTATTATATTAATTAATGTAATAATTAATTATCATTAAGTAAATTAAATACAGTCAAAAGTCATCAATTGTATTTAACGCATATATTTATTTTAATAGCAATATGAGTTATGCCTATATTAATTGAGTTTGTTTGAAATAATACTTTAACAAACAATAAGGTTGAAATTCAATCTGATAAGCCGCGTTATATTACTTTGAGCCTATTTCACTAAGCTTATGTAAATTAGTTTACAAAAGATTAGCTTATAAGTAGTTAGTGTTTATAAGCTAATTTGAGCTTATAAGTATTTGAAATTTTAAGTAGTTATGTATTTGATTAAAATACTTATAAGTGACTGATAAGTAATTGACAAATTTGGTAAAATGTGATTTATAAGTACAAAAAAATTATAAACAAATATATCAGCTTAATTTTAGAGCTTATAAGCTCAGACAAACGCCCTCTTAATTTAGAGAGTGTTTGTCTAAGCTTATAAGCTGGTCAACTAGTTTATAAGCTCTAAAATTAAACTGATATGTTTGTTTATAACTTTTTTAAGCCTTTTTTTTTTTTTTTTTTTTTGCTTATAAGCACTCTGTTTATAAGCTAGTTTGACTAAGTATATTACCACATTATCCTTATTTAATTTTAAAATTCTATAATATACCCTTATTTAATGTAGTACATTTTTTAGTCATTTTATAAAAAAAATATACTTATAAATCACATTTTACTAAACACGTCAACTACTTATCAGTCACTTATAAGTACTTTAACCAAACAGGTAATTGCTTAAAATTTCAAATGTTTATAACCTAAAATTAGCTTATAAACACTTATTACTTATAAATTAATTTTTATAAGCTCAAACAAACACCCCCTTATTGAGATTAATAGTTAATCTGTCACCTTAATTTTGATTCAATCATGGAAGGGAAAGGAAAATGATAGGGAACATCTGAATTATAGAATTATTACTTTATTAGATAGTTATATTGGGGGGCCCTAGCAAAAGTATACTCAGTGGGGCCACTTGACCCCACTGAAATTCTGAAATCATTGAAGATAGATAGTTACGGGTGCGTTTGGTGTAGTATTTTGGATAGGATTTTGAGGATAGTATTGGATTGTTGGATAGGGGAGTATTACGAGGTAAATTTGAAAAATTTATGAAAAAGCCCTTAGGTTTACTAATTTAATTAAAGACCGTACTATATAAAATGACAAAAATACCTCCACCACCTGCAGTGTCAGATTCCGGCCGCCACCGCCGGAATCTGGATGGAAAATTTTGTTACGGCACAGACCGATCGGATCTGTGCCGTAACGCATTATTATGACCTTTTCCAGCCAGATCCACCACGGATCTGGCCGAAAAAGGCCAGATCTATGGCCTGTTATGGCCGTCGACGGCCGGAAAGGCCAAAACGATGGCCATCTTTGGCCGTCGCTGACGGCCAGATCTAGCATTTTCTGGCCAGATCCGTGGTGGATCTAGCCGGAAAAGGCCAGATCGGTGTAATTCCGGCCATTTATGGTCGGAATTTAGGCCGTTGTATAGATTCCGGCTATCACCGGCGGTGGTTGCCGGAATCTGACAAGTTGGGTTGATGGGGGGGTTTTTGTTCATTTTTAAAAAAAAAAATTCAGGGGGCATTTAGTGAAATTAATAACCTTATGGGGTCTAAAAGTAATTAAAAAATAGGGTAATATTTCTGGAATAGTGTGCCAAACATTATTTGGAGAATAGGATTGAGAATATGGATAAAAATAGGGAGTCAAACGCACCCTACAATATTTAACAATTTTGAGCACTAAAATTTATATTCATCCCACTGAAATTACATTGTAAATAAAGTAATTATGTATCAATTTTTGAAATATAAAAAATCATCAAAAATAATTATGGAATCGATAATTTGATATATATAATTTTTAAAATTATATATTTTTTTTTATACTTACTATTTCAATATATATTTTATTATCAATTTATCAATTTATATCCTATATTAAGCTGATGTGTCACTTTTCATACAACAATCAATAATTAAAATTGGATTAATGTCATGCCTGCCCAAAGCTGAAGTACACATGTTTTTTACTATACAAAAACGACACTCTAATTCCTCGTTTAAAGTCTAACGAAAGAGAAATCTCTGTTATGAAGTTCTCCCTCGTTTCTTTTTAGACGATGATCTTCTTCTTGTTGTTCTTCTTCTTCAACAACATGCCTGTTGTTATGAGAGGAGCCTTCAATTTCTGAGAGCTCATTATCGGAAGGGTAAGACATGGGAGAAGTTACAACACTTTCAATGTCGACATGCGGTTGACTAGATCGGTTCTTATAGTTGTGAAGCAAATGTATCGGTGATGAGCCAATGCTTGGTGTGTTTTCACCGCTCAAGAATCCTGGATCAGAACCACCATTATTATTTCTTCCTGCTTTCCTTATCTTGTTTCTCTCCTTTGCAACCTGATGCCATTTTTTAATTGCCTTGGCTGTTTGCTCCTCGAAGATTGCTTTCTTCATGTGAGAACCCATCTGCATGCACACGTACACGATTATTACTGTGCTTTATTAATGGTTATTTTGAATTTTGGAAGAACTACTTACGTGTGTTACCAAGGCATAGAGAGGGAAGGTGATGTAGCTGCATAAGAACTGAAGGGCCACGCCCAGAATGACCCTTGCCACAATGGCTCGCAAATTCTCGTGAAAGCATGAATTCAGTCCGAATTCGTACTGCATAACATTAATTTCCTTACATTAACTGATCATTTCTTAGCAGAATCATTCATTACAGGAAATTTAAACAGTTACTTACCCATGTCCACAAGAAAAATGCCATTTGAAACGCATTCTGAACAGGGATTAAATCGATTAGTACAGTTAAAATAGAATACATTTTGGTAAAATTTCAACTGAAGTAAATGTTCACCTGGAACAAAGTGTAGTGTATTAATAGGAGAATCCATTCGGGTCGATTAAACCAGAAATATTTATTGTTTGGTTCAACGACTGGAACTCCTCTTACAACAGTAGATCGATCCTGGATTTCTTGAGCCATTTCCATGATTACAAGTTCAAGCTTTGTACCCACTAGGAGAAGTATCTGCATATACAAGATCCAACATTACTTTTAAAATTATTAATTAATTAGCATTTAAGAATTAGTAGAGATTCAAAAGCTGTAATTTCTGACCGCGAATGGAACTAATGTCAGCCAGTCAAGCGTGTACCATTCTGCATAAATAAATTAAATATTTCAACATGAGACATTAAAAATTGTGAGCGTGTAAAATATGAGTGCGCTTGAAGACGAAGGGAAGGGATAGAGAGATTAACTGTACACGTTTATAAGCAAAAAGATTACAGCGAAAATCCATAGAGGGATACTGCAAAATCAGAATAAAGAAATTAGCATTCCTGCCGCCCGCTGTACTTATTTAAAAAGAAAGAAAAGAACAGTATATTGAGATAATAGATAGAGACCTAATACCCACGACCACCTTAAAATCGTCTTCCATGGATCTTTTGATGTATTTATGGAAGTCAAATGAACTATTTGGAGCAAAATGTGCCTGCAGCAGTTGTTACAGTTGTAAAATATAAGCACGTTTAAACTTTGATACAATGTCAAGTTATCACTTTAACCCAAAAATTTGATTATCAAGTAAAATCTAGTTCTTACATTGATAAAGCCATTGCGCATTGTCAAATAGTCCACCTTTGATACTGAACCAAAGAATTGCCTGAAGAATGCTATCTGTATAAACAAGTTGATTCGTTGATCAAACAGTAATTGAGGTCAAGATCTTCATTTGCAATAGCATTATATATGTATATAAGCGCTTACAATCCATCTAATTCCGGGCGTTCTGGATAAACCAGAGTGACGCCTCACAAAGGAAGTTTGGTGAGTGAACCTGAATCTTTCTGGATCTAGAAACAACAATATCAAGGCCCAATTAGATCGACAGGCTAAAGGTCCAAACTCAAGCCATTTGAATATGTCTCAAAAGAGAAACTCCAGAACACTAAAAAAATCACCATTTGTGAATTGATATTCCAAGGATGATGTCTCTGATTCCCAGGATTTCCATTTCTTCACCTGATCCAGAAACAATTTCACCCATCAGATAGACCTTAGACTTTAGAGGGTTAAATGGGTTGAGGCTCTGACTTGAATGGTGAAAACTTAATCATTACCTTAGCCCTAGCCAGTACAATGGTGATGACACTGTATAAAACATGAAAGACGGCAAGGACGAATATAAATATATGCAACTGGTGCACTCCACTCTGCGAAATCAATGATACTTTACCCTGGAAACAATTAAAACCCAGTCAGACTCCCACCAAATAGCCCCAAATTCAAAAAAAAAAAAAAAAACAAAAAAAGACACGCACACACACATAACATATCATTATCTGAACAAAGCAAAGTTTACCTTTTTAGAGCAATAATCTTCTCCGCCAGCTGGGGCCGCCAAAACTCGTCTCATTGTCATATCTCCAGCAAACCAAAATAACTTTCTCCTATGTTCATCTCCCTCAGCATCACCATCATCCTCCTTTGTATAAGTACCCTTGCATGGAAGCATGGTTTCCCCAATATCAGTAGGAATGCATATCTTTGCTATAAATCTTGTGCCCACAGTTAGAAGCAGAGATATGAAACCCAAAAGCATCAGCTCTGTAAATATCAAACAATATGTACTTAGTAAACATAACTCAAGTATCCCAAATCTAAAATATAGTATAAAGACCAATTAATACTAACCAGCTTTAATTTTCTCCAGGGCTTCACTCATGGCTTTGTTATGGCGTTTCTGGAACCACTGTTCAGGAAAACGGAAGCAAAATTTTGAACCAACTGTGTCGTTGAATATACAGTTGAATTCAACTAAAGAATTGAATTAAATACATACCTTGGCAAGAGAATGAATCCCATGTTCTATTAGAATGGATATGATCACAAATACCGCACAAACGACCGCAACAGCCCATGTTGGTGTCTCCTCTAGCGACCTATCTCCAGTAGCACCCGCCATAATAATTTGCCTGATATCTCACAGTTCGTGGTTCTAATTTATTGGTGAAGATGATGATACCGAAGCAATCAAACGAAACTTGCATTTCTCATCAAATTAATAAGAGACGATATGAGCTATGCAATTAAGCTTATGATATTAGCGCGTTTAAACACGGTTTGAATTTGTCTCTGCTGCTTGTTCTTTGTGACGTTAGGTTGGCCATCTTCTCTGCAGTGCGGTCTCAACCCTCCTCATAAAAATTCAAGCCGGCGGATATTGGAGCCAGCCAAACCAGAGAATGTTTCTTGGCAATTAACATTGTCTTAGGTATTAATCTCTCTTGATAGCAACATTGTTATTTGTTCGAATTTAAATTCACAGATCCCATTTGGCCATTTCTTAGTCACTGCTGAAAAGTTGACAATGTCGTCGTCGTCTTCTGTGTTTGGACGATATATCGTTTTCATCTTTCTAATTTGATGACGTGTTGTTTATTGTAATTTGGTTGGAAACGCTTAAGCTTAACCGTCCAAATAAAATACAGATCAGTCATCAGAGCTTTTAGACTTGGGCCGGAGCCCGGCCCAATTCACCTAAACGGTGCGCTTAAGTCTATCGAGTACGGCATCAAAGGGGCAGTCCTTGGTGAATTAATTAGGTGATGTGGCGGTGTATCATTGATCATGCTTTAAGAAAACTGGCCTAGATATTATCGAACATAGAAACCGGTAGTGTAGTGTGTACTGTGTAGTGCTTGATTTATCTTCTAGACTAAACCATTCAGAGCTCATTTCTCATCTACGGTACAAAAAGAATGACTGCTATTTCCAATTCTTTGGTTTTGTCGAAAAACCCTCGGCTCCATCTGTCTTTTGGTAAACATTGCTCTCACATTTCGCTTTTGTTCTGATTATTCTCTTCAATCTCAGTGCTAACTAAGCTGGCAGTTTATTTGTCATTTGGTTTTTTGGTTATGTTGTTGATAAACATTTGATTACTAGTAAATCTTGATATCTCTTCTTGCTTCAGTTGTTTAGATATTGAATAAGTGTTATAATCTATAGTTTTCTCAAGTTTAGGAACTTTTATATATTTATTTTTAAATTTCTTTATCTGTGTATTTGATCTGGTTAACTAATTACTATTTCAATCAACAAACCGATTAATATAGGTGTTGAAGGAAAGCAGGGGAAAAGAATGTTTACTTGCGTTTGAATTTCGGGTTAATTTTTGTGGAGGACCAAATATGTTATATGACTGATTGATTTTGTTTCTGTATTTTGAAATTCATATTTTTGATTAAGAATGTGAGATGTGTCTGTGCCGAGAGCTGCTTTGGATATTTTTAGCGCCTGTTAGGTTTGATGTTTGTTTTAGAAGAGTGTTAAGTTTTTGTTAATTATTCCAAATGTTTGTTTGTAGGCTCTTATTTGAAGCCGTCAGACCAGTGTCTTGGGAGTATTGGCCCTGCCAATTTGCCATTCAGTTCAAATCGTCTGTGCAAAGTGCAACTTTCTACCTCCAAAAGGTCTCTCACAGTTCAAGCTGCGTATAGGTATCATCTTTCCCATTGCTATTAGTGCTTTGAAGTCTTATTTTTGAGCATAGTTTCCTATTGAAGGTGGAATCACATACACTTGTTATTTGCATTCGAATGTGAGCAACCCACACCACATTTGTTTCTGTTATTTAAGCTTTCTTGGTGAGTGAAGATTTTATGGACTCTTCAGTCTCATGCTGAAAATGCCAAGCCTTGTACGGCTGTTTTTGTTAAGCAAACAATTGAATTCTATGATTTTATTTTCTTTTACCTTGGTGTCACACTGTGGTATTTTACGTGGTAGTGCACAATATATAGATCTGATATATATATAAGAATCATGTGTTTTCTGAATTGATTACATGTTCCTCCTCACTTTCTACACTCTTTCTCTTGCATGCATTATGCATTCACACATGCAGCCAAAGTTCCTAATGCCATTCACCTGCTTCTGTTCTCACAGTGATGAAGGAAGCTCAAATAGCGCAGGCATCTTTGTTGGTGGTTTTGTTTTGGGAGGAATTATAGTTGGCACACTTGGATGTGTATATGCACCTCAGGTAGTTATCTGTGCAAATGATCATTGAAAAGATTGTGCATAGTGTCCATCAACCATATCTTCATTAATTGAAAGGGTTGAATGGAATAAGAGATGGGTTATGAATGCTCTCTTGCTAAGATTATCCTCTACCATCAGATCGTAGATTAATGATCATAGAACTACTGTCAACAGTCAAAAAAGCATCTAGTGTTGGCAGTCTAACTCTATTCTTGTTGTTAGGCTTTTGTTTTTTATATGATAGTCACTTAAATCAAGCCAGTGAAATCCTTCATCTAATGTTCATTGACAGATCAGCAAGGCACTAGCTGGTGCTGCGGCTGACAGAAAGGATCTGATGAGAAAATTGCCCAAGTTCATATATGATGAAGAAAAAGCTTTAGAGGTGAGACATTACTTTTGACTGCTTGTTCATGCATCTTGACAGGATAAAGGTTTAACTGATTTTGTAGATTTTCTGGCTCTTTTCCTTTTTTTTTTCTAGGATACTTCTAAACTTTATTCGAAATCTTGATGAATTGTGAGTTGTCATCTTCCTATAATTCAAGCCCTGACTTCCGTGCCAAATTTATGTTGTTTAAATTCCTGAAATGGATGGACTTCTAGAGTATTTCATTTAGTTTCTTAAAATTCCCCAATCTTAGATGCCTTCTTCTATCGTCTAGCTCTAATAGATAAATTAATCTCCAGATCCAGTATAGCCGACACTAGCATCTGTGTGCTGAATTGTCCATTTCATTATTTATCTATAACCTCTTCTTTGATAATAGACTGACAATGACATATTTGGCTTATTTGATCTGCAGAAAACACGAAAAATACTAACTGAAAAGATTGCCCAGCTAAACTCTGCTATAGATGATGTTTCTACTCAGCTCCATGCAGAAGATGAGGGCCCAAATGGAGTGGCTGTGAACTCTGATGAAATTGAAGCTAATGTATGAGATATCTCTTATCAGCCTTCAATCATCAGCAACTTCAATCATAAGAAATAACACTGAATTTGTTGTAATGTTTTTCTTTTCTTCTTGAGAAACTTTGGTTCTTAAATTGTGTTCTTGCATGGGTATATATACTGTTACCTAAATAAAATCAATGACAAGACTTGCTTTTGCTCAGTTTTGGGTTCTGAGTTAACATATTAGTGTTTAGAAAATAGAGAAATTTGCTTTAAAAAACCCTTTTAATGTGGTGAAGTAATAATCACATTCAAATGGACACTGTCTGAAATGATGGATGACCTCTGACTTTACGCATATATCTGTTTGGAGTAAAATTGGTTAGGGCAATGCTTTCACTTAAGAGATTGACGGTTGAATAAGACTGATAAGCACATATAAAGATAGAGCTATAGCATACTTGAATTCAGGGCATCTTACATCTTGATTCCCCATATGCAACTTACTGGAAATTTGCAATTCCATAGCTAGCGGACAGATTAAACGAAACATTACTTGAAGGCTGCGAGCCTGCGATTCGGGGATGAATCTGCCACCACAGGCTAGAGGATCCGTCATGGCCTCTGGATTGGGCTTAAATTTATTCTAATTTTCAGTTTGTCTACTAGACAAATTTTACAACCAAAAGATTATTTGTCTCATGAAGCTGGTATGAGAAAGTCCAAAATATTTAAGCCTTCAGATAAGCAAATAATCATCTGATAGAAATAAATCATAATCACCCAATAGATGTATCCTTGGATGTTCTCCACCGTCCAAAATGATCACACCTTTCAGCCAGAGAAGCATGAAGTAAATATCCATTTAGGATAAAAAAAACAATTGAATATACCGACGTGTACATAACATTTGGCTTGTTCTGCAATCTCCATGTTCTAGTTGTGGCAATCAAACTCTTGTCATTATAAAAAACATGGAAGGACATTTTAGGCAAGGACGAATGGATGAACAATCTGTGGTTCAGATCACAAAGTTGCATGCTTCAAAACATAATCTTATCCCATCTCCATGCACAGACCCATATATCTCCACTCACCACACATTTCTTTAATTCACTTTCAACCATAATTTATATCCCAAAGATGGAAATGATTATTGTACACTAACGAAATAACCGAACTCGACTGTATAAATACTGGGTGGAACTTAGTCTCTCAGCTTTAGTTGCAGCCATGGCCACTCACGCAGCTCTTGCTTCCTCAAGAATCCCAGCCAGCACCAGGCTTCCTTCCAAGACCACTCACTCTTTCCCCACTCAATGCTCCACCAAGGTCTCTCTGTCTGATCTCTCCGTGCAAAGTGTGGTTTTTTCTTTTTAGCTAGATTGTTGGATATTGATTGTTTGTTTTTTTTTGGTTTTGCAGAGGCTGGAAGTGGCTGAATTCTCTGGCCTTCGATCAAAAGCAAGTGTGACATATGCCAGTAATGCCAGAGAAGGATCATTCTTTGATGTTGTGGCTGCCCAACTTACTCCTAAGGTTATTCACCCTTACTTTCTCAATCTCTTTTTCATCGGGAGTTTATATTTATGGGTATTAGTAATCAGTTTTATTATTGGATAATTCTTTAATATCAACCATCACCAGGTTCAACTATCTTCTGATTGTTTATGCATATGCCTTTTTAACCAAATGACTATAACATTAAATTACTTGTCTTATTATCATCACTTTTTGTCAGTTCTAAGCAGCCCAGGACACAAGTTTAGTAGAATACTACTTGCAAAAGATTGTAAAATCTCCAAAAATTGCCATAATTAAATAATATCAACCATTATTTGAACTTCTATGATGTTTCAAATTTGAGAATTATATGGGAAACTTATGGTTATTGCTTTCTACAATTTTTTGCTGGGTCATGACTCATGAATGGTTCAATTATATGAAAATGAACTGATGACTACAGCTTATTTTTTTTAAAATAACTGTCAATTATTAGTCACAAAAAATTCTTTCAAAGGCTACCTTTTAATAGAGTAATTTTAATTTGATATAAGAAATATATGATCAAATTTGTTCATAGTGCTACTTTGTTAGATAAAATGGTACTGAGAAGTTGGAATTTTGTGTTTAAATGTAGACTGCAGGATCAAATCCTGTAAGGGGAGAAACAGTGGCCAAATTGAAGGTGGCAATCAATGGATTTGGACGTATTGGCAGGAACTTCCTCCGATGCTGGCATGGCAGGAAGGACTCACCACTTGATGTTATTGTTGTCAACGACAGTGGTGGTGTCAAGAACGTAAGTGAACTCAAAAGTTTCAGAATTGCTATGTTTTCTAATAATTAACTTTCCAGGAAATATCAGTTTCTCATTAATGGACCAACAATATGAAATATAATTACAGGCTTCACACCTTCTAAAATATGACTCAATGCTGGGAACTTTCAAAGCAGATGTGAAAATAGTGGACAATGAGACCATTTCTGTTGATGGTAAGCCCATCAAGGTTGTCTCTAACAGGGACCCTCTCAAGCTCCCATGGGCTGAGCTTGGCATCGACATTGTTATTGAGGTAGGTTCTTATACTTATTTTGATATGTTCCAGTCTTTGATGAATATGACATCTATCACAGCAGACATATTTATATTTTGTGACTCATCATTTAAGTTAATTTTAAGCAGAGAGAACATGACTAGAATCTATTCTATCTGATTCCCAAGACGCAGGGAAAATATCTGAGCTGGATTAACAAATTGTTAATTTTCTGGTTGAGGTATTGATCTATTACTGTAAATTCTACAGGGAACAGGAGTTTTTGTGGATGGCCCTGGTGCTGGGAAACACATCCAAGCTGGTGCTAAGAAAGTAGTTATCACTGCTCCAGCAAAAGGTGCTGACATTCCAACCTATGTCGTTGGTGTCAATGAAAAGGATTACAATCACGATGTTTCAAACATTGTCAGGTCAGTGTTTTACCAAGAAATCTGCTCAGTAGAAAAGCAATGATGACCATTGATTCCATGTTGTTTTGTTGATCCACATATTGCCATACGCAGCAATGCTTCTTGCACCACAAACTGTCTGGCCCCTTTTGTTAAGGTCATCGATGAAGAATTTGGTAAGCACTCATTAGCCTTCACTCGATTAAAGACAATAGATGGGAAAGATGTGAAGGACTTCTTCTTGAGTAAAATTGAATGAGATCTTAATGATCTTAATGTAATTTCTTTGCAGGCATTGTTAAAGGAACAATGACAACTACTCACTCCTACACCGGAGACCAGGTAATCTACCACAGCAAAATTTTCAATCTATTAAATTATAGGATGCCAATAATATAGTAATGAATCGTAAAATGGAAATATGAGTAAGTTAACAAGTGCAAAACTGAAAAAAACTTGTGTTTTTCCAGAGGCTCTTGGATGCTTCACACAGGGACTTGAGGAGAGCTAGGGCTGCAGCATTGAACATTGTCCCAACAAGCACTGGTGCAGCCAAGGCCGTGTCTCTTGTGCTTCCTCAACTCAAGGGCAAGCTCAATGGCATTGCCCTCCGTGTGCCAACACCAAATGTGTCAGTTGTTGACCTTGTTGTGAATGTTGAGAAGAAGGGTATAACAGCTGAAGATGTCAATGCGGCCTTCAGAAAGGCTGCTGATGGTCCATTAAAGGGCATATTGGATGTGTGTGATGTTCCTCTTGTGTCAGTGGACTTCCGATGCTCTGATGTTTCTTCCACCATTGACTCTTCATTGACCATGGTCATGGGAGATGATATGGTCAAGGTGGTTGCATGGTACGACAACGAATGGGGTTACAGGTGAGGATTTTCTAATTCATTGACTATTCTAGACAAATCAAAAGAACAAAAAATGAATTGTAATTGTCTGTTCATTGAGTATGATAAACTACTTAAACATGAAATTAATGCGATTGTGTGTTAACGATTATTATGTGGTTTTGCAGCCAAAGGGTTGTTGATTTGACACATCTGGTAGCAAGCAAATGGCCAGGTAGTCCTGCAGCTGGAAGTGGAGACCCATTGGAGGATTTCTGCCTGAAAAACCCTGCGGAAGAGGAATGCAAAGTTTATGAAGCTTAAGCTGATTTGCATTCTAATTTTTGTTTGGTTGGCGAATGATACAGGGCCTAAGGTTTTTCATTGTCAATTATCACCAAATGCTTACTTTGTAAAGACAACTGAGTGAGATGAACCAGAATTTTTATCAAATAATATGTCAAGGCAATCATTGCAGTTGCAATAAAGACTGTATTCTTAGATTTAGAACTTTCACCTGGGTCATATTTGTAGGGTATTCAATAGGCCCCAGGGATTAATGACGGCGGTGTTCGGGTAAGTTTGCACACACCTCGACTAATCCCTAATACTCATTGAATACTTTGTAAACCCAATGTTCTAAGGTAAGTCACAAACGACTAATCCCTAGGGTCCATCAACTAATCCCGGGGACCTATTGAATACCCTACAAATATGACCAGGGTGTTCGAGTTAGCTTACGCGCACCTCAACTAATCCTCAAGGCTCATTGAATACTCTTCAAACTCAATGTTCCAAGGTAAGTCACAAATGACCCATTGAATACTCTACAAACTTAATGTTCCAAAGTAAGTCACAAATGTGATAGATGACCTCAAAGTTCCAACCAAAAAGTCAATAAAGGGAGCAAATCTTCTTGACCGCCAGACCAAACCTTGTAAGTGTTGTAAATTCGAATTCTCTTAAAATGTTGCCAGATGATGATATAAGATTGAAAGGATATTTTTGTGATGTCGATTTGCTGGAAGAAATTGAAGAAGACATATAAAGAGGAGGGTCAAAATGAAATGCAAGGGAATACTATGGTTAAGTTTTAGTAAGTCCCTTTGATGTCGCCGTATTGACAGATTTGACCTCCTAAAAACGTGTAATATTTTTGCACGGGAAAGGAAGACAGTCAAAGACTCAAACACAGCCTAACCAACTATTTGAACACAACTGATAATTTCCCAAATACGAAGAGAATCGCAAATCTCAGGAATTTGAGGTTCGGATCTGCAAAATGAGAGTCTTGAGACGCTCTATTATATATCTTCTGTTATCAACAGTTATATTACGCGGCTTATCGTCTTCAGAGCTTGCAAAAACCTCGCTTTCAAATCCAAATCCAAATCGCGGCGTTTCCGAAACCTTGCACCCTCTTTTGCCGCGGAGGCCGCCACCGTAAATGTCTAAATTTATAAATATTTTTATTATTTTTCTGATAAATGCATTAATTAATTGTTTGTTTAATTAATTATTATTATTATTATTATTATTTTTTTGGCATTTGGATTCAGTAAAGCTGATGTAGCACTCGTAGCTTCTTTAGACGGAACCATTCATTTTATAGACACCAAATTAGGGAAAAGGCTGTGGTCGTTTTCGTCTGGTCGGCCTATTTATTCGTCGTATCAGGATTCTCTTAACCATAATGCATATGGGTTTTATATAGATGTTGGTGAAGATTGGAATCTTTATGTTCATAACACGCGGTTGGGTAAAACGGTAAGTCAAGTTATATTCTTGGCTATATGAAAATTTATTTATTTGGAAATTTATGAAATATATGTTTTTCTATTGTAGACGAAAGTCTCTTCGAGTGCTGATGAGTACATTAGAATGACGCCATACGTATCTGAGAATGGAGGAGTGACAGTAGGTCAAAAAAACACCACTGTTTTCCTTGTTGATGCTGAATCTGGAAGAGTAGTTTACAGCTATGACTCAGGTGATTCTGCGTCTACGTTAGGGTTTCAGGGTGGTGAAGATAACCCTGTTTTGCGAGTGAATGGTTCCGAAGGACTAATGGAATCTGGTTCTGGAAACTTGAAGATGGTCCGACAGCTGGTTTACATATTGAGGAAAGATTATGTGCTGCGGTATTTTTCTCCTAATACTGAACCTAGAGAAGTATGGAATGTGGCATTTGCAGAGATCGAAGCTGAATTTCGATGTCAAGGGATTGAAAATCCTTTTGACGGGTATCCTTCTGATTCAGAGAATGAGCTGAGTGTAGAGTACTTGGGTGATAGTGAGTTGCCTTTTCCATGTCAGACAAGGGTTTTGGTAAGCCGGATTCGAGATAATAACTTGCTGGAAGAATTTCTCTCTTTAGGTGGTAGAGTTGGTGGATTGCCTTCTCTGCCTGCTGCTGGTCACAACCATCCTCTAAGCCTTGTATCCAGTCATCCTGACAATGAAGATAGAAATATGCTTGCTTTGCCCCTACCTGAGATTGAAAACCCTTTTTCCTTGGGAATGCTTGGTGGAAGTAATAGTGAATTGAATAACAGGAGCACATTTGATGAAAAAATTAAAGGATCCCATATATCCTCTATTGTAGCTCTTTTCATTACTACCATCTTTTGCATTATTGGCTTCCTCTTTTACTGGTCGAAACAGGGCAAGTTGAATAAGCAGGCTGAGGAACTTAAAGTGCAAGCTGGGATAACCAAGAAGAAGAAATCCCGGAGATCAGGGAACAATAAGAACAATGCCAATAGTGAGAAAAATCAGAAACTCATTGCACATGAGACTAAGGTTGGTGATGCCAGTGGGTTTCCACACATTGAAGGAAGTGAAAGGAAATCATTGCTAACATTTACAGGTCTTGTTGATGGTCGTGTTGTTGGGCGTAGGATTGGTAGGCTACTTGTTTCTAGCAAAGAAATTGCTAAAGGGAGCAATGGTACCATTGTACTGGAGGGCATTTATGATGGTCGTCCAGTAGCTGTTAAACGCCTTGTGCAGACTCATCATGATGTGGCCTTGAAAGAGATCCAGAATCTTATTGCTTCTGATCAACATCCAAATATTGTCCGATGGTATGGGGTGGAGTTTGATCAAGATTTTGTTTATCTCTCTCTGGAGCGCTGTACTTGTAGCTTAAATGACTTAATTTATGTATGCTCTGGAACTCTCCATAGTCAAAAAATTGCAAATGACCAAGATTCCAACTCGTTGGATGAGTTCACTATTCAATTATGTACAGTGATGGAAAACAACAAAGATATTGAACTTTGGAAGGCAAATGGGTATCCTACAGCCCAGTTGTTAAAGTTGATGAGGTAAGTTTATGCTACATCTATTCTTTTCTTTTTTTGTTTTTATCATTATTTTTATACTTCGTTGACAAGTACCACTTTAGTGCTTGTCATTAAAGATTTGAATACCTTTATTGTGTCAACAAATTTATACTGTGTATACCAATTTAAGCTTTGCTCATTTTCTGCTGTTGTTGGTAAGATATTTTGGGATTAATAACATTTTGAAGCTTATGATGAGATCTTGAGCTATTGGGTGAATAAATTTAGGGTTTTCTGTGATGAATTCTCTGCATGAATTTCAACTTTAAGCAATCTATAATCCACAATCTCAGGTTTTAACTACTGGGCCATTTTGCTCTTATGTAAATAAAGCTATATCTATATGATTTTGTGTATCTCAACATTTCCTTTGATTCAGATGAATATTTGGATTTGTAATCAAGAAACTAACTTGTTTCATGACATGGTTCTAATCGATTCAGGGATATGGTCTCTGGGCTTTCCCATTTACATGATCTTGGAATTATACATCGGGACCTTAAGCCTCAAAATGTTTTGATAAACAAGGAGAGATCTTTATGTGCAAAACTTTCAGATATGGGTATTAGCAAACGCCTGCATGGCGATATGTCTTCCTTAACCCAGAATGCTACTGGTAAGCTTATCTAATTGGTTTATCTGATTACATTTTCTACACATGAGAGGTACATGGCATGTGGTATTGGGTCTATCTTTAGGTCAGCGGGCATATTGATTGTGCAGAATGATCTGAGTTATGGTCCAAATGTTTACCTGGCTTCCCTCATCCAAGTTATGATTTGTGGAGTAAGACCTTTCTTAGCCTCTGACCTGCTTCCTCTGTGTGTTGCCTTATCTAGTGGTGGTTTAATTCTTATTGTAGGTTATGGAAGTTCAGGTTGGCAAGCACCTGAACAACTTCGTCACGGTCGCCAAACACGTGCAGTAGATTTATTTAGTTTAGGCTGTGTTCTCTTTTTCTGTATGACTGGTGGTAAACATCCTTATGGTGATAGTTTTGAACGTGATGTTAATATTGTAAATGATCAAAAAGACCTATTCTTGGTGGAGAATGTACCAGAAGCTGTGGATCTCTTCTTACAGCTCTTGCATCCCAGTCCAGATATGAGGTAAGCTGTTATTATAAAACTTCCAGTTCAGCAAGAGTTATTATCATTCTGTTATTTTGCATACCTTTTAAGGTTATGAAACTTCAGTTCCTGCACTTAAATGCCCACGAAATTTTGTTGCCAAGATTTCGGTAGTTGTCTGTCAAATATTTGCATGACTGGATCCCCCAAGGTGTATTCTCACTGTATGAATATGGGCTTTTCAGGACACCATATAGTGAAACAGTTTTCATTGGTGTTTTAGGAGTCAAAAGACTTAGGAACTTTATTCCTTCTGTAATGACTTAACTACATATTTTGTAGGCCAAAGGCCCAAGATGCTTTGCATCATCCATTTTTTTGGACTTCTGAGACCAGACTTTCATTTCTTCGAGATGTGAGTGATCGTGTTGAACTTGAAGATAGGGAGAAAGAATCAGAACTCTTGACAGCATTAGAAGGTATTGCAACAGTGGCTTTGAATGGGAAATGGGATGAAAAGATGGAAGCTGCATTCCTTGATAACATTGGGCGCTATAGGCGTTACAAGTATGACTCTGTACGAGACTTACTGAGGGTAATAAGAAACAAATCAAATCACTACAGGGAACTTCCTCAAGACATCCAAGACTTGTTAGGACCACTTCCTGAAGGATTTTACAACTATTTTTCTAGCAGGTTTCCGAAACTTTTGATTGAGGTTTATAATGTGATTTACAGATACTGCAAAGAGGAAGTATTTTTTCAAAAGTATGTAAAATCCGATCTAGTCTGACCCAAACCATCAAAACTTTGTAAATACAAATAGTAAAACTATTTCGCCATAAAATAGTTATACACATCAATGTATAGAAATGTGTATTCAATTACATTTAATTTGAATGTACTGATCCAGGAACTGATGTTTATGAAGCTGAAGATGTAACCATTGTTTACTATATGTTTGAATTTTCAGATGTGTTTGGGTGGGTAGGACCCAAAAGTTTGTTTCAATTTTCCTTTTTCCCTTGAAAGACTGTTTCCATTTACCCTTTGAAAAGTTCATAAATAAGCTGAAAATGGATTTGGTTTTCGTGGTTGGTGTGAGCTAAGAATCTGATTTCAGTTACGAAATGGGTTCACTCTCTTGAATGGCCTGTGTCCAGTGATCAGAGATATCAGATATCCACTCTTGCACTTCTTTCTGTTTCCATTATCCAACTGGCCCACACTTTTCTGTGTTCATGGTTTCATTTTAACCAGCTTTAACTTCAATTTATTGGGACATGGTACGACTGTACAATTAACCAACCACATTATTCAATTTTCGAATTCGGAACAAGTTGCAAAGATTCTTAAACAGGGTTCAAAGCACGAGATGAAGTGGTTAAAATTCGGATATGTCTTATTGTTGTCGCTTGCATGATGAAGTAAGTTGTTTTTTCTCTGTATTTCAGGTGGGTATTAGAGGGATTTGATTATTAATAATAAGAACCCTATATTTATCTGATAATTTTACTTCGGAGAACTAAACGCTGGCACTGGTCCAATCTTGAAATTTGAAGGGAAACGCGTTTCCAAGTTGAAATTATCCCCCAACAATTAAGCCCTTCTTCACCCATCATCAACTCACATGGCATATTGGCCCACCTCTCTTACCTTTTGATCTGTATGGTTTGAATTTTTTGATCTGTATGGTTTGAATTTTTTGATCAGAGGAGATCAAAATCGCAGTTACCTTTCGGGATTTCTCAAAAAGGACAAAGGCCACAGTTGCCTTTGTCTCCTATCACTTTTGTACCATCAATCAATGAAGAAATATTCAAAGAAAATTATACTTATATCTCCACTTTTTCCAACAAAATCTCAATCCCTCACTCTCACTTCAACCACCATGGCTCTTCCTCTACTCCTTCTTCTTCTTCTTCTTCTCAGCCCGTTCCGAAACGTTGTCGGAGTGGGCATAAACTATGGTACTCTAGGCAACAACCTTCCATCACCAAAGAAAGTAGCTCAACTCCTTCAATCCACACTCATTGATAAGGTCAAAATCTATGATACCGACCCTGAAATCCTCCAGGCCTTTGCCAACACCGGCATAGACCTAATTGTGGCCGTCGAAAACTACAACGTGGCAAACATCAGCACCGACACCTCGTCAGCCGATGAGTGGCTCTCCACGCGTGTCTTACCCTTCATTCCTGCCACTTCCATTGTCGCCATTGCCGTAGGTAACGAGTATTTAACAACTGAAAAACTAGACCCAAAAGCTTTAGTCCAAGCCATGCAAAACCTGCATGCAGCATTGTTGAAACGTGGTCTTGAACGTAAAATCAAGGTCTCAACACCGCATAGTATGGCTGTTCTTGCTGCTTCATTTCCTCCCTCAGCTTCCACTTTTGCCACTGATCTTGCCCCAACGATGAGCTCTATATTAGGGTTTTTAGCTGACACTGGAACGCCGTTCATGATCAATGCGTATCCATATTTTGCTTACAGGGGAAACCCTAGTACGGTTGATATGGAGTATGCTTTACTAGGAAATGCCTCTGGGGTAAATGACCCTAAAGGGTTCGTGTACACCAACATGTTGGATGCACAAATTGACTCTGTTAGATCTGCCATTAATGCCCTAGGGTTTGGTAATGGGTCAATAGAGATTACTGTCTCTGAATCTGGGTGGCCATCCAAGGGTGAGCCTGGCGACATGGCGGCCACTCCAGCAAATGCAAAGACTTATAATACTAGGTTGATACAACGTGCACAGTCAAGTAAAGGGACACCCATGAGGCCAAAGGACAAGATAGATATATTTGTGTTTGCATTGTTTAATGAGAACAAGAAAGAAGGGGATGTTACCGAGAGGAATTTTGGGATTTTTAATGGGGATGGATCTAAGGTTTATGAGGTGGATTTGAGTTGTCAGTTTTGCAGTAATGGAGGGTCATTCGAGAAAATGTCAAGTGGAGCTGCGAGAGGACCGTCTGTTTGGTGCGTGGCTAAACCACATGCAGATGAAAAAGTTCTTCAAACTGTTTTGGATTTTTGCTGTGGAGCTGGTGGTGTTGATTGCAGAGAAACTTATAAGAGTGGTGATTGTTTTGAGCCTGAAAAGCTTCATGCACATGCATCATACGCCATGAATGCTTACTATCAGATGCATGGAAGGAACTACTGGAACTGTGATTTCAAGGGCACTGGCCTTGTTACCTTCAGTGATCCAAGTAAGTTCATTGATTTCGTACTACACTCTATTAATTAATTAGTTAATAATTAATTTGTTATTTGTTAATCTCTCTTACTGTAACTTTTTCTTTGTTTCTTTTTATCACTAATCAGGTTATGGCACGTGCCGGTATCCTCAGCAGTGATTCAGAAAGCAGGGATGTGGTTGACAGCTCCTTTGTACCGTTTCTCTGTATTTGATACTTTCAACAGTTGCTTTGGTGTTAATTGTTTGTATGTGTGACAAAATGGGTTGAGCACCGAAAAGCTTTATAAAAGATCAGATTAGCTGTATGAAGCTTTTGAAATTTGGTTGGTTTTGCCTGAGAAAGGGAGCTTAAAGATTCTTTTTTCAACCTTTTTATGGGAAGAAGATAAAGATAAGCACATGGTAAAGTGTCAAAGTATAATGTCTCCACAATTAAAGGCTTTTTATGTTTGGAAAAGTTCATACTCTTTCTTGAAGATGGAATCTTTGCTAGGCCTGTGGTGGAACCCTTTGAAGGACTTCCAGGCTTCAGATTGAAATAACTAAAGTATAATATCAGAACCAGAAAACGAAGATCGAATTCCTAAAAGAAACATAACTAAATAGGGATATATACTTTAATTTAATATTACTTGACAATGTATGTGATCTTAATAAGTTGACATGTATATAAGACAAAATCTAGCAATGGCAAATGCTGTAAGCCATTCCCGTGGGCAGCAATTTTGCAAATGCATATGAACGGTTTGCAGTGCTTGAAATAAGGTTCTAAATGGTGCTGAATATGCAATAATGAGTGATACAATTAAGGAAGTACAAGTACTAGAAAACCAAGTTAATTGCTCATTAGCTGCTGTTGCTCCCTGTGGCCAAATCTGTATGTCTCCTCTTCTTACTTCCTAACTCCTCATCCCTATCATTTTCAAATGTTCTTTCCGAATTTAGTCTCTTATTCTTGCTCTTCGATAAATCTTCCTTCTCATCCATTATTGATAGAAATCTCTGAAGTGTTCTAGATCGTACGCCACCAGGCTCAGTTGCAATAGACTCGGTAGGAGCACTGCGTACCAGGTTCATAATTTGCAAAAAGTATATTAATAGGGCAATGAAGCAAGCTATTCCGCAGATAAGGAAAAGACCCCAGAAGCTTTTCAGTTGAAGCCGGTCTGATTCAATCTCAGCATTGTCTAAACTGCAACTGCTTTTCACCAGCCACTTGTCATGGATCCGCTGGAGATCACCATTCTCAGCTAGTTGTAGAATTGCAGTTGACAAATCAATAGCCAAGGGAGAGTCCCGTGGAAATGCCTAGAAAGAGAAAGAAATGAAACATGTTTCAAACATGCAACAAATTCCTTTATACATGTAGACTCATCATTTGTTTAAAATTTCATAGATATTATGAGACAGGCACTATCATCTTCAGTGACAACTAACAACAAAATGATGATATATATTTGCCATCTTATGACATGGAATGGAAGATGTATGGGTTGTTAAAGAATGGAAAATATGCCTTCTAACATACTTCTAAAGCTCACATTTTAGAAAGATAAACTATGTGAAATCCAGAAAAAAGATACTCACAAAGCCCCAACCGCTTTTGGTGAACTCTTGACCTACAATCTTGAATGTGCACTGGGTTGAGAGGAAAAGTTCTATATATGGACGTTCATCTACCACAGCAGCAACACCTCCCTTACCGGGACCATTTTTGAGTGCTAAAGCATATTCTTCAGGTGTACCGAGGGAGACAAGCCTAGACTTGGATATGTTGAGTTCCTCAGTTAAATAACGTTCAGCAAATGAACCCTCCTGGTATCCAATAGGGTCATTACCAGTTCTCAGGCTGTCAATTCCTTTAATAGGAGAAGAGAGCTGCTGCACTGTGAGGATTGAAGTCAGACTGGCAGTGTAGCTTGAGTTGATTATCAAAACTACAAAGAGCCATATGATTAGCACCAGACGGCCAAGGGTGCTCACAGTGTTCTCTCCTGCAACAAGAACCCACAAAATAAAATGTCAATCGAGTTAATGCTGCTCCTTCATGGCCTGACATAATAGTAAAATTTTTAGCAAGAATCTTTCACTTACTATGGGCAAAAAACATGGTTGATAAGCTAAACCTGCAGGATTAACAAACAAGATGGTTAATATGTCCAGTTCTTGACAGAAAACAAAGGCAAACATTAAGATCAGATAATACTTAAGTTTTACCAGCATCAGCTATAAAACTAAAATTAAAAAATGTAGGAACAATTACTCAAGGATATTCGAAGACATCACTGCTCTCAGAAATGTTATAGAAACAATGCCTCATGATAGATTTGTTTGTAAACTGTACAAACACATCAGGTACAGAAATAGATTTGTTTGTAAACTGTACAAACACATCAGGTACAGAAACACCCTTCATTTGAAGCATTTAAATCAATCAATACAAATTGTTCGGCTTCTTGCATTTTGGTCATTTTTTTCCTAAAAAATGTGCCAACAACCTTGACTAAGATTTCAGATCAAACTTTTGAAAACATTTTGGGAGTTCTCCTTTTAAATTGTCTATAAATCATCAAACCAAGGGGCATGCTCTATAGGTGTCTCTGGCAGAAGTGCAGTCAAGAGTCATCTACTGAACAAATCTCTCTGCATCTTATCTAGCGGAAACATATCATGATGATCTCAACCTTAAACTGTAAGACCACAATCTCACACCTCAGATAGCCATGGTTCCACTAGTCTTGACCAAGAGATGAATAATCCTCTTTATAGTTCAGTCTAAAACATATTACACACACACAAGCACAGAGAAAGACAGTTCAGGAAGTATCATAACAAGATAATCAATTCAAGAACTCACGAGAGAACGGTTATAATTTGTCTATTGGGAGGTCCTCTGAATTCGTCATTTATCCTATGCTCTAAAATCCATACGACAATTCCAATAACAATGAAAGAAAAAGCGGTGACAGTCCACATTGATCGAGTGAATGGCCGCAAAAAAGCCCAAGCTCCAGTGTTCGATTTCTTAAATGGGGCCACAACAACGAGTCCTGATGCAGCATACGGTTGCGTGAAATCCACTATCTTTGTTCGATTTGTGACAATAGCTATGTCACCAACAGCAGCATCCAAAACCTACGTCAAGAAAATAAGACAATCAGCAAGCAGAAGTTAACAAACTTTAAATGATTTGAACCAATGATATAATACTCACACCAGTGGTGATCGAATTCACCAGTTCTGTGTAGCTTGGATTTTTAGTACCATCTCCAAAGGGGATAAATTGGTACGGGACAGCGTATGGCAACAAGTTTACAGCAGCTGTAAACACATCTATGCAAAAACCCTGAAACATATCAGTTCCTTTCACTCTTGATACAAATTCCCGGTAACTGGCCCGATTAGGTACACCAATTTTCAATCGTTGCCCATTGTTTGGGAAAACCCATCCCCGGGGCTTTGTCAAGGTGTCTCCAGGCCAGATGACACTGTATAGTTGCTGGCTTGCACTTGAGCGATTGGGTGGCTTTGTATAGAGTGTCTCAGGAAGCACAGTCGATAAACCAGTATAGTTGGACCAGTAACCAACCTGTCGAATCCCAGATCCAATCACATTAATAATATCATATGCAGGATTAATAAGAGACTTGTCTGGACTAAACTTTAGAGGACCTGTTAACCCAACAGTATTACTCTGCAATATGTAATTCAGCAATTGCGGTCCATCATCGAAAACGCTCATTGCATCGAGGTGGAGATTGCTGGCTTCTGAAGAAAGAAATCTAGAATCATTAGAGAATGAGATAATCCCACCCTGATTAAAAAAGGCATCAAGAGCATGAGCTAACAGCCAAACAGAGTCATAAGCATAAAGACCATAAGAATTCATCCCCAAATGACCACCAGCCAAATTCCTCCACCTAGAAAGAAAAGCTCTCTTTCTCTCTGAATCTGGGATGTGCTGACGCAAAACAAGAACTCCTTGCATTTTATCCATGGTGTCAGACGGGAGAGGAGAATTAGAATCTAAAATATAAGCCAGCCAATCTGTAGCTATCCATACATAACCATTATCCATCATCTGAAGATAGTTTGCAGCAGAGAAAACCCTGAAACCGATATCTCCACTTGCATGCAGAACAATAATACGGGATTCCATCAATGCAACCTTAACAAGTAGATCCATGATGACATTTTGGTTCACTCCAGATCCTGGGGGGATTGCTGCCTTATATGAGATTTTACAGCGTCTCTCTGCAAGCTTATCACTCAATGCAGCTATTCCATTCCGTCCATAATCATCATCAACAAAGATGGCAATCACAGCAGTCCAGCCATAATGATCAACAATCTCAGCTACTGCAGCCATCTGGTAAGAATCACTCTGTGTTGTCCTAACAAAGTAGGGGAACTGAATCGAAGAGAGAGTGGGGTCAGTAGCCCCAAATGACAGTAAAGGAGTTTGAAGCTCATTTGCAACATGACATATAATATGGGCAACTGTAGAACATTGCGGGCCTATGATGGCAACAATATCAGTCTCCATGAATTGCAAAGCTGTATCAACACAATAATCAGTATATTCAAGCAGGTTACACAATTAATTACAATATTATTACTATTTTAAAAACAGATTTCTTGCACACAACAAATGACCAAACAAATGAGCAACCAACTTCAAACTAAATGAAGGAAATTGACAGTTGAGTACCTTCTGCCATGCCAAGAAACCCGCTGCAATTGGAATCTTGCATTGTTATATTAAGTTTCGTGCCAGGAAGAATGCTAGAATTAGAGTTGACATCTTTCACAGCTTCTTCAATGGCAATCTTGGCAACTCTACCAATGGTAGAGTTGAATGTAAAAATTGCACCAATACTAACAACAGATGGTCTTGAGGTAACGTTCTGACTGTACCCACTTGAATTCAGGCCCAAAAAGATAAAGAAACACAGAAGAAACCCCAGAGTACTCATTTCAAATCAAAGGTACAGATCTTAGAGTGCCCAGAACGAATCCACTCACCACCTCCAGTAGAGAATTAGTACACCGTCGACTCATGGGCTGTAAAGATTGGATAAAACAAACAAATTATAAGAAGATTCAATAATAAATACGAGAGCCAAATACATCAAATCTGAAAGAACACAATATAATAAATTCGAAACGAAAACATAAAATTGAGAGTTATCCATCACTAATTATGCCATTCGGCAGTCAGAAACACCATTAGTAACACAAACTCACAGATAATAATAGTTTTTTTCATTTTTTTTCTCAGAAGCCAGAAAACGAATTTGCAAAGCTTTAGAGTTGTCTCTGTTTTATAAATTTTCTCAGCAACCAAACAAAGGTGGAAGAATATAAACAAATGTAACTTGATAGCATCAGAATGACAAGTACTGCAAACAAGAATCAGATTCTCTGTACAGCACGATTTTTTTATTTTATTTTTGTTAAAAGAATAATCAAATTTAGTATACAGAACTAGAACCATGGCAGCAGTTCACACATAAAGAATAATCTCAATTAAATTCAGCCACTTTCTAGTACAATAAAGATTTCATTTTTTCAAAAATTAAGTGAACTTATTTTACAAGAGGAGCTTTACAGACACAGTTGGAAAAAACTCACCTACTTGAAAAGCGAAATCTTACATGAGAACCCAGCCAAGTATTATGCGCCAATGGCCAACCCTTGCTTCACAAAAAGGGAGATAAACTTATTGACCAGTTGACAAATCTAGAAAAGAAAAATTTTCTATAAAGATAATGGCAGCCACAACAGCCCAGGTGCCCATCACAAAACAGAAGAATATGTTTCACATGCCATAAACTAACTGGGTTTTGTTTGTGTAATACTGTTTGTTTGCTTGACTAAGATCTCATAAACTACAACTAGATATGCTTCAACAATTGGTGGCAGTGGCACTTTTGTTTGTTGCGACACATTTTGGGATTCTTTGTTGGATTTACATTAACAGTCCACTAATTCGGCTTAAGTGATCCTAATCATGGTCAATTGAATAGTGAATTAATTATTCTTTGATAACCTATAATGGACTTCCACTCAAAATGGAATTTTGTTGATAGGGTTAAAATATAGGCCAGACGAATTATACCTACCCAAGGTTTGGCAAAACGATGATTGGTACCCAAAAGTTTTAAAAATACAAACAGGTATCTTCTGTTAGTGAAAAACTAGAATGCCCTTTAAGAAATATTAGTCTATTTTTTTAATTACTTTTAAACTCCTTAAGTTTATTAATTCTATCAAATACCCCCAGAAAAAAAGTTTAAAAATTAACAAAAATATCCCCACCCACCCATACTTGCCAGATTCCGGCCGCCACCGCCGGTAGTAGCAGGAATCTGTCACAACGGTCTACGCCACCACCGTAAATGTCTGGTAATTCACCGATCTGGCATTTTCTCGCCAGATCCACCACAGATATGGTCGGAAAAGGCCAGATCTAACGTGAAAATGCCAGATCTGGCCGGAAAGTGACGGCTAAAGAAATGATCGTCAGTGTTGCGGTAGTCGACGGCCAGATCTGGCCTTTTCCGACCATATCTGTGGTGGATCTGGCTGGAAAAGACCAAATCGGTGAATTACCGGCCATTTTCAATGGTGGCGTAGACCGTTGTGACAGATTCCGGCTTCCACCGGCGGTGGCCGCCGGAATCTGACAAGTATAGGTGGGTGGGGGTGTTTTTGTTAATTTTTAAACTTTTTTAGGGTATTTGTGGAATTAATAAACTTAAGGGGTCTAAAAGTAATTAAAAAAATAGACTAATATTTCTCAAAGGACATTCTAGTCTTTTCACTAATGAAAGATACCTGTTTGTCTTTTTGAAATCTTTTGAGTACCAATCTATCGTTTTCCTCTAAAATATAAGCCTTGTGCATCATGTGTTTGTGTTGGAAGAATATAACTGGATTGATTTTTTGTAAGGTAATAGGGAGTGGTTGACATTGCAAGTTGCTAGAATAGTTTAATAAGCAGGCAGGCAGAGATTATTCTTCAGAACTAATCAATACCCATTTAGAATATTAATTTACAGAATCAAAAATGAAATATATGGAGTCATTGTAGATGTCCGCGATGGTTAAAAGTTAAAACAGACTGGGAAATGAAAGAAAGGTTTGGGGAAAAGGAAAACCAAATGTGAAGAAAGAGAGAAGAAAAAGATGGTGAGGAGGCAGTGACATCCATCCATCCATCCATCCATCCATCACTCTCATGAAGATGATGTGTAAATGAAGATGAACACAACAGCATAGGAATTGAGATATTTTTTTTTTGGGTTCAAAGGGTTGGCCGGGATGTTGATTGATTTGATAGGATGAAGGAAGGAATAAAGTAAACGGAATAATGTTGAGTGCTGCTGGGTCACGCAAGCACTATTCATACTTTTTCACAGATANGGAAATGAAAGAAAGGTTTGGGGAAAAGGAAAACCAAATGTGAAGAAAGAGAGAAGAAAAAGATGGTGAGGAGGCAGTGACATCCATCCATCCATCCATCCATCCATCACTCTCATGAAGATGATGTGTAAATGAAGATGAACACAACAGCATAGGAATTGAGATATTTTTTTTTTGGGTTCAAAGGGTTGGCCGGGATGTTGATTGATTTGATAGGATGAAGGAAGGAATAAAGTAAACGGAATAATGTTGAGTGCTGCTGGGTCACGCAAGCACTATTCATACTTTTTCACAGATACCCAATTCCTCCTCTGTGGTAATGGCAATTTCCTTTTTGAGACGCCATTTCAAACTCTCAATCACTCCTTTTACACATGGTCTCCTCTCAAATGGTTTAATACGAGTTTCTGAGTTTGAATCTTTCTAAATACTAATAGGATTAAATATTTATCGAATTTATCCGATCGTCTACTCATGAAATCTTAAGTTCGAGACTCTCTCCAATTAGATTTATCCGATCGTTCACTTCAGGGTCTTAAAAGATTAGTTGAGATATATACAAACTGACTGGTCACAAAAAGAAAAAAAATAAAATAAAATAAAATCTTTAATATATGTATACACTGGTAGATATTCATTCATGCACATTATAATATGAAATTTTTGTATGCTTTGATAATAAAACGTGGAGACAGAAGGAATATGATTACAAACATATCACATGCAGGTAGACCTGACAAAACAGGTCCAGACTCGCGGGTTAACCATTATCCGGATAAAAAATATAGGGTACAAGTCTAATGTATTGGACTCATTTTTTAAACTCGTACCCAGCCCGACCCGTATTAAATGTCTAATATGGGTTACTAAGTTCAAGTTTTCCCAAGCACTAATAGGGGCCACTGATCAGATTTATCTTATCGTTCACTCATAGATTCTTAAGTTCGAGTCTTCCCCCCAAACAGATTTATCTGGTTGTTCACTTCAGGATCTCGAAAGATTAGTTGAGGTACGTGCAAGCTGACCCGGTCACAAAAAGAAAAAAAAAAAAACCTTTAATATATGTATACACTGGTAGAGATTCATTCATGCACATTATAATATGAAATTTTTGTATGCTTTGATAATAAAACGTGGAGACAGAAGGAATATGATTTCAAACATATCACATGCAGGTAGCTTCTTAACACGACGTCGTCTGAGTCTCAGAATGCACCCCCACTTTTCTGCGTCTAGTCATCACAGCTTCTGATATTTAGGCCCATCTCAGGCCCAAATCATTGGGTTGCTCTTATCTTAGGCCCAATATACATTTTTCCCCGCAACCACAAACAAAGAGGAAGCCTATACAACCAAACTACAGATACTATAACGATTTTGCGCGCGCACTAAGCTGACCATAGGATTGATTTCCTCTCTATATCCAACGGTAGATAAGTTGTTTCAGAAATCCTAGGGTGGGAATGAGCATTTACTATCAAGTCCCAAGGGGGTGAAACTGGAGGCAACTCACCACTGTTACTCTATCTTAGTCTTAGCCGATAATAACAAACTTCTAATCCAATCAATACTCTCCACGTTTACGCCAGGAATCTTCGGATTTATATTTATAACGGCAGTCACCGTACCTAACCTCTACGAACCGAAAAAATTGACCAAAAGGTAAGATCCAACGGCTGAGACTCAGTGCCGGCCCCAAACTACGAAACCATAATAAAACCTCATCCAGTAGAAAAAAGCACCAACCAACAACTACTATCCACGTGTCGGTACCGGGGTTTGTCCGGACAGCTAGAAGATCCGAAGGGTTACCTGGAATCGCCGGTAGCCAACCAAACTCCAACAAGTATAATTTAGTTTAATGGTTTCTCTCTCTCCTCGATCATTTTCTTTCTCTTTAGAGCAGCTTTTGATTCTCTCTCTGTTTCTAAGGTAACTTTCTTCTAAGGGTTTCTTAATTTGATGATTAAGAGAAAAGCATAGAAATTTCATGCCTCTGTGAGAAATTCTTCTACTTACGTCTACTGTGATTATTGAAGTTCATTTCTGTTCACATTTGTAGTCATTTCTTCAAGATATTTGCTTATTTTTTTAATTGTTCGAGTTGAATTCACCAAAGTTTGATCTGTAGTTTTGGAGAATTCGGTTATATTTACTGCCAAAAGATTTCATTTTTTTGACGTCTAAGTAAGTTGAGATTGATGATTAAGGAGCAATTGACAGTTGCTTATAGAATTTAAGATTTGTTGATTTGGCTGTTCTTCAAGCTCTGTTGTTTGTTTGTTTGATCCTAAAGTTCCAGTGAAGTTGATCAATTTGGACCATCTGAAAATATCCTAGTTTGAAATAATTTTAGCAGGAGTGATAAAGATAGGGTTTTGATCTTTGAGAGAAGCGTCTGTGTTAGTGAAGTTAATTTATGATTCGGAAGAGTGAATATGGCAGGGGGTATGGATTTTTCTTCTCCATTTACTGTAATAGAAGGTGGTTATTCTAACGACAATGTATCAGGCATGGATAGTGAGAATTCGGATAATTTGGACAATATCAAACAAATTACAAATGGGAAACCTCCTCGGCATGCTTCAGTTTTGCGGCATTGTGTGAGCACCACAAGGCTGCTTGCTGCCACTGATTTGGTAAGTTCGTCCTCTATCATCTGATTTTAGTCTTATGGAGTTGCTGAATTGAATCTGATACTTTTTATATTATTGAATTAAGTGGATGTGTCTCTAGATGGTTTAATTTTAGAAATCAATATAATCAGAAGCAACACAAGTAAAATCTTAAAACTTAAAAGCTTGCATAGCCATGGTTATTCTTTATGTTCGTTTTCTTGATTTAATGAAGAATGAAGAATTTGGAACTTTTATATGAATATTTTGATTTCAAACTGTGGCAAATTATGAGATTTTTTTTTTTCCTTTTCTTTCCCCTTGTCATTTCAGAGACTAAAAGTCAATGTAACGGTCTGCCCTTTTCAATTTTTGGAGTTAGTATAATAGATTTGTTTCTTTGATGCACAGCATATGTGAAATACTCTGTAACTAATGCTTTCTCTTACCCTTCAGGCAATGGATGTTGGAATTGTTGTCAATAAACCATCTTCTGATGAAAAATCGGATTTTTTACCTGTGTTCCGATCAGGAAGCTGTGCTGAGAGAGGACCTAAACAGTATATGGAGGATGAGCATGTATGTATGGATAATCTAATTGAGCATCTAGGTGCAACCACAGACTTCCCTTCACCGGGAGCTTTCTATGGGGTAAGTCAAGTTCTCGTTCTGAATTGTGTAATTCATGTGGTAACCCTTCGAAATTATGCAACCCATATGTTGACTTCTGTTGGTTTCTCAGAAAGTATTGCTACCTTTGGCCAGTTTCAGGAACTGATATTCGTTGACATGTGAACAGGTGTTTGATGGCCATGGAGGTACTGATGCAGCATCCTTTGTTAGAAAAAACATCCTTAAATTCATTATTGAGGACTCCCATTTCCCAATTTGTGTGGAGAAGGCACTTAAGAATGCTTTTGTGCAGGCAGATTATGCATTTGCAGATTCCAGTTCTCTTGATATTTCATCTGGCACCACTGCTCTGACTGCTCTTGTTTTTGGGAGGTAAGTGAGATCCAGAACTGTTTTATCAATGTATTTGCTCTTGAGAAGCGGACTTTGTTATTCATTTCTCTGGAAATTGTGTGTTTCTGAATATGGCACAGTAAAAAATGATATTGATAGTTATACTTGTAATACTGAGTGTTAGGAAATAATATGATGAGAGAAGAAAGAAACAAAAGGCTGAGAACCAGAATCAATTCTCTTTGTTGATATTATGCACAATTTTGTGGGCTTAGATTAGATTCACTTATGGTCGCTAGAGTAAATTTTACGTAGGTTAAGGAAGAATAGGAGATGGCAGCAGAAGGTGATATGGATTAAGCAAGATTGCTGAAGTGTTACATTAGGTCCACCAAGATTTATCTTTTGCTAACTAAGATAAAATGCAAGGCAAATTGAGAATGCATATTGATATGAATTTTACACAGAGGTTTTGGCTTAAATGTGCTTTCTCGTTTTAGGAACCCCTAGTGCTAACATGTTTTGTCATATAACTTTGTTACTTAAGCAAATTTATAGTTGTGCCAAGGTTCTTGCTGGTGGAAGCCAATAGACAAAATATTGTATTATTGAACTCCTCAAGTCATTTAAGAGACTGGATTATAACTTAACTGAAATATGGTAAATCTGCGGTTACTATCCTTATTAATACTTTGGACTACCTTTGACATAATATTATTCGTTTCACAGGAACTTGATTATTGCAAATGCTGGGGACTGCCGAGCTGTTCTGGGGAGGCGAGGTAGAGCAATTGAGATGTCAAAAGACCACAAACCCAATTGCACATCAGAAAGACTGAGAATTGAGGAACTTGGTGGAGTCGTTTATGATGGCTACCTCAATGGACAATTATCAGTTGCACGTGCCATTGGAGATTGGCACATGAAGAATCCTAAAGGTTCTGCCTGCCCTCTAAGTGCTGAGCCAGAATTGCATGAGACACTTTTGACGGAGGAGGATGAGTTTTTGATAATGGGTTGTGATGGCTTGTGGGATGTTATGAGTAGCCAGTGTGCAGTGACAGTTGCAAGGAAAGAATTGATGCTACATAATGATCCTGAAAGATGTTCAAGGGAGCTCGTCAGGGAGGCACTTAAGCGCAACACTTGTGATAATTTAACAGTGATCGTGGTTTGTTTCTCCCCTGACCCTCCTCCGCGGATAGAAATACCGTCATTCCGAGTTCGAAGGAGCATATCAGCAGAAGGGCTGAATTTACTCAAGGGAGTGTTGGACAACAACTGATCAGATTTGGATGGTTCCGAGGGTTGTGTTTCCCATTGGAGTTTCCTGTGGTAGGGGGTCTTTTGTTTTCCCATCAAGTCAGAGTTGCTGTTGTTGCTGCAACCGTCCCCTTTGCCATGGCTGACATTCAGCCTCGTTCAAGGAAATAAATGTCGTGTAGTCTGTAGAATGTTAATTCTTTGTGTTCCAAATCCTGTACATCTGAGATAAATTATGTTGTACTAATCCACTTTTCAACTATCTTCTTGTTTGTACTAATACTTCTTGTTCTCATTTTCTCCATTGTAAATAATAGGATAATCAGGTTATACTCTGCTACTATCAATTGATTCAAATAATTATTGAATTTATTATCTGTTCACTGTTTAAGTTTATTACTATGCTTATAATGAAATATTTATATTAATTGGTCTCAATTATTGGTTTAAGGAGAAAGCTGAGGGCTCCTGTCCATCAAATGTTTTGTTAACCTTATTTTCAAACATTGAATGAAATCATGCTATGACAAGCTCCTAGAAGATATCTTTGCCGCAATATGGGGGCAGCTGGAGGCTTAGACTTTGAGATGGAGCGAAGCTTTGGCAAAATATGTCTCGTTGAAAACGGGGAAAAAGAAAATTCAAGTTACTTAGCTAAGCGTTAATTGCTAGTCACCCATGCCCTAACCAAAGGCTTAATTTAAAACAATTAGAAATTAAAAAGGAAAAAAGAAAAAAGAAAAAGGGAAAGATTTAGAGAAATAACCACCCCCAGGTGGCCGGGTGGGGTGATTCCCCTCGGTTGCTAATAGAAGTGATCATTAGAGGATTTATTCGATCGTTAACTTCAAGACTCTAGGAGATAAGTCGAAGTACGTACAAACTGACCAGACACCCTCGATTACCAAAAAGAGAAAAAGAAAAAAGATTTAGAGCAATGATGAAAACATTGTTGGTATGCATTATAAGACTACACTTAATATGGCTGGTGATTGAAGTTTAAAGTAAATTAAGCATGGTCCCGTGACTCCCGTATGACAATTAGAAGCAAAATTTGATCAGTCTTATAGAACAAGCAATTCATTATAGGATAACCTAACCACTTTTGGAAGGATGCCCAACTTAGATATTTTCCCAAGATAATTGGTTTGCTTAGTCTCATTTTATACCGATCCACAAATAAGTTTGAGTGACTCAGAGTTCGCCATCAGATCCATCGTTATTGTCATCCACCAACTGCGTGCCACTGTACACAAATTGAAACAAAAGATATTTAGTAAAATGAGTATGTCATAACCTCTATTTCAGATGTTGCCAACCAACTAATCTAGCTATTTAATACAACCTCAATAATGAACCCAAACCAAAGTCAAGGATGGAATCAAAACATGTACCACAAAAGTCAATTGATAACATTATCTTAAAAGCTTAAAGCAGCGGATGGTCCCATGAGTGATGTAGCTCAAGATACATCTCAAATCAGTCGATGAAAATTAAATTCCAAATTAGAATACAACTTTCTTAACTTTTCAAATCCTGCTAAAGCTAATTTAATTACTTGGCATTGTAGGTAATTTTAGTACTGTTTAAAGTACCACGAAATGCATGACAAACGATAAGCAGCATGCGAAATTACGGTTGACAAAAGGGCCCTTCTGCACTGGAAGTTGCATGCTTCCAGCTACTATTTGTTAATGCAAGGAAATTACAAATTCTATATTCAACATACCTTGATACGTCACAGTGCTTGCTTAAATCTTGGCAGAGAACCTTGCTTACATCTCCTGCTTGAATAGACCCTTTCTTTATCAATTCTGCCAGCTGCAAGAATAATCAATATTATCAAAATGATGTTGCAAATGTTTGATTTGTAAAACACATGATAATCAGTAATGGTAGAAGTGGATAAGCAGGATAATAGAATTCACCTCATCTTCAGTTTCCTCAAGTAACCTGTTTTGATAAAAAAAAACATGGATTAAACTTGGTAAATTATATATGCATACGAAATCCAGTATTACCATATATTAAGGTCAAAAGTATACCTATTTACAAATAGCATAAAAAGATGGAATGGTAGAAAGTTTTGGTCATCTTACCTTCCACAATAAGTGGAGATATCTTTTGCATATGCTTTAGCTTCTTGTTTACCTAATAACAAGTTAAAACAAAGAAGTATTCATATATTGTAGAAGTTCACCAAAACATCAGATATAAGTAATTTTATAAAAATCTGCTGGATGTAGAGCCAGTCATCAAGATAAAGTATAGAAAATCAAGAACTTATTAAGGATTTAATTCCCAATCCATAGAACCAATTACATTATATGGAAATACTGAGCAATCCCAGTTCAAGTATTTGTACTATTGTCCCAAATCTGACAATGGATAAATAGCATTCTATAATAAGACAGTGGTTCCACTTCTGTCAAGTGCATGACATTCACTTAACTCAGAAAAGCTGATAGTATTTCAGAAATATCAATAACTTATCCTTTAGCAAAAGGCACATGAAAAAATTAACTGCAGTCCTAGCCCAATGAACAAGCTTGTTCTCAAGATTATTAAGTTCTAACCAGATATAACATTTGGATTATTTTTATAGGAAAAGAATATATGATAACATTCGACTAGATGTAAATTCTACAATCAAGTATTTGTTCTGTCTGCAGGACAAATTCTTTCCACACCATAAAAGCCTTGAACTAATTCTAATCATTAAGGTAAAACTAGATCTTTTAGTAGCAACTTCAAATAGTAATCATGCTACTAGTCATCACAGATGACTAGAGGTCTAGTCGTCTAGAGAAGCCTGAATCGAACAAATACATGTTCGTTTTTACCCTTTTCGCTTGAAAGTAATCATACATTCGGTTATAATTACTTTGATCAAATAAAGAAGGTATATAACTCAGATTTAAAAAATTAGAGAAGTAATCATTATGAATCATCTAAAATAACTTATTCAATGCAAACATCAAACTCAATGAAAGACAAACGTCATAAACGCCTAGTGAACATTCTTTCCTAGCATGTTAACCGGAAAAAATAATGAAATCATCACATCATAGCTATGATAAAAAAAAAAAAAAAAAAAGAATGCATACTAATTGTAATGTTGTCCCAGTGATCCAATCTGACCCACTCTCGTCTGGTTGAATCTACCTGCAAGATGAAAACACGCTTATGGATTTACTGGCACCAACATATTTAGTCATGTTGCAAGATCTCAATAGGCCAAGAGATAACTGCCAGAGAGATTAAAATTGCAAATGCAGGTATTGTGCTAGCACTGTAAAGGAACAAGAGAGGGGGCTGTAAACTAAGCTCCCTTGATATTTAACAAAAATACATGCAGCCAGGGTTTTCAAATCTGTCATAAATCTACACTCAAATTCAAAAAATCGTCAGAAACCTCCTCTAAACGGAAGGTTACACAAAAGAAAGTGGATTCTTATTGCATTTTAACCAAACCTTTTTGAGGGTTCAACAAATTTTTTTTTTTTTTTTATCCTATCCTCCAAGCTGCTAAGCGGTTGACTACAGTTTTAAGGGGTTATTTTAACCATTGCTTAATTAATTTCCACCGGCATTCATTCTTTTGAAATCCGTAAACACGTTTCTCTTCCAAGACTCCAACATAAAAAGCAAGGAAAATTATGCAATGCAAAAACAAACTACCTTCTCGAGAGTGTAATCTAGCATCTTATCACAAAGCCCCTCCAAGAGTTCAACAACTCTAAGCTCACTGACTCTGAAAAAATAATTGAAAATTTAAATGGTAATCAGTCACATCCAATATTTAAATGAAACAGTGACACAAAATTCAATCAAAAGCTGAAACATTGATTTTACTTTACCTGTAATCAATTACCTTTCCTACACGCTGACCTTTTGAGTCCAAACGATGTCTCATATCCAAATGATTCCTCGGTTTTTCCTAAATTAAGATCAAACACTTAAAACAAGAATCAAATGAAACTTAACACTTGAAATGAAAATGATGAAGTTCTCACCTTCGAAAGACCAAGCTCTAGCTCCTCCTGCAAAGCATTTCACACAATTAAAATCAGATCTAGACGTAAATTACACTACACGTCGTAGTTTCTACGTGGAGATGAATAGAGATTTACCGCGACGGCGTTGCAAGCTCCACATTTGTCTTCGATTGACGCGGTGATAGAGAAAATAGAAAACATCAAAATCAAACACACCACTGACTTCGCCATCTTCTTCTCCGTTTGAATCGTTTCCATTGTTACACCTGTTTCTTTTTTATTTATTTTTTTTGGAGTTGACATTAAAGACCTCTGTTTGGAAAATGGATGCCTCAAGTCAAACCCAAATCTTCACATTAAACACCGACCTGGCCCATCTAATTGGGCTCATTCGGATCGACTGGCCCATCCATATTCAGCCTTTGTTAGATTAATACTAAGAAATACTTTTATATTTTTTTTTTTCAAATAAAGTGTCCAACTAGCTTACGCATATCTCAACTTTTGGGAGAGACTAGTGCAACAACCTATTGTCACGACCCCTCACTTAAATACAGATGTTCAGACGGGGAAGAATTTCAAGAAAGCTGGACAAGGACGAAAGAATACATGGAATGTTTTGAGTCGGGGGTGCCAAAAGAAATCAGAGAAGAGGCCAACTACTTCTTTGAGGTGTGCTTATCTTCTTATTTTAAAAGACCAAGAGAGCAAAAGATTTCGAACACAAACTCCAGTTAGTCTAAACTGTTTACCCAGGGGCAGATCCAGCCATGGCCCACCCTCAATTTTAAAAAAAAAAACACTAACATATATAGTTTTTGAATTTTGGTCCATCCTAACAAAAATATTAATATATAATTAGTTTTTATTTTTATCCACCTAACAAAAATTTCTGGATTTGCTACTGTATCGATTCACACTATCTCAAATTCGTTTAAACCATTCAAACTTCCAACGAATAGGTATAAAATCTATATTGTCATAAGGCATACTCTAACAAATTTTTATTCTATAAACATTACGAATATAAGTTATTCTTATATGTACACATTCTTAAATTAATCGATGTAGAATTCACCAACAAAAAAAAAAAATCTCTTTTATTTTTGTTAATTTAAAAATGACGTAATAATATATAATATACGTGGACCACAAATATATATATATTTTTTTAATTTTGTTTGTGTCCATAAACATAAGTGACGTGGCCCAAACCATCAAATATTCCAAGTATAGAAGTCATAATGAAGCCAATATGCTACCCTTTTCTTATGCCAAAATTGTGAAAATTCATGATGTGAGCCGAGCCCCATTCATCTCGTTACCTACTGCAATAAAACCCACATGTATTAATCAAACCATTACCAATCCTTAATCATAATTAATAATAAACTTTCTTTTTTTTCCCTTTATTAGCGCCACCCAAACAACATCATTGCACATAGGAAAATCATCAAAATCAATTTAATACCTAAATCGGACGCTTAATTGAAATTAATACTACACAAAATTGATGGCTCCCCACCATCTAACCACCCCATGAAATTCACTGCCACTCTCTGTGCCGTGCATTCCGCTTTGTCACTCACCAAAACAAAAACCTAACCGACACGTGCACCCACCGTGTGAGAATTGAAACGACAACAACAAAAAATTAAATAAAACACTAGTGTTACCTATCAAATCTGACAGTCATAGCCAGGGGCCCACGGCATATCATGCCATCGAGAAGCGAGCCTATAATTTTTTCAAAATGATGCTTCCTTGAGATGCGACTTGGATGATCAGATCAACGGCTGTGATTCAAGTAGCAGGATAACAGTTGAGAGTGACGCTCGTATGAAAACAAAAGATAAAAGGAAAAGGAGCTGAGGTAGAGGGAATGCCAAATGGGAAAGCGAAGAGCTGATGAGTCGCTTTTTAATCAGTGTTGAGTCGCTTTACTTAATTCCAACCAAACACAGAATACTGTTTGTTGAATTTTTAGTTAATTTTATTTATTTAATTATTGCAATGGTCGATTTCTTTCGATTATAATAATCCAATGTAATCAAAACCTATTCCCTTACTCTCAACATCTCGAATCTCATCTTAGATTATATGTTTCTCACCTCCAACTTTTCTCTCAGAAACCCATTTCCTTTTCCCATTTGCGTAAGTTTTTTATTTCGTTTCATGCATGAATTGGAACTTCTATGTCAATTTTTTGTTGTTTTTATGGTAGATTTGTGGGTTTATTTGATCCATTACTGGTAATGAGTGATATGAATTGTGTAGTTTGTGCTTGCTTTTTTCTTTTTGTTGTTAAAAATCACATTTTTAATGTTGCGGATCTGATGAATTAGGTTATTTTATTGTGATTGTACATTTGTTAGTTGGTTATTTGACGGGATTCTTGGTGTTTGGAAAGTAAATGTTTATCTCGTTTGTTATTTCTGTTAGTATGTTTTGGTTTGATCTCTGCTTTTATTTAGTTTTGAAATGTTTAGGGCGTGTTGTGCATGAAATTTTACTATGAATGGCTTCACGTTTTGGGATTAATTTTTTTAAGTGTTGCTTTGATGTAGATGAATTATAGAGGGCAAGCTTTCTGGGATAATGGTTTTCAAGGGAGCAATTGAAATATGGTTTAATTTGCAAATAAGGTGGATGGAATAATGTTTTCCGAGAGACTGACAGGGGAGGATTCTCTTCCTCGGGATCTTGAAGGTTTAAGTGTGTCGAAACGGCTTGTTAGAAGTGTTAGTCAAAAGCTGAGAAAGAAGAATATCAGAAGTGAAGGGGACGATGAGCATAGTGTGAAGGGGGTTTCCTTGAAATGTCTTACTTTATATGGTAGAGTTGGGGGTTGCAAAGTAGGTGCCGACACTGGGGAGGAATATGGCGACCCAAGTAGTAGAAGGAGGTCAAGTGCTAGTGAAGAAGGAAAGGGATATAAACCTTTTTGCGGTACAGAGGAAACTGGAGTGGATTGCTTCTCATATGGGATGAAGGAGAAGTTTTGGAAGAAAAGTAGCAAAAAAGATCTGGAACTTGAAGAATCTGTACGGAACAGCAGGATGCACATCTTTCTACCAGATGATATTCTGGAGATGTGCTTGGTGAGGCTCCCATTGACCAGTCTCATGAATGCCCGCCTTGTGTGCAAGAAATGGAGATACTTGACCACTACTTCTCGCTTCCTGCAGATGAGAAGGGAAGGCTCATATCAAAATCCATGGTTGTTTCTGTTTGGTGCTGTTAAAGATGGCTATTGCTCTGGGGAGATACATGCGCTGGATGTGTCTCAAGACCAATGGCATAGGATTGATGCTGGTGTTCTTAAAGGAAGGTTTATGTTCTCTGTTGCCAGTATCCTGGAAGATATTTATGTTGTTGGAGGTTGTTCAAGCTTGACCAACTTTGGGAGGGTGGATAGGAGTACAGTCAAGACACACAAAGGTGTGTTGGTATTTAATCCTGTAACTAAATCTTGGCGCAAAATTGCGTCCATGAAGTACGCAAGATCAATGCCTGTTTTAGGAATATCTGAGGTGAGTTTGGAGTTCTCGATTATTCAAAGTCATCACAATCGGCAAGATAGGCGTTTCCCCAGGACACGAATTGGTGGGGTGTCTGATGTTTATGAGGATCCTCACAGGCTTTCACTGAGGCGTCAATGCAGAAATGCTTTTGATGAAAATGAGGGTTTGCTGTTGTTGTCCAATAGGAAGTCATACAGGTTTAGTAGACAAAAAAGTGATCAGTCGCTCACTAAAAGTGGCAAAAGGTTTGTGTTGATTGCTGTGGGAGGTCTTGGATCTTGGGATGAACCCTTAGATTCAGGAGAAATTTATGATTCTGCAACTAATAAATGGACAGAAATCCAGAGATTGCCTATAGATTTTGGGGTAGTGTGTTCTGGTGTTGTTTGTAATGGTATACTTTATGTTTATTCTGAGACTGACAAGCTCGCCGGGTATGACATAGAAAGAGGCTTCTGGATTGGAATCCAAACCTCTCCATTCCCTCCCCGTGTTCATGAGTACTACCCAAAACTTGTATCTTGTGGTGGCCGGCTGTTCATGCTTTCTGTCTCCTGGTGTGAAGGAGATGGTCAAATAGGCCGGAGAAACAAGGCAGTGAGAAAATTATGGGAGCTAGATCTCATGTATCTTACCTGGACTGAGGCCTCTGTACATCCTGATGCCCCTATGGACTGGAATGCTGCATTTGTTGCCGACAGAAACCTGATATTTGGAGTTGAAATGTTCAAAATATTTGGTCAGGTGCTCAACTTCTTAACTGTATGTAATGCATCTGACAAAGGGATGAAGTGGCGTCATGTATCAAGGAATCACATGGCTCATGAACTGGATGCTTCTTCATGCATGACTAAATCATTGGCGGTGTTGCATCTGTAAAGTTGGTAGCCTACACCCTGATTCATGCTGAAAATTCTAAATATTCTACACCCATGAGGAGCTTCCAGTCTTAAAGTGGAACCTACAAATTTCATATTGAATTCTTTGGGTATGAGTCGTAGATTAATGTGTACCACAGCAACTACCCATGGTTTCTGTGCCATATTCTGGCTTCACAGAAGAGGTAGGTATGTTCGCAAATGTGGTCATTCATTTTAATTCGGTTGCCACTGTTTATAAATTGATCCTGTATTTCAAACTTGTTATTTTGTATTCACCTGATTGAAAAAATATTTATTTTTATGTTGCATGGATAATAAATATGTGATCTGCTCAGTCAACTTTTGTGGCTCCTATAATCTTAATAACCTTTTTACAAATAGGTAACGGCAGAAAACATCTCACACTCGAATGCTTGTGGTTGTCACAAAAGTTGATTTGGGGACCTGGGTTTTCAAAAAAAAAAAAAAAAACCATTTTTCTAGTGATAGATATTAAATAAAGATGCTGATTTGTGACATTGAAAGACAAATATACAATAGTTAAAGAGTAATACTACAGCTATTGAAAGGATGATATAACATAATTCTGACCGTCGATTAATTATTAGTTAATATTAATTAATGGTCATGATTGTGTCACGTCATTTGGTGCGCTCTTTTTGGTAACTGTATTATTTTCTATAGTTAAACTTGGTGGCAGTAAGAATTACTTTGAGACGATGAGCAGTGCTATGATGGAATTGCCAATTAAGCTATTGGAATTGATGTGCAAAAAGATGGATCACTTATACTACAAGCAATCTACAGCCACAAATGCGGGTAAAAGAATCGCATTTGGCATCCACAAATGTGGGGTTATGAAATGCATGGTAGAAGAATATTGATAGAAAGTTAAAGAAAAGAATGGCAGCATTTTCTATATATTTCCATTTAAATTTAGAGTTCTGTTAATGCAGTTCATAAGACATATTTCTGATCTTCAACGTCAAGAAAAGATTCTTAAATTGCTTATCTCTTTATCTTAAACGGAACTATGGAAGCAAGAAATGTGTTTCTTTATGATGTATTCTGATAGCTTTTCAGAGCGGCATCTTAAAAGATGGAAGCTAGAGTTGGATCAAACAGCACGCAAGAGGCTTGTTCTATCACACTAGTTTAAATAGCGGTATTTTTGGAAACAAGTGGAAATGGACAAGAATCATAAATTAAAACTAAAAACCAAGTATAAAATTGTAGAAAAAGAAAATTTACCCATAAACAGCCGCAGTACAGTTCAATGATTTCACGTCGTTACGTGGAGCAATGGCCGATTATGATGAAGTTTTGTTGTTGGGCCGCCAATTAGGACGGTAAGAACAGAAGTTATTGGGCCTGAAATGTGACTTCTGTAAAATGCGTGAAGAGCTGGATCATCTGATAACTTGGTACTACCCCAGAATCAAGGACAGTCAGAAACAATTTTTCATTGTTTTCAAAGCTTAGGATTCCCTGATAAATGTACATCATACAAAGGAACTTGAAGAAAAGGGGAAAAAGAATTCATCGAAATCAATAACACATTCTCACTCTAAAAAAAAAAAAAAAACAAAAACCGACAGTTTTATGCGAAGATGTGGAATTTACTGAGAACAAATGAATGGCATTTAAAATTCTCTACAAATGGAACGTGTCTTTATACAATAATATCTACCTGCAGTTTGACAATTTGCAGACAATATCCATCCACGTCAAAACTGCTTGGTCAAAGCAAGTATTAGATACAGGCGCCTGCATTTTGTAAAATTTTGAATAAAGCATCTGGAAGAGGCTCAACCCATATTTGGGAAGATTCCTGAGAAGTTTGGTATTTTATCAATATGCTTTAGGGCACGTTCAGCAATCTGCCGTGTTCTATAGTCAGCATGCTGGAAGGCATCAACAAGTGCAGTGCTCACATTTGGGTCTCCAGAAACTTCATACGCAATTTCATCAGTCCGCAAGATTCTCTCAACTACCCAAACCCCCCTCCTCCTCAGGATCTCAGTTCTTTTTTCGAGTAACACGTCAAGAATAGGCTTGATACCCTGTGCGTCACACAAAACCATCACCCCTTGTTCAATATCAACACCATCCTCCAACAAAGTAGATAATGCCGCCAGTGCTGCCTCAACCACCTTCTCATTTGTGTGATCTAGAAGTGCTACCAATTTCTCCACAGCCTGTCCTTGCAAAAGACAAAAGGTGTCTTTTAGTGAACATGTTCCCCTGTGGACCTGACACAATCCAGTTATGACAGGCTGCTTACTGAAACATGTGAAGATTGAGGCACAAAAGCCAGGTGGTGGCAACTCAGGCAGTTTCGTCAAATTTTTGGATTCTAGAGATAAGTTTTCCAATGCTGTAGCAGAAACCATCTGTACTTTATCAAGTCCATTGCGCTGAAGTAGTTCAATGAACAGTGCTGCAAGATCATGCTCACGGCATAAAGCAATGGCATCAGGTTCATCGGCCAAGATAAATGTTACCCTCACAAGAACTGATACAAGCCCTTCCAGGAATGGTGTCACAAAACGGGCTCCACTAGTCTCTCCCCTTTGGATCCTAGACACTCTAGAGATAATTAACTGAAAGGCACCTTCATCTAGCATTTGCCGTGTCAAGCCCACATCTCTCTCTGGAAGTTCAGCTAGAAGGCCAACGGCTACTGCCTGCTCCTCAGTAATTCCTATATTTTCTGATATGATTTTTATTAGGCTGCCAAGCTGGCCAACTGTGCCACGTAATGCATCAGCTAATTCCTGACCCATATGTGGGGAGAGGTTCTGGAGAAGTTTAATGGAAGCCAGACGCAAATCCTTCTGAGAAGCCTCAACAAACTGAACCAAACTGATAATAGCACCAGAACTTTTGATGGCAGAAACCACATTCACGACAGTTGTGGGACAATTAGTGAGTCCAACAAGGACCTGCAGAAGTTTGCACTCAATTGCTGGACCTGTGTTGCTAATTAGATGAAGTAGCTTATGGACTATGTCTTCTGAAACTAGAGTCTGGTGGTCAGGTCCAACTATGATGGAGTCAAAGTCACAGCCTGAGCTAACAACACTGGCAAGAATTGTTGCAGAGACTTCTTTCAGTCGCATTGGGAGCTGATTGGACCCAACTGTGAAGAGATCCTTAACAAGAGGGGGAAGGATACCATCCTGTATCAACACCTCGGCACTTGCCTCATAAGATGAAATTTGATTGAGAGCTTTCAAAGCAGCTTCTCTTGCCTGCATATTACCACTTTTCATGATACTGATCAGAGATGAACCCACAGTTCTTGCCACTAGGACTTTAACATCATTATTTAAAGCCAGCTCGCCTAAAAATGCAGCCAAGGACAGTTTCGTTTCTGGTGGGCCTGCAGACATCCATTGTAGCAACATTAAAAAGAGGAAAATATGTCACACGATTAAAATAAATGAGCATTTAAATTTACAACCAGATTAACAGAAATTCAGCACATACTTCTACCACCAATGCATTGAGGATAACTTGAAGAAACAAATAAAAAACTTCCTGAACTACAGCTGTCACAAGCTGAAGGTCCATCAACCATGCAGATCTTAGATATATAGGACAAGATACCCCAAGAGTAAAATGCTACTATGAACAAGTTAATAACAACAACCGCAGAATATCATTTAGCAAGGACAAAAAAGAAACAGTGTATTTGATTCAATTCTTTCAGACCAGTTTTCCATTCACAAACTTTAGTTGTCTTTCAAATAGAAAACTTGTTTGGCTCACTGTTTCTGTAAAAAAATATCAAGAAAACTATTTCCAGATCACTGCTGCTTTGAAGAATTATTATATGTTGTTTTGTGTTCTGAAAAACCATTTTGAGTGATCAAATAAACATATGCTTCTCAAAAGTTTTCTTATTTCCAAAAGAACTTGATTTTAAACAAATGATGTATAAAAAGAGTAATACTACTCATCCCAAACACTTATCCTGAATCTCACATTCTGAATGATGCGTCACCATATGGGCATTGCCATAATATTGAATGCATCGTCACCTCATTTACATGCCAATGGTACATATGATAACACATCACTTGAGATATCAAATTCGAGATAAGTTTTGAGATGAGTAGTATTATTGATGTAAAAATACTAATCTTAGTGATCCGAACCATACAAACATATATGAAGTCTTAAAACAACAATAAAAACTCCTTGTTCTTATCTCACTCTGTTTCAGAGATATTTAAGCAAAGCTTAGACATGTTGAGGAGAAGAAAAGCACCTTCCAGGATTTGCGTTAGAAGAGGCTGCAGTCTCCCATTTTCAGCCATCTGTCGCACATTGTTTTCATACCTCTCCAGATTTTCCAGTGTTTTATCAGCCTTCTCCACAGTCAAGATATTTTCTGATTTACTGGATGTCATTCCAACCAATATAAGAATTGCTCCATTGACAGAACCGATTTTCTCACACAACACTTCAGATTTGGAAAGCTCATATAGTAAAGAGACAGCTTCTTCCCTCTCCTTGGAAAGCTCATGAGACAAGAACTTAACTATTGTTCGCACAGTATCCCCCTGGGCAAATATTTCCTGAAAGACATTAAAAAGGCATCAACAAGAGTCACTAATGCTTCCATAAGTGATATGTCATTTAAACTAAAACAATCCAGCAAATCTATGACAACCTTATTATCAGAATCTTCTTCAACTACAATTCGAAGTGTTTCTAGAGCTTTACACCGAACTTTACGGCTGCTGCTCTTCAACATGTCAATTATCATAGGTATTAGCTCAGAATTGTGCACAACATTCTTATTTGATCGGCTACTTTGACAGAAGTACTGCACATATTTCAGAGCCCGCATAATATCACTCTCTGAGCTGCCAAGAGTTAATGATCTTCGGGCCATGTCAAGTTGAGCAGCATCATTCCTAGCACTCCATTCTTCAATTGTGTTTCTTAAAGCTATACTGGGATTAAGTTCGGTGCTTCTTAATTCTCTTAGGGTCAAAGGGCAGACAAGCTTCCTTCCACTATCCCTGCATTCCTTAAACCACTTTTCAATTGCTTCACGGTCAAAAGTTTGCCCATTTTCTATGGTAACAGGATCACACATAACTTGCTTTGTTAAAGGGCAAACAAATGCATCATAAATAGGCTCTATGTGCATCCTCCCAAAATTGTAACTCTCATCTGACTGGCTACCAGAGTCGAAACTTCCATCCCAGCTTTCAGCCATTTGATCAAAATTATTCCTCACTGCTACTCTGCAGCAAAACAAAAATACATATAATACACCACTGTATCATGAATCTACCTCTATCATTTGTAAAGGATAATGACACCTAATGGGATAGTTCAGTTGAGTAAGAATTCAGAAAGAAAAAAGAGAAGAAGATACAGCAGCATGCCTAAAATATGTAAAATTGAAATGTTGAATGACATCAAAAAGAAAGTGCTGCATGACACAATCTATTTGATGGGCAACAAGATTAAAAACAAAAAAAACAAAAAAAAAAAAAAAATTATGCTCCGTTTTTTAACAGATTTTAACAGCGACCAAAGGTTTTCCTATTCAGAACTCATTTATGTTCATTCTCTAAGCCTTTTTAAACTATAACACAATCCATCAAACTTTATCGAAAATACTAATTTGAACTGAAAAACACCAAGATGTAAGTAGGGCGAGCCAACCACCCGGCAGATCTTTGAAACATAAGAAGAGAATTTAACTTTTGGACAGCCCCATATCAAATTCTAAGCTAAACCTTACGGAAATAAAGCAAAAATGAAGTCAAGAAAGTATATCCACATGAATTTGTAATATCAGTTAACCAGTCCTTAATTCCAATAACAACTAAACCAACCAATCACCAAAAATCAAGTTACAAAAAGAGAAAAGCAAAAGAAATTCTGAATTGATTAAATTAAGCAACACGATTGAACCCAAAAAAACGAAAGACATACTTTGGTTAAATGATGGCTGTGCAAAAGCCTAGAAGCTAAGAGTATTGGTGAGCTCCTACAGACAAGTGGGTTTTGATGAGAAGATGTTGCTCCACCATTTGATATCCGATTAAATTAACGGAAGAGCGAAACTTGAATTAGGGTTTCTTTTTTAGGGGTGGCTAATGTGAAAACGGGAAGAGAAGGAAAAAAAAGACTTTTGAAGTTGACGAAAAAGAACAGCAGCATACGAACAAAAATTGGTATGACAAAAGAGTGAACAAAGCCATTGCATACCAAAAGTTGACTCCACCAACAGAATAGTCTTTAGAGACCCCACCATGCTTCAACAAACAGCTGGTTCAACCAAGTATCTTAATTTATTAATTATTAATAAATTAAATATTTTAATTATAGAAGCCAGGACAGGACATACCACACCATTTGCTCTGAGTTTGAGATACAAGAACACAACACAACACCACAGCATAATAGTAAAACGCCGCGTTTGGCTATTTAATTGCGTGCTGGTGGACTGAGGCTCACGACTTGCCCAACTTGCTTGCTTGTAATTGTGTAGAAGAAAATTTGCCGGTAAAAAAACACGTTTTTACGTATGGTTTAGGATGGAGTTGAATGAATTCATCGTCTTCAACGATGGTGACTTGAAAATTTTGAATCCTCAGAACCACTTGAAATTCACGTTTATACCGTTGTACTTTCTGGTCAGAAGTCAGAACCCAGAGCCAGAGGCATTACTAAATACTAAAAGCTCATATTAAAGTCAAACTCAGTGCAAGTGGTTTCACAATTTATTACCAAAACTTAAAAGGGACAATTATGGTCTCGTGTTAGTTGAAGACATTGATGTTTCAGAGCTTGTTACTTTCTTTTTGGAAAAGTCTGAACCAGGTTGTACGAGGTCGGCAACATCATGTGTACGAGGATTTGTGCTCGAATTGAAGCAATATAAACTTTTCTTACAAGTCTTTTAGTAAATGAAAAGTTTCAATCAGTAGATGATAATTGAACTTGAACAAGGCATCATTTCTATCACCGTGATGAAGAAGAAGAAAGTTTCAAGGGGGCCCTTCTGCACTATCTCAGGTCTCCAATGAAGACACTGGCAACAAGACCATGGCACAATGAATCTAGTCATTCAACACCATGATTTTACTTTCTTTTTGGAAGAGCAAAAATTAAGCTAATCCAAGTGGAAGAATTCTGTAGGTCTTCATGAATGCCAAGCATAATTTACTCAGATCCTTCAAAGGCATTCTTCTGTACTCACATCAGCAAGAAATAAGCATGCTCTGCAATTCCATTCCACATCCAGGTATTCAGTGTATGGAAGGTTGACTTCAACAGCCGCCTTACAAATATCAATTAATCTCTTCTGCAAATACAATTTCAAAGATAGATTGCACTGCACCCAAAAAAAAGAAAAAAAAAAAAGTAGCAATCAGAAGGGTTATACCTTATGATGAGCAAAAATTACAACCCAAAATCTCCCTAACATGTTAATCAAATTTTGCTGGCATTTTCAAAATAAACAAAAAAACTAGCTAAAATACATAAAAAAAAATTAAAAAAAAAAAAGTAAAAGAGTCGGTTAGAGACTTAATAACTGGATACTGTAAACTGTTATTATGAACTCACACTATAACCCAGGATATGCCATTTAGCAGCAGCCATAATTTGCTTCCTATCAGAATCTAAAATTCTTCCATTTATGTTGCACATAGAGCTCCACAGTCTTATTCTATTTCCAAGTAGTTTACTTAATCAATTTAATTAATCATTATTATCAGATCATAATATTACATTCTACATGCATACATGCTAAACCTGAAATTTTTTGCTCTTACTCTCACTCTAATACTTCAACACCTAAAGCCTACCTTCCTCTTTGGGGATGTTTGGCTGATCAACTAAGAGTTGCTGGAGTGCACCTAGATCACTTGTACTGCAAGGTAGAGAAGTAGAGCCTGGAGTTAGCACAAAACATAGGAACTGACTTAATAAAGACACATCATCCAGATCAACCGCTCAAAGATAGCACTTCACACAATTGAAATCCTTATCAAGAAAGAGATAAAGTATTTTTATAAACATATGGAACAGGTACCTGGGTTTCAGGGCCAATTCTGAAAGCGCTGAAACCAATGATGATTTCAGAAGGTACCTACAAACACAGACAGCGAACATCCTTCAGAATCTAAAACTGATTTTGACACTGTCAAAATTTAATCTAGCAGAGATTACTTCCTTAAAGTTTAATAACGGGGAATTGGAAAAATCAAACTTTATCTCCCATGAGATAACTAAAAGAGAAAGTACCAATTGCAACTGCTAGGATGAATATACAAATAGAAGAATCGCATACTCTGAGTAATGCATGTCATGAAGAATCATAAGCCCATCTAAACAATCTGCAAGACACGGCTTTACACCAACTCTTTGCTGCAGTTGTTTCACTGTTAGCTGATTAGAACCCCCTTTAACTAGCTGTCTACCATCACGATATAACTTCTCAAAAGAAAAAACAACTCCTCGAAACTCCTCCCTGAACATATGTTTCCAAACTTAACATGTCAAAACAAATATTTCTTATAGAAACAATTAAAACAATTGAACTCAAACTTCAATTTACTTTCTCCTCCAGAGTTTCACTGGAACCAAACAGTTGATCAAATGAACCTAATAATATGTCTACAAACACAATATCACAATAGAGCCCTAATTTTAAGCAAACTGATCAAATGTACAAGAAAAGAAAGAGAATTACACAGTTTTTTTCATAGAAAGCAAAATAGTCTGCAAGGACTCCATTTGTTTCCGCAATACAGCAGCTTGAACACCAGCAACAGAATTCAAACTTGAGTAGTTTTTACAATCTTGAACAACCTAACAATCACAATTCCAGTAAGAGTTCAGAAGATGAATTGGTAAGTAAATAAAGTGAAATTAACAAATTAGGGTCTATATTGACCTGTAACCTCTCAATGATTGAAGAAGCATTTCTAAACTGAACAATTAAGCGAGATTGAAGGTCGTCCCATCGATTCATTTCTTCTTTAAGCCTTTTGAATTTCTGCTGATACTTCTTAACTATCCCCTCCATCAGATTCTAAGAACCCTAACATCCGACTCAGGAATCGCTCAGGAGTGATAAATGTTCAATAAGGACATTTTCGTCTTTACATTCCAACTTTTATATTTTTCAAGTTACCCCATCCAACATGCTATTTGACATTTGTTTTATGCCTATTTCTTCCCAAAATTCTGTGTACTGTACCAAGTTCTCTCTGATGGAGAAACAAGAAGATCCCGAACCAAGCACAGTTGAAAATGGAAGTGAAAAACAAGAAGAAGAAAAACAAGTAAAAGAAGAAACTCTGTTGCACTTTCTGGATTCTACGGATAGCTATCTGACGCTGATAGATTATTTATCTTCCACACTTCGCCAGGTAATAACAATAATAATAAGAATAAAAAAACTCCTTTTTTCACGGAATTGCTATTTCGAAATAGATCCAGTCTCTTTCTGGCTTAGTTTTACTTATGGGTTCCATTGCATCATACTTTGATTCATGGAAATCTGTTAAAAGTTTGTGAGAATCTGTGTACAGTGCCATTAATGCTAATCTTTGAATTTAGTGTTTTTGTTTTTGTCTGCTTTTATTTGTTATTCAGCAATGAACTCCTGATTTATGAATCTGTTAAAACTGTTTTCATTCTAGGGATGGTTGGAACTGGCAAGTGCTAGGCATGATATGGGAGCTTCACGAGTTAATACTGCTTTGTTAGACCTTAAAGTTCACTCTGCTTCTACATCAGTGCAAGTATCACAACAAGATGGTAATTTTCACTCTCTGTCTATGGTTTACTGCATAGCCAATTTTATCATTTTCACTCTTATGAGAAATTATTAAACTTATGTATAATCTGGTGTAGCTCACTCCATGTTTGCACAACATCGATTTCTTTTACGCAAATGGGCATCCTTCGATGATGGAGAATCTTTTTCTGGAGAAGAAAAATCTAGAGAGAACAAATTGCCGACAGAATCTGATAGTCAGCTCCGACATCGAAACAGTTCCCATTATTCTGGTATATTGACATTCTCCCAATAATTTGAGATGATGTATCCTTATCTTTTAATTTTTAGTTTTGGTAGTAGGATCTGAAAGATAACTGAATAAAAAAATATCCTTATCTTTTGCTGGTTCTGCTAAAGCAGGACATTGCTGTTGAAAGTTTTAAGATTTAACCATGTATAATTCTTAAATCTATATATTTGAAAATATCTGCAGACAAAGTTCTTGAATGATATCACTTTTGTTATGTTTAGGAGTTTTACTCTTATCTACTGTGACATCCCCTTCATGAACCTTTCGTCACATTATATTTTTGTTTATGTGAAGAGAAAACCTCAGAAAGGAATGGAAGTCCTCTTACTCTTGATGACCAGGTACCTTTCAATTTAACACGTTATGACTTTTGAACTTTTGTGAAAAGGATTCTTATGTTTAGTTGTATTAGATTTCATTTTAGTGTGCCAAGTCCGATACTGTATATCCATGCCAAAAGCTAGTTTCTGCCTCATTGTCCCTGTTTTTCGTTGCATAAGCAAATTATATCGAGAAGTAATGACATGAATGTTGATGGAATGAATATATCACTAAAAGTGGAAGGCTTTCTTGTGAACTACTCATCAGGTAATCTGTACTGGAGTCAATCCATAAATCTTGTCTGTTCTATTGTAGGTTCAAAAGCAGCGATCCAAATCATTGTCAGTGTTTGGAGTACTGGTTTCCCCTAGGCTTCGAGCCGCACAAATATCATTTGAAACAGGTAAATAACTTAGCAGAAGTACTAATGAAAATCTGCTGAATAGACTGATCAGCTTTTAGGTAATCTGTTTCTCTGCAGCATTGGAGATACTGGTAGAAATAGCAAATATGCGTTCGACAATGCTTGCCACATTTGATCAAGTCCACGAAGAATTGGAAGGCACTCAGAGGTGATAAAGAGTTGGTTCCTTTAGGTCTATATTACTTTGATTTCTAAAATCTTTAGTCAGTTTTCCTGTATACATCACCTAATAGTTTGTCAAATTTTATATTCTGATGACAGTTAACTACTTAAGGCAGTATTATCAGCTGGTTGAGCCCTGAAGATGTTTAAAATTAAAAAAAAATTAACATCCTTGTAGTAATCAAAACTTTAAAGCTCAAACATATAAAGGAGAGAGGGAAGTGGGTGAAGGTTGTCATCCTTAGCTGGTTGAGGTTTTGATATATATCACTCACAGCTTATCAAATATTTTTGTTTCAAAAAATGCATGGTGTTGCCGAAAAGGTTTGCAACTAAGGGACTTTTGTATTACATCCATGGGAATTAAGGAGCTCATTAAATCATTTTGTGATTAATAGCTGCGAAGAATTCTTGATTGGGACTTTCGTAGTGCAATTTTGTGTGAAAATTGTTTCTTTTCACCTCATCCCAGAGGCAAAATCATTCCTGTGTTGTTCAGTTCTCTAGTTGGATATGTTTGAAAATAATAAACGTTGAGCAATTGTCATCGTTTCTTCGTGAAATTATTTTGGTGGGTTTGTTCACTGTCATCCTGGGATGATTTCATTATCTCTTTATCAGAGACCGAAAAGCACCAAATTACAGATATGTAGCCTCCATGTAATGCAATTATCGCCTTTTCAATGATGTTGATATGAATTTTCATAGCAATTGAAATACCGATGGTAACTTTCATAGCTCCATACGAACGAAAAAAAAACAAGCGTAATATGAAGTACCAGGATCAAAAAGTGATAAAAGATGAAGATTGGAGATACATGTTTAATCGGAAAAACAAAAATGAATAATATATTTTTATATTCGTAGCTACCCACTCTTGTCCAGAATTCATTACTCAGAAAACAAACAGATTCTATTTTCCTCATTCCTGCATAACACAAAAATTGTTTTTGAAAAATTGACATCGCATAAATACAGTAATGCAGTACACCAAACGAATTTACAATAGTCCAGCTTTTGTCCCAAACTATACAACACACAAAAATAATGAGGTAATGACCACATAACAAGCCCTAAACAAATTGGACAAAACAAGCTAAATGATTGCAGGAAAAGGGGCGGGTGGTAACAAAACAGAACAGGGAAGATAACTTTTTCTCTTTTCTTGACATTGCCAGAACAGAAAGTTGTATCAGAATTTCTCTTTGGAGCTTGAGTCCAATGAGAAATTATCTTTGGAGTTTGAGTCAAATGAGACCTTAAACGGGCCACTGGAGCCGAAAGGATCTGTGTCATCAAAAGAATAGAATCCCTGACTGTCGCCAAAGTCTTTGGTACTGTTAATAGAATCAAACCTTGCCAGTTTCTCATGGCCGAAGTCTTTGGTACTGTTTATAGAATCAAACCTTGAGAACTTGTCATTGCCAAAGTCCCTGGAACTATTTATGGAATCAAACCTTGTAAAACTGTCATTGCCAAAGTCCCTGGAACTATTTATGGAATCAAACCTTGTGAGTCTCTCTGGTTGTGAAGAAAATCCACCATCATGCATGCTGAAGGAATCAAACCTCGAGAAACTGTCAAATCCTGATGCATCACTGTATCTAGGTGGAGAGTTTCCAAATCTTGAGAGTGGAGTGGCAGGAACAGAATCATCAAATGTAAATGGACTCTTTTTCTGAAAGGTGCTCTCAGCACTCGGGGATCCAGTTCTAATTGGGTTTACACCAAAATCACTAGATACAAAGAAATCTCTGTGACTGTCAGAATCTGAGCCCTGCAAATTAACATAAAATATGCAGAAAATTAAACTTACATGAAAGTTATTCAATAACCAGACACCGTATGTAACAGAGCATACTACTCTAGCATATCAATAAGCAGACCACCAAGGAAAAATGCCATGGGATCGCAAGAGGCTCATCAAGGCATTCTAAAACTTGGGAATGCTAGATTCCAAAAATGAAATATTGATTACTGTTTAAATTTATTAGGCCCATCAGTTTCATAGGTATCCTCTGATAGCCATGCAAGATAGATTTCAGTATGAAGGGAAATAGGAATCAAGAAGTCCAAGCTCACCTTGGGATTAAACCCCCATACTGAGTCCACATCATCATTATTGTCAAATGCACCCCAGGTCGAGTCATCAAAACTTCTGTCAATGAGAAATAAATAAACTCAGCACCACCATCTCAGAAAATTCTGTTCGTATTCAGCTAAAAGAGACACAAAACTCAATATTTTAGAACACAAAAATCAAACCACAAACCTATGTGTTTCTGCATCTGCTTCAGTACTCCTTGCAAATGGGCCATCAGAAAAATCTTTAGATGGACTTTCTATAGTAGACCTTCCAGCAGGGCTTCTTGCCAATTCATCTTCACTGTGAGTGTATGCAGATTCACTCTCAAGTACATGTTCACCAGTATTCATCAAGTTCTTGGGTTTTTCATCCACATTGGATAAGGAATCAGGAGTTAAACTACCATTTGGTGAAGCCTTTTCATTTGGAGAGGCAGAAGCATTTTTTGCATCAAATTTGAGCTCATTGCCAAATCCTGAAAGCAAAAGTGAAATGACATAAGTGAACACTTAAAAGAGAAATTATACCTATATGCAGAATGGAAAGAATTTTATGAAGTTAGTAAGGAAGTAAACAGGCCCGTTTAGCAACCAGACAGCATACCTTCATCTTCAAATTTGTCCCACTCTTCATCCCAAACAGATGCTCCCTCTTGAATTCCAGGTTGCCAGCCTTGATACAATGCATGGGCAACAAAAATGAACATAACCCTAAGAGGTTAATCAAACAGCCCCAAACTTCATCAAAGTAACAAACAATAAGTAGAAGAAAAACTTATTCACAAATAGCATACTAATAATAAGGTACTCCATAACCCTAAGAGGTTAATCAAGCTTGTCTTTCTTTAGTGCTCAAGAACCTACACAAGTTCAAGTGATAAACAACAGTAGGACAACTGAAACTAGCACATCCATTACTCAGGTTTACAGAGTTCTTAGCAATTATTTCCTTCTATTTAGTTTTATTTTTATTTTGGGAGGGATGGGAGTAGTTTGAGTTGACCATTCATCTGTGGCACTTTTAACTCAAAATTTCAACAGCTGATAGAAAGCAATATACATTTTAATCGAGAATTTAAGAGATTCCCACAAAGCAAACATACAAATCTATTTCAATATATGACAAATGCATACATATGCATACAGCTACAATATCAAGCTACCATAAAAAATTGCTCCAGAAAACAGATAAAAGTGACCAATGACCACATCATGATTTAAGGAGGTTAATCACAAAAGTAGCTTCTTCACAAGGTCTATCAAGTAAAATTACTAATAAATATTATATAAACTTGAAAGCCATTAATTGAGGTGACCTTGGAGAGGAAGCATTGATGTAAATTTTATATAAAACATGAAGGAATGAAATGTAAGTACCAAATGGAAGCTCAATTAGTGCACTTGACTTAACATCTACTCCATGTTTCTTGCAACGTTCAGTTAAAGCCTTCAACAGCTCCTCAAGATCTGATTGTGTACGATCAGCACGGACCTATACAAACCCTCAAAGCATCAGTATTAGACAAGTTAACATAAACTCTTCAATGAATACTGTAGGTAATTGGCTGAAATTTACCTGCAGAATACCATCTGCACTGCCACCTCGTTCCATATTGACAATAGCTTGATGCAACTCCATCTTCCTCTCCTGAAAATGAATTAAACTTGATCAAAATCATGTAAAAAGATTAAACATTTCAAAAAGCTCATGCAGTTGGAAAACTCCAAGGCAGGTTTGCATAAAAGAATAAAAAGCCATTACCTGAAGTTCACGAAATTTGGCATCTTCAATAGTTAATTTAGAAGCTATATCTGCAACTTGTTTATACTTCTCTTCATATTTCTTACCCAGTGATTCCGCCTGCAATACAAATTTGTTAACATAAAGCAAATGCCATTCAGGATGATGAATAACAGAAGCACAACTTTATTCTAATAAGTACCTCACGCTTATCTGCAAGTGCCCTCTCTGTGATTTCATTTAGTCTATTGTCACACCTGCTTTTATAAAGCACCTAAAAACAAAGAACCAAAAATGAACAAGGAAGAATAGTAAAACGAAATCGCTGGCTTATCACCTTCAAGTCCACAGCTCAAGACAAAATTAACATAGATAAACTACTAAATATCAACTCAAACAAACTAATCAATTTTCCAGATTACCAAGTAATAAATATTATAAGAGCAAAAAAAGACAAGTCAGAAACATTTATTAATTTCTCAAAACACTTAACAATTTTACTTTCATAAAGCAGTCGTATTTCATGGTTAAATCCTAATTCTGTTCAGCAAACAAATTGCCAGAACCAGAGACACCAGAAAACACTGACACTTAACTATATATAAATCATTAACATGGTCAAACCCATTACCATATCTTAGTACTCTTTCAATGATTCAGATATAATAGACATTAGTTGCATGTACAATTTCTGTAAAAAAAAAAACAAATAAAGCTGCACAATACTTATACAGTGTTCAGTTATGAAACCATATCACGGTGGCAAAGCAACCTAAAAAGCATTTTACACAAGTCATTCTGTTACTGTTACTCTTGGACATTGAACAGCAGCTTCATAGGCAAAGTAGATAGAAGCAACACCTACGTAAATCTACAACAAATTTTTCAGATCGCATTTTCAGGTTCCAGGCACTGGATTCAAAAAAACTTAAATCCCCAAGGAATAGAAATTTCATTGCCCCAAAAATAACTCATTTGGAAAGATCCCCATTCTAATAAACTAACACTGAAGCAAAATCTAGTTAAGTATTGACTTATACTACCTTTTGTGATCCACATATTCAATAAGAAATGATAATGCCATTGAATTCAATCCAATCATAACAATTCTAGCATCCCATTACAATAGGTTGAGAGATCTGAATAAACTTCTTTCTTATCCCCTGAATTCTAGCATCCCACACCAACTCATGCAAATGTCATTAAATCAGATTTGACTACCAGAGTGTCAAAAGATCAAACATGTTTTTGAAAGGGGGGGGGGGGGGGGGGGGGGGGGGGGGGGGGGGGCGGGGAAGTTGAGGACAGTAAATTAATCAAAAAGCAAAAAGCAAAAAAACCAAAGATGGATGTACTCACAAGCTCCTGCATTTTTGTGCGGTAAAACTCAATCTTTTCTCTAGAATCTAAAATCACCCTCTCTGGTTCATCAACCTGCCAGAATGGAAAAGACAAATTATTCTTTATATTCCGTAGAAACATATTTTGATAATCAAAAGGTACAAAGATATAACCCATAACTTCAAAGAGGTAATAATGTGTTGAACCTCAAACTCTCACTGAACTAAAAGAGAATAACGGAATAAGAAAATTTGACATTTTAATTCTCAGCACTCTCAATATCAGACACTAATCTTCAGACCAGGTTCTCAACTAAATGGTAAGAGTCTTTGGGAGATTGTTCCAAATAAGCACACAATGATGAATAAAACCTGATGAGAATACCTTATGATCTCTTCCAGTCAAAGGAATATTACTCTTGAATTAGATACAATGGTCTCAGCAATGAAACCCTATTAGTAAAAAAGTTTAAGACTGGTATTATTTATTTGCTGACATTTTTCTGCCCTTATCTTTAAAAACTCTACCCACTTGAAGAACAGAGGAGTCAAAATTTCAAAATCAATTAACCAACCACAGCTCAGAACATTTGTTTATTCTACACACAGCGTGGTTCTGATAATACTTGCACGCAACATGTCCAAAATGACGTGTTTAGGTCTATGGACTTGGAATATAAATTCTCCTCACAAAATGGATTTTAATTTACAAACGATGCATGTACTCTTGAGAAAAATTTAGGACAACATCATAAAGACTAATCCACCAAAGAGAAGCATATCAAGTGAAGGACAGAAAGCCCAGCATGAACTGTGTGGTAAGAAGACAGAAAGAAAGAGATTACCTTTTTTTCGGCAGCTGTTGCCTCTTGGAGCTTTGAATTCTGCTCCCCGTTATCAAGTTGGTTTGCAAAAGGATCATCTGACTTACGTGCTCTCGACTTTGGTTGATTGAACATCATTGCACTGTCAACATTGGGGGCTGGTACCGGAACTGGTGGCCTCAAACCAGCAGTCGGAGTCATTGGTCGAGGACCCATCACAGGCTGCTGACCAAAACCTAGTGTAATATAGAAAGAACAACGAAGTCATCAAGAAAATCACACATTCAAAGAGGGAACAGGAGAGATATAAAGATGTTACAAGCACTCCTAACTTATACCAGGACTGGCACCCCAAGCAGCATTTCCAAAAGCAGGATTTGGTTGACCTGTCATGGACAACAGCGTCTCATCAAACATAACATTCCTTGGAAGCACTGCTGGAAGAGGATGGCCTTCCCTGTATCGCTCCATCAAATAGAGAGCAAAGCAGAACTCCCTCAAAGAAAGCATGCTATCACTATCCTGATCGGATAAGTCCCAAACTTGCTTTAGCACCTCTAACAAAGACCAACAGAAAAAAATCAAGCATGTTTAATCAGATAAAGAACAAGGTCCCTGGAACATCAATGAAAAAATTACAAAAAAGAAAAGAATTGACAAAGCTTTAACAGCATTGCACCAATCACAAGAAGACCTTATCTGAAAAGATCATGAGTAAAATACAGTGTTGAGATAACATCAGCCTAAAAGCCTAATTTAAAGTTTTATACCTCCCAAGCTCAATATTTCATATGTGGGCATGGTAGTCAAGGTCAATACCGAATACTCTAACAAATGATTTTATTTTGTTTAATCTACGCGTATCCTCATAAAGTTTGGTTTTTGTCTTTATCAGAAAATATGTTAATCTAATGATAATTAAAGCAACTTACCAACAAGTATATTTTTAAATCCATAGCTATCTACCAAAATAAGAAAATAAAATGAAATAAAAAGAATTACCTCTTGGTAGCCTCCAACTTATAAATAAATTCCTTGCCTGCTCTCCAGTGATTCTACCATCTCTGTCAGTATCTACTTCCATAAAAACTTTTGTATATTTCTGAACATCTGTAGGTTTCATCTTTGGCCATGTAAGTTGGGAATTATCAGGAGTTGAATTTCCAACCCCAACTGAAATTCCAGAGGAAGTAAATGATGAAGAACTTTGCAATGAAACTTGCTGTGGCGGGTTCAATGACTGGGTTCGCTGAAACTGGCTGCCTGTAGGTTGCATAGAGAAAGCACCCTGCAATGAGTCAAGTGAATTGAGCTTAGCTGAAGGTTGGGTTGCCCTGGAAACTGGAATAGAGGCTGATGAGGCAGGTAAACTGCTAGCTGAATAGGTAGACACAGCAGGCTCTTGTTTCATGGTAGGCGAGATCGCAGCAAAAATGTCCCCTCCAAAACTTGAAGCAGAAGAGCTCCCATTTCCTGAAAAAGCTAGTGCTTTAGAATCATTAGTCAAAGGCTGAGAAGATGGTGAAACTAGACTTAGTGTGTTCAGCGCAGATGAGGACGTTGATGGACTAACAGCTCTAGGCCCAGTTGGAAGTCCAGCAGTCCTCCCACTACTAAGCCAATCATTTGAAATGTTTGGGTTTGGAACATTAGGAGCAGCAGTACCACCAGACATGGGTTGAGAGGGACGGGGAGCAATACCTGCAGACATGGTTTGAGTTTGACCCACCACACTACCTCCCCTAAACAAATCTGGACCACCAGTAACCTGAGGAGGACAAGGAGCAGCTTGAAACGGTCTAGGAGACTGCTGCATTGTACTCACATTTGGAACCCCCGGTCCCCTAAAACCAAAACTCTGAGAACCCATTAGTGTTGGTGTTGGTGTTGTTGTTGGCGTTGGAGATGGAGATGGAGATGGTATTGGTGTTGGAGTAGGTGCACTTATCTGTGGGGCAGATGCAGCAGCCATAGAAGGTATTTGCTGCGCAGGTACAGCTGCAAGATTAATCTGTGGGGGCGGAATTTTGGCAGCAGCAGGACCGTATAATGCTGCCTTGACAATATCTGGTGTTAAATCACGTTTACTCTGTGCCACAGTAACAAGTTTGAGAGCATTATAAAATTCTTGCCGGCCAAGGAAACCAGTGCGGCTTTGATCAGCATGCATCCATATCTGCACTCACAACAAAATTTCATAACCGTGCAGCCTTATCATGAAGTACAAAGCTCAATTGGATCCACATAAAGTTTATAGAAAGTTAGAAACACTAGCTACCCAGATTTGCAACTAAACTGTAATTCTAACTAAGCACAGCTACAATTGCCAAATACTATCCGACCAGAAGAAGGCTCTGTATAATGTTAGGAAAAAAGACTTTCACATAAAATTAAGTGAAAGAGACATACATTCTTTTTCTCTCCTTAAATCATAAATGTAGTCAACCATTAATTTAACGAAATTACAGCCAGATTCGATTTCAGAAATATAAAAACTTCTGAATAGACTTTTCAACGAACAAAAAAGAGTAACAATTGCACTTAATCAGTGTTCAAAAAGAAAGAAATAGAACCTGAGCAAGGACTTGTTTGGGCAAATTAGATCCTTGGAAGAAACCGACAGCTTCCGCTCCACTAATTCTACCATCACCATCTAAATCAGCTCTCCTAAAATACGCTTCGAATTGATCCGCACTATTGGCCCCCGCCATTTACGATTTTACGACTAACCAACTATCTCCTCAGATCAAATTAATCCAAACTCAGATCACACATAAAATATAATTAAACGAATGCAAAACACAATAAAAATAATCTTAGTATTAGAAGTAAGACATAAAGGAATAGCACGTCGTGGAATGGTGGAATTTAAACTGGTGGTTAGATCGAGGAGAGGAAACAGAATATATTGAAAGGGGTTCGGAAATTTAAACGAATTTGGGGATTTAGAAATTAATAATAAAGAAAGAGAGAGAGAGTTCCTCGCAAATGGGCTGTAGTGTCTCTCTCGATCGACAGAAACAGAAACTGTAACAGGATCTATCCCTTTTCTTTTCTTCGCTTTGGATTTGGAGTTAATCTTTTTAGTCCCAATGGTTTCAGTTAACTACTTTCAGGACAGTAGGTTTCAAATACTACTGTTTTAGTCCTTTGACTAATAAAATGTCTGTTGACTATTAAATTTATATCGAAAGGACAAAAATATCCCACTTTTAAAGTTATTAAAATTTTATTGAACATTGTTATAAGAATTTATTTTTAAAAATGTGTAATAAAATTATATATATATATATATACTAAAAACGAAAATACATTATACATTACAAATTGAAATAAATAAACATATTACACATTAGAAAATCAAAACTATTTAAATATGATGAATTTGTAGCGTATAATGTGTTTTATTTAATTTGAATTTGTAGTGTGTAATATGTTTATTTAATTTAGGGTTGATTGTGTAAGTAATTTTTCATTTTCTTAAAGAGGTATTTTTGTCCTTTCCATATAATTTTAATAGTCAATTAACATTTTATTTAGTCAAAGGACTATAACTGTAGCATTGGAAACCTAAACTGAAACCACAGGAACCTAAAAGGAATTAACTCTTTGGGTTTCAGAAAATATTTTTTTAACCCCTTCTTTGATTATATTTTTAATTTTACCACGCTTCATTTATGTGTGGACATGGACTCGGGCCGCACCTGGGTCAGGTGGATCGATCCGGCAAGCTAAAATAAGTCCTTTGATAAACTATTAAAAATTTACCGAATTATCCTTAGCAATTTAGTATAGGTTTCACACAATACTCAAAGCATAAATCGTATGTTAAATATGGAAAATGATAAAACCATCGAAGGTTACGCACCAAATGACATGACAAATTCTTGACCGTTGATTAATATTAGCTGATAATGAATCAACAGTCAAGATTTTATCACGTCATTCGGTGTGCAACCTTCACTGACTGTAGCATTACTCGTTAAATATTACTCCAACAAAAGATATTGATGACCCATTTCCCATTGCCAATTGGTCACAAAGGAGAATTTTTGTTTCTGTTTTGCTATTCACCTAAACATCAGTGGCTTTGAAATGTTTTTCCATCAGTCCAATGGAGTTTAGTCTATGAAGTGTGTTATCAAGATAAAATCTATGTAATCAAACTAACATTTGCCAGTGTTATAATAAATTACAGATTACAGGGGAAACAATTCTCTTAAAAGTTGCACGGCCACACCACAGATTCCCAGTGAGATGAAAGATGAACTGAAGTACATGATCTATTAACAAGACAGCGTGGGAATCTTTAAGAATCGAATTCAACCAATGCCAACATGGAATTGTGCATCAGCTGTGTTCGGTTTCTCCTCTACCGGCGGCAAACTGAAGGCCATTCAAGATAGAAACAACGATATTTGCAGTTTACTCTTTTTCCTGCATAACAAGTTTGACATCAAATCCAGTAACACTTCAAACCAAGCGGAAGTGTAAGAAGTCAGATGCGGCAAAGAGAGAAAAATGAACTACCCGCAGGCTTTCATCAACAATGGAATAATAGAATGTGCCAACCAAAATCCAAGGATCACTCCTTTCCTTTGAATGACAATATAGTGAGAGTCAAGTTTCTGACCTCCACAGTCACAATGATTATAGGTGTATCTTACGCCACATATCAAAGCTACGACTTGTTTAATTCAGCTGCATATGTATCAAAGTGTGCACCTGCAAATGAAGCAAAATGAAGAAATATGAAAGGAGACCGTAAGGAAAACAAAACAAGGAAATCTGAAAGTAGACCACAAGGATTACACAAGAATAGCTTTCATAGAAATTAAAAAAAATTATGAAAGAACACAAAAACAGAGAAACGGTGCACTTCCAGTACACAACTTCTCATATCACTGAACAATAACTATTTATAAGAATATGTTCTTCATTTTTATAAAGTGCAAAGTGGATGCTGTTGAGTGATTATAAGATGCATATACATTACATGTATGACAAAGGCATAAAGATCCCTCTTGTAGGAAAGTAAGAAAAACAGCACCAAAAAAAAAGCAATTAATGAGCAATTACCTTATTCACAGGCAAGATAACTACCTGCTGAAAAAATTAAAAAAAAAATGTGCAATGCTTCACTTGCAAGTGAAACTCATATCAGCTCAAAAATGCCAGCCTTTAGCACGCCACAACCTTCGAACATTTTCATTACGACGAGCAGCTTTAATCTTCAAAAATAGCTTATAAGCTCTGTCTAATTTATTTGAAGCAAGTAGTTTGTTACTAAGTTTGCTGTAAACAAGCCTGCTTGGGCAAAAACCCTTGCGCAAAGACTCCTCCATGACAAGTACAGCATTTTCAAGCTGACCTACATTGCAAAGGCCAGTAATGACATATTCATAGACTTCCAAGTCAGAAGAATAACCACATTCTTGCATCTCATACCATAAATCTAGTAGCATTCCACATTTCCCAAACCTAGAAAGCCGCATGAGCAATAACTTATAAGCACTGAGTGATAGTTTACAACCAGCATTACTTGCTTTCTTATAGATCATCATAGCAGCATGGGGTGGACCAAAGCTACACAGAGGTTCAATGAAAGAGGTTATAGTCCCCATAGATGGAACAAGCCCTCTATCTAACATCTCTTCAAACACCTCAAGTGCATCAGCAACTTTTCGGGCTTTGAGCAACCCATGAATCAATTTTGTGTAAGTATCCAAATTTGGGTCACACTTATTGCTCAACATACCCTTATAGTACTTCATACATTCATCAAAATCTCCAATTGAAATGTAATTAGAAATCAATGCATTGTAAGCATTCGTATCTGGTCCACAGCCTTTCTCCTTCATGGCATGAAAAACCGCAATGGCATCATCAATTCTACCAGCTCTTCCTAAGCCCTCAATAAGATAACAGAAAGTTGAAGTATCAGGACTAAAACCTTCAACCACCATTTCCTTCAAAACCCTCTCAATCTCACTAACTTCACCAAGCTTTGACCACCCACCAATTATAATATCGTATGTCTTTCCATTAAACAACACCTTCCCTCTCATTGAATTGAAAAATGAATTTGCAGCTCCTACATGTAACCGTTGACATAAACACCTTAACATTACATTCAAAGACTCCGTATCACATTTCAACCCAAACTCTTCCAAATTTCCAAACGTTTTTATAGCTTTATATACTTGACGAGCTCTAATAAAGCTATCCAAAACTATCGATACCGTCTCTAGATCAGGTTTTACTCCTTCTTTTACCATGTCACGCAAAATATCCATCATAAAATTAAAAAATTTTCTTCTGCCGAGTGCTTTAACAATAATGTTGTAACTCTGAACATCTTTAGGAATATTTGGCTGCTTAATTGCCCAATTAAAGAACGTAACCATAGCTTCACCGCCTAAATTACCCCTATTCACTACTTTAGCAACAACATCGAGACTTAAATCTACATTAACATTCGTTAAAGCATCTTCAATTGCAGTTTTGCCCCTCAGTTTTTGAAGAAAAACCCCTCGTAACATCTCATCAGGCAATAAAAACCCATCAACGACCCTCCTGTCGATTTGTTTCACTGAATCACTCTCTTTATACAAATTCGAAACTGAATTGTTCCGAGATATTTGTAACAGTTCAGAAAGTTCGTTCAGAACATAACGTTCATCGACACCCGATTGGTTCTTGATTTGATTTACTGCTGGTTCATCTTTTAAAGAGTTTGACTGAAAATCCAGGGTTGAAAATGAAAACTGTGAAAAAGATGAGCTAATGGAGGATGGATGGTACCTGCTTCGGTTAAAGCGCGATACAAAGCTTACGATTTGCCGGGAATGAGACGCCATGAAACCAAAAGGGAGTAAGGGACTGTTAAATTTTGGGGGAACTAATGAGTATCCAAGGATTTCAAAATATAACAAAAACCTCCCTGCGCTTATAATCCGCTGTGAATAATTAACCGGTGTAAGGGCTTTGTAGTCATTTTTTCTTTACCATAGAGATAACGGGATTAAATTCGCAATTAAATTAAAAAAAAATGGGAGGACAAAAAAGAATTAACCACGTTTATAAACCTTAATCTGTATTAGCTAACAATAATGAAGATTTCAAAATCACCCTAGCAACTAGCATGAAGATACTTTTCTATCTTCTGAGTTGTTCTACTGAAGCAGTCCACTCAAGAGCCCTGGTCTCCTCACACTGCTTGGGAGCTCACAGTTTCATGTTCTATTTCACTCCCTGATGGGGGTTCTTTTCACCCTTCCCTCACGGTACTACTTCGTTATCGGTCACTCAGGAGTATTTAGCCTTGCAAGGTGGTCCTTGCTGATTCACACAAGACCTTTGGCATCTACTAGACCCAATCAAAAAAACGAGATCATTTCTTTTAGACTAGTTGAGAATGATTATGATCTAGTTCATGGTCGATTAGAAGTAGAAGACGTTCTGGTGAGATCCTCATGGACAAAAAAAGATTGCAATCGATTTGATAATGATCGAATGATATTGTTTCTTCGCCCTTAATTGAGGAATCCCTTAAATATGATGTAAAATTGATCTTCAACTTTCTCTCTTTCTTTAAATTTCTCTTATAATTTGAATTGCAAAGTTTTGGCCAATTTCAAATTCTTGACTTAAAGTCAAAAAATCGATCTAATAATTGTAGATGTAAAAAATATACAATTACGAAAATAAGGTCTGATCTCGTCAGGTTGAGACCACTTATTTATTAATATATAAAAACGTAATAAATAAATTGAAAATAAGATCTTATGATTGATTTCTCGTCTAAGCATCTATGATTTAAATGGAGACTATATTAGTAGGTTATTATGCTAATTTTCTCATTGGATTAATCAAGTTACGTGTTGTGTTAGCTGACTCGAACACTTTGATTAAAAAAAATAAAAATTAGAAAGAGTAATGCTATAGTTACCAAATGATGTACACCGAATTAGGTGACTCAATCCTGACTATTAATTCATTATAAGTTAATATTAATCAACGATCAAGATTTTAATACGTTATTCGATTCATAGATTCGATTTATCAGTAACTATCATTTTCCAATTAGAAAATAGGAGGGCACGAACGTCACAAGAAATGTACTTCAAAAACATTAGTTCAATTACGCCGTAAAAATGAAGCTACCGCCTTAATCTAAAATAAGAAACCCAATTTTCCCGCCAAAAGTCCCCCGACTCTCAATTTCATTTTAATATCCCGCTTTCAAATATCACTCACTGTGATTCTTCTTCCAGAAAACCCAAAAATGGATTCTACAACAATCCCGTACCCTAACCCTAATTATGAAAAACCTAAAAATGGCTATCCAATCGGAGGTATTCAAGTGGAGTTTCCGTATCAACCGTACGGGAGCCAGTTGGCATTCATGTGCAGAGTGATATCGACCCTGGATCGAGCGCAAAGAGACGGTCACTGTCACGCATTGCTAGAGTCACCGACCGGTACCGGAAAATCGCTCTCGCTTCTTTGCTCGGCTATTGCATGGCAGCAGAATTATAAGTTAAAGAATCAATATGCGAATCTCTCTCATTCGAAGCCCAATCCAGAGGCCATGACGGATCCTCTAGCCTGTGGTGGAGGATTCATCCCCGAGTCGCAGCCTTCTGGTAATATTTCGATTTCACCATTTTGTTAAACCCCAGTTTACTAGCTTAAGATGCTGTTTAATTCTTAAATATGAGAAGATATTATAAGATAGTATGTGGTTTATTATTATTGAAGTGATTATCATTCCTGCTGAATGTTTAGATTTTGATTGCTTTGATATGGCCTTCTTTTATGTTAGGTGTTCCACCGTCAACAAATGCAGAGACGGCTAAATCTGCAACAAATAACAAGAATCAAAAGAAAAAGAACGCACCTACCATATTTTATGCCTCGTAGGTTTTATTATGCTAAAAATTATTATTTTCTTCTCTTTTGATTGGTATAAGACATGAAATACTATAAAGTTATTTACATGTCTGAAGTTGTAGCAATTTTGAGTTCTCTGCGCAAGTTTTATAAGGTGTTAGTTTAAACTTTCTTTGTCTATGAAGTAATTTGTTAAGTTTTATGGTATGACACTCTTATATCAAGTCAAAATGTTGATATAACTACCCTTTTTACTTTTACCCATGCTAAATTTGTGCTGTTTTGATACTTTTTAAGTGTACTGATCAATCCTTGTTACTAGCTGGAAATTAAGTGGGTGAAGATTTTATAATCAGAAAAAGTTAAGGTCAAGTAAATTATATAGTGGGGCCCATCTTGCATCTATATATGTTGTGCTGTACGTTGTACACATGGATATAAATGAACTGGGCGTTGAGTTTTTTGTGAATGCTAACCAAGATATTCTGCTTGTTGGATATTGTAGAAACAATGGATATTAGAATAATTAGATGTGGATTTGCTAGTTGAATAATTTCTTGTTATTTTCTGTTTACACAAGGAGGACGCATTCACAAATTTCTCAAGTAATTGGTGAATACCGGAAAACTGCTTATCGGGTGCCAATGGCAGTGTTGGTAGGTTGAATCCATCTTTTTAAAATTAATTGTTTGGTTTAATCTAATTCTCTTGTATATGAATCAATCATTAATTGATGAGAATCACGCTATGGTTTCAGTGGTAATATTTCTCCTTCTCTCCCCCTTTCTCTCTTCAGAATCTGGAAATTTTTTTTACACTGGGCAAGTTGTTGATAACTTTATTTCATGTCCTATCAGGCTTCACGGAAACATTACTGCACAAACAAACATGTGCGTGGCAAAGAGAATGTTGATGAAGAATGGTGCACTTTCAATCTGAGCAACTTCCCTTTATCGTTTTTTTTTTCCTTCTCAACAAGATTTTCATTTAACTTGTCCTCCTAACTATGCTACTGCAAATTTCCAGCAAGCTGCTTTTGGGAAATCGAGATGTAGGATGCCCTGAATTCAAGTATGTTATTGCTCTATCTTTATATGCTTACAAAATCTCAGTGATCTTTAATTTAACGGTCAATCTCTTAAGTGAAAGTGTAGCCATAACCAATTTTATTCCAAAACAGAAATATGCATAAAGTCAAAGCTCATCCATCATTACAGAAAGGAGGTTGCCATGAAGTTCATGATATTGAAGATCTTGTGAAAGTTGGACAAATTGTTAGAGGTCAATTATGGACCTTATAATATGTACAATACTCGCTATGTTTTGCCACAAACATCTGATTGATGATCTGCCTTTTCCAGGGTGCTCATATTATGCAGCACGTTCCATGGCTGATGATGCACAGTTGGTGTTTTGCCCGTACAGCTACATCATTAATCCTGTTATTCGCGGAGCAATGGAAGTTGATATTAAAGGAGCCATTGTCATTCTTGATGAAGCCCAGTATATTTCAAAACTTCCTTTTTAGTTTTTTTCCTATAAAGTTCTGTTATGTGCTTTAGAGCATGTTGGGAAGTAATTAATTTAACATTTTAGTCATTGATTCTTATAATTTGTGGTTAGTGAAAATAAACAATTTGGTTTACTTAAGCTCAATACAACTATGGCACTCTACATGTTAACGTGATTAATTGTTATTTCCTAGTTACCAAAATGTGACATACATTCAAGTTATATTCTCTTTCATCTTCCACTATTTCTCAGCAAACAAATAAATGGTAGAGAAAAGATTTGCATTTATTGTACATACATATGTGGTGTTGCTTTTTCTTATTTATGCTCTTGAAAACTCATGTATATTGATATTTTTTCTGTGGCTTTTCAGCAATATAGAAGACATTTCTCGTGATGCTGGTAGCATTGATATTGAAGAAGATATTTTACTTAGTAAGTTGAATACATATTCTTTTTGAATATCTCAATTTCATTTTGTTGTGACTTATGCTGGTTATACCTTATGAAAGAATTGCAGATGGAATTAGGACAACTATGCTCCGTTAATGCCATGATTTACCAACCTTTAAGTGAAATGACACAGGTAATTTTAGTTCATTCTATTTCACATTTCTGGCTTTAAAAATCTTTATAACTGGGTTTTGAACAATGATGTGATAACTGTATAGGACCTCATAAGTTGGATTGAGCGGAGGAAAACAACATTAGCAAAGCGGGAATTTCAGCATTACTGCTCTATGTGAGTTAGTTTGCCTGTTCTGCTCTTCATTGTTATGTCTATGCTTCACTATATTATTTTTTGTTTGTCTTGAACATATTCAATTCAGCATAATGGCAACTTAAGAAAACCATTGTATGCAAAATCTTTTTAAAATTTTATTTTCTGTTAACATTTAAATACTGGCATTATTCCTTTTATGGAATATACACATCATATTTTTAAGCAGCATACTGAATTAGGAGAATATTACAAGAGCTCGTTCCTCCTCCCCCATTTCCATTTTGTCTAATTGAATTATAAATAGAACTATGCCCTTCAAGAAATTTGTGTTAAAAGGTTCAATTTTATATATACAGGAATTGTTTTTGTCTCATATAATTTTATTGTTGTTGTTACCATGTTAAGCTGGACTGGTGATAAAGCTTTAAGAGAACTGCAAGAAGCTAACATCTCACAGCAATGCTTCCCGATATTACTAGACTGTGCCACAAAGGTACTGTATTTTTTAGGATTTTTAGGTTTGCTTTTGACCATTTTTCGCATTATGGACTTACCTTTCTGCTCAAAGGCAATCAAAGCAGCCACAGATACAGAATCAGAGGTGCCGCATTTAAGTGGCATGTCAGTGATAACATTGGAAGGTACAGGCTTTTGATTCTTATGTATTCATTCTCTAGAATTATGTAGATCCATTGAACATTTAATGCTGTAATTCCTTACCCTTTAACA